GCGGGCAGAATACAGACATTTTCAAGACACCGAGAAGTGAAAAAATAGCCGGCCTCCCCAGGTCAGATTTATGAAAAACTTTTCAGCGTTTTTCTTTCCGGAAGGAGAACGTTTACTAGCTCTGGGTGTAAAATACAAGCTATTAATTAACGCAAAATAAAAAATAAATCTCACCTTCTTCTGGGAGGAGAAAAATTTGCCTTGTTTTAGCGTAAAATTTATCATCCACTTCCTCAGCCATGCGTTTAAACTTTCTGTTTTCGGCTTCAACCAGGTTTCTGAGAATTTCTGGAATCTTCGGGGGTCTAAGACCACTGACATTTGGCGCAGTGGAAAAGCCCAGTTCTTTGAGCAGTTTTTTCTTGAATGACTCCACTAGGGTCTGCTCGCTGTCAGATGCAGTTTGACCACGAAATCGACAAGACGAACCTTCGAAATGCAAAGAGAGGAGCGTGAAAACGACAAAAACTGTCGTAAAATGGTCCATTTTCTTGAAAGTGAGTTGTTCCGGTTTGGGTCGCTGTGATGGCTCTCGTGGTGTGAATATGGTCATCAATTGCCAAGTCGGATGATAAATTCAGCAACCTTGGAACGTTTGATAGCGGAGTATCTAATGACATTAAATCTGCGATGATGTGGTAATCGATATGAAATACATGATGAAACAGTATACTCAATCCTTTTGTCCATACAAAGAATGCTTATCATCTTTTAGAAGACACTAACTGACAGAGTTATCAAGCAAATTCAAAGATGCGATCTAGGAATGTACCTAATTTGCCCACCCCATGAGAAGAAATCGTGCTCTCCTTCACGGAGAACAGTAAATGTTATTTCACAAATGAAAAAAGTGGAGAAATTTGCTTTTTTCTCCTGCCATTCAAGTTCTCCATCTATTTTCTGGAGCAAGTAGTCCATATGAAGCAGAATTTAATCGCATGGGTCAGTATTCCATGAGAAGTCTCAGCAAAATACTCGAGCCACCTTATGTTTATTTTGCCGTGGTGGTAATGGAGACCAGATCCAGTTGACAATAATCAACAAAGTTTTATACAGGGACCCTCCGCACCGAGGTTCAACCCCATACCTATTTTATACCATTCAGCTCTAAGGATGGTCTCCATAGGGGCCCTGTATCTTTATAAATTAATTTACATTAAGAATTTTCATGAACTATTACATTTAAAAATCCTGATAAAAATACAATAACAGAATTTAAGAGCTGCATTGAAAAGCCTAAAAATACAATGCAAAATCACATTTAAAGTTTACTAATAAAATATAATAAAATATCAGAGTTATGATAAAAAGAAATGTCTTGCTCAACGGCAGAACGTTTAAATGTTTTCACTCTTCACAATGTTTAATGGGAGTTTGTTACAACTGTTTGCACCAGTAAAAAGAACGGTCCTTTTCCGAAAATTCCGTTTAACGTTTGGTAGGGATAGCATCATACTTTGCCTTGTAGAATAATTGTGAATGTTCGAAAATCTAGTAAAATATAATGAAATATGAATAATGTCTCGCTGTGTCCGCAGTAATTGGCTTTCAGGGCTTTAGCTGTTGCGGTGTCCCTGCCCTAATATTTGATACGTTCTTATTACTAGTGTTTGCATATGTACAGTGTTTTTGTTTTTTTGTTTTTTTGTTTTTTTTTTGTATTCTTCAGGGCAAAGCTAATAAAATAAAATAAAATAAAATAGATAACAAATGTAATGAAATATAGTTAGTGTCTCCATATAATGTATATAATATATATAAAGTCTCTAACGAAGTCTAGCAAAGTTGCGTGCTTGCCCCGACACAGTTCTCTTTTTACCTGTCAGCAACACCAGACCTTTTGAGGGAGTTGAGGATAGTATCTACATACAAACGCGTCCCAGTTATTCTGACAAGTTTAACGCAGCTTTTTCAGAGGGAAAACACGCACAATACAGATCCTCGAGAGGGAAGTGCTGGTGCAGATGACAGAGCTGTACGTAGCTGCCCACAGTGCCAGAGATACCTCCCAATTTTACCACAAGATCAACCGATAAAGAACACTGACTGCTTAAAAACGTTGATCCGGCTCCTGAGCCAGGGGCACCCAACGTGAATATAGTTCAAAACCACTTAAACAAAGGATTGTTAAACGTATTTTAGTATTTAAACGGTAGATATAGGCATATTTTTATCCCCTAAAAATTTTTCATCTGTTCAAATTTCCTAGCTGAAAGTCTAGTGATCCGAAAATTATAGGGGTCAAAACTTACCTTTTCGAAAATTTCAGCCAGAAAAAAGGCTTCCGAAAATTCTAGGTGACCTTTTAAGGGTAAAAATCCGTTAAAAATGGGCAATTATACCATTTTTTAAAAGTTCGAAAATCCTAGGAGAGGCAGGCAAGCAAGAAATTTTACAACAAATGTTCCGAAAATTCTAGATCTCGAATCGTCTTCCGAACAGATATTTTCCGAAAATTGTCGTTGGGTGTCCCTGCTGAGCTAACAACCACAACTATCAACCAGCATGCCCTAGCTGGGTTAGTGTTCTGACCGCTGAATACCTGGGAAGCTCTATCTCCAAAAACGTTGCTAGCCTAGACAGTTAAATAATATACAGGATGGGAAATCCAATTGCTGCATTTGAATAGGACAGGCTATGGAAAAACCAGCACTTGTAAGGTATATCGAGCTGATGTCCTTTCCTCCCATGGTGATGAAACATATATCATATCCAAATGAGGAAGCTCTGTTCTTATATGATGAAGCATAAGGGTCGTAATGAATGCTTCCTGATGCAGAAATAGGCTCCTCCGTGCAGGGTTACCATCAATGGCTGATATTCTCATTTAGAAAAAATTTGAGTGGCTGAGTCACTTGGATAGGATATAAATAACAAACTACCAAAGCAGCTGTTGTACTCTCAGCTCTGTGGAAATGCGTGAGGTTAAAAGACGTTAGTGCTAAGCAAAATATGAAATGGAGAAATATCGATCACAGCTGTTGACAGGAAAATCGCAACAACAGATCTACATGGACGAAATTTATCAAAGCTATGCTTAAACCCTAAAACAGTCTTAGTTACATCGGCTGCAGAGGTTGTTGACGATGATGATGATGATGAGGAGGAAGGGTGGGGATTCTAGGTGGAAAAGGTTTTGGTGCGTAAGAATGAACGTAATCTTCCAGACTTGGACTCCATTGGTGGATCATTAATCCTTAATGCGCTCGTAAAAAGATTGGGCCCAACAAAGTTGTTAAGCCTCAAGATTTTACCAACAAAGTCCTACAAAAGCCAGCTTTTGAATCAATCAATGCAGTTCTATCTGGCGACTAAGACTCATTTGTTTTCATGGATCATGTCAGGACTACATGTGAAAACTGGAAGGTATGGTCCAAGAGCTAGAGTTTGGCCAATGGAAATTGCATCGAAGCTGAAGACATGCCAACAGCCTAAAAGACCTCAGAACTGTCCAAACTTTCCTCATCCTCAGTTTCAAATTAATACTGTCTCTGGAAAAGATGAATGGGACCTCTAACCGACCCGTCTTCCAGTACATGAGACTGTCAAACCCACCCGCACAAATTAAACAATCCTGGTAAAATCACTAGAGAAAATCTCAAATTCCGACCGATAGTCTGCCCTTGGGGAACCTTTTAATACGAAACGGCCAAGCACCTGGTCTCCTACTTAGCTTCCTCTCACTGAGAACAAATACAGCATCAAAAACCCCAACGGACTTTGCCAACAGTCTAATCAACAGAACCCTCAGAACAAACATTTACGGATCACACGTGATCTAACAGGTGACTGTTCTTGCGATGCTAATTGTATCGGTGAAATCATGGGAAATGTAAAGTTACAAATCCATGGACATTCCAATCCGCGTAATGACCTCGAACCTGCCTGTTACTCAGAAGAGAATTAGCCTGAGAAAACAAGCGACACTTTGCGACACCACAACTGGTTTCCCAGCGTGATGACGTCTGAGGAGCGAGCGCAGAAATTTCACAATGATGTGTTCACTATTCAGATCTGAGTCGTGCTTCTGATTCGTCATGCCGGGATGGAGATTTGCTAATCAGAAACATTACCCACATCTTGGTAGCCTTTCGAGAGCAAGCTCTGCATTTGGGATTCCTGTGCCCGTTCCGAAAACTCGTGCAATTTTATTGGCTGCAACTTCGAATCACGTGCAAGTCAAGTAACAGACAAAAGCTACTGGGTAGAAAGGCAAAGCACAAATCGCTAGACCAGGAAGTCGGCGTTTGTGAGTTTGACTGGATAATTGCTGTGTTATGTTGCTTCGTTTTGAAGTTGTGTGTTAGGTCGTTAGCAGCCGCACAAAATGTGATTTTTCGCCTGTGTTTAATTTGCCACCGAACCAACGAGTTCACAGTTGTCGAACCAATAGATTCACCATAACAAATCAAACCAACGAGTTTCAGAACCAGTGAGCTCACTTGTAAACTTACCGAGGGAAGAATGCACTTGTTGCGAAATACTATTCAAATATGAAATAAATACTGAAGCAATTTTCACATTGCAACGACAATTCTCTTGAATTTACAAACCGATTTCAGTGCGGTCATGCAGTATAGAATGAGACGAATGTGGACTGTAAAAACGGCTGACTAGGTATAAAATGCGGGCTACTGTCCATGATTAAAAAACTGGGCTAAATATTTGAAGGTAAGGAAAAAATAACATTAAAAGAGCGCTAAATAGCACAACACGCGGGTTATACTCTAGGGCATTAGAAATAGGGTTGTGGCAAGTCTAGGTCTATGACTCGATTACAGGGTAAAAACTACTAGAATTCCATCTTGACACCTCAAACGATTATCTTGATATATCTGTTGTCTGTGTTCGTTAAATTAAGGGTCGGTTTAAAGTGTCAACATGTATTGCCGCTACACTAACTTAACTTCCTGATTCGGTGCTTCTTAGTTTCATATCTTTTATTGATTTAAAGCAGTAAAAATGGAATTCTGTAGTCCTTTTCAGTTCATTCAGAGTTTCAGTACTTAGTTTTCTTTTTAGCGAACTTACATTTTCCATTTTAAAGAACTCTTTAAACTTTATCTACTGTTATGACTTTTTTTGGTTTTTCAAAAATTATTTGAGGTGTGCCTGTAGTTAACTAACTTAGATATTCAGACAGATATGATATTAGTTCGAGAACTTCTTCGACTCATTTAGGACAACATTGCAATTCCTTTGCATCAGTGTCTGCAAATCCCAACCAATGTACCCAACTGTCCAAAACATCCCGCAGAAGCGCCTTTTGGCGTTTTCTTGTTTAACACTGTAGTTAGGGCACTCAAACTGGATGGAAATGGATTGAAACTTGAGGAAGCTGGGCCAAATTTTTCACGTTTTAATGATATACCTGAAAAAAAAATCAATCACTCCAATGGTGCTTTCTAATGACATTGGTTTCATATCTTTTTCATAACTCTACAGGAGCTTTTCGTTTATGGTAAAGGCACTAAGTAGTCTAAGTAATAACTTGAGCACAGAACTGACCTAAAACAGCAATATCCTAATTACAACATTGCCGTTCGAGTCGAAGCTTGTCGAGAACCTCTGTCAGATATAGTGTTGCTCGCGTACACGACAATTAAAGTGAAATAACTTATTCGCCTGCTTAACAGTTCTAAGGGCCTCTTAACACGAGCCCGGTTACTCGGACCAATTTCGCCTTGGGTTCATATGAGAAATTTCAGCCTGGTTTCCGAGATGAAAAAGGGCCAAAGATCCTAGGGACGAGTTTTGGCGAGAAATTCAAGAAACAAAGCAAATATGACGAAACACGAAAACTATAACTTTTACGTCTACCATAGCTTTTTTTAACCCTAAAGCTGTATCGATGGGATTCTTATGATGTGGAAAATACAGCAAGCAATGTAAGACGGTTGGAAAAACCGAGATCTCGGGAACCGAGCCAGCCCACCCTCTCATATGAACACATCGAAAATTCTACAAAGGATTAAGAGGAAAGGCGAAATCTCGGACATTGCAACACCATGGACCAATTTTGTCTTCAGAGCATATTGTCTCCAGGGGGTCTAGAAAAATTATTTCTCGGTGTTTTGTCTTAAAACAGGCTATAAAATAATGTGGTAGTGGCTTTGAAGGTTAGGCTTTAGCAAGAGCCCTTGACTTCTTTTCCATCAATAAACTAAAAGTGTTACACCTCTTAATAACTCACAACAGTGATTACTACTAAGTTCATCATCACTGTTTTAAAACGGTAGAGGTAAAGTCTTACAAACATTGCAATCGAGAAAGTTTGTGTAATGTATGGTTCAATTTGACCTGTTACATGCGTGCTCCCCCGGGCATACCCCCGGGAATTTGCTTTTTTTTTCTCTCCTGGTGGTCTATTCCCTGGGGAAAATCAAAATTAACTTCTCTTTGACTTTGCGAAGTCGTGTTATTTCTCACCCAGTTTGCACGAAGCTGCGGAATTAACTCAAGACTACTTATTTTCAAGGGAATTTGCCAGAGAATGGATGGAGAGAAATAACCTATCGAAATTAAAGTCTGTATTTAAAGGTATGCTTTTAGCGAATATGTGTATGATTCGTACTCGAATCGACTTTTTTTTTTGGCAACAGAAAAAAAGAAATATTTCTTCTGTCTCGTTTACTTATAAGTCGACTTAAATAGACTTCATACGAAAACAGATACAAGGCTTTTAATATATATAGATAAACAGAGATTCAATCCAGTGTTCTTATAAAGTGCTCTACCAAGGAGGCGCTCAAAAAGGTTTTTCTTCGTTTTCGTTTCCAAATGTATTGTTCATGTTTCAACCATATTTTACGTGTACTATCCTTCTCTAAATAAACTTTAGAATGCATTTATAAACGTCTGCATACGTCTCGTTTTGCTTTTGCACAGAAATCAATATTGTTCTCAAAAGATGTACCGTATATGAGGTCGATCAGGAACTCGGGGGTGGGGAATTGTCCCCTTCTGCGTGCCGGGGGTACCCCCTAACCCCGGCAGAGGACCACTTCAAACAATTCCCTACCCCCCAGCCCCGAGGGGCTGGACTTTTCCAAGGGGTTGCCCAGGGGGGTGGTAACAGGTCAAATTGAACCATGCATAAAACCCATTAGCCACGAAACAAGAAACCCCTAACTACAAATCACTGCACCCAAAGCTTGTGTCCATTCTTCTTAGAGTTTCTGAATTGAGGGATCATGATCATGCGTGTCAGATTATATTACGCAGCCGCACTTTGCCACCCAGCCGTGGAGATATCTTACGTAAGCTTTGTTAGGGTCATCATCCTTAAAGAAAACAATTTTTTTGGTAGTAAATTCAATCGGACGACAACAGGCGTGAGGCTGAAACATATTTAAGTTTATGAAAACTTGAGCCCTCGTCGGATTCTTGGCGGTGGTCGATTGAGCACACACTCCTTCGCACACATAGGTGTTTAGCACTCTGGGCTGGATGATGAAATCAAAGCCAAGGGCTTGAAAGTCGACAGTCAGCTTATGCCCGCGACAACAATTTCTTGGCTCGTTGTCTTTGCACTCTGTGAGGTATTCACCTGATGATGATGATGATCTTTGCCTTCTGCTGGCATATTTCTTCTCTCCAGTGTTCACCACCAGAAATGGTTGTTTTGCCTCCGGGGCGGAGCCACTTATACCACCACCAACAGCTTTCGATTTCTTCGTCACTATTTCCAAGCTTAAGTTAAACGCAGGATACAGTGAGAACCACTCTTTGACCAAAAGAGTAACGTTCATCGAGTACCAACCAGTCCTGTTGAGCTGTTCCGAGTGGAAAAGTTCTTTTGCTAGGGCATCTTTTCCGTTTGCTTTGTAGCCTCTGTAAAGGACCAATTCGTATTCTCCAGCTGCCCCAGTGATAGAAACCCACAAGGTTGCAGATTTGACATCAAGGCTCATGTGGCCGGAATTCACCTTGAATAAGTAGTTTTTCCCAACTTTATCTCCTTGGAGACAAATGAGAAAATTATTTTGTCAACAACTGTAGTAACCGTCTGTGTAAGAATGTCTCGTTTACTACCTTGAAAATAAAAATTCATTCAAACGCATAAAAGCATAGCATACAATAAATATATGGTGCGTGATGAAACAGTCGTTTGCCACCACCTTTAAATTTTGATTGAAACACAAAGAATTTAAAGTGGTTATAAATATTGAAAAATACCAATTATGACAGCATTCATGTTTTCATGAAAGATGAATGTGATCTCGTATATGTTATATACTTTGGGAAAATTATGCCACCAGCTACCCTGGATTCGAAGCGCGGTATGGGCAGACGCGATATCGACACTAGGAAAGATGGATGACCAAAAGAGGAAACGAAATACATTTAAAAATTCTTATTTTGTAATTAATTTTGCTTCTTTTTGCACAGTCTAATTATTTACTTCTACTCGCTAATCAGTGTTATGAATTTTTTTTGTTCAACAAAAAAAAATGTTTTAACCCTTATTGTTTTGCACTACAGGGCAAAATATAATCTCAGGAGCCAAAGTCCTTCTTGATAATTCTTTGCGTATTTATCAGTTGTTGCCGAATCCAGCTTTTTAGACACTTAACCATTGACGGAGGTCATGTCAGTGTTTGTTCCACTATGAAAAGAACAATGGAAAACTCAGCTAAACTTCTGGCATGAAAAAAATATATTTCTTTAAGTATCAGATTAAACCTTTTGTACAAAAGGAAAGAACTCTGCTGCACACCCCTATTTTTTAGCAAGATAGACCAGTAAGGTGCAAAAACTCCTGCGTGTCCTGTCCGTGTTTCGCTATTGTCTTGGTTTTCTTAAAAAATTCCTAACCTATGCGGTCGCCGCTCCTTGCCCCCATTTTTAAGCTACGTGAGTTCGGCTGTTACCATGTGTGGAAATCAGTCTCCTGCGGACAACCGAAATCACAATGTTGTTTCAAATCAAGAACCACCACAAAAGAAGACTTACTAATACCCAGTAATAAATTCGTGGCTCGCTTAGAATTGAACCTTGGTTTTTGCTTGATGATTTTCCAATTATTGCACGATATTTTTTTCTTTTGTATCGACGAAAATGCACAGTGGCTATTTACTGCAAACGTAACCTAGCCCTTAACTAACTAATAACTAAGCCCACCTTGAACGGGAAATAAGAAAATTCGTTTAATTTTTGCGTAGTCCTCTTGTTTCTTCAAGCTGTATTTTCTGTTGTCGGCCTCGACCATGTACCTGAGAATGTGTGGAGCCTTTCGGAGTGTAGTGTTGCTGACATTCGGAACAGTGGAAAACCCCAGCTCTTTAAGAAGTCTTTTCTTGAAAGATTCCAGTAAGATTTGCTCGATGGCAGAAACATTTTGGTTGCCAACTTCCAACGAAGTCGATTCGTGGCTCAGCGAAGCGATTGTCAAAGTGACTAAAATCACCAAAGAGTTCATTTTGCTGAAGGAACTAGCCCCGGTAAAATGCTTATCATCTAGAATTGTAAGGACTTATATTTAGCAATATGGGGATATACATTACCTTATCTTTCAAACGTGACTGCTATAAATTCATGAAACGTCATACCTTATTTGTGTCATTGTTGTGATTGTTAAAGTACCTGCCTGGCGCCTTACCAAGGAAAACTAGAAGACTTGTCTCCATTTTTTGAAGAAAACTTGCCGTTATTTAGAGGGTACAGCACCTTTTATCTCCAAGAAACGATGAGAAAATTCAGTTTTTTTCTCATACCTTCCTACCCTTTCATATACTTTAATTAGTGAAACTAACGCTTTCGTATACCTAAAAGACCTGAAGCCCGAAGGCCGAGCCTCTCCCCTAGGCCAGTTTAGGGAGTACCTCCCCCAGGGCATCAAGGCTCCCTCTTGCATATTGAACTCTTCAGGAATCTTAGACGAAAGTTTTTGCATTTCCTCTACTTTAGAATTCAATTTTTTTTCTCCTTTCTTACAGAACTCCCCCAAGCAAAGAAATGAATTTCCGGCTCGGATACTCCGGGCAACCCAATCCCACGTCATGGCATAAATAAATTGATTGGTTGATTGATTGATTGAAGGTGCAGGCTGGCTAGAAGAAAAACAAACACTTGAAAAGTGATACGTCTACGAACGTGACTAGTATCTCCGGAAGTCTTTCTGGATTGAATTGACAAATCACTTTATTAGTACAAACAAACGTCTCATATCGTTCATATGATTCACATTTTCGAAATAAATAAAATTCAGTGGCTTTCTGTCGGCAACCAACTAATAACATTCCCACTAGAGTTCTAGAATTTCACAATCAATTATAGAAAAGGTATGACAAATAGTATTAAAATTTTTAAAAACAATCGATTCAAATTTCAAAAATGATTGTCCCTCTTGACTCTTGTTAAGGGTTATCAAACGAATGAAAGTATTGTTGTTAGGAATTCAGATCTCAAGATTTTGCTTTTCTACTTTAATTCTAGGAGAAATTATTTTTGATATTTAGCTATGTTAAGTATTCTAATATTTGTAAGTGATTAGACCTAGAAGCTCATTCTTCCGAATTGGTCTTATAGATGAGAACTAGTAAGGTATGATGAGTTAAGTTCATTAATTTTTACCTTAGATTTATGCAGTCCGTTTAGGTCAGTATACAAGTCATGTTACTAAGCTACCATGAGAAAGTTTACACGTAATGCCAGATGCTCTAAATATGAGATCTTTTAACTGAACTGAAAGCGAAGAAAACTGGCAAAAACGCATTTATGTGTTTCATTATTATTATTAATATCATATTATTAACTTTTAATACAGACATATTTGGAATACCAATTTCTTTTTGTTATTTTTACCCGTAAAAGTTCAAAGAGCAAGGAGAAATGGAGAGGGAGCAATTGTGGATTGTGTTAAATAATTCAACGCAATATTTTCCAAAAATTGTTTCCTGATAAAACTCAGACTCAGTAAGATCGATAAAATTTCTTCCAAAAAATGGGATTGTTCTATGGCTCCGTAGAGGACAAAGGGTCCATTAATAAACACAGTACAGCTAGCACCGTTGATGGCCAAATCGCGTGAAAGAACGTATTCCAAAAGAGAAAAGTATTGATAAAAATCAGTGTGGGTTTGATCTGAGAAAAATTTATCGAGTCAATTTACTGTTTACAATAGTTTAGCTGATCTGGCGCTGCAATTGTGGCTCTACGGATTAGAGTCAAGATCGGATAACCTACATTTTTATATCATATTAAAACCACGCGGTGGTCAAATCTGGTGCTGTTGACACGCTTTTTGAGAAAAAATAGATGCTCTGTGTTTGGCTAAAAAACCTCGCGACCATTCCTCCCCCAATGACCTGACCACCTTTGAGATATCTATCCGCATCAGCAAACTGATAACCATTTCACTTTGATTCTGTGACTAAATCAGTTTACAAATTATGTAACTCAAACGAATCAAGCTCGCATTACATTGACCAACGAAGAATGCAAGGCAATATGCTTCTTGAGCGTCTGGAGATCCACATTTATTCGTGCATAGAAATAAAATTCAGACACATTACTGGAGCATCAACGCACATTACTCCAAATTTAGTTATTTTGTTGTTTACATGTATAACAAAATTGCTTGGTGGACGGACAAAGAGATCAAGTGTTTATTTCAGACATTTCAGAAACACGTGTTAGGTGGTAAGCTCATCACTGCTCAACGATAAACTAGAGAGCTCTGAAAGAAGACCTTTTTGAGCGGAGCACGTCACGTGGAAGTGAACTTTTTGCTCCGGCGGGCTTTTAGCACTCTTATGCAATGAGTTTGACGCGTGCAAATCGCCCGGCAAATCGTCTCTGTAAGCGTAAACACGCTTGACCCTATTTCTGACCAAAAACTTTCATATTACATACCCGTTTTCAGACCTGGCATACGCAGAACTTAGATTAGAAATCTAAAAATGCATTTCGAATTCACATATTACTCTTTCTTTCTTATTCAGTTGCAATTAAAACGACAAATATATTAATACATTCCGTAGTTCCCTCGATAATCACACTCAATTCCAGACCAAAATGAGCAAAGTCCATGCCCGTTTTCAGACCGAAACGGCACAAAAACCATAAACTTTGGGGTAGCAGATACCTTATGGCTAAAATCCACAAAACACTATTTAGACCTGTTTGTAGTGTTGCATCTATAGAGTGTGGTGGATAATAAAAGTGGTCTTATCAGCTAAGTGGACAACTTTGTTCCCAGGGTCCTCTCTTACTCGACTCCGCGTAGGAGAGGACCCTGGGAACGAGGTTGGCGACTGAGGTGATTTAGGCTAATTCATGTTTTTGAAGGGACATTTGCTTTGTAAGTGTGGTCCGAAATACGAATGCTTGTTTTAGAGTAGTTATTTCTGGAAAAAGAAAATCATCTTTAGGATGTTAAAACGTCTCGAAACACCTGGCCAATTTGTATTTTGAATTCTTGCCAAACCGTGGATTGGCAAAGTAGAAAACCATTCAAAATAGTCAAGTTCTTACGGCTTCCAATTTGGCTTTGATAAAGCTTAATCCTCGATAATATAACTACATAAGCCAACGCAAAAATGCTTTGGAACGAACGAGAAGCCAAAATATTATTTTTTTGTGGTTGTTTCAAGGTTGAACCGGCAGGAAACGGAGTCTTAAAGGTACAAAGTCTCACCAAAGTGGCAGGCCACAGTTCAACTGAACAGGAAAGCCACAGACTGGCGGAAGACACGCAAGCTGAGAGTTACACATTACCTAGTGCAGCCAAGCTGGTTAAATGGTTGAATTTGGGTCTGGCCAGCAAGTAATTGCGAAAACTAGTAGGAATCTAGCCTCGCGTTTTTAAAAGCGGGCTTAATTCATCTCCCTCGCCCTTCGCTATCTTCACCTTTTTAGGCCTCCTTGTCCCGGCTGGGATAATTACCCTGGGGTTGCCATTGTACACTTTGAAGACCTACAACTAAAAAGAGCGTCCCTGTGGTCATTTTTCTCGTCGCCATGGCCACGTCAGTGTCCACTGCGACTCAGTCTGCAGAGATGATTTTTTGCACTAACATACGTGCAATCTGCTATACTAGCCTGCGTAGCAGGCGCTCGGAAGTAACCGGCGCAAGAAAGAACGGGGCGCGCGAGGTAGACACGCGAGGGCAAAGGGAAACGATTTTCATAGGCCTCTCGAAAGGAGGATTATGCAGTCTTCCCATGATGCATTGCGTCTAGTATATTTTAAATTGTTTGTGACGTCATCACTTTAAAAATGAATGCGTTGAATGAAGGCGCTCCCTCTTCCCTCGCGCGTCTCCCTCGCGCTCCTGCTTTTTTCTTGCACCCACTTCTTTCAAGCTACTAGCTCTAGTGCACTCAAGCCAGACATGAAGAGAGATACTCACGTTTCTCCTGATCTTGAGCAAGAGATAAATCTTCTCTTGCCTTGAGATACATGTGTGTAGTGAAGAAGTAAAAGGGTTATAAATAAAAGCCGTTCAGCAAGCTCTCCGGGAGAGCTATTGAGGTTTAAACTGTATCGAACGAAATTTAATCCATTTACAACATATCGAATGTAATGAAAACCATGATAGTACCTAATTTTCGACATTCTTTATGTAATCACACAAATGTTCAACTAAGGGGCCGACCATTTAACTCTTGAGGGGTGGGGGTGATTTCTGGTCATCAAGAATTTTTTTTTAGCAATCTGGTGGGCAGGATATTTTTTCCTTTTTTTCCCCATAAGCTTTCTATTACATTTGTGCTGCATGCAATTTTTTTCTTCCGACAAGCGCTTGCACGAAATTTTTTTCAAAATCACCCACCCTCCCCCTCAAGAGTGAAATGGTCGGCCCCTAACAACAAAGTCAAGACATGTTTAAGCACTGTTTAGTTAAACAGCCTCACAGAGGAGTTATCGCTAGAAAATTCACCTTTTAAATCCTTTTTTGCCGGATGTACAACTGGTCTTACCTGTATAGTGACAAAAATTTATCCTTGCGCTGCCGGTGGATGGCGCTATTCAGCTTTTGAACAACTGAGGCCAGAGGACGCTGGGGTCGAGATTGAATGAATAGCCACTCTTAGAAAGGAGCGAATCAATAAAAGACGGTCATGCCCAGATAATCGTTTCGCGACTCTTTCAGTATATGGGGTCTTTGTCGGGTTTTCATGTACCGCGGGAAAAGGAATCTCCCGCGGTAAATTACGGTGGCTATTTCACAAAAAAGCGGCCACAGTCAAGTTAGTTTCTGTCGTTACTCGCCGCGTGCAGATTGTTTTCTACGCACAAATTTTCACTGTAGCTACTCCATTAGTCGTCTTTTTCAGGGATTCTAAATCCGAGATATAAAATATCTAAAACACGTCCCAGAATCCAAAACACTTCCCAGAATCCAAAAACACGTCCCAGAATCCAAACACTTCCCAGAATCCAAAAACGCGTCCCAGAATCCAAAACACTTCTTAGAATCCAAAAACACGTCCCAGAATCCAAAACACTTCCCAGAATCCAAAAACGCGTCCCAGAAACACGTGTTTTGGATTCTGGGAACTGTTTTTGGATTCTGGGACTTGTTTTTGGTTTTTGGGAAGTGTTTTGAATCCTGGGAAGTGTTTTGGATTCTGAGAAGTGTTTTGGATTCTAGGGAGTGTTTTGTCCCTACGAGCCACCGTACATTGTCGCTGTTTTATTGTTTTTAACGTCCACACATTTATTTCCTACAGTATTTTACCTTTTCCAGGTAAAAGGCCTTATCTTTCGGGAAAAAAAGACTCATCGTTTAAACCGCACCAACGACGGCGAAAGTCAACCAAGCAATGGGTTGAATAAGAAAAACAGCTCTGCATTGGCAGCATACTTTTTGGTACATTTCAAGGTGGTCGCTGCATGACTATCACGTTTCCCCACGGACGCCGCGATTTGTTCACATGCCGCCCCAGGACATATTTTCGACCGGTTGAAAGTTCGTGCGTTTAAGGGTTCTGTTCAGAGGTCTAATGGTTCAAAGTTCCATGTGAACAGAGCGAAACTGTTGAACGGTTCCGTGTTAACAAAGTGGCCGGTCAAATGTTTGAGCCGGTCGAAAATTCTGCTGCAAGTCGACCTCTCACGAGTTCTTAAAAGTGAGCGAAGCGAGTTTCAGTGCATGAGGTCGAGCGAACGACGAAGTCTCGTGTTCGACTTGTTTCGTCTGAATGGATTTGAATCATATTATAAATTCACGCGGGAAAAAAATGATTGACATATGCCGTGTCGGGATCGGCGTGAAATATCGCTCACTGTCCTATTGGTCAATTGTCATGATGTCACCGGTGGAATTTTCGACCGGTAAATTTCGCGCCAAACAGGTATGAAAAGTCCTTTAAAATGGCTTAACCAACCAGGAAAGAAATAAAGGACTTTTAGAAAGTCTAGAGATGACCTGGGCCATTACATGGAACCAACCTGTATTTAGAATCAAGTTCTATCCAGGCGATACCCTGACTCCAGAGGTCCGTTCTCGAAATACTGAGGATGAATAGTAAAGCTCCCCAGACGCTGCGAACTATCCGAAATTAGGAAAGAAAAAAAATACTCTTGCACCCAGGGTATCCAGGCAAGCAAGGGCCGCGCAGCGGTGAGATCACTCGCCTCCCACCAATGTGGGGCGGGTTGGAAATCCTGGCGTCGATGCCATATGTGGGTTGAGTTTGCTGTTGGTTATTTCCCTTGCTCCGAGAGGTTTTTCTCCGAGTATTCCGGTTTTCCCCTCTCCTTAAAAACTAACAATTCTAAATTTCAATTCGATCTGGTAACACACGGTCACGTTTTAACGAGTTCTCATGAAACTCGTAAGTGCTTGGTGGGTAAACAAATTACAATTACAAAATTTATTGAGACGACACGGGCTTTCGGAACTAACGTAAACACACGGTGACGACGTTTTCGTTTTCATTCTGAATTTATTCCTTACAGAAAGATTTGCGACCGACGGTACGTTTTCGTGACCGTCGTCGCGCCCCTTTATGAGGCCAGCAAAATTGAATGCAAGGCGGTTAAAACTGCTTTAAACTATACAGCCTCAAACAAAACAGTATTTACAACATATCGGTAATAGTTTCGCACAGGCAGCCCCAACATTTAGCATGCATGCACAGTCTCAAACTATACGCCACTTGCACACTACCATTATGCACCTTATTTACCCCCTCAAATTTTGCATAACCTTTGTTTTTCATTTCTCCTGGGCATTACAGCCGTCCCAAGAGAAATTGAAAATAATGCTTGTGCAAAATTTTGGGAGGGAAATACAGTGCATTATGGGAGATGTGCAAGTGGCGCACAGTAATTTTCTAGGACTTATAACAACTCCTCTAGTGGGGCTAATTTAACTCCTTACAGTGGAGTTATTTTTTGGGGAGTTATTTTAACTCCAAAAAGGAGTTTAAAGAACTCTTTTTCAGGATAAAAGTGACCCCAGATATTGAGGAGGAGTTAAAATAACTTCAAAAAAGGAGTTATCCTGTACCTAAAATTTTTACTCCAATTTCAGAGTTAAATGAACTCCAAAAGGAGTAAAAACAACCCATGTAAGGAGTAAAAATAACCCCATTTCGGAGTTATTTTAACTCCAGACTGGGAGTAAAAACAACTCTTTTTCAGGAGTAAAAATGACCCCAAATTCGGAGTTAAATTATGAGTTGAAGTAACCCCCCAAAGGGATTATCCGGTACCTAAAATTTTAACTCCATTTTTGGAGTTATTATAACTCCCTAAAAATCACGGTGCGTATTCTCTATTTTCGAATTCCCATAATACACTCTGTTTGCCCCCACCCCGCTCCCCCGAACAAAGTTTTGTATAAAATTTGAACACAATGTACTAATGTGTTTCCGTTTGAAACGAATCAATTTGAAAACGCTCTTGAAAGTGATCAAAACGAAAACGCACACATTTGTAATAGTGTGGACGATAGAAAACGTATCGAAATGAAAACGGTGACCGAAAATATCACAGGCGCGTTTTCTGACGTTCGAGTGAGGACAGTAGAAAACGCATTAAAACGGTAGTGTGGACGAGAATCGATCGATGCGTTTCGAGGACAACGTGGTAGTGTGGACAGGGCCTTGGGGGCGAACAGAGTGTATTTGGTGGGATTCGAAAATGGTCATTTTCAGATAAATAAGGTACTAAGAACGGACCAGAAACTTGCACGTATAATAAATGCGTCAAGGAAGAAGGAAAAATAGCTATTTTTACTTCTTCCCTTCCCATGAGACCCCGCGCGCACCTCAACCTGATTCCCAATCTTCTCTCACTCTAAAAAACACTTAAATAGCGACCGGGTACGAGTCTGTAAATGAGTGGAGCAGTGCAGAAACGTTACCCAAAATATCAATTGACGTTTGAACATCAAAATAATTACAGTTTCAAAGATAATACATCACCACTTCACTACATTAAATTTACACAGTTTTAAATAAATTTAAATAAGTTAACAGAGACAACAGTGACCACAACGCTGCCCGACCTTGCTACTCTTAACCCTTTGAGTCCCAACAGTGACCAACATCAATTTTCTCCTAACGATATCCACACGATGTCAAGAGATTAGGTTATGAGAATTAATTAAATGATCACCAAAGAGAAAATGCTTTGATCTTTTCTCAAATTCTCTCAACTTATTCTTTAAAGAAATGTATAGAGATCAGTTTGGAGAATTTGCTTGTGGATATTGGGGCTTAAAGGGTTAAATCTAGACTGATACAGTCAACTCCCTTTATAGCAGACACTGTAGGGACCTTAAGTTAGTGTCCTCTGTAGCGAGAGTCCGTAATAGCGGGAGTTTATTTCAGTCAAATGTCTGTAATTTATTTTTGCCCGGAATTTATCTGCTGTCCGTATTATTGGGGTGTTCGTTATAGCGAGGTGTCCGCAAGGCGAGAGTTGACTGTATACACTAGGTCTATGACTCCCCTTAGCCTATGTCTACTAAGCAGTATTTTCCTGTGGTCATGTTCATAATGCTGTTCAAAGTAGTTCTAACATTTAGCTTTGCTGCATCACTCAGGTGGATGGCGATGAGTATAGCTCTCCTGAAGTGCTCGTTATTAACTCGTCAATTCTCTCATACACTCTATCATTATTTTAACTTCGGAATCCCTATTCGTCTCTGGACTCCTCCCCGCTGTCTGTGATGCCTCCTTCCTTCTCATTCTTTTCCGCTTTCTGTTGTTGCAGCCACATGTTAGCGTACACCCCACCGTCTGACACCAGCTCATCGTGTCTGCCGTTAAAAAGATAAACATCAAGAAGCCGCGTCTTTTCTACTCTCAGTCTTTTGCTTCGCTTAGCAAAATCATCACAAGAAGAGCCCCTACTTTCACTAATGGCCCCTTCACACAGAAATTTTTTTTTTGCAATTTCAGCGCCGCGATTGCATGGCGATTTTCCGTTCGGCTTTATGCAGTGGTTACAGCAGGGGCTAATACGGTGAAACAATCGCGAGAAAATCGCCGATATCTTGTATCGAAACACGAGCAGTTTCAAAGAAACGGCGATTTCAAGAACCCTACTCCAGTTTTCACGGGCGATTTGAAATCGCGTCTAAAACGCCGCCCGTGTAAACCATCTTTCAGTTCACCGAGCGTAAAATGATAAAAATAAAATGAGTAAAGGAGAGAGGTAAATGCCTTCAACCGAGTTCTCAATATTGGTCAAGATCACAAGGGAGAGGGACACCTCAAAGCATAAGCAACTCATTAGAGAGGCTTTAGCCAAGAGCTAGTAAAGGTTATCCAAAGTTGAAAAGTAAGATTTTGTTTTAAGATTTTCTCTTTCCTACAGCCTTCATGGCGGCGCTACTCTAGCTCCCTACCCACACACAGAAGGTAGTTAATCGCCTAATTTTATTTTCAGTAGCTCGACTTAACAAGTGTGAAATGGGAATGACTCAAAAGGGCCTATATCACGCTATTTGCTGTCTTTTTAAAAAGTCAAAACGTTCTTCGCATCACTTGAATTCCAAAAAATAATGGTCCAGTTTTGTTATTTAAGACTATATTTAAGCATTAAAACTGTTTCCTGTCGTGTCTTGCAAAGGATGGCAAGGATGGACATGGATTAAACTTGAAAAAGTCGGGCCAACTTTTTAAAGCTTTAATTCTATGTCTGTAACAATCACCGACAAGTTATTATGGTTAGCGCTCCCTGATGAAATTTGTTTGATACCTTCGTCATAACTCCACAAGAAAATTTTGTGTTTGGGTAAAGGCACAGAGTGATGATTTCAGCACTGAATTGACTTAAAACAAAAATATCTTCGTGGCATAGCCCCTTTAAATTATGGACTCCGGCTTTGCTCTTCAAAGTCACATGACATCAGTACAACAATGCCATGATCACCACTGGATCCCTGACTCGTCCCCAGTCGTCTTCACTCTTTCCATCACACCCTGCGCGCCACTAGGGAGAGGTTGTGAGAGACGACTGTCGACGAGTCATCCAGTTACTCAAAAGTCAACAAGTCAGTCATTTACCAGGTTCTAAGAGCAAGCAAAATCAAATTACCTTCCGCGTTCAATTATTTCGCCATCTTGGACGACCAGAATCTGATCCGCGTTTATAATTGTGGATAACCTACAATTGTTACAGAAAGAGGATTGTAAATGACTCTCCGACAATTGGCTCCTTGGAGTTCACACATCACCCTTTGCGATTAAAAATCTCGCACAACATTGTCAAGCAGGTCAGAGTTTAATAAATTAGAAAGCTATAGCTTGCTCGCACGTGTTTGCCAGTGCTTTTTATGCACCTGTACACACTTCCCGCACGAGGGCGGATAACCTTTATCCGACCTGTCCCGTACTTTTTCTTGCACACGAGGCATTATGTTTAAAAATATAGGATTTGTAGTAGTGGTCTCATCGCACTGAGGACTTGTAATCAATAATCAAGCGTGAACGAAGTAAAACTTCACTGCTACGTTATTTACCTGTGAGCGACGACAATGGTAGTTCTGTTGATACACATGTTGTTTAGTGAAGCTTGAATATTACGCTCAGTTTGCGTGTCCAGGGCAGAAGTGGCCTAAAGCGATAGAACAACAATAAGTCACTTAATACACGCATGGAAAAAACAGAGTTATGATACGTGGAAAAAAAATCTCTCCTTGAATGTCTAACCCAGTGTCGGTTTTATATACGGGGGTAGTTCATCCTTTTTTCTGAAATTTCTGAAGACTAAAGTTGTTTATAAAAAATCAGAACCAGCCGGCTCAACTGGTCACTTTGAACAGTTCATTGGGCTTTTTTAAAAAGGTTTTTCTCAAAACCAATCAATGTGCATACTATTTAACAGTTGTTCCTCGAGCCCGAATGGACCATTGACTCAGACGCCATGAGGGCGAGAGGAATAATTATTTTAGTAATATCCAACTAGTTGGTCAAAAATATCGAGACAAAACAACTTTAGGTAGCAAAACGCGATTCAGCCCCCATGGTTTTGGTTTTACAGATTTAGCTAAAAATTTGGTAGTGACAAAAATAAGTTATTGACTGTTCAAAGTTTTATCACTTATCATCTTGCAACAAGCAGAGGGCTTAACCTCCGTCAATAAAGATGACCGTGTCAACTCTTCTGTGAAGTTTTCCTACTGCGTCTACTTTCTACTTAGAATACGCGAAAAATTGAAGTCAAATCTCGTCGTCTTAGTCGTTCATTACCTCATCTAAGAGAACAAGCGGCGGATTCTTCAACAAAGTTCTCGCTATTGCCACTCGCTGCTTCTCGCCTCCACTCAGCTTCAAACCACGTTCACCAACGACCGTTTCATATCCTGGGACAGGAGAGATGAAATAAGAAATATTCATACACGGATAACCGTACTTCCTCAAATACGCAACCTTATCCAAATAAGCGCCCCTATTCCTTCCCCTCACGCTCATATTTTAGAGACCTTTAGATTCGAGCACGAGAACGACTACGACTAGGAGATGTGATTTTAAGTCTTTTGCGTGTTCTCAAAAAATACAAACTCCGGTATCGTATTTTTGTCCACCAAAAAAGTTGTCACTGTTGTCGTTTTTGAAGAAGGTTAAGCCCTCTCTGATCCCAAAGTGATAAATCTTCTAACATTTCATTACTTGTTCTCGCCACTACGACATTCTCGTAAAAATTCGTAGTAGCATGGACAGATTAATGGACAGTAGCATGACGACGGCTACCACTTTTTCCCGCCCAAATGATGCTGGCTCACGCGCGAGCACTACTTAGTATTGAGAAAATCTCGTACTCGAAGTCGTCCTCGTCTTAGAATCTAAAGCTCTCAATTCACATTATTTAACGGGAAGACCTTAGATAACAATGACTTCAAGCAGGTTGGGGTCCAGCTGTTTTAGTGAAAACAAGGGTTTGGGTGGGTTGTTCAGTCTTGCGGGCTCATAAAACCTTGTCTGGGTCATTGCCATTAAAGAATTTTCCATTTAATGGGACTAAATGCTGTTTAGGCAAGTTTAACCTTAAGACAAGACAAGGCAACGCAGGCAGGTTCTGTGCGGGGTTGCCGCTGAGACTTCAGGGCTGTTATCTTAAGCAATGCTTGCTTTGTAAGGCTGATCGTTGCAGACCATTTTGCATTCGAGGATCTCAGCAGCTGACAGATTTCCATCACGCCATGAGTGCTTTCGAATAAATCCTCTAAAAAGGTAGTTGGCAAATATCGGTGCAGGTTTACTTAGAAGAGCCTAAAATTCAGACAATGTTGGTGACAATAGGGGCCTTCCGACACCCCTCGGGCGCCCAACTTCCCAACCATACGACGCCTCGCTCCTCCGCAGAGGTTCCCGCTGGGTATCCCAAAAATAGGCCAAAAAAAAAAAAAATAGAAATCGCGCGGGGATCTCTTTCCCCTTTCCATCATGCGCCGCTCGCTTTCTTGTTTCTTTTTCCTTCCTACGACACAAAAGGGAGCTTAAGCAACGACGACGCTCTTTTGTACATTTCTTAGCCGTCGTTGCACGACTACAACGTGAAAGTGCCTAATTTCACGTTTTGTCGAGGACGGGAACACAAGGCAACAACTTTCTTTTTCTTTTCTTGAACTCTGATACAGTCCTTTAGAATTCAACTCCAGAAAAACTTGGCAACATTTGACGAATTACACGAGATGGAATAAGCGCGATAAAGTTTGAGGCAGCGCGAATTCACTTTTTAAGCGACGTTTGCGTAGCCGTCGTCGTCATTGTTGCTTAAGCTCCCCAAAAAGTCCTCTGCAGAGGAAAGAGATACGACAAGGTTATTTCAAAATTTGAGAAATACAGCAAAAGCAGAATTACATTAAACACTGCTCCCGAGGGAAACAGTTAATCTCAATGTTTCCAGAGGCCGTAAAGTGACTTGTTATTGAGCTGAAAATTCATTAAACCTCGCTGTAACGGCGGTTGTCGGTCAACATTCGCGGGTAACAGCGCACTGTTACCCTCTGGGTGATTTTGGCGGGAAACAGTTTCATTGTTAGATGTCATGTGACCTCGAAGTAACCAACGAGAGCGCGCGCTGTTGGGAAAACATTTCCAGCTATATAACACGTGCTCTTACCGTTCGGGAAGGTCAGAATTCTAGAATGCATGTCTGCAGCCGAGGCAGCTTCCTCCACGTCACTATCTGCAGCACCTATCCTGCCATACCGGATGTTATACCTAACATGAATAACCACAGCTACCATTAATATTATGGAGTGGAAATATTAGCCGGATAATATCAGAAGCAGGGTTATACGCTTCTGATAATATACATGCCGTCAATGTTAGTGGAGGAGACTGGTTATGAAAGGCAGAATGCATCACGTATAAAAACAGCAGTGCTGCAATCTATGTTGGAATCTCCATGACGGTGTAAAATACATTGGCGTTCCTTTAAAGGGGCCGTAGTTAGTATGCAAAACAGTCCGTATTTTTGCGTACGTCAAGAACACACTAGCGGTCGAGCGAAAGGTCTCGAGCGAGGGAGAAAAGGAAGAATGAGACTTGCGGGAGACGCGTAGAGCGCGTGAGCCTCGCTCGCTTCGCGCCTTTAATGAATTACCTTATATCGTTGTTAAACAGAACTGTGTCCTGGGGAACCACGCCTATCGTCTTGCGCAGAGACTTCTGGGCAACCTAGTCCAACGCAAGATATTCATTAAAAACATGCAATTGAACGGAGCTAACAACTAAGGGCGTCTTCAGTGTTATCGTTACTGAAGAAGGTTAAACCCTCTCCCGATCGCAAAATGATAAATTTCTAACATTTGATAACTTGTTTCCGTCTGTACGACATTAGAGAGCTTAATATTTGAGGACGAGAACGAGATTTTATAACTTAAAGTTTTTTGCGCGTGTTCTAAAAAAAAAAAAAAGACACCCCGGAAAGCTTCATTTTACGTTTTTCACCAAAAAAGTTAGTACGGTTATTTATAGTGAAGGAGGTTAAGCCCTCTTCCGATAGCAAACTTATAAAACTTCTTACATTTGATAACTTTCTCTCGCCACTACGACATTCTCGCTGAATCCTTAGTAGAATAACAACGGCTATCCTGTTTTCCCGCCAAAATGACGCTGGTTCACGCGCGCGCAATACTTAGTATTGAGAAAATCTCGTACTCGTTGTGATCCACGTCCTCAAATCTAAAGCTCTCTATATATCACGAGTAAAAGGAGTAAGAAGGGTTGCCGAGTTACCTTTGCTATGTTTTGTCCATCAATGGAAATGACGCCAGAGTCCAGATCATAGAATCTGTACAGCAACCTGATGATGGTGCTTTTTCCGCTTCCCGAAGGACCAACTAGTGCCACAGTCTGACCAGGATACACAGTGAAACACAAGTCTTTTAGAATCTGTTTTCTGTGAAATACGGTGTTCAATTAACAGTTACCAAATAAAAGAAAAAATAACGCTCGATAGGTTAGCTACTGTTGTCAACTTTACTATGTTACTTCACAAAAATAAATGTTATACATTTGAACTACAAAACGAACAACATGTACAAACTTTATGGCGATTTACCTTATTCTGAATTAATTTCGCGATTTTTAGGGAAAAGTAGAATTGGAGTGTATTAAATTTCGCGATTTTAAAGGTATCTTTGACCTCAAAACAGTAATAAATAATTTTATTGCAAACAACAGCAAACAAAGACAATTACAAACAAAACAGGCTAAACATAACAAAGCAAGGGCTAAATAGGTGTCGCAAATAGTGAGACAGTAAAATATTACATGTAACACTACATTCTGGCAGACATCATATGGAGGTCCTTATTCTGTCCATGTTATACTTCTTTTATTGATATGTATAAGATTTTAATCTTCGCGAGGATTAGATTTCAATTTAACACTCGCGAAATTAAGTGAGAATAAGGTACAAGGAGTTTGGTAATTTTTCAGTGCATGCAGGGTGGATGATGACAAAAAAAGTTTTGCTGGAAATCAGTTTCATTCAGAGACAATCAAACAAACTTACTCCGGGTTATATGAAAAGTTGACATGCTGAAACTCTATCAGACCATTGGTGACTCTGATATCTGGAGCATGGGGCTCATCTATCACCTGAAACGAAATATTTATAGATTGCAAACAGGAACAACAACAAAAAGACCAAAAATGGGTATTTATTCTAAAGCTAGCTTTGCCAGTTGGAAAAATGAAGCAAATCTTTCTTTTTCATTTGACAAAGCTAGCTCGGTCAAGGTGATTCGATCTTGGCATGCTGTATGTACATATCTGTTTTCGCATTGGCTAAGAGCCTACAGGTAATTTTGGAAATCAGCACAACCTCATGATTACTTTCGTTCTCTGCCAGCAGATAACAGACCAATCTGTAGGTTGCGTGAGCAATGCATGATTTCCAAAGCTATGTCAATTCAGTTCTTTGCGACGGTGTTGTTATTTTCTTCAAAACAATGTATAATAAAACAATTATTAGATTCGGTTTTTGTCATATCCTAAATAATCAAGATCTCAGGCTTCAGCTTTTGGCTGATAACACTTACCTCGACCTTGATTATTCTGGATATCACAAAAACCTCATCCACTAATAACATTTAAATTTAGGGGCCATTACTAAGAAGTCAATAATAGCTGATGGCTCACTAACACAGACACATTATTCAGAAAAGGCCTTTGCTTGTAACTGTTTTCTTAATTTTATACCCATTAACATGAAAAATAACCATTCAAAAAAGTCAAAAATTGACCAAGGGATAAAGCTGAAACCTACCTTACCAGTAGGAAAATTATCTGTAATATAAATGATTACATTATGATATTATTTTTCACCTACACACCTGTCTTTTCTGCTGAAACAAGTCAAACATGTTTTCCATGTCAATGAAAGACTGTTGAATCATCCTAAAACAAGGTGAAAGAAATAAGTATTCTTAGTAACAAATGTTAAGCCAGTTCTCTCGTCTTGATACAACCCAAATAAAGCTCCATCCGCCGTACCGGTTGACTTGAACACAATGCTAAAAGGGGTATGTCACGAGGATATTGGTGTTTTAGGTCAATTCTGTGCTGAAGTCATTATTATAAGTGCCTTTACACATACGCAAAATTCTCCTGTAGAGTTAAGAGGAAGATATCAATGAATCAAATTTCACAAGAGAGCATTAAGCACAGTATTTTTTGGTTATTTTTTAAGGCGCAGTATTAAAACCTGAAAAAATTAGCACAGCGTTTTAATCCGTGTCCATCCTTGCCACCTGTAGCAACAGACGACAGGAAACAGTTTCAATGCCAAATTATAGTTTTAAATAACAAAACTGGACCATTCTTTTTGGAATTCAATTGATGCGAAGACAAGTACTTTTAGCCTTTTAAAAAGATAGCAAATTGCCCAAGACAGTCCCTTGGAACTAGTATTCTTTTTAAAAGCCTCTACATCCTAAAATGATGCATGAATGACTCTTAAAAATCTCTCTTATTCCAATTTTTGTCGACACATCCCAAGCTCTTACCTGTAGTAAGTTCCAAAGTAGTTAAGGGGTATGTACAGCTGTGTGGTGTATGTCACAAACAGAACAAAATCTCCAACCTGCAGAAAAACAGTGCATAGAAAAACTCATGGTGCTCTGGAACAAGATATCCATTGGTTTGGGTTTAGAACCAACACATCTCAGAAAATTCTAGTTCAGTTACAAAGTTTGGCTTTAGAGACCCCCACTGTGGAATTTCTCGCAAATGAACTGAAAAGATTAGCCTGTGAGCAAGCTCTCCGGGGCACTCTGGTGGTGGGGTGGGAAAAGGAAGGAGAGCTTGCAACTACATCTCTGGAATTTGAATTCCACCTCCAATTCTCCTGTGGCTCCCCGTCGACTGACCTGACATGACCCGGGAAGTGGAAACGATTGCAAATGTAAACAAACATTGAAAAACATGTGCCAAGGGTAATGATGTCATTACTAATGTCATCTTCGCCAATCAGCATTTCGCATCGACGTTTTTGACGTAGCTATCCAAATTCCAGAGACATAATTGCAAGCTCTCCTTCCTTTTCCTGCCCCGTTGCCGAGCTTGCTCGCTATCTCCCTCATACAGTAAAAAAGATAAGTTACATTTGGGGAAGAGAGGGTCGAGCTAAAGAATTTACAGTAATTTAGCAGCAAGAGCACAGATCTGAATAACACTGGAAGAGTGCAAAGCCACAGTGGAAAGTAACACATAATCTACAGTAAATTTGAGGGGCAACCATAGTTCACAGAAATAAGACGCAAAACGGCTGGCTACATTGTTGTAAGGTTAACCACTTGTTTAAATTACAAATAGCCATCACAACTTGTGACACTCCTCCTTTAACCAACTTTTGAACACCTTATTGGTAAAAACACGTCATGGAGTCATTCACGATCACATTATTTTACACTACTTTCCGCAACAATGCTTTGAAAAATGACTGCCCTGTATGACTTGCAATTGCATCTGAGGTACTCATGCACAAAAATGTTTTTAAGCAAGGAAGTGAATTTCAAGGATTTTTCAAGACCTTTTTAAAGAAATCAAGTACTTTTCAAAAACTTTAACCAAATTCAAGGACTTTTCAAGACAAATACTAAAAATTCAAGACCTTTTCAAGATTGTACGAACCATGAAAGGTAGGGCCAGATATCCTCTAACTAAATCATCAACTATGACAAGTAAGAAATGGCCTTCATAAAGCAAAATGAGAGAGCTTCTTGCCCAAAGGACAAGCTGGAATTCAAATATTATTGTTTTTTCGAGCCCTGACACATGGCTGGAATCTTATTGCCAGTACTTACCCCTAGACTTCCATCAACAACTAGCTTGCCACAATAGAGTGTTCCAGCCAAAAGACCAGCAGTAATTACAGTGTTCTGAGCAGTGTTCAGCAGTGCAAGAGATGCAAAGGTCTCCCACTCACAATTCTGAAAGAAAAGTGAAAATCAAAGAATCCAACAAGATAAGTAAAAGCATTGTAATGTAAAATCATAAGGTGTGGTTCTCATATGCTGCAGATCTACTTGCAACATGGAAACTGTTCTGCGATATGGCAACATGTGCTGCTAGGAACAAGACACCTAGCAAACCTAAGCCGGCATGCCCGCGAAGTTGAACACAAGTCATCATCACAGGCATGCCGGCTATAAAGACTGTCATGACCTCAGTTGCTGGCGACTCCTGTTCTTATATCGCCTCAGTACCCCAGGTAGCAGGTAGATCAGCGGCATATGAGAACCATTTAAGGTAAACAAGCACAGTATTATTGTGTACTCAACTTAAAAATTAGCCTTTTGCATTTTTACTTACTGCACATTTCTTTCACCATAAATAATATTATTGCTACAGAGCCCAATATAGATCATCACAATGAGTACTGTCATCTAAAAACCAAATTTAATTTTTTGGTTTCAAGTCAACCATATTAAAAACAAACTAAATAATCCTGTGTTAACAACTGGAGCTCCGCTTAGTGGAGGTGGGTGCCCTGGATGTCCACGGGCTTCCACTTTTGACAAAGCCAGCCAATAGACAGAGTTACACCCCAATGGTTGGTAAACCTGCACCTTCTAACTATGAGCCCCCACACCAATGGAACCAGGCACCTGTCACACTGATTTGTCAGTGGAAAAATAAAAGGTGGGAAGAGGGATGGGAGTAAATCCAAAAGCTAAACAAAGCCAGTAGCGGCCAAGAAACGCCGTACAAAGCATGTGGAGCTGCAAGCAAGGCCGACCATGCTTGAGCCTATGCACTGACAGCTGACCGACAGTAAGCGAGGGCCTCCTTGTTGTTAACTGCATTACATTTCATTTAGTGAGTACAGCCCATGACAAGCTGAAAACACAATAATAAACTGCTGATTCTCATCTTCCTCTCCTCTAAACACTGATTGAATACACCTTACAAGCCCTGCTAGTCATCGAATCTTTCAAAAGGCAAAATTGAGGAAATTAAAAAGAAGGAAAGGGCATGTGGAAGTAAAAAGGCACACACACAACTCTATACCTGATAGTCCTTAATTGCATCATCAAGTCTCTCCACTTCAAAGTCCTCTCCACTGTAATACTTCACCTGAAAAAGAATGGCCAACCCTTTCACACCTAATTGTGGCTAAAGTAACCAATCCCCCGCCCCCGCCCCCATCCAAAGGAAAAAGTCCAAATTTGTTAAAGTTAGATTCCAAGATTTAAATATTAAATACTATGCAAAGTTCTGCCCATGAGGTTTCATTTGAATGGAAACATCATAGGCTATTTTCCACAGACTCAAAAGATAAAGTCAGGGCTCTGATCTAGCCATGCCTGGTGGCCCCTAATACCTTAACTTTGTGCGTGGGCAACTAGTAAAAAAATCTTACTTTTCATAAAAATCATGGGTAGCCTGGATTTGACAGATTCAGAGCACTGGGCTCCCTTTGGCATATTTTAAAAGCCAAAAACCCTTCACAAAAGTAATAACATCAACTACTGATCACCATAATCACAAACACAAGCCTACAATGTAACATGTTAGCAAAGTTTTTGCTGATGTAGAACACAAAAAGGCAACTTGCAAAAAAAAAAAAAATTCGATTGAGTGCTTACAGTTTCAAAGTTCAGCAAAGAATCTACAGCTTTAGCCTTGGCACGGTTATCTTTCTCGTTCATCTCCCGCCGGTACTTTGTTCGCCATTCAGTGATCGACACAGTGGCAACTGAGAGAACATAACAAAATTAATAAATGAAGTGTTTTAAGACAATGCCCTGATATCAATTATGGCATTAAAATGTAGCATCACAAGGAGTTTTTAACCATTTAACTGCCAAAGGTAACCAAAGTCCAAGTTTGACAAAAAACTTCTCAATTTCATTTTGTAAAAATGCCCAAAAACAAGTAACACTATGTGAAAGTACTGCTGAGGTGGTTTTACTTTTCTGGCCATATCGTAGATGTTTGTCTACAGGCGTAAACGATAAACCACCTCAGGACACTTCATCATTCACTCTGGCGGTGAACAAGTTAGAATGTTAAGTACGACAGTCCACTTTTTAGATGGTATACTATTCACCATTTTCACATTGACCACAATGCACCTTGTTTACCCCCCAAAATTTTGCATAACTGTTGCCTTTGATTTCTCTTGCAATGACTGAAATACCCAAGAGAAACTGGAAACAATGTTTATGCAATTTTTTTTTTCGGGGGCGGGGGGGGGGAGGGGGGTTAACAAGGTGCAATATGGTTTAAGTGAAAATGGTGAATAGTACACCCTTAGAAACAAAAAAAAAAATAAAATTTTAAGTGATTCTTTCTCTTTTATCATCAAAACATTTCATGAATATTTATGTTATGCCCATCACAGCAAAGTTCAGGACACGTGAGCTAGCCACAAACCACAATGTTGTTGCTTGCCGGCTTAGTTTTCTCACGCTTAATTGGCTTTCTCCTTGCAACAAAATAACGATTGCAGAAATACTTCCAGTGTTCATGGTTTTCTGGGTTCCACAGTTACATTTATATTAATTGATTCATTGATCTAATTGCACAATCTACACAATTTTAAAATGAGAAAAAGGAGTTAAATGATTGACTCTAGAATGGAATATTGAGTTTTGTACTCATTTATTTTTAATACTGCAAATACTAATCAGTCTTACCTATGTAAAGAAACATGGTTAAGAAGACAAGTAATCCAAACCAGCCATTGAAAGCAACGATGAAGTAGACAATAGCCACTCCAATGTCAACAAAGGTAGGGACAATATTAAACAAAAGGTAGCTAAAAATACAAAAGAGTCAAAGAACAGTCATGCACGTTTTGGAAAACAACATAAAGTTCTCTCTGCTCAATCAATAAATTCCTGCTACAGTAAATATAAGGCCTTTCCAAGATGCTTCAAACCATAGACATGATTGGTTGACTTGTTCCTGAAACTTTCCAATTAAATCCACTTGAAATTTTATTATAGAATGAGGCAGATGCAATTATTATAATTGAAAAGTAGAACTGGTCCAAGTACATCACCTTTTGAGAGATATCATCAGGGACATCATAATATACAGTGTTCTCACCAGGATTTTGCATTGGGGAGTCCCAGGGCCCCCTCTGAGGAGAAATAGGGGCCCTGTAAGAACATTAGGGAGCCTGCACTCCAAAAAATCTGTTACTTGAAGTACTTACCTGATCCAATATGGTGGATGGGGTGTTTATGATTCGATAACCATGCATGCACCAATCTTCGCAATGTACGTGGTGACAATGAAAGTTAAGGAAATAAAATTAAAGACTTTGAATCTTTTGATATCATGTTTTTTATTCATTGGACCAAGCAAAATGATGGGTTGTTGCATTGACCATTAAAACTACGTAACTGTAGATTTTCTAACGTCTGTTTGACTCGTAGCACACCCCTACGCCCTAACGAGCGCATCTTCTTGGCTTTTTATGCGCCATCTCAGATTTTCTTGCAGGAATCCCACTAGGCTGCAGCCTGGTGAGAACACTGAATCTACAATTGTTTTTAAATTAAATTTTTAAATTAATAAATTGACTCAACAAATTTATTTGACAAATTTAACCATTAATCCTTTATTACTGATATACCATACTTTCAAATATAGCAGCTTTACTTTGACCAGACTAGAAGAATTAAGCCAAAAAAGTTGGTAACTTACTTCAGTAGGTTGTAAATGCTGTTGGCACCTCTGTCCACCATTCTGATCACTTCTCCAGTTTTACGGTTCAAATGCCAGCTAAGTGACAGGCTGAAAATATTGAAGTCAAAGCGAGCAATCCTTCAATAAGGTTAGGAAAAGCTCACAAAGATAAATCCTTCGAGATGCAAAATTTATTTTGGCCAAATTTCAATTAAATATTTAAATTGTAATGCTAGTTCTTAGAAAATCAATGTATACTTGATAATCAAAGGGTGCATTCTCTTGGAATGATCCAGACCAACACTACTGATCCAGGATCACTCCGATCATCGTAAATCAAAGTAAATACCACAAAAGTCATCTGGACACAGATTCAGCGGGACCTTTGATGCAACATGACCTGAGTGATCTGGGATCATAAATCCTGATCTGGATCATTGAAAATCTCACAAAGATTAACACTTTGAGATAAAAACACTTACTTTTACCAAATTTAATTTTTGTAAATCTGTTTCTTATATACGTTGTGGTTCAATTTTATCCTTGGTTTAAATTTTATTTCCCTTTGTTTTAAACTCATTATCATACATTACCATACCAGAAAACAAAAGGAAATAAAATTTAAACTAAGAATAAATTTGAACCACAACATCTATAATTATTACTCATGCTATTTGCAAACTTTTTCAAAAAGCTAAAATGCATCTACATTGAATACATATAATATACATGTATTATATTTTATATAACTTTATCATCATCATCATCATCTTTGAGAGTTATTTTTCTGTTTCCCCTGACAAGAGCTGGCCTTAACCCAATTTTCATCGTTCCTTGACTTCTCCTGTGAGGGGAATGCCTTTATTAAACAAACGCAAATGGTAGATGCCAACAGAGTGCCAAGTGTCTTGACAAACAGAAATTTGGAAAATTGTTCTTTTAAAAAAATTTAAAGTCAACTTTCAACAAAATAATAGCTAAAGCAAAGGGAAATAGGTTTGAAAGCCTCAAGCCAGCTCAAAAATTATTCATTAATATTATGCTAAAACTGTGTACATTTTTTCATTCAAACTTTATGACAAGACCTATACCTGTGGAGATGTGCAAAAAGCCGGACTTGAAGAGTTCTACTGGTAAACTGTTGGATCTTTATCCACAGGAAAGCCTTTATGTTGTTCAGTAACCCAATCCCTCCAGTGCCACCACCCTGTAAAAACCTTAGTGCCACATAAATCAGAATCAGGTGCCAGGGATCAGAGAGTGCAATGCTTCCTGGTGTAAGGCGGTTAACTGAAATGACAGAAAACAGGAAACGTTCAGAGATAATTAAGGTCAAGTCTTATTAACTTAATCCTTCCTTTACCAGACAGTCCCATCAATAAACCATAACACAATAGTTAACAATTCAGCAGAATTTTATTACAAAGTTTCCTGTTGAGCAAATACTCTAAATGTAATTTTTGATTCCCTAACTATCCCACCCAAGGGTGGAATCAATAGGAGATGGTGCTATTTGCTACTCTCAAGTTTGTTTACTTGTCATCTCCTTTCTAGCTCCAAAAAATCACAATTCAGCAGAATGTGACTGCAAAGTTTCCTAGTGAGTCAGTATTTTAAAGGTAATATTTCAGCCCCTACTCATCCCACCCAAGGGTGGGGTCAGCAGGGGCTGGTGGTATTTGCTACTCTCATGTTTGTTACCATCAATCTCCACACTTGGCTTCTGCTTTCTAGCTCCACTTAAATGAATTCAAAATTTCACGTTATTAACTCATTCGTCCCTGAGCCGCCTGTAACCCCCTGTGTAGATCCATGTCCCTTCTACCGCTTCTGACATCACCAGTTTTAATGGTCAAGGACAACTTTGTCCACTAACGTGTGCAGAGTGAAGAGATCTTTCAATCCATACCAGAATGAGTACAATTCAGTCAAGAACACCGGAGAAAACGGCAAAAAACATGTAACATTGACCTAAAAATTGCAATGAAAATCTTGTTCCACAACCCACCTACCTTTTCTTTCACCTAATCCTAAGATCCTAAAAGCTTTCCTAAAAACTTTTCCCACCAAAATAAAGCCTACTAAAAGCCCAACAAAAGGAAACAAAAATGAGGCAAGAAAAGCGAAAAAAGAGGGGAGGTATCTCCAAATTTTGCTTTCTGCACACAACCAAACTTCGCAAGCTGGTATTTTGCAACTGGATCAGAAGGCCATGAAGTGTACAACCTGCAAACGGCTTTGTGGTAAGTTTTAGCTCTTAACAGCATGACAGTGACCAGAAAACCAATCGACAAGCTTTAAGAGGAGTTTTTCGGCAAAATCTCCAGCGGGTGATTGGGTTAAAAATAAACTAGAAATACACTACCACAAAATTCTCACGAAGCTTTAAAGGATCAGCAGTGATAATAAAGGGAAACAAGCAAAGGGGAAAAAAGTGATCAAAAAACAAAAAAAAAATTCCAAATTTTAAAAGTATGGCTTTGCCGGGATTTGAACTTGCTCCCTCTGAATTTGCTATCAGTGAAAATTGATCCTTGACCACTCCTCCACACATCTGACGTCATAACTGGATGACGTCAACTGCGGACACCCAAGAGAACTATAGAAATATTTGCATCTCGAGTTTCTGCCTCACTGTGCGATCAACACGCGAGGCGAGCCCTGCGTGTGCAACAAATTTATAAACCTAACGAGGCAAGACACCAAACTTTGCTCAGAATAAAATCATTAGACAATAAGTAATAATGGAACTCACCTATTATTTTGTACATATAAGGGACAAGAACATTAACAGCACGTCCTGCCCCCAGGAGAAGAAAGCATACAACCACCTTTACTTGAAGGCCCCTACAAAAACAAACAAGGGAAAGACTTGACCGTGTGGTTTTCAGAATACTGACACAAAAATCTCTTCGCCCATCTTCTCCCTGGGTAAAAAATATATTATTTAACAACAAAATATCAATTCAAGAGGCCCTAGTCATCAAGAAATATTATTGTAACAAATTACAGCTGAATAACGTTGGGTGGCCCCAGTTGAATTGATTGTGCTGTTCATTAATGAAAAACAAGCTTTCAAATGTGGCTAACTATTATTATTATACAGTGTAAATCATCATCATTATTATTATCGTGGAATTATTGTAATCCTTGGCTTGGTTGTTTAGTCTCAGAAGCACTGAGTCCAAACCATGGACCTTGAGTACCAAAGAGTTTACTTGATTGACAGGACCTTTCTGACGATGTGGACTGTTTGTTCCCAGAAGAGTGATTTTTTGGGGCTTGCTGATGCCAGTTGTTCCTGGAATTGTGTCAACGTACTTTTCCAGTCCCTTCTTAATGACCCCAAGCGCCCTAATGACAACTGGTATTGTCTCTGTTTCCATTTTCCACATTCTGGCAGTTTCAAGCTCTAAGTCTTTATACTAAGAGAGCTCCTCGACTACCTTAATGGATGTATTATTATTATGTGTAACGTATTATTATTATTATCATTATTATTATTATTACCTGTCTGCAGGCCATAAGAAGGGCCACAACATCTTTGTTTTGTGCCAGATACCTTTAAAGGCTGACTGTCCACGGCGGTCAGTTGCCTTAAAGAATAAGATCAGCAACTGGTGAGTGTTGCAGAACATAAAAATACTGTGTATCTCTACTCCCAGACCTTTTAAAAATTACAATAAAATAACTAAGACATGCCGTGCTTGGTATACTCAGGTTGGCTCAGGGCTGTCATTAAAGTTTCAAATAGCCGGTCTCTTAGGAAAAGCAATCGGTCATTTATCCTACAAATTCTCCAGTGTTTGTAATGTTTGACTTATTTAGAAACTTTAAGTAGCCGGCTGATTTAACTGCAGTAGCCTGCCAAAAAAGCCGGTTACCAGCAACTAATGGTTCTCAAAGGTCAGTACACACCAGGCGACAAGTTGCAGAGACAGATCACTCGGTGTGTACAGGTCTGGTGACTAGTTGCAGCAACATGTTGTGGTGACACATCACAGCGACAAATCGCTTCGTGTGTACTGAAGAAATAAATTTGTGAAAATCTTTGTCTCTGCAACAGAATTTTGTCACTGCAAAAAGTCACACAAATTATGTCTGATTTGAGTTTTTGCAACATGTTACTGTGAAAAAATTCTGTTGCAGAGACAAAGATTTTCACAAAAATTCTCTAGTACACAAATGAAGCAATTTGTTGCCGTGACATGTTGCTTCAACTTGTTGCCTGGTGTGTACCGACCTTAAGTCTTTCAGCTACCTATTTGCAATAGGTTGAATATTTGCCATGGTATATTTTACTGTATTGGTTTCTCGCATGAAGAGAGAATGAAGTAGAATACACAGAAAGAATTTTCCCTACCGCAGATCCTTCCAGAAATGTTGGTTCTTCTGTGACTGATACTTGTGATATGGGTGGACGATAAAGCCCTGGTCCCAACATTCCAAACAGAAAGATCAGAGCCATGATGGTATAACGTGACACAAACAAACCAAATTCTGCTTCGTGGATCCTTGTATTCCGGCCAAACCACCAGTTAGGATTGTGCCACGAGATGAAGGACAAGTTCTCCTTTACAAATGCCAGAGTCCAGAACATGAGCATTCCAAGGGAATGCCTGCTAATGTGAGCCTTAAAATACAGTGCACACTCCGTGCGCAGAGCAAAAAATGCTAACATCCAAGTAATGAACATGCTAGTGTCATTAACAATGACATATCCTTGTATTCTGTCAGGCGCAATGGTAGCCTTGGTTATGATATCAATAACAGGAATAAACAAAAGGATGATGTGTAAGAACTGGTGAAATGTGAACAAAAATGATGTGCGATTGTCTCCATGGATTAAATAGGAGGGGTTTGCAATAAACTGCACGGAAGGGTCTTCAAAGTCACAATGTCCATCAAGACGCTTACAATTCAATACGGAGTTACCTGTCTTGAATTCTTCTCTTACAATTTCCTGAACAGATGGCGATTCCTCATCAGATAACAAAGTATGTCGATTACTTTCGGCACGGATCTTTCTTTTTTTCCACAGTTGAAGCAGAAATAGAAAGAAGATAAAGAAGAGAAGAACGGCAGGGGGAACAGTGCCCATAATGCATCTTGGCAAGCCAGAATCCGTGGATGTATGACTTGTTAAGGTTTCATTAAAATCACAATAATGAGAACAAATCATGGTGATAGCTGATGGTTGTAAATTTACTCTATCCTGTGAAAAAAAACAACAAGGTATATTTTAGTAACAAATTAAAGCAATGAAACTTCCATCTACTAAATTAATCTTGATCACCAATGATGAAGATGAAAGCATGACACAGTGATAACAAGCAACAAAAAAGAACCCTTTCTTGATTATTGATTGTACACCATGGCAATTGCATCTTGGGAATTTTCTAGTGGCTTAAATGCAAAACAAGGGTCGATGTAAACCACTCTTCTCCTATCCCCCCAACCCTACGACAAGGTGTGGATTAGGGGGAAATGAAGGGTATTTGGGAGAAAATACATCTTCCAGAGGATGGGCCAGGAGATTGAGAAATTCTTATGTTTATTATTACACCTGCAGATCTATGGGCTGTACTGCAAGTTGCAGATCAGACATTTAGATTTAGATTTACTCAGGGTAGGGTATTGGGTGCTGTTTCCTTATGTTATGAACTTTACAGTGACAAAAGTAATAACTTGCTTTCACTTAAATCTCAAAATAGAAAAGGGTTGCATAACACTATTGTCTTCAAAACAACCCTTAAGTGCAGATCCAAGTTCCCATGATGCACTGCAAATGACAGTTAGCACAGTGCAATGCAGTAACATTAGAGAGTTCTGAAACTTCTCATTCTGCAATTGAAAGTTTTGGCTCTTGAGGAGATTAAATAAGATTCAGAGATCATTCCAGAAGAAAATGTTACAAAAGCCCACTCCATCTCCCACAACTGCCATCTTGAAAGAAATTTAAAAACTAAGGGAGAAGGGGTGGATCAACCTCTCCCTCTGTCAGTTTCAACATCCATAATGGAGAGGAGAGTTGGTCACAACAATAGAATCATCACTCTTGGACTGCGAAGTAAAATACGCCTGCTTTGCAAGCTCGCATAAACAACGATACTCAACTGGACTTGTGCCTCGCTCTCACCTGATTTGAAATTACTCGCCCTATAACTCCCTGACTTGTACTAAATTGAGTCCTTTTACCATTTCTAATTATATGTCTGTCCTAGGTATGTACACATTTTTTTAATGATGATGGGACTCAAATTGGCACCCGTTCTGAAAAAAATTTTTTGATACCCCGTTCTAGAAAAATTTTTATACCCGCCTATTAAGAAAAAAAATGGGCCAATTTTTTATACTCCGTTCTAGAAAACAAGAGTACAACAGTTTGCTTGTTAACGCCATTTTTTTAAAAGCAATCTGTCCTTGAATAATTTCAAATGGCGTCTCCCGTTCTAAAAACGCCTTCCTTCCTAAATTTTCTTCAAAATCACCACTGATGAGAGCACATACCCGCATATAATTATAACCCCGGGGTCTGTCCTAGGTATGTACACATTTATAATGATGATGCAGCATATTTCTGAAAGAACCTTTTTTGGAGAAAAATCCGCCATTAAGAAAAAAAAATGGATTCCAAAGAAAAAATAGTTTTGTTGCATTTTTACTAATCCGTCTCTTAATTCCTTATTTTCGAACCGACCACTGATGAGAGCACCAGAGCATATAATTATAACAGGCTTGCAAAGCAGCATTGAAGATTTAAATAATTATTTATCTGAATGAAAAAGATGTATCCACGAGCTCAGTAAATACTATGTGTAGTTTCATTGCACTTCGCAAAACCACAGCCTTGAAGTGTTAAGGAAACATTGGAAGAATTAGATTCGCGATTACATAGACAGCTGTTTTGGCGCTTCTTTTGCAAGGTGAAGGCCTCCAGCATGCTGCATTGGAGTGATTGGTTTCCTACAAATTACCTTCAATTCTGCGTAAAACGCTAGTTTTGTCTTCACAGGTAAGCAGTAAACTGGAAAGTTGATACTAAAACCATAACTTCTCGAATTCTTTCATTTTCTGCTAGATAGCCCAACGAGAAAGCTTACCTTTCAGCAAGACGGGTAGCCACCAATGTACTCCACGGACAAAAACTGCAGGCTCATGTTCAAGTAACCGCGTAGGACTGGTTTCGTCGGAGAACGTCGGTGCACAGACAGATAAGCGTTTTCTATTTTTTTTTTCAAGCTTATTTTCTCACCCTAAGTCTTTTAGAGCTAACACTCGGAAAAATGGTATCAAGTGGCTCATTTAGGAAACAAAATCACTAAAGAAAAGAACTTCCGGATAACACTTGGATCGATTCCGGAAACCCCGGAAACTATCCGACTAAAGCCGAAAACTTCCGAAAGGATCATCCTCGCGGGCTCACGTGGATTGGAATCAGAAGAATGCAGCAATGCGAGTCAGAAATAAATAAAGATGAAGTGAAACGGACAGTTTTGCCGGTTCAGAAGCCATGGCTCATTAACTGGACAGTTAAAGAAATTAGACACATTTAATTTACTATGTATAGACTGAGCAGAAGATTTCGCCGGCGTTTTGGAAAGGATAGAGAGGAGAGGAAAGATAAACATGCGTCGGATTATGTTATCGTCTTGCTCGATGGAAGTGATCTTTCCTTCAATTTACACGTAAGTTTTTCTTCTACCTACAGTGTTATTCTGAATTGTTGAATAGAACAGTTGATCGCCTCATTCGAGAGTTTCTAAAAGCGTAGTTAATAACTGTTTTGATGCTGTCGAATACAATTTACGAAGTGGCCAATTTCCGTACCCGAACCGTTGAATAACGTTCGTCATGCGTTTTGCTTGGTTAACTTTAGCATAAAGGAATGTTTTCTCCAAGAGCTAATATTTACTGAAGCCTTGCAAAATAGACGGTCTTTGATATTTTTTGGGGGATCCACGTTAATGAGATAAGATCTTAATGTTAGCGAAAGTAATCTAACTTTTATTGCCATTCGATTGATCGATGCTTCCTCGAGCGCTGACTTGTGCGTAGCTTGATCGAGTTCACTCTGTGTGCAGCAGTAATCGAGGCCGATCTTGAAAAGCGTGGCTCAGTTGTCTGTTTGCATATTAAGTCGCTTTCAGTTGTCTTATGAAAGCAAAAGAGTCCGGATTTAACCGGGAAAACATAATTTGACCTTTACTCTTTTTGAGAAGATGTTTGAACGGGGCGTTCCGTCAAAAAAATTATTTCAATTCCAAGTAAAACTCGTTCATGCATTTTAAGTTTGCCAACAGGTGTTGTTTTGAACATTAAATATGTTTATTAATTGTTCTCCTTTATAATTTCTTTCAAATGTGATTCAGACGAGATAACAAAGCATTTCTGTGACTGAACGACAATCTGGCTATTTTTGTTGTGTTTGGTCAGATCGAAGACGATTAACCCCTGATTTATAAGCGCCTTCACTTCCGCTGAAATACTAAATCTGATGACAGACGAAAGTTTTCGCTGTCATGTAAAAGGTTGTTACCGTAGGCGTTCTCTCCCGTGGATAATGTGTGAATTAAAGTTATTTTGTTTGTTGTAAGTCATTTTAAACAATAGTGAATGTTGACGTTGGGTTATAAATCTGCGTGTCTATTTATTATACTGCCAAATTAACTCTTATTGTGATGAGCATTAACAAGTCTTTTACAGAATGAGAAGTCACGATTTTGGGCTTCTTAACTTAACAGTGGTGCAAAAAGCGAGACTTTGAGCATACATGTACAAGGAACAATGAACATTGCATGGTAGACTGCAGACATATCGAAGTGTTCTTTGCATGCCTTCAATATGATGTAAAAGATATTTTTAAAACCTTTGTGTCATTCTAGAAAGTTTAATAGGATTCATTCCAACATGTTCAAAACTAATAAGTTAATCATTTTGACTATGACAGCAGGAGGCTATTATTGCCATTAATTTGTTCTTTTAATAGGTGTCGTATTCGTTGTGATTTAACACAAAGTATAAGACTTTGAGATTTGGCTGTTTCCTGAACTTCAAATCAAGCTTAAGAATGTTTTGCCAACTTTTTTGACATTATTTTTGTTCTTTTTAGTCACGATCAGATGAAAAACTGAAATAGGAAGTCATTCAAAGGTTATGGAAATTAATAAGTAAAAAATGACATGTTTAAAAAACACTATATGGTGCATACGTTGTCTTAGCATTAAGACAACTTTGGATGATAAAAACAGTTGTGGGAAGGGAAATCTGGGAAGCAAAATAGAAGTCTGTAAACAGGGTGCAAAGAAAGTCATTTTTACAGCTTGCCATTCGGGCAAGCTGAAGTTAGCATTTACTAGTCCAAACATCATTTCAACTAGCCCCAAAAGCGTTTTGGTGAGAAGATTGATTTCACAGTTCTTCTGTAATTTGAATTCTTCAAAAAACTTCACTTGCCCATCGGGCAAGTCAAGAACAGCATTCACTAGCCCGATAGCCAAATCCACTAGCCCCAGGCTATCGGACACTACTTTCTTTGCACGCTGGTAAAGTGAACTGAATAGTTGTTAAAATTTATTACAGTAACCTTATTCCCACTCACATAACATTAATTTTATATTCACGTGAGACAAATGTTGATCTGAACGGTTCGCTACTGGATCAAGGCATGGCAAAAGACCCCTAACCCGGAGCTTGTGGAATGACCTGTTGGCTAGAATAATATAGTAATTACAAGTTGTCTGCATGATGGGCGAGCATTGTTTACCGAGATAAAGTAAATATTAGTGAAAAGGAAGGTGGGAATCCTACACAAGCAAGTAACCTTAAGCAACAGCTTGACAGAAGGCCGAGTGATTTTTTTGAAATTATTTTCAGTTCACCCTGTATACTGATACATTTTCATAGTACTCCTCACTGTATTATCTGCCTTCATTCCTTTTTTGGTTGTGATAGACCATGTCAGAGTTATTGTTTTATGTTCAACATAATTATTTAAACTTCATTAAAATGTTTCAGGCTTGAAGAGAATGTGGCATGTTGTCCCATATAGTGCCTGCTTTAAAATCTTCCAGACACAGATCTAATTTATAAATGCAATACCACTTAAATATCACTCTGAATATTGTGCTATACAGTTGTTGGGTTCATTGAGGAAACCACACGAGTTTACATAAAATTATACTAAATGTACAGTACTTGTACATTGTATTCCTTGCTACAGAAAGTAGAAAATGCAAAATTCTTGTGTCTCTTAAGAGGAGAGGAAGTTTGTAGTCATAAACCTCTGTTTAACCCCTAGAAGTTGCTGAAGTCATATTTGACAATATATTTAAATTTCATTTTGTATGATGCTGAAAAGAAAATAATTTCAAATGAACATTATTTTATTGGTGAAGAGAATTCTTTTGAATGTTAACACCACAAGATTTCATCCACAGACCCCAGGGTCAGAACCATCTTTTAACACTCTATCTGCACTCACTTTGGTGGTGAAAGTGTTAACCCTGGATTGGCCTAGCCTATTCATATGGAAGATATTTTAGTAAAGAGCCTAAGACAAGAAGAAAATACAGGAGCATGGCATCCATAAATGCCTATACCCCTGTGCATGCATTTGAAATATCTTTTTTATGCTTTGCCACATATTTTTGAGAACCATATCTGTAACCTTAAAAGTTCATTCACTGTAGAGGGAAAATAAAAACATTGTTCTGTTATTCTTGTGAATCACTTTCACAGCTGGGCTTTTATTGTGGTTTGCCTTTGGCCTTTTTGCTTGCACTGTTAAAACTTTCACAGCTCCAGGGGTCAGTCTGGCAGACTGGGTTGAAAAGACCAATGCTTTGGTGATCTGTATGGCTCATCTTATATAACAAGTTGCATGAATAATACAATAATAAGTTATTCGTTGTATGAATGTAAATATATACTAATTTTAAAAAAAAGGTGATGAGGTAAAAGCACTATATAAAAGGCAGACTGCTTTATCTTGCACAAGAGGATAGGCCCTTAGTCTAGCATTTTTCTTGAGTTTGTTTTATTTCTTCTGTTTAGAAAAAAGCCAGAGGACAAGAACTTCTGGATCTTGTGTTCAAGAATCTTGACTTGGTTGAAAAGGACTACTTTGGACTTCAGTTCATGGACACACATCAAGTTTCGGTATAATTAAAATTATCTTCATTCTGCATATTTTTTTTTTGTCATGCTGCATGTTACATAGTCATGTACATGGTATGCATATGGCAAGTTAAATGGATTTCAAGTCAAAATGATTATTTTCCTGATTTGCTGATTTATATAGACATGTGGGGTGTTTTTGACATGTTACTAACATAAGTTGGAAGATTAGCACTTGAAAGAGATTGTTTCCCCTGTGGGGTCAAAGATGTGACATCCAACAGGATGAGCGGTCAGACTATACATCCATAATGATGAGACAGAAATTAAAAATCAAGCTATCAGGAAATCCTCTCTATCTAAAGTTCATTGAGCGAAATAAATAGTACAAATATAATGCAACATTTTGTGTTTCTGGTTTCTCCAACAGCACTGGCTGAATCCTTTGAAAAAAATCAAAAAGCAAGTCAGAAGTAAGAAAATACACCCTAAAGATGACAGTTTGAATCTGTTGCTCATTTTTCTGAAGCTATTATTTTCACTTGGGGTGAGGTCAAGGTTAAGTAGAACCTAAAGGGATTGTGGAAAAGCAAAGCAGACCGAGCTGTAAGGGTTTTAGAATCTGCTCATAACTAAAAATATGAGTTACCAAAAACTGTTAATATTGCCAATATCTTATTGTCAGAGTTCTTACAGAGTCTTGAATTCTTGAAAAGGTTTTGAAATTTGCCCAACAATTTTCCAGACCTGGAAAAAGTCTGGAAAATAGAGATATAGTCTTGTAAAAATGGCAAAAAGTCTTGAGTTGTTTTGAAAGTTACAATAAGTGCTTTACAAGTGAAATTTTTTTTTCCTGCTGGTCAAATCTTATTCAATCTTTCCTGTACGTTTGCAGTGCATCATGAAGGAAGCCTTGTTCCTTCAGTTTTTTTTAAGGTCCCTATTTGATAACCTTGAGTCTGGAAAAAGAAGTTATTGTTTTGGAAAAAGTCTGGAAAAAGTCTTGAATTTTGGATCCAAAAATCTGTATGAACCCTGTATTATTTACTCCCCTCAGGGCTTTTCAGGGATAATAACAACATTGGTTGGGGGACTAATTGCCAGTGAAACTGCTTTCAATGCAGTTTACAAGTAATGAAGGAAAGAAAAATGATGCCCCTTATGTGAGTAAGAATTTGAGATAGACACCATACTAAGTACTGGGGCCTTTTTAAGGACAGTGTGTAGGTTCTTCATTGTCCCACATAATTTATTATATGTGCAAGGGTTGTGAGACAGGGCCTATGGTTTTTCATCCTTGTCTGAGAAGACTAGTAAGTCTAACCTTTTGCAGAAGTCATTACAAAGGTAGCAGGTTATCCGACTCTGTTATTTAAAAGATCCTGATTGCTGGTCTAGCTGAGGTATAAGCCAGCGCGGCCTCCTGTTTGGTAGACCGGCGCTTGTCCAATTGAGCTAACTGTGCTGCGGCAAAGACAGGGGAGGAGTGACCCTACCAGAATTCTCATAACCAGGTTTATTCATGTTCTGCTTGCATCACTGACTATCTGTTTTCACTAGATCATGACTGACAGTCATACATGAAAATGTTTAGCAAAGTTGGATTAGTGCTGGTTTGCCAAGCAGGGGGTTGCTGGTTCAAACACTGGCTGGACCAACCCCCAGGTTCTTAAAATAACTGAGGATAAAGTACTACCTTTGTAATAACATCTGCAAGTGGTAAATTTAAGGCATTCTACATGTATACTCTCTTATTTTGTAAAAAATTCTGTTTGGTTTTAGTTGGTCCACCCTTTACACTGCACTTTAGAGTCCGATTTTATGCCGCCGAGCCTCAAGATCTCAGTGAAGAACTTACCAGGTATGCGTGGAAGTTGAGATCCCTTCGTTTAGAAGGACGGTTTCTCATTATAATGAAACAGGTCTGGTCTGACTCTTACATGTGCACATTCAGTTGAATACAGCGACTAATAGAACATACATGTACAGTAATATTGTTGCCCTGCTAAATTTTGACATCTATCATTGCGACGAACACATGAATTTTTTTAAATATCTTCTTCATAGTGGTACGTGCAGTAAAGATTGCACATTTCAATTCCATTTTACTGTAAGACACCAGTGTGTGACAAAAACAGACTGCAGACTTGCAAACTGGCAGGTAAGTGAGGTAAATGTTGTTGTGAAATGTTCTAACAGATTCCTTATCCTTAAACTAGAAGATTTAAAGTTTAGAGTTAGAGAATCCGTCGAAGCATTTCCCAACGATATTTTTCTAGTTTGCCTGCCATTCTGCAAGTCTGCAGTCTGCATTTGTCACACACTGGTAAGATACATCTCATCATGAGTCTCCCACTACTTGTACATTTCACTCTATTAGAGTCTCTGACTGATTGCTAATGGTTCTTATTTGGAATGTAGCTGTCAAATTTTTGCCCAATCTTAGCACTTAACCTACTAGATTTTCATTGAATGTTTGAGCTGAAGGTATCACTTGTGTTAATGTTAAGATGTAAGATGTAAATTTAGAGAGTGCTTATTACGTCTATTAACCCCACCATTTACATGTACTGTAAAGGTTGTGAAAGTTAAAAAAATTAAGAATCCAATTATTTTGTAAAAAGTGCCTTTTGCACGTCATATACAGTAATTTGTATTAATTTATATTGTAATTTCTCGTCTTCAGATTATTTTGACAGTAGTAGAGGTTTCAGATAACCTGATCACATCCCAAATTCTCTCGCCCTGTCTAATAAGTTTAAGTATTGATTTTGTAAGGAGAAAACTAATATTGATGATAAGAAAAGTCAGAGCCTAAAGGGTTTTACCTCTCATCACCTGTGATTGTCATTGTTTTTTTCTTTTTGTTGCTTTAGATACCATTTCTTTTTACAAATCAAGCAGGATATCTCCAGGGGAAAGTAAGTCCTTTTCAGTTATAAATGACACATTGACAGTATTGAAATGCCGGCTTTGGACCAATGTCCTTGTACTGCTCATAGACTTCTTTCATGATGACATCCCATTTATTTGTTTTTCTATATATGTAAATGAGCCTCCCTGGTCTCGCTTGAAGCAAACAATAATTGTTTTGTATTTTGTGCATGCTAATGAGGTCAGAAAGGCTAATTTTCATACTTATAAGAGGTCTATGATATGTCATCACGTCCTAATCTTGAAAGATGACTTTGATGTACAATTTTGCAGAGTGCAAATCTTCCAATGTGCTGTTAAATGAGAGTGTTACTTGGAAGTCATCTAAAGATAATGTAAAAACCATTTTGCCCCTACCCCCTTCCCCACCCCCCTGCCAAAACAGCTGGTATTTACATTAGAATAGTAAATTTAATAGTCCATGTTACAGTTACAGGTGCAAATGAGGCTGGAGTTGACCCTGTTTGATACAGCCCTTCCCCCTTATTATGTTAATCCATGTTATTTTTAGCCCATTCGGCATTACCTATGTATTATTTTTTAGCATGATTTTAAAATCCAACTAGTTGGTCAAAAATCAAAAAAAAAAAAAATTTTAGGTTTAAAGTATTTTAAAACAAAACAGGCCAACCTCAGCCTCATATTAGACCACTCTAACTAGTAGGCATGATTTTCGGGAAATGGAATGAGGTTTGTATTAACTCCATAACTGTAAAACTCAAAATTTGGTCTATTGCCAGCTTTCATATTGTGGGAGATTGAGGCGTAAATGTATGTATTTTGGGCTAATTTATACAAGACCCCTATAGTTTTAAAGAGATTAGCCTGCCTTACGAAATCCCCAAATTTGGTGTTAATCAAGCCGACATTGAACAAGATACCTCTTAACAGGTTTTGGTTATGTTGCAATAATTACTGTTTTTGGTTGTGGTTTGTTCTAGATGGTGACAAGAAAATGGTTTTTTGCTCCAGTAGTTTAAATAAATGTTTCTTTTTTGTGTGTGAAATATCTACTTGTAAGAGTCAGTGGGTTAAATAAACTACACAATAAATCCTACTATTTACTTTGGTAATGGATTTCTTGACCTTCTGATCTCTTCTGTCTTAGACTTGAAGTTCCCTTGAAGATTGGCGTGGACTTGACAGCGTATAGCTTGCAATGTAAGTGTATGCTAATAAGTTTTCTATCCTGGGGATTGAAACCTTGTTTACATGAATAATAATTGTATGCAACACATTGTAGAGCGTTAAACAGGCTGATCTCTAGTTTTTGTATTACAGCATTTTCACTTGCTCATTCTTAGTATTGCAAAATAAACATGGTGGTAGAATCTTATGTAAAAAAAAAACTATCTTCAACCTACATGTATTATGATTACATTTGCCTGCAATACCTCTTAGGGCTGTTTGTCAGGGATATATTTTGTTCTGTGTTAGCAGCCATAGTCAGAGTTGAGAGGAAGAGATTACAAAAATGCTTTCAGATCTTCAAAGCTTTAAAATGATGGCCTTAATACATGTGTTATTGACAAAGTACAATACACAGTCAATTCATTGCAATGCAATACGATAGCCTGTCAAATCAAAATGTGGAAACTTTTAAAGTATAAAGGTTGTTAAGTGGTTTTCACTAGACTGGTTAATAAATATTGCCTTTGTTCACTGCCTCTGATAAAGATGTTTTTCTGATTCCTCTCATCCATTCAGCTCATCTTGGAGATTTTGATCCTGAACTTCATGAACCATCAACCGATTACATAACAGAGTTCAAATTTATTCCTAATCAGGTAAAAGTGAACTTTTGAAAAATCCTTAGAATTATTCATGCTTGCTGCGCAACTAACAGTAGTTGACAGAGCTGTCTTTAAGGGCCGTAACTTGTAAAACCTGTTACAGCTGAACTCACTTGATTCTATGGGTCATCAAAGTGGGAAGCTAAAAGTAACACTTTACAGTTATGGGGAGATGTTACGGATGAATCTTTATTTGCTACGGCTGCTCTAAAAATTAATGACAGCCCTGCTTAGGTCATGTTGCAGGAATACATGTAAACAGTACCTTGATGGTTTTGGATGGTTGCACCTAGGATTTCAATCACAGACAGACTCAAAAGTTAGAACCACCTTGTGCAGAATATGTTAATAATAAATAGCTGCACTTGGGAAAGATAAGTACAGGTCAGGTCTTCGATACATGAGACCCTTGCTTCTGTGGACGAAACACAAGACTGTTTTACAGAAGATATGAGAAGGAACAGATGGATGTGGGACTTTCTGACACTGGTCAAAGAATGTATTCCAATGCATGAGTCCCTTAACAATTATTCCTTGAGCCTACTGTCAACTAAACACAAGACTATTTTACAGAAGATATGAGAAGGAACAGATGGATGTGGGACTTTCTGACACTGCTTAATAAAGAATGTTGGCTTAATGTGGTGGATAGCTGATGAGACTAAAGTTACATATTTTTCCTACTTCCCTGAATCTAGGATTAAGTTCTGTAAGAATGACATGCTAGTGTTTCTTTTTCTTTTGAAGACAAAAGAGTTGGAAAAAGAGATAAAGAAGAAGCACCAAGCACTTACGTAAGTGAAGAAAATTTGATTACATTATTATTATTTCTATTATTGTTTGGACGAAAAGAAAAAGTTACATGATAACACGTTGTTATCATGTACATGTATGATTCATTTATCATTTAGCCACAACTCATGACTTGCTTTTGTATTTTTCAGTGGTTTGAACCCAGCAGAATGTGAAACCAACTTTCTAAAGATTGTGAAGAACATGGATTTTTATGGAATTGACATGCATAGTGTTGTGGTATGCAATCTATGTCTCACGAACGTTTAATTAACAATTTTGAAGAGGGCGAAATATGATGTGAAGAATTATGCAGATTTAGCAGAATTGCTATTCCCCAAGACCGAGGTGGGCAACTGCCAGATCTGCATAATTCTTGTTCATTCAAAATATTTCTAAGTTCTTAACAACCTTACCTCCTTGTATGCTTTACTTCAAAACATTTGCCTGTTTCTCCACTGACATGGTTTCAGGATTAAAGAGATGTTCTTCTGGCAGATATCCCCCAAATGTAAATGACATCTGTCAGGCAATATATTTGGCATATTCTTATATTGCTTCCGTTAAGTTTTAATCGCAAATTCAGACATAAACTCTTTTGCAGTTTTTTAGTTTACTTTTATGCATAAAAGCTAAGCTGCCATGTTACTACCTGGAAACGACGTTGCTATTTTATACTGGGCCAATAATCCATCAAATCGGTTGTGGTTTAAAAGTTTTTGCAAAATTCTTATTACCAAAAATAGCTACAGTTAGTATATTTCCTTGAAAGGAAACCGTAAACCTTGTTGCATGCATTTGTTTCAAATGTCTAGTTTCTAATGAATAATTAGCAATTATTCCTCGAGCCCGAAGGGCCCACGAGGCTGAAGGCCAAATGGACTATTGACTCAGAGGCCATGAGGGTGAGAGGAATAATAGTGTTTTAGTAAAATCCAACTAGTTGGTCAAAAATATCGAAACAAAACAACTTTACCTAGTTAAAGTTAAACTTTAATCCTTGTTTGCTGCCAAAAACCTGGCGCTTTTCGCTACTAGTGGGCTATAACGTATAGCCTAGTAGTAGCTCAACCAATCAGAACATAGCATTGATGATAGACCACCCGCTAATACTACTAAATAGTAGTATTAGCGTTGTGCTCTAGAAGCAGCCAGTGACCCTGGATGCCTCACTTTTGCTCTTGGGCGACCAAGATATCTTAGTTTTTTTAAGAAATCATATGCTGGACCCATGGATTTTACAGGTTCAGGGTTCCCAGCTGCTCTCAATTTGTCTTTTAGCACAGCCTCGGTATAACTATTATTGCTTTTAAAAAGTTAAGTTAGAACATCACTAACAACTTTACGATTTTCATATCTTGTTATTTTTCTAGGGAGAAAATAAAGTTGAATGTCAACTTGGTTTGACTCCTCGGGGAATTTGGTTCATAAAAGAAAGAGAGAAGAAAGCTCTGTTTTCATGGTAAGTAAAATAGTGCACTTCTTTGTTATGCTAGAGCCACGAAACTCGCACACACCTCTGCCTTTGGCCTGCAGCACTCTCTCTTCATCAGATTTAGTGAGCGGAGCACAGGCGCGAGCATCGAGCCACGAAGAAACAAGGACGGCAGCTCGTAGTCTAGCCTTCGAAAACACGCCTGCTATTGTTTGTAGGGTTGGGGCATTGGTTGGCTCATTCATCTGTTAGAGTCTTCACGATACCCTATTTCTTCGTGAGATCGTCGAGATATAGCGCGTCTTACCGGTAATGGCGGCCATCTGGATTTTCAAATGTACCTTTTCAAAAAGCCCGCTTCCTCTCAAACCAACCCCGCCCCCTATAAAGTAGTTTTGACACTCATGCAAGATGGCAGCCCGTAACGCAAAACGCTCGATCTCGACCATCTTACGGAAAAAATAGAGGACTGTGAACAGTCTATTCATCTGTCGTTTTGCAACTCGCCTAAGAGCTTTATAGCACCCCTGCTTCTGTCGTACAGTCACATGAGCATTCTGCGTCATCTTCTTTATTTCTGGTTCTCCAGGCAAAAGATAACAAAGATATCCTTTAAGAAAAACAGGTTTTTGTTGGACCATCAAGAGGTAAGGAACTTAAGTTCTTAGAAACGTTTTGATCACCTGTGATAGACTAGCGTCCCATCAAAGGGGGTATAAGTGCGCAATCCTAATCTCCAGATTGTATTGCGCATGCGTCGCATGTATGTTGCCAGGATTCGTTTGGACTTCCACTAAGAATGAATGGAACGTACAGAACGCAATTTGATCACGCGCGTTTGGACCTAGCCTGAATTTCATCCGATTACTTCGAGTCGTTATTTCTTCAAGTAATCGAATGAAATTCAGGCTAGTTTGGACCTTCTATCACTCGTAATCTGATCACGCGTGTTTTGTTAAATTGACAATCTCTCACGTGAAGCGTACGCAAAGCACACTAGCACAGTGATGGAGCAAAAGCGTTTTGACCTTCGATCGTTGTCGCCCGCATTCCGCAACCTTTGGTTATTACTAGGTTAAGTTCATAACCATGAAGTGACTAGGTTAAAATCACTTTGTAAGGGACTAGCATTGCATGCTTGAGGAAAGTGTAGTGATACAGTCGAACCCCGCCTTACAACCACCCCTTTAATAAGACCACCTCTTTATTACGACCATATTTTTTCGACCCAAGCGTGAAAACATCACTGAGTCATTTTATTGTTTTAAAGACATGCAACTTGTAAAAAAACTATAATATTCTGCTTTGGGTACAATAGATACATTTGTTGTTGTTTGTTGTTGTTGTCAATGCGACCACCTCGTTATTACAACCAGGATCTTATGGCCCAACGGTGGTGGCATTAACGAGGTTCCACTGTATTCTTATTCACTCTATCATCACCAGAGGGAGTAGGTCTATGGGCTTCTGCCAGCTCAAATAAGCTGTTTAATACTCGAGTGCTATTGCACCTTCCTTTATCATTTACCATATGTCTGCTTTTGTCCAGAACCAGCGGCATACTGAGAATTTTACCTACACGTGCTCAAGTTCTCTCGCTGCTAAGCATCTCTGGAAGAGCTCAATAGAATGCCATACTTTCTTCAGGTAAACATTCAGTGATCGTCAGTATTTGTAGCCTGCGAACAGGCTCGCTTACTGAATTTCCTTGAAAAAGTGCCCACGCCCAATATAATAGACAGCTTAAGCAAGAAAGACGGCGACGGCTACGAAAACGTCACTTAAAAAGTGAATTTGCGCTACTTCAAACTTTATCGCGCTTGTTCCATCTCTTTCAGTTTGTCAAATGTTGGCGAATTTTTTAGGAGTTGAATTCTAAAGGACTGCATTGAAGTTCAGGAAAAGAAAAAGAAATCGTTGTGTTCCCGTCCTCCAGAAAACGTGACGCTGTCGCTATCGTCGTTGCGTAAGCTCCCTAATAGGGACTTTAAGATCCAAGGACGCCACGGCAACGAGAACGTCGCTTAAAAAGTGAAATTGCCTTCTTTCTGTCTTTTAATACCACAATTATTTCTACCCACTTACTTTGTCAAATGTAGGCGAACCCTCCTGAATCTGAATTAAAATATCCAAGTTCAAAAAGGAAATAAAATTTCGTCTTTGCTTGGTTACCTTCTCCAGAAAACGCGAAATTAGGCATTTTCACGTCGTAGTTGTGCAAAAACGGCAAAGAAATGTACAAAAAAGGGTGATACACGTGCGAGTTGTTGTTTTGCTAGTTAAAACTATTGCCCCCTCTCCTCCCCTCTCCTGCCCTCTCCTCCCCTCTCCCCCTGTCCCCCCGCTCCTCCCCTCAGAGATACAAGGAAAAGCAGCTTCTATTGCCACCCCATTTTTAACCTGTTAGGCTTCGACTTCAGCGGAATCAATAAAGGAGAAAAGTTCCTTTTCGATTAAGTCGCTTGGCTTCCAATTATTTCTAAATCTATGTGCTTCCCTTATGTGTGTTATCTCTTCCTTCAATATTTGTCCTATTGCCACCTTGTTGTTAAATGCTGTGAACTTCCCAGGAACAACTATACCATTCTCTATTTCGTTCGAAGGAAAATTTAATCAGCGCTCTCCTCGATTAGGCGCTTTTCTTCGAATAAGCACCCATCCTTTTGGCTAAAATTTGAACAAGCCCCGCGCGCTTATTCGGGGAAATTGTTTGCCGTTTTCTTTCCCCTCCCGTCCTGTCGCTTAAGTTCACTCACATGATATATAAGACTGACCTAAAACTTAACTGTGTTCTTTGTTTGTTTGCTTTCATTGACACAGACTCGTTAAAACAACCAACAAGCCAGCAAGAACTGGAAGTTTCTTAAGATTTGGTTCCCGCTACAGATACAGGTTAGTTCAGTTTTTTGTGGTCACAGTGTGACAGACGTGACAGTGTTTGTACGATTGTAGCGTTACCCTGTTCTTACATTCTGTTTTTGGCGTTGATTCGTTTTGTTAAGGAATGGAGATTTTAACAGGGTTTTTTCGTTGCTTGTAGCGGAAGAACAGAACACCAAGCACAAAGAGATGCAAGAATGAGCGCTAGAAAATCTCACAAGATTCAGAGGTAACACTTACAAAAACTTACGTTTACCCTCTTATCATACTTATTATTAGTACGCGGTCGTCGTCCGTCATCACTCGTATGATTACAGACCGGATTGGACGACACGAAGTTCTGTTACCAATTAATCATAACTTTAACAAAATTTGTGATATAATAGGCTATTTTTTAAATCAAAACACAAGAAAGTTGAAATTTTGTTCTGCTAGCAGTGAAAAAATAGCCATTTAAGCGCGCTCGTGATGGCGCGTACTCAATTCTCGTTCAATTACTTAGGCATGACGCGTGCTGTATTATTAAACTTTTCAATTAGTATAGGTAATAGCGTGATTAGTAGTGATATTTGGCATAAATACCAAGAGTGATATTTCGAAATTGTTATACGTAATTTCACGAGCCGTTAGGCGAGTGAAATTTGAGACAATTTTGAAATATCACTAGTGGTATTTATGCCAAATTCCACATACAAATCATGCTATTATTTGTTTATACTACTACCGCCAAAAGGTTTGTAATTTTCACATGTAGGTATTTCAAATTAAGCTGAAATACCACTGTTCTAAACCAATCAAATTGCATAAATTTCTCTTGTAGTGTTATAAAGGCTGAAATCAGGGCAGTTGATAGCCAATCAGATTTGACAATTTTGTTATAGTTATTATTATTAGCAGTAGTAGTACTTTTTCTATATCGCGGATATCTTTGGTATAAACATTAGGCAGCTTTAGCAAAGACAACGCAACGAGAAATGACAAAACGAAAGCGCGCGGAAAGACTGAACACAACTTCCGGCTCACAATGTATATATATATTTCGGGAAACAAGTAATAAACAGTTACTAACAGTGGATGGCCGAAGTTTTTTTTTCCGGTGCACAATATGCCGCTCTGCCATTGGTCAAGCCTCAAGCCGGCTGGTACGTATATCTGCCTTTAACTGCGCTCTCAAGTTCGCGCTTTGCCATCGTCACTCTCTTCAAATGGTTTTTGCTTGTACTCTGATTCTTAGGAAACAAGCTCCCTGGACCTGTTTTAGACCATATTCTTATTTTCATCAGCGAACTGGAAATAGTTAGGGTGCGAGGCTAGTGTCAAGCTCGTTGTACAGCAAGCTAGTAAAGCGATCTTCAAGTTTTGTTGAAACACGAAACAAAAGCTGACGATTCTTCATGCGACTTCTTCTCAACCGACTTATCTAGACTCGCGTTTTTTGTTGTTGTTGTTGTTTTTTTTTTTGCAATCGGGTAATACGTGAAACTGAAAGAAAGGCGTAACCTAAAAATTGTTTGAACAAATTTGACGACTACTGCAGTTCCACTTCATTATCGGAGATTATCCTCGTTTACCACGGGTTGTACCGAATTTTTGAAGCAATTTCCTTCCATCAAACTGATGACCAAAATACATAACTACAACAAAACCGTTCCTACAAGCTTATTTTTTGTCGGTGGACGATGTTTTCAGTTCATTCAAGCGGATAGCCAATCACGCACAGGGCTCGAAATTAACGGTAACCCGTTAACCAATGGTTAGTAGATTCTTGCGTTTGGTTACTAATAATTAGGCTGCAAAACAGTCGGTTTTTTTCTCAAAATCAGTAAAGAAATCGGTAAGGCGTGGCGTAAAAGTCTTAAGCACGCGAAGCGCGCGAGCCTCGCACGCCCATAAGGCGTGTGAGGCGAGAGAAAAAAAACTGTATTTTTAGCGTCTCTCCCCAGTCTCGCTCTCTGTTTTCAGCCTCGTTCCAGACCTTCTGTTTGACTGCTTGCGCGTACTTGAATACGTAAAAATAGCCCGCAAAAATACGGACTGTTTTGCCGTCTAACTAAAAATGAGTCTTACAATCCCGACACGGTTAGTAAAAATTTCTGTCATTGAAAATTTTACATCTGTTTCTCCTTTGCATAACATTGTGTTCTATCTTCATCAATTTATTGTTCTAAAAGATATGCTTACAGCATAAGCGAACAACATGAAAACGCTCATTTCACGGAACTCAGGGTAAACACGCTTTTGTTGGACGGGAAGACACAGCTATAGAAGGTTCCCTGCACACGCGGAGGGCGTATGAAAAAAGAAAGAACTTTCCACCAAGAATCGAAAAAGGCATTCACCTGGCTGCAGTTCGATGAGTCTAAAGAACAAACAACGCTTTGCACTGTTTATGGTGAATTTCCCGCCCTTGAGCAACGTAATTGAAAGGAAGTTGTAAAAGAGTATTAAATCTTCGATATTATTTCGTTTTGCAGATCATCATGTAACTTGGACCAATCCATCCGTACATTAGTTTGCCCCATTTTTAGCGCTACTTTCAACAGTCAAAATATTGTTATTTCAAGAACAGATTCTTGGATAATAAACTTTATAGTTTGGTTAGTCAAATTTATGCCCACTAACCTTAAGGGTTAGTTAGCCAAAAAATTAATTTCGAGCCCTGGACTGACAGAACGAATTGACAACCCTGACAGTTCAGATCAAGAAGACAAATTGTAAAGGGCTTTTTTAACATCAAACATGCAAAAACTGACAGTGAGGAAATAATTTTAAATGAAAATTTATCTCTATTTTTACTCCAGTCTGTCGAATGATATGAGTGTAGTTGAGTAGCCCACTTCTTTGAGTGTCGAAGATTGCAAACTTTTTCTTGCCTCGGAAGCCATCAGCTTTCACCATCAACCGTTAGTAACTGTTTATTACCTTGTTTCCCGGAATGTCGTTCTACCTGGCCTCATTTCAATAGAGAGGCTTTAAACAGCTCTGGTCGCGACTTTTCTATAGCTCCTCTAAAGGGTTTCGTCCGGTCAAGAGCAGTCTGAAAAAGCTTATTTCTCTTCACGAGACTCTCTCATTTAAAACTTAGCTAATTACACTCAAATTTTGTATCGACGTAAGCTATTAAACTAAGGTGCGAAAAGATCGTTGTTGTTAAAAATAGGTGTTAAGTTTCCATAATGTTTTAGCAGGTGGGCAGCGAGACTTTCACATTTCCATGAAAAATAAACTAAGACTTATTTACATGAATATTTTCCCTTCAGGGCGACAAGCGAGCGATTCTCAAGAAGGCCTACTGTGGGTACGTATGTAAAAAGAAAATTATATTGTTGTGGCTTTTAGATTTGAGTTTAAAGCAGGTACCTTATTTAGGAATGAAATGTCCTTTTTCCCGTTTACTCTTTTCATTTGTTTCTGTATTGCACGGTTCTCTTACGTAAGACTAAACTTGTTCCTCGTTGGTTCGCCTTATTAATTAGTTCGGTTTTTTGCTCCAATTTCTACCGCGGATAACCCATAAACCAACGGTCCAGTCGGTCTAGATTTGAGTGCTTAAGTCGCATTACTTGTTAAACCAGGGTTGCTAAATTCTTATCTATCCGGGTTTTCATTTCAGCCCGCGTAAAAAACGGAATTTAAGTCCACAGTTAATGCGTTCGAGTTTGTGGGGAATTCAGTCCGGTCCGAACCGAGTTCGAGTTAACGAGCTTCTACGGTTACGGTATCTCGCTGTAGTAAAATTTATTTTTTCCCTGCAAGCTATTAATATAAAGTTTAGTGTTTATCATCGTTTTCCAGTAATTACGTTGTGTCTTCATTTTCGCGGACAAATTAGTAAATGCTCGAAGGGGCCTTTTACTGACGTTTAAATGAATGGCCGTTTTTATACTAGAGGACGCATTATCCGTGCAGACGGATTGACCGTTTTTATACTAAAGCCGTATTATCCGCCTGGACGAACTTGGGCAAACATTCGTAATTCGTCTGGTTAGGGTGGCACAAGACGCTTTACGGGTAATACTTCGTAATACGTCTTGAACGACGCACTACGAAAGGTAGTTCGTTCGGACGCATAATGCATCTTGTGCCCAACTTTATACCTGAGACGCCTAACCAGACGAGCTACAAAATGTTTTCCCAAGTTCGTCCAGACGGATAATGCATGCGTCCTTAGTATAAACGGATCTGTCGGTTAACCAGAACGTTCTTACTCATCACATTTAAATGCTATCGTAACACCAGTTCATATTTATGGAAAAATCCACAAAGGTTCTACATTTACATAACCAAAGTTCATTTGCACATTCACAAAACCCAGTCTATTTTTTGCCTCATTTGATAGCTCTTTATGAACCTTTGCTTCGTGCTCTTTAGTGGTTCTTTTTTTGCCGTGAAACGACGTTTTCCATTGATTTGTAGTATCCTTGCGTTTTTTAAGCTACACGAAATAGTTTTTGAGAAAGATACAAAAAAAGCACTTGAAAAAGGACGACAATTTCAAAGTTAAGATAAACTGGACTTTTTATTTCTATATATGTCGTTGTTCGTTCTTTTATTGTATTTACTTCGCATGTAGACGAAAACTAAGGCCCTTTTTCGGTCCCTTGAAACAAAATTTTTTGTTTACAAAATTGATGAAAGCTGTTTACAATTTCGTTTTAGCATGCACGTTTCAAGGCTTTTACCTCGCTTTTGCTATGACACTCATAAGAAGGTCTCGTTAAAAAAAGACAGTAGCTTTTACGAGAAAGAAAGGTACCTTTCGAGATTTTATAGGGGGCGCTTATAATCTCTCCCACGTAAAGGATGGTAAATTCCGACAGCTGTTTAAATGTTGGTGAGTTATTAGCCTTTTTCGAATATATAAAATCTTTATAAATCCTTAAAATGCTGCGGTCCCATTTGTTACTTGTTTGGACTATTTTTTGTCGTTTCATTTCGTTTTTCTGTGTGTTTGTGGCCTAAAATTAAGATTCCGCCTCACGAATTCAGCCTCCGTTCGTTTTTATTTGCATAAACCAACAGGCTCTTGACTATATTAAACTTGCTGTATTTTCTATCGTTTATTGAAGATGCGAAAACGCTTGAATTGCCACGCTCAATATAACAATCGATGACAGCTGAACTAAGCTTTCTCTTCCAAACTGACTGACTGAACGTTTTTGGTTCTCAAGTGATTTATCTTGTCCAAAGCAAAGAAAAAAGCGGAAGGGAAATAAGCGACTGCTGAAAGAGAACAGTGACCTATGTATCCCTGCGTTAACTACTTTCACTTAATTTTTCAAAGTAAATTGCAATGTTCTCATTGATTTGACCACAAGCGAACACGCACGAAGCTCATGATTTTTTTACCTGCACAACACTATCCTACGGCCAAAAGAGAGATGATACCCTCGCCATACTGATAAAGAATGGAAAATATTTATTCAAATTGTCAATCTCGAGGAAACGATTTGGGAAGCCAGAAAGGTTACTTACTCTCTGCAAAATTCCTAGCTATGCCCTTTCAATAGTATCCCTTCTTCTCGTTGCCCGCAGTTATCTGACACCTTTTTTAAGAGTTCTTACTACGTGTTTTTACAGGCTACATTCGTGTTGGTTCTCGCGTGTGGGGAAAAGCTCTGAATGGCGATTTTTACAAAGGGGTCGTGACAGGACTTGGAGAAATGCTCCATATCAAGTTTGACAACGGGGACACAATTGCGCACGACAGATCAGACCCTGAGTGTATTGTGTTTGATCAAACACCGGAGGTCAGCGACTTGGAAGTTGGTAAGAGCACTCTTTTTAAAACTTTCGAGAAGTTTGGTGATTTTTGCATGAGAATGACTATAACCGCCTTCCTATTTTTTCGTATGATCGTCAGTATAGTGCTCTGCTGTGATGAGCGACCATCTTGGTTTTATACGTGCCGAGGAAGAGGGGGGCGGGAAGGGGGGGGAGCGTGCGGGCGTCGGGGTTTATAACGTAACAACCCCACCCACTAGTTGGAATGGATACTCTTGAGGATCTTACGAGAAAATAGGGGACTGTAAACAGTCTAGTAAAATTTCGCCTCTTTAATTGGCCATTTGATCCGCTCACCGAATCCGCATCTTTTTGAAACCGCACTCCAGCGTAATACCACGTCCAGGGTTAAAAAGTATGCGGTTTCAAACATGTCCTGATTCGCGTGGATGGAGCCTTAAACTCAGTCAATAAAACCAATCTGTGCTAAGTAAGTACGGAAAAATAGGAGACTTTGAACAGTCTATATTGTTAGGAGTATATGTTTTAAATACGCAGCCAACTTTTGTTTGAGTACGTCTTCTCCTGCAAACAAAATTACATGCTAAATTATTTGCCCCTTGAATTGAATGTTGTACTGGCACATTTGTAATAACGAAGTGAAGGTTATCTTCCTGTTAGTTGTATTGTTTTACAACCCATTGTCTTGTTTTTACAGGAAGTCGAGTGATTGCTCATTGGCCAAGTCTTCCCGCCAAATTGGCCGGAAAAGTGATTGGTATCGAGCATGGCAAATATTACGTGGAGTACGATGATGGAGACAAACATCACAATACAATTGAACAACTTAGGATTCTTAAACCACCCCTGTATTTTGGTAAGCTCACGTACTATTTACTAGCTTGCGAGCAAACTCTCCATCTGGGGAATATCAATTCAGCTAAGAAATGGGATCTGGTGCGCATGTGCATCAGCTGACTGTGTCCCTAACCCTTTAACTGGTTAGGGAGCTTGTGTGCTTAAGCCTGTTTTCGATATGACCTGGAACAAGATCGGCGACTGGTCTGCATCACGCCGTGAACATGTGCAAAAAACTTGGTGTTATTTTCGCACCGAGATTGAGTGAAATAGGTAAACGGAGCACGTTAACGACCGCTAAAATAAATTGGAACATTTGTTCGTGATATCGTGAACACTTTGAATACTTCCAATGCAGGTAACTTCAGATTCTGCCACAAACTGTCACTCACCGTTACAGATTATATAGAAACCAAGTTAGCAAAGGTAGCGGCGACAGCAACGAGAATAGAGAGCTTTAGATTCTAAGATGAGGACGACCGCAATAACGATAGTTTCTCAATACTAAGTAGCGCGTACGCTGGAAACAGCGTTATTTGGGCAGGAAAACGTGATAGCCGTCGTCATTTTACTACGGGTTTTTGCGAGAATGTCGTAGTTACGGAAACAAGTTATTAAATGTTGGAGGTTTTGCAATTATGCTATCAGAAAGCTTAATCTACTTCAATAAAAATAATCTTGCTAACTTTTATATCCGAAAATTTCCATGAAGCTTTCCGAGTTGTCGATTTTTTGAGAATAGGCGAAAAAAACTCTTGTTGAATCTCGTACTTGTACTGGTCCTCGTTTTTTATTCAAAAGGCCTCTATTGGGAGTCTTCACGTGCACAGTAATTTTGTGTGCATGTCTTTGCTGTCCATTCGTGCTTCGCGTAATTTCCTTGTTCAAAGTCTAATGGAATACTTCGGCATCAGCACGGCGAACTTTCTCGCTGAATTTCGATGCAGTCCGTAAGAATTCCATTCCGCATTTCGGCTGTATTTTTTCACCACCGTTATTTGTGTCATGCTGGTGGACTGCAAACAAAACCACCGCTCATTAGACATTTTGTTTGTCCACCAGTTGCTAAACCACTTTTACTAGAGGTGAGCTGGAGTTAACTGTATATACCCTTGAGAATAGAAAGCTGTGTTTTTATACGACTAAACTCGGTGTCGAGTTCAGTTTTCTCTGCGAGGCTAGACCTGTCAAGTTTTTGTTTGTGTGCAAAATAGTTGCTGTTTGGCATGGGTCTTTAGGCAGTTAGGGACCTTAAGCAAAGACGACGACGACGGTAGTGAAAACGTCTCTAAACCAGGCCGGATAAATGTTGGGCGGTGAAACGAGCGCTCCGCTCTTCATTTAATGTGTGGTGCGGAGTAGGACTGGCACGAGCGCTCTTTCCGCGCTTCCGGTGCGCTTGAAGGCCGGCGAAATTTTCCTTTTTGCAAACGGGAAATTCTATTTTCTTTCTGTAATTTCAGGCTACAATGTTAAATAGATAAATTCGTTTCATAACAATATCAATAAACAGTTTCATATGTTTGTGTCTGTATGCCTATAAGTCGAACTTGTTGGTCGTATAATGCCAAAATTTGAATACCTCCTCCTTCCACTAAATATCACGTGATCGTCTTTCGCCGTTTCGTTTGCAAATGCTTAACACTTCTTAACCTCAATTTTTACATATGTTAAGCGCGGAGAAATTTTATATAACATAACAAAAAATTAGATTGATATATTTTGATATAGTGGCGTTGTACTGCTTCAAACTTTGCTTCTCGGGTGCAACGCGCCATGGCGATTCGCGCAATGCGTCGCAAATCCGGCAACCGCATGTAAACAAAATTTATTGAGGTTAGTTGCAGGGTTTTTTCTCCGTTTTTCTCTCTAAAACAAAACAAGGTAAACAGTAAAAACTGAGGGGAAACTAATTTTGAAGTTTCGAAGAAACAGAAAGACGTATGAGATGTTTTTTTCAAAATTAAAAAGAAGGATGATGGTGATTGAAATGAGCATAATTTCACCTTGTACGAGCTGCACGCATTTATAAAATACCCGTCATCTCGTTATGAAACACGATCTGCTCTCTTTTTGTTTTGCCATGGATGAGATTTTCCTTCGTGTTTTAGACAGTACTTAGTTGTTTTTGTTTTGGAATAACATCGACATTGGCGAGTAAGAGAACGAAAGTGTAATTCAGTGGTAGAGTCATGGAAGTAATACGAGAAACCCTTTGAAAGAGATGTTTGTCTACTCCAATTAAACCTCCCGCAAAAAATTGCATCATTTGCCTCTCGGAGACAGCGTACCAGCACAAAGGAACGAGGAAGAAGTTGCAAGAAAACAAATCAAGCCGCCATAATTCAGTGACAGCGGCAGTGCCATGGACAAACCACATCGCAAGCCCTGACCGAAGCCGAAAACAAGCGCGACATTTCTAAGCAGAGTCCCAGTCCACTGCATCACACCTTTTTGCTGGGACGCGCTCGTTTCACCGCCCTACCTTTATCCGCCCTGCTCTAAACAAATGAATTTGCGTTCTTTCAAACTTAATCGCGTCTATGTGGACCCGCTCAATGTGTCAAATGCAGGGGACTTTTCCTGGAGTTGAATTCGTAAGGATTTTATTCAAGTTCACAGAGAAGACGGAAAATTCGTCGTTGTTTGTCCACGTCCTCCATAAAACGTCAAATTAGAAGGTTTCACGTCGTAGGCGTGCAGTGGACGTCAAAGAAATGTACTAAAAAGCGTGATGCACGTGCAGAGCTGTTGTTTTGATCATTAAACCTATTGTTTTTTGAAGTTGTCGTCGTCGTCGTAGTAGTAGTTGCTCAAGCTCTCTATTATCTTTAGAAAGACGTAGAAGATACTCAAACTTATATTTAGGATCAGTGCTTTGTCTGATATGAAAAGTTCAATGAGGGGAAAGAGGGATCACTTATTTCCTAATTCAGTGGATAAAACTGTGGCAATTAAGTACCAAACCAAAGAAGTGAAAAGCGTAATGCTTAAAACGTTCGACAGGCAAAGAACTTCGGCACATAGGCTTATGTGTACCTGCGTATTTACAAAGTCTTTCATACCAGGAGGAGATTCATCCCTTATTGCTTCCATCGAGATTTAATGTCTGCGAACGTCAATGCATTTTCTGGTAGGACCTTAGCTAGCAAGCAACTCTCTCCATAATTTGGCCATATATTTGTCTGCATTTAATGTGCTTATCGTCATGTTTTCTCTTCTTAGCTTCCTCTAACTGTTTTAGAATATAATTAATTATATATTCTAATATGACAATAACACCTCTACTGTGTTTTTGTGCACTTGTTTTGCGCATTTAACTAGTGCTTCCTAGTTTTTAGTCTAAGAGGTCTCAACAGATATTTTCTCTAAACTATTCGATGAATACGCAAAAACCAACTAAAACAATAGGGCCATTTATACGAGGAAAAATAAGACGCGAACTTTCCGTATAAACGGCACATTTCGTCTAAAATAAGACGCGGCTTATTAGATAAGACATGCTCGTATAAATGGTACAGTTAGCGTCTTATTTAAGACGCGTCTTATGTAATACGCGTCTTATTTTCCCTCGTATAAATGGGCCTAATCTCTCTCGTAATTGTAAATTGGCGGTTATTGAAGTGAGTGTCTCTGCTGAAGTTGGACAACGTAACATTTGCACTCCAAAGATACAATTTTTTTCTTAGTCTAGTGAAAAAAGTTCTTATTTATTTTGCTTCCGGTGACAACCTCTATTTTAAAGTACCCTTTTAAAGTACCCTGTCTCGTTTAGTTAACGGTAAACCCACGCAAGAGAGTAACTTCTGCTCGCAAAGTGATTTTAAAGTCAGGAAAAGATAAGAAAACAGTGTGACGTTCATCGATAAATCATTGTTTTGCCTACAAAGAAGTTATTTTTATCGAGTTTGTTTTCTGTAACCCTACTGGTTTTTGGTGGCTATTCTCTTTACCCTGTTGTTTTAGCTTTTGTTTGTCCTAATGACTTTGCCAGTAACAGTAACTAACTATACTAAATATTCAGTAATACGCAAATCTTTGCGCTGAGATTTTGAAAATCCTTGAAACCGCAAACATAGTTTGCCTCTCGTTACTGTTCGAAGATCTATGTTCTTATCGGTTAATGAGATGTATTCTTAAGGTAGGATGTCATATCACTTCAACATTTTCTGCTGTACGCTTTTGCTGTCCTATTGTACTGTACATGTTAAGTTATTTTTTCAACACTTTGGCATTTGGCCACAAAATGGTCGTAAAAAGGCCAAGTTCAGTCGCTGTACCCGCCATATGCGGACCCTAACATATGTGACAGAAGGCCGGTGTTTTAAGTCGGGAGTGTTAGTTTAGTACATCGCTTTACGTTAACTTTGTAGAGGATATCGCAATAACATCCCACGCAAGAAAAATGGCGCCCAACCTTGTACATACTGAAATATGATTTACAGTCAAACCAGGTCAAGCGTTCCCGTCGCTAACGAACTAATGAATTCATTCACGGAAAAATGATTTCGTTTGTTGATTCAATAATCCATTCATAAAATGAACAATCCAATAGTCATATTTAGCCTCGATTCTATAATCGAATGTTGATTCGATTACTGTTTTTTGAAAAATTCCACTTTCCACAAGTTGACCTCAGGATTTTGTTTTTTCCTCTTTTTTTTCTGAGAGTCGAGTGCTGGCGAGTTCTGAAGTTCAAACCCAAACAAACTGTTACATTGTACGCCAGTTTGCTGCCAATAATCAGTGCAACAGACCTAGGCCTGACCTCTTAGAAAACACGACGGTCAAACTGAGGTCAGTGTATGTGCGGTGATTGGTGGATTTCGATCCTCGGCCTTTGTCAGTTTCTTTGCGTTTGCGGTCTGTCTATTATAGCTGTTATTTTGATTAAAGGCAATGAAAAACGCAATCGTAAACGGCAGGAAAAGGGAACCAAATACGATTGAACACAACTGACAAGAATAAAGAATAGGTAGATTTTGTTCATAAACCAAATCAACATTTGATTATTGAATCGAGGTACAATTTGACCGTTGGATTATTCATTTTTTGAATGGATTATTGAATCAACAAACGAAATCATTTTTCCATTAATGAATTCATTAGTTTGTTAGCGACGGGAACGCTTGACCTGGTTTGACTGTAAACTCTCCCCATAATTTAGATTGATTTTATTTGACTGCTGTATGCCTTTTTTGTTGGTTCGACCTAAGTACGCCGTTTAAATCAGTCGCGAATCGAACTTTGTCAAAGTGAAGTTGGGTACATGCATGACGCGGTGTATTTCTGAACAGGACATCACGTCATTAGTAGGCGAGAAATATTTTTCCCGATGTAGCACTTTAATAATAACTGTTTTCAAAGTTTGAAAAAAGTGTTAACGCAGAACCGGAATGATTTATGAACAGTTGAAAGTTGCTGGTTTGGAAGAATTGATGTCTGCCTCTCAGACATTGCGATTAAAAAGGTCGGGAAAACTGGGCTAGGAAAGAGATCTACTTTTATTTTACCCCGTTATTCTTTCCTTTCAGCGAGGAGAGCTTGAATAATAGACAAATTTCTTGATAAATATTTTTTAGACAGATGAGAGAAAGTTGAATTAAATCTTTGAACTGATTCCAGATATTGAAAGTAAGAGCAAAACAATTTCCTGGCGAGATTATTATATTTAAAGCTAAGCCAAGTTTGAATTACTCTCTTATTACAGATGAGGCAGAAATGGTCATTCTTGTTTTTAATTTTCGGTAACTATGCAGGATCCTATTATCACCGGCCAACAGCTCAGCTCTATTTGTGAGTAACAAAACACCGGTTGTGGGATTCATTCCAATGAAGGCGTTTTCAGCTGTTTGAAATAGTTCGCGAATTTTCTTTACCGCTGTAAATAATTCATTTTTACCTCAGGGGCTCTGTTGTTAAATATTGAAGTCACGTTGGAAATAAGTGCTTTGTCGAAGAATTTGTTCTTAACCCGAAAAAGAGCAACTTATAACGGAAAAAAGCTTAAATTTAAGAGAGACGTTAATCGCAAACGCGGCGAAAGGTAAGACATTATGTATTGGTGTTAACCTCGAGGGCGTTGTGTTATATTGGTTCATATAGTGAACTAAAGTTACCGATGCTTAGAAAGTTCTTGAACGTACGGAGTGCCTTTGTTATGGATTTAACGTCATGTGGTGATTTCAAATAAGTAGAAAATAAAGCTTCAAGTGGCTGCATGTAACTATTCTTGCGAGAACAGAAAGCAGCCGAGCATAAATATACGTCGCATTTGCTCGCTTCAGCTCACAGACAAACACAAGCTTTCGACATGGTAAAATCATCTCGGAGAATCTATTTCAGCCGTGCAGTTCACAACTTCCTTAAAGGTTTGTTTGGCCTTGATTTAAATTGAAATGTCCTTATATATTTTGCCTTGAAGTGTGGTATTGGCCTTCCAGTTAAAGTTCTGTTGACAGGTTTAGTAGTATTTTTACAAACGTTTTCACAAATATTGCGACGCTTACATAATCTTTTGTCTGTATAAATGGTCATTTACAGAGTTTTACTGTAATTGTTTCCAGTGGTTATGTTCTACAGTTGTCGAGTTTTGTTTTTGTGCAATATTATAAAGACTACAATGAACTGCACAAAAGTGGAAAAGAACACACAAGACCTTTTCGCTTCAAACAAAACAGAAGATTACACGTTCCGACACGGAGATTGTTTATTTATTGTGTTTCTTGCATGCAAAGTAATTTCCACCTCTACTCGTGAAGTCAAATGACCGGGTTATGTTTTTAAACAGTTGCGTTTTTGTGACATTGTATTATTTTTTAAAGGGTATTTCCTATTTTATCTGCTCGTCAAACGTGTCAGCGAAGTTTTACAAGAATCCATACTCGCTCAATCCAAAAAAAATGTCGTATTAATACTATTCTAGAATTGCGTTCCGGCGATTTTTATTGTGTTCGTAAAACCCATTAATAGCTAAGTTGATATGATTAACAAACAGTGACATTAAGCATGAACAGTCGAGAACGGGATGGCTGGTTGGATCACTGTAAATTGGTGCGTTTATTGGAAGGAGTTGTCATGAATCTGGTTTATAATTCTAAACAAATTTCCAACGTGATAGAAATTGTTTGTTTCCCGCTGAAAACTACGCAACGACGGTGAATTAGTCCAGAAATTGTGTCCTTTTTTTTTTGGTAAATTGTTGTGTTTATTGTAAGGAGTTTTCTAAAATCTGGTTTATAATTCTAAACAAATTTCCAGCGTGACAGAAATTGTTTGTTTCCTGCTGAAAACTGCGCAACAACGGCGAATTAGTTCAGAAATTGGGTCGTATTTTTTAGTAAATTGTTGTGTTTATTGGAAGGAGTTTTATAAAATCTGGTTTATAATTCTAAACAAATTTCCAACGTGATAGAAATTGTTTGTTTCCGCTGAAAACTGCGCAACGACGGTGAATTAGTCCAGAATTTGGGTCGTATTTTTTAGTAAATTGTTGCGTTTATTGGAAGGAGTTATCATAAATCTGGTTTCGAATTCTAAACAAATTTCCAACGTGACAGAAATTGTTTGTTTCCTGCTGAAAACTGCGCAACGACGGTGAATTAGTCCAGAAAGTGGGACGTATTTTTTTAGTAAATTGTTGTGTTTATTGTAAAGAGTTTTCTAAAATCTGGTTTATAATTCTAAACAAATTTCCAACGTGATAGAAATTGTTTTTTTCCTGCTGAAAACTGCGCAACGACGGTGAATTAGTCCAGAAATTGAGTCGTATTTTTTAGTATCTATCCTTGTTCATACGAATCCGGATATTTTAGAAACCGCATTTTTTTCACGAATCAGCCTTCCACCCGAAACAAGTGAATCCGCCCGACGAAAGTACTCTTTTGAAAGTCTAGCCAAAACCGCATCTTTTTTAAACCGTCCTCAAGAGTGTTCTCTTATCTTGACGGATTTGGGACCGCGTGTAGTCGATTGAAATTCAGTTTTCAGTATTCAGCCTGCACGGATTTGTGTGAACCGAACGAGGCCTCAAGTGTACATTGTAACCACCGTGCCGTATTTACTCGATTAAAAACAACGGCGTTTATGAAATTTTTAACCTTTCCAATGCGGCGTTTATTTCGGCATCACTTTTTTTAAATCGCTGATAACAGTTATTGTAAATCGTTTGTAAATGTTGTGTAATTTAAAGGTTCTTTGCTGAGATAGAATCGTAAATGTCTGAATGGTGTAAATTACCAAGTTGTACCGAGGTTTTTCTTATCGGTAACCTCGAGTAAACGCCGCATTCTTCTGATTAGGTGCGGCGTTTATTCGAGGCGGCGCAGCCTGCGAATGGCAGAAGTTTCCCCAGGCGATGAGCGAGGAGAAACGTCGGCCGTTCCCAGGCTAAGGGCGGCGTTTATTGGTAATTTTCCTTCCATCTACGGCGTTTGATCGAGGGCGGCGTTTAATCAAATAAATACGGTGATTCAAGTCCACGGGAAAGGTACTATTCAGTATTTATGTGGATTAACTCAAATTCATTTATTTCGTTCCAGGACCTGGCTCCATGAGAAGGAAACCCGTCAGGAAGGCGGAGTCAATGAAAGTCACGAGTCTTACTGGTAAAGCTGTGATCACTACCGAACTTCCCAAGCGATCGCATTCTAACGGCCATGTTAAAAGTGAAAGTGGATCAAGAAATGAAAAGTTATCGTCGACATCTTCATCTGTTGATGGTGCTGTTTTTCTGCCCCCTGCATCCGAAGACACCGAAGAGAAGCCTTCAGGATCGGTCGGAACCAGCGATCTTCCAGATGGTTTGCCGAAGAATTTTCACATGAGATCTGCATCACTGCCTGCTAATGTTCGAGCTCCGAAAGGATCGGCTTCATCTTCGCCTTCTTCATCTCCAAGACCTGACAAAAAAGCTACGCGCAACAAATCGTTCGGCGGAATGACGAAAAACTCCCGTGCGAAGAAAGCTCCGTTGGAAATTTTCTCTTTACCCGAAACGGACGTAGATTCCGGAATCACTGTGGCGTGTGAAAGGCCGACATCGGGGCGTGCATCAAAACGAAATCTGCGCATTATGGATCTTATGAAAAACACAAAGGTAGCTGAGGAGGAGAAAAAGGGCAAGCCCACTAAAGAAAAGTCGCGTGTTAAGTTACCAAGCGAAAAGTCAGCCGGGAAGCGTAGTCCAAATCTTGCTCGTCCAGACATCCGGGTTCCTCCGAATGCCCCGTATGCTCCAAATTATCTAGAAACCGATCTTGACGATGACCCGAGAAAACGAGGAAATTATTTGGTAGATGCACAGCGAAGCTTCCACGTGTTTATCCCAAGTAACAACAAGATGAACCAACCTAAGCGCTTCACATACTTCGCAGGAATCTCCGCTTCGGATGAAAAACTCCTTCGGGACAAGGATACAAAGAGGAAAAGGTTAGGAAATCTTATTAACGCACCACTTCTAACTTATGCGTCTGTGGGTGAAATGCTACAGTGTAGGCTACTGAGCAGTAATTTCCTGTGGTGCTTGATGTTGCTTGATTTTGCTGTACAAGATGGTTCTGACTTTTGAGTTTGTGGATGAAATCCTAAAGTGTGACCATTCAAATGAAAGCTACTGAGCAGTACGTTTTTGTGGTACTGTTTATTATGCTATACAAGATGGTTCCGACTTGGAGTTTGTGGATTAAATCCTACAACAAAATACGCAGTACTATAGGAAAGTACTGCTTAGTAGCTATGATTTGAATGGTCACACTGCAGGATTTCATCTACAAACGCTAAGTTCGAACAAACTTTTACAGGATAATATACAGTACCACAGAAAACTCAAAAATACTTCTCGATAGCTTTCACTTGAATGGTTACACTTTACAAGATGGTCCTGAAGAACTTTTGAGTCGGTGTATGAAACCCTATGGTGTGACCATTCAAATCAAAGCTACTGAGCAGTACTTTCCTTTTGTACTATTTATGATGCTGTACAAGATGGTCTTAAAGGTTTTTTTAGTCTGTCATTGTCTGTGGATGAGATCCTAAAACATAAACTAACCCTGACCAGTTCTACTAACTTTTGTACCTTTTTCTAACAGAACCCGCAACTCATCTGCTTTCAATTCCACTTAGCGCTCTGAAAGTTTCCTTTTCCCAACACGGAGTATTAACATCGTCAATCAGTTAAATCTGATGACTTCAGTATTTCTTTTGGTTTCTTTTTAGGAGGCGAAGTTCGCTCCCTGACTTGCGTCTTATTGTTAATCAAGCTGAAGACGCTAAAACTCTTCAGGGGTAAGTTTGTGTCATTACTAACGGCCGTCGTTCTTGTTCTTTTCTTGTTTTGTCCAATTCTTTACTCCTTGTAATTGATTTATTTCTTTTAGGAATGACAATAAATTGTCCCGGAAAAACAGAACTCATTCTCTGAATGACCTCGCAAAAATGTAAGTTTTGAAGAATGGTTTGTCCGTAAACAGGCAATTCAACTTAAATATTCTGCCAGGGAAAGCGCGTCTTCCTCCCTCACGCGTCAAAGTGACATCGACCCTAAGGAGGTGCGACACCTTATGACGACTACACAATATAGCATTTACTTTCAGTGAATTTTAGTGATAAGTGTTAGGAAGCGTAGTGAAGGCTTCATAAGGAGTCCGACCTATCTTAGGTCGATGTTATTTGGTCCCAGCGCCTTTCTATCGCTTTTCATGCGGGCTATAATATTGCCTGCCTTGTGCATCCACTAAGGGCACCTGTTCATGGACTAATGAACAACTAGTTTCATGACTTTTTGCTCTCGATAATGGAAGCAGAGGACGATTATGTTGAAGTGCCCATTCTCCTACAAAAAATCGCAAATTCTGCAGCCACGACTCAATGCACTAATAATTGATAGGTTCTGTTAGTAGTAAATTTGTCTTGTAATCCCATTCTCTAAGACTGTTTTGTAATTTGAGCTTGTTCTTCTGCAATTCTTATTTATCCACATAGTTTATTTAGGTTACTTTACAATATCATCTGTTATGACTGCTGTAACTTGACCTTTCCTCTCCGCCCGCCTTGTCTAGCTTTTGCTATTTGCGGGCGGAGATGGCAAAATGATGAGTATGAAAATAAAGTATAGTGTGTGTGTAAGTAACGAATGCTGTGCGTCTTCAAGAACTTTTATACTTACTCTGATTCTTGCGGTTTCTGTTTAGGTCGCCATCTAATTCTAAGCAGACTCCACTGCATATTGACAATTTGAGCGCTGCCACAGAAAATCGGGTTAGTACATTTGTTTTGGAGTTTATGGTGACTTGCTTATGTAATTGTGACGTCACATGATTAAGATTTCTAACTTATGATTGGTCCATTATGCTAAATGAATTTATTCCTGCGGTGTGTTTGGTTACTTGCTATACCATCCCCCTGTACTACTCATCCAACAGCTATTGAGGCTGAGAAGGATGTGAAGAATTATATAGATCGAGGAGGATGTTATCCACCTAGGCTAAAGGCCGAGCTTGATAACATCCTTCGAGATCTACATAATTCTTCACATCATACGAAAGCCGAGTTCAATAATTGTTTTGTTATTCATTCAAAATATTTCTAAGTTCTTAACATGCTTACCTCCTCGTAGACTTTCTTCAAAACTTGGGCCTATTATTCGGCAGTTTCAATCTTTTCTTTTGTTTTCTTTTGCAAACAAAAAAGGTTTTTGATGCTCGTTCTTATGCTTATGCTTTCGTCTCCCCGATTTACATGTATAACACAAAGACCCTGGTGTATGGAATGCCGAATTGACTTTAAATTCTCTCCTGCGCAGGCTGATTCACCGCTGTTCTCTCCGTCCATGGAACAAAGCGCTTCCAGTAACAAACTAGTCCAAGTCACTGATCTGTAACGTCAAGACTGCAACGTGTCACGCCAGCGCAGCCTTAAAATGTCGGCTCGTCATGCAATCCATGCTTGGTCAAGCCGGGGACGAAGAAGTCAATTTTAATGTTTAACTGTTCAACTTATTATTTTAAATTTGTACAATAAAATTGCAATTGTAAATTAATATTTGCGGGAATGTTAAACAGCTCTTCAGAGCGAATGCCATGTCTTTCTATCAGAATATTTTAACACTCTTTGGACTTGTTTAGTTTCTTTGTATTAGGACAAAGTAACTTGTAATTTTGTTATCTATCTCGCGAAATTTCAGCAGAAAGGGGTACTGAATTCTTAGCGTGATTAGTTAATATTTTGAGTTCTTTCGGGAATTGTTACGATAACAAAGACTGCATTCGCAGATCGATATTGCAACCTATTGCAACCTTTAGAAAACGTAGTACGGAAAGGACGACTTTCATTTAACAGCTGAGGGTGAATTCATTTGCAACATATATGACCCTCGCATTACGAGTGGGCAAATGCAATATCAGGTATACGCGTATGTTGCAAAGTGAATCCACCCTCTCTTTGAATAAGCTTATTTAAGGCCCTGAGTAGTCGTATAGAAAAAGTTCGCTATAAAGCGGCATCGCCGTTAGCTTTCAGTTTCCAATAGTCCTATTCTAACCCTGAATAAAAGTAAAGTGGGTAGCACTTCTAGTCAGTTGTCAGTTCTCCTTCTGTACATTCGAAACCAATGGCAATAACCCCCGGTGAGTTGGTGGTGGGGGGTACTTCCTACTTCCTGGTAGTAAGTTAATAAATGGGTAGGTACTTCATATATGATGATTATGGTGTACCGACATACATTTCCTAAATGGTAGACAAGCAATACCACTGGCAAGAAAGGAACAGTCAACTATCAATATATGTCGTTACACTATAATAATCATATATGAAGTACTCGGCATGTGCCGCTGGATGGGGTCGCATTTTCACGACTGGATTAAATATTATGGAGTTACATTTTTATAAGAATTACTAGAATGGAGTCACACATTTTCAGGATTTTGTGGGTCAGAAAATTCAGGTATGTAGGTATTTAAAATTAGCAATGTCTACACCACATTAAGTTTACAAAAATGTGGCAGTTCATCTCAGGAAGCTCTAGCTGAAAGGCTTTATAAGGTAGATGCATGAGCAGAAAGTGACTAAGCTGGATTGCGAAGATTACTTTTTTCCAAAATTGACTGAGATGGGGTCTATAATATGGCCACAGAAAATACGTTTCCTGGTGTCCACCCCTCCATTTAAACGTCGAAAAAAAAAATCCGACAACAGTAAATTTCGCGTGATGCACGAAAAAGTGGAATTTCCGTGATCGGTAAAAAAGGTGTTCCATTTGGGCGTAAACACCGGTATGTGCCGGTGCCCGACCGTATGGTTTTGGAACTGGTAGTTTACTAGGATAAACGTAAATAAAACAGACATTCGTTTGGGTCCAACCGAATAAGGGTCCATTTTTTTAGAAACCATCAGTTGGTTGAAGATTTTATCTACGAACTGACGAAACAGTTCCATTTACCGGAACCGGGGATTTTGGGACTTTAACTAAATATAGGGGTGTCAAAATTCGTCCCACTAACGTCGCATAAAAAATCAAGGGTTCAGGGTCCCATGCACGCAAATCCCCACCCAGAAATGCACGTGCAGAAGGTCTTCTCATTGAAACCATTTAGTGCTTTTTAGGCGTTATCGTCGTTTTCCCCGTCGAGGTTTGCTAAGGACTCAAACAAACAAACAAAAGGTTTAAAAAGCAAAACTGCAACCATACAGAACCAACCGCCCTGCACATAGACTGTGGGATTTGAAGATTAACAGGAGCAGATTAAACCCTCGTCTTGCCTGTTAGGCGTTTAAAAAGTTAGAGTGTGGCGCGAAGTCAGAGAGAGGAAAAAATATGGACGAATTGCTCTCCCCTCGCTATTTCTGTTGCTCTCATCTCTGTGCGTCGTCCCAAAAATCTGAACTCCTGGAATAGGCTGACCATTGTCAGGATTTTAAAAGCAGTTTGCTTCGCTTCGTGCCCGAACATACTACTTGTTTTTAAAGACTGCGCCGTCAACTTTACAGCTTTGCAGCTACGAATAAACCTCCAAACATGTGCATGGCAAATCATCGGTATATCGGTAAAGTCGTCAACTTTGAAAAAAGCAACTAACAAAAATTAAGTATGTTCCAAATTTATCTTCTTTGACCACCCCTAAAAGTCCCAGCGGGTTACTTGGGTTAATTTTTACTGGGTATGTGCCGCTGAACCTGGTATCGCTCTTGGAGAAGTCATGATCAACTTCAGGAGAATTCGTTTAAATTCGGGAAATTGACCATGGCTAACGCTGAATATTATTGAAGGAACAAAAATAAACTCATCTTTCTTAAATGAGCTTGTGGTTTAAAATATGAAATTCAACAATGACAAATCCCTCTCCAGGCTTGCCCTTGATGGCAATTGCCTTACCGAGGGAAAAACAGCCTGTTCCAGGCTTTAAGATAGAAGGGAATGAGCATTAAGAACCTGTTTGCTGACCGGTCGTTTCGCCTACGAGTCGTTTCGCTATAACGTCCCGTTCGTTAACGTCTGATGTCGTTCCGCTAAGAGGCAAAACTATCGCGGCTCATGTTTTAAAAATCTATTCCCCGTGCTTGATTTTGGCATGGGTGTGGGCCTTCTTGATCAGTGTCGGAGTGAAGCTGGAAGCATTGTCACTGGTTCAGCGGTTATCAGTGAATGACAGGTGTCAGTTATAAGTAACCTGAAGAGAAGCCGGGCCAGGCTCTTGTGCATTTAAAATGCTTTTTTTGTTTCCTCGCTAAAATGCTTACCTTAATGCTCTATTTTTTCGAATAACATGCTCACCCTAAAAAAATTCACTAAAATGCGCGACGATGAGATGATGATACGTATAAGTGTTAAAACAACCAGAATGTATGCTAATGGATTTAATACATCAAAAGACAATTGTCTAAACAGTGACATTTGAATTTATTTTTATTTTGACTTTTGAGAGTTTATTTTCTATTTTCATTTTCTTTGAAAAAAGAAGTTTTTTTCCGGGAAATTGCACCAAAATTCTCGAAAAAAATGCTGGCATACTGTACAAAAGTCTAAGAGGAAAGCTGTTCAGGCTTGCTTTATTATTTAGTTAGGGGGTGTCAAAGGTACATGTATGGTGGCATTTTTACTGTTAATGGCTTTACTTCGGCCTGTAGCTTAAAAAGCACCTGAAGTTAAATTATTTATGTAATTTATATAGGAAACAAAAATAACCCCAAGACTGAAGTCTCTAATAACCTTTCTGGAGTGAAAAACATCACACACGAAACAAGACAGTTATTAAAATGACCCGCTCGGAATCAGCTCAGTTTAGACTTAAAGGAAAAGAAAAATGAACACCTTTGCTTTACATGGAGGACGTTTTTAGGTTAAAGTATTTGCTCCATGCTTAAAATTGCGCTTGCTGAGCTTCTCTTCTTGCATCTAGTTTTAAAGAGCCAGGTACAAAAGTCGGACCGGATCAACTCGGACCGCCAGTCCGGGTTGGATCAACTCGGATCGACTCGTACCAACTCAGATCGAATAAAAAAAATTAAAACAACATAAAATTGGACTGGGATCAACTCGGATCATAAAACAAACAACTCGGATTATAAAAAAAAAATAAAATCAGTCGGTATCACTTAACTTTCACTCGCCATTTTGTTTTTTTCTCACGAACTCGTGGTTGCGTAAATTAATTTTATTTTTATTTTTATTAATTTTAATGATACTCTAGTGAGCACCACACATGAATTTCCAGTAAACATTTTCAACTTGGAAGGAGGAGAAACCATGCTCGCCCAGAACAAAGGAAATTTCCTTGGGCAAGAATCGAACTCGCGACCATCCCGGTTCAGTGGTTGGAACGTTCGATAAACATGTAGTGTTCGGAGGGTCGTGAGTTCAATTCTAGCCAGGGGTACGAAAATTTTCGTTGTCCCGGGCGAGCATGATTTCTCCTCCTTCCAAGTTGAAAATGTTCTCTGGAAGTGTATGTGTGCTGCTCACTAGTGTATCATTAAAATTAATAAAAATAAAAATAAAATTTACCCGCGAGTTCGTGAGAAAAAAACAAAATGGCGGGTGAAAGTTAAATACGGACTGATTTTATTTTTCTTTTTATAGTCGGAGTTGTTTTTTTTCTATAATCCGAGTTTTTTTTTTTTTATGATCAAAGTTGATCCGAGTCCAATTTTATTTTATTTTATTTTTTTCTTCGATCCGAGTTGGTCCGAGTCGATCCGAGTTGATCCCACCCGGACTGGCGTCCGAGTTGATCCGGTCCGACTTGTACCTGCCTGTTTTAAAGTACCAGAAGTTGCACATTTTCAGGAACCGTTTTACCCATTTGGTTGGTGGCCCGAGTATGTTCGGATTTCTTCTAGTTTCTCTCTTTTGATCTTGGCTAAAAGAAGTGAGCTAAACTTTTTTACTCCCCTGATTCCTCTGTAGGCCATTTCAATTTTAACAGGATCACCTAGAATACGCTAAAAAAAAGTCTGGGCATCGTTCATTGAAGCACAAGAGGTGTTAGCGGTTGACATCTGTCAATCAGTAGGATTTTAAATTGCTTCCCAAAAGCTTGAAAACACTATTTTATATATTTAAAAAGGTACTTTTTTCGCACTTTTAACAACATCACTTCCAACTGCAAAAAAGGTTCCATTTTGGCGCTTTTGAGAACATCGCTTCCAACTGGAAAAAAGGTACCTTTTTGCGCCTTTCATGAGATCGCTTGAAAGCGACAAAACGTACGGGAACCTCTTGCACGCTTTAAATCGTTTGGTAAAGTGAGAAATGGATGAAGAGCGGACAATATTGACGTCAAAATATCATTCACTCGAAAGCTGAAAATACCTGACTTCTTTTTCAAAAAAAGGTACCTTTTCTTAACTTTTAACAAAAACGACAAGCATAGACAAAAAAGGTAACAATTTAATTTTGCATATTGTTCTACGGAAAATGAATGCAGAAACTTAGTTTTTCTGTTGGTTCAATCAGCAGAGTTGAACTTTTTGTTAAAAAGTACAATTGCCGGAATGTTTCAGTGATTCAGGACGCTAGCGAAACGACCGTAAACCATCTGTTTATGAGTGGTGAGCCAGCCTGGTTAGCCGAGCTCGCCAGCTTGACCTCCCTTTCTCGCGGGGAAACCTTTGGTGGCGTGGCGAAATGTCTCAGGCTACAGCGATCTACAACATAAAAAAAAGCAAAAAAGTCAGTTGAAAAGTGCATTTGTGTTCTTTTAAATATATGGAGATCATTTGAAATGGCTCAATTGGTCAAATGCAGGCAAAATTTATTGGGGTTAAATTTCTAAGGGCGCATTCAAGGTTTAAAAAGAGAAAGAAAAATTTGTCGTAGAGTATTTACGTCTTCTATATAACGTCACGTTTAGAGTTGTTGCTTGTTTACCGTGTACAAGAAGTTTCCGGAAAATTCTCTTGGAAAGTAAAGGGAACACTAACCTGAGATCAGACCCAATTTTAGCGGTTCTCATACATTCTCTTGTAACAGCTACCGCTAAAAACTGGTATTTACAAAGCGAAACGAAAATTGAGCACGATCTCAGGTTAAGGGAACACTACTTTTTGGTTCGTTCCAGTGGAAAATTTCCGGGAGCAACGGAACATCTGGAAAGGTAGTCCTGTTTTTTCGGACGGAATATTCCAAACGGAAATTCATTTTCTATTTCTTCAAACCATCTTCGATACCATTTGTGTGTATTGGACTGGACAACGCTCCAAGCCTCCGTAGCAGGCCCTTGGAAGTAGTGGGCGCAAGGAAGAACGAGCGCGCGAGACGTGTCTCCCTCTCGCGCGCCTTTTCTTTCTTGTGCCTGCTACGCAGGCTACCGACCTCCCTGGCAGGCTACTACCCTCCTTTCGCGATCGGCTTTCGGTGAATGGAACTGACTTGTTCAAATGGTAACCGCGATTCCGGGACGAAATTTACCAGTCCTGAATTTTGCTTACCATTTACCCAAACCGTAGACCGACCGGTTTGCCCGGGTAAATAGTAAACAACCGTTGTTTTGGTTATTAGACCTATTGCTTTTTTGTTCATCCTCGTTGCCTTCGCTGTCGCCGTCACCGGCTGGCCCGGTTTCCGAGATCTCCCCTTTACCTAAATCCTTTGTAAGATGTTCGATGCGTTCATCGAGAACACTTTCGATAAGTTACCGGGATGAAAGCAGGATGAATTCTGGTGGTCCGGATGGCATCGTCTTGCATTGCCTGCTGTATTTTCCACATCACGAGCATCCCATCGTAACTGCAGTGATACAGCTTTAAGAGTTGCCGAAGCTATGACTGGCGCAAAAGTTAAGATTTTTGTGTTTTGCCATGTTTGCTTTGTTTCTCGAATTTGGCACCAGAACTTGTCCCCAGGATCTTTGGCCTTTTCTCTTTAGGAACCAAAGGTGAATTCGTCCCGGTAACCGGGCCAGCCTGGTCTACCGGGCTCATGTGAAGAGGCCCTTAACCCTTTAAACCCTAAGATCAGAATTTGAATTCTCATTTGTTGCCCCTATTCATTTCCTGCAGAAGTAGTGGAGAGAAGTTGATAAAATACCAAGCAAAGTCATCGTGTGATCATGTCTGTAATTCTCATGACCACTCTGTTTTACAAAGCATTGATATTACAAGGAGAAATTTGATACTGATCACTCTTAGGGATTGAAGGGTTAAGCCCCATAACCAGCCCAGCAATTTGCCCAGCAATAACAATATGCAAGTATTAGTCAACATTTTCAACAAGTCCACAAGTTTATTTACAATGCCGATTTCATTTTCAGAGATTATTTAATTAAGCTGCTGATCTTTGATCAAGGTAGTGATCGTAAACTTAGAATTGAGTCAACCATCCCTTGCGTGTGAGTAACTTAACATAAATAAACGAAGGCTGCTTAAGAGTAGCCCTTTCAGAAGACGACAAGAGGACAAAATACAAAATAAAGAAAAAATACCAATTGCCATTTAGAAAATAACAAACAAAGAAACAAACAGTACTGACACAACGCTACAAGCAATTTCAAGAGAGGTTATCAATTAGAAATTATCTAAGATTACATTTTTCCGATTAAAATAGCTGTTTTTTTGTTTTTAAGTGAAAAGAAAAAACTAAAAGAAACAAAAAAGCTCGCGAGACCCATAGCCGTTTGAAACGTCACTAGAAGAAACCTTAAATTCAAGAAGCATCGTTTTGAACAGAAACCAGGAAAACAAGGCCTAATTTCTGAAAAAAGTCATCCTTAATAAAGTCTTTTTGCCATTGCTTCCAGAACGTTTCACGCAACCAAAGATTTGCACAGAGAAGCCTTCTATGAAAAAAGAGGGATAAAATTGCAGCTAAATACTGTTTTACTTTAACTGGGTCACATGTTTTCTAGATGGGTAAATTACTCGTTTGCAAGGTTTTCCGCGGTTTGATCCACAGACCCAAAAGATAAAAATGTACAATTTATTACTCTAGTCCTTATCTCAGATTTGTTTCATTGTGGATCACGTGACAATACTGGCGGGACTGCTCTACTCTGAAACTGGGCACTCACATTTAGCACATCTCCCATGATACACATTGTATGCCCCTGCCCTCCCCTCCCCCCCCCAAAAAAAAATGCATAAGCATTGTGTTCAATTTCGCTTGGGATGACTGCAACACCCAGGAGAAATTGCAGTCAAACTGAGAAAATCGTGAACACAAGAAATACTTCTAGAATGTTATTGTGTTGCGAGAAACTAAACTGCAAGCCAGAACGTTAATTTGTTTGGGGTTTTGTGGCTAGTTCACGTGTCCTGATCTTTGCCGTGATTGGTTACAGCACAATCAGTGAAGATGATACCAGAACCCTTTTTTTTTTGGGGGGGGGGGGGGCGACAAGGTGTATTATGGGAGTTGTACAAATGTATAATAATTATTTCTGTATGCGTGCACTCTTCATATCCGACAAGACAGAGGATCAAGTCTGCAAGTGTCACGTGATGTACAATGGGCAGTTATCTTGAGCAGTTTCGACGCTGTAATCAAATTGTGAAGAGTGAAATCAGGAAATAAATACGCATAGGAATTTTCACAAAACACAAGTGAAATTATTTCCTTATTTCTTAGGTATACCATTTGATTCCCTATTAACATCATGGGTGGCAAATTATGCTCACAATCGTGATTTGCTTAAACTCCACGCACTGAAAAGTTATCTTAAAGCTCACAGTTCTATGAATTTTGTATCCAAAAGATACTTGTTAGACTTCTCTTTTGTGTGTCTAGGTTTTCTGTTGCATCTTTTAACGCCCTAACATCTTCATTTGCAACACTGTTAAACCTGGTCACCACCCAGACACTGAAGTATACAGAACGTCGCCATAGCAATTTTGTGATTATAAATCAAGCTGTAATTTTGAGCAAAAACTAAGGAGAAATTTGTCACCCATAACATTACAGTGGTGAGAGGTTGAAATTACGTTATTAACTATGATCTTTCAATACTTAACTTATGTCTTAAGTATAAAATGCATAACCAATGATGAGAAAGGCTTGAGACAAAGGAATTGAGACAAAAAGAATTTTGCCTTTTCGTCTCTCCATTTACTGTTCATTTAAATTACATAAATATTACTCTTAAAATTTCTAGCTAAATCCCCACAAAAGAGTAGATTGGTTATGCAGTGGAGAAAGAAATGAAAAGGATTTCGTATTGTACATATATAATTTTTTTTTTTTATAAAATGCAACCTTTATTCAGTATAAAATAATTTGGAACATTTGCTTAAATATAGACTAAGTCCAAATTCACTTCCTAATATGATTTGTAATCCATTCTAGTCCCTGATACAACCTGAAATAAAGAGAAAAAATTATGCATTTATCAAATTAATTAAAATGTCTGCTGCCCTATGTGTTAACTGTAATTACTGCATTGAACTTTATGAAAAAAATCTGGTGTCCTTTCAAACAACATGATAATGACTTGCTGGAGAATGTGTTTTTCTTGATTATTGTATTTAACAAGGCTGTTCTGTAACAAAAATTGTAGAAGCCCAAAGCTTTAAGGCTGCTTTTCAATAGTGATGGAGTCAGAGTCGGAATCGCAAGAGAAGTTGAGTCGTAAGAGCACTTATGACCTTGTGAAAATAAAAAATTGGAGTTGTAAGCACAGCCATGAGCACAATGGAATGGGATTCACAAGAATCAGAACATTTCCATTTTCTTCTGACTCTGCTTGTGATTCTGTCGTTTACAATCTAGTAAAAAGTAGATTGTCGGAATCGGAAGCAGAAGCACTTTGTAATTGGTTCCGTTCTTTTGCTTGAACTGCTTCCGACTCTGACAACACAGTTTTCACTTGATTGTAAGCAACAGAGTTGTAACCAGAATCAGAACGCTGTTTCACCAGATCGTAAAGTTCTACATGTACACTTCTGATTACGACTCTGACTCCATCGCTAGTGAAAAGCAGCCTTTAATCTATAATTTCTACAAAATTTCTTATTTGTTGTGCTGAGCATATGCGCTGATGGCAGAGCATTTTGGTGATTGAAGAATTTTTTTCTGTATTGACATACCTGCAGAAAATATATTATACTGTTATGAACAAAGTAATATGTAGATGCTGAGTGCTTTAAGACTTTAAGAGGTAAGTTATAGATTGTCTTGGATTAAGAAACAACAATAAAACAAATTGACTTACCCCTCCCCTGTAAGTGCACAACAAGCCTGCAAGGAAAACCCAACATCATTAAATTAATATTAATAGTTACTTGGGGTCAAATTTTAATAGTACAGTCGACTCTCTCTTTACGGACACCTCTATAAGACAGACACCTCTGTAAAACGGACACTTAGAGTTGGTCCCTGCATTTCTTTACTCCCTTTATTTGACTCTCTATAAGATGGACACCTCTCTAAGACGGACGCTTAGTGCCGGCCCCAAAGGTGTCCGTCTTAGAGAGAGTTGACTGTATCAGCATTTCTGCCTAGAACCCTGGAAAGCTCCACTTAAATACAAGCATAAAACTTTCAAAATATTCACGCATCTAATAGACAAAATAAACAACAATACACTCTAATAAAGAAAGATTCCAGAAAGCAACTTAAAATGAAAATGAGCATTAAAAAGCACTACTATGTGATAACAAAATACTGTGATCGACAAAGCCTAAATTATGGCAAGATTGTTAGCAATATAGTAAAGAAAGTAAAATAAATAGACTAACAATTCTGTGGTAACAAAATTAATTTAGAATGTGCATAACTACATGTACGTGAAAAGTTGTGGGACACTGATAACTGTTTAAAGTCAGTTTTAGGAACATCTCATAAATAAGGCAGTCAGTTCTTCCATGGTATTTCCTTAACAGGTTAATTTGCTACTGAGAATAGATTGGCTTTTGATTGTGACTCTCCTTAAGAATAAAAATTGACCAACAAATAACTGTTCAATACACTGAATGTCTGCATTCTTATTTTTGTACCTGTATATGCCATCCATGATCTTTAATAGAAGTAAGATTTAATTGCTCTGATATCTCAGCTACACTCATAGAACCCTGAGAAAAATCAGTCCCTTGTTAGGTTCACACAACTATTAAATTTAAAAGTGAAATCTCAGATGGGTAAGTGGGGTTAGAATAGGAGGAGAGGAGTCTGGGAGGAATAATACCACTCGGAAGGCCAACAATAAGAAATGACAGTATTCAGCTAATGAAAGGGTGCTTGAAACAAAGGTTGACTAAAAAATTTCTTTTTTTTTTGTCTGTGAAATAAAGGGAGAATTTGACATAAGATCATGAGTAACTTGGGGCCTCTTTCCAAAAGGCCTTTAAGTGTGCATTGGAACTGTGATCAGTGAAGATAAGGAAACCTCAGTAATGTATAGTAAAGTGGAACCTTGATATAACAATGTGCCATGGGACTAGCAAAATTTGTTCACTATAACAAGGTTTTGTGATATCGAGGTACCGTATTTATTCGACTATAAGCCGAGCGATTTTTACACAAATTAAAACTGAAGTGAATTAAAATTTGGGCTCTAGAGGGGGTCTCGGCTTATAGCCGAAAGTTTTGAAAAAAAAAAATTTTTCCGGCGCATGGAAACTCTACTAAATCGAGATGTATTTACGTATAAGCCGAGCTAAAGTAAAGAAACACAATATGCAATCGTTGGTTATTAACTTTTAAGAATGTGGTGGCTGCTAAAGGAGCCGTTTGTTAAATTTAATGTGTTTTCACAGAAAAGATAAAGATTCTTGATAGGGAATAACCGTGACGCTGACGGGATGTGATTACAAATCGATGGAACTTGACTGTTTGCTGCTCCAAATCTGCTGAGCGGGTGTTGTTTTGGTGCGAAGGCTGACGGAATGGCGGCGCTTCCATTTCTGGTTCCAGCCGAGGGACGCTTTAAACTCAGGATCCTCGCTGAATTCCTTTGCCTTTAGACGTACCATCGATCCGCTAACAGCTATTCCTATGCAAAACCAGGCTAACAGCTATGCCTGATGCAAAACGAAGTGAGAAGAAACGATCGAAAGGTTAAAAATGTGACACGTGTTGAATTTGTTTTGACATTTGTGAAAACTGGCCAATGAGAATCTTTCATACACCATGTTGTCACATGATACTACGATAGTTTTGAGAGTCACACATTCAACTCATATTCACTCAGCAATCAGCTGATTGATTTACTTCGTGATCTTGTTTCTGTTAATCAATGCTCGACAAAAACTTACCTTGGCTTCTCTGCTCTGTAAACCATTCTAGTATTCTTTGATTGAGCTCCGGATACTTCGGCGTGAAGCATCCCATCGTTTTCCGTTTCGCTGACAATCTAATCTCGCCGTTAAAAAGGTTCGCTTGATCTTTCCTCCAGCGACGGACCATGGACTCACTAATGCCATATTCTCTGGCGATTTCAGAGTTATTTTCAACAGCTTCTGCTTCGGTGACTATTTTAAGTTTAAGCGCTAGGTTGTATCACGTGCGACGAGCCTTGGGCATGATGACAACTTGACTTGAAATAAACGATTGCGAACACGAGATTGTTTGATAGACGCTACGGATGTCTAGGTACTGGTGATGCCGCTTAACAACACAGTTAGTTTTAAATTCATTTTTTGGATCACATTAATTCATCTGAGTTATGATTCATTGCTTTTCAATTGAATAGTTAGTTACGGGTAATAGTTATTAATTCGCATGCGTTTTCTAAGAGGGAAGCTTTTTGCATAATAAATCACCATTGCATCTCGTGTATACGCGTGTGTGTGTTATCGTCTGAGCCTTATTTATGACAATCAATGTGAGTTTTTTCCGAAAATGTTAGGTTTTGCCGTAGTTAACAATTCAGTCTTGTAATAATGAATGGGTCTCGGCTTATAGCCGGGTGTTTTCGATTTATTTTTGGTTCTCGTTATGCCGAGTCTACACGTTCAAAGTTTGGGGTCTCGGCTTATAGCCGATATCGGCTTATAGTCGAATAAATACGGTAGTTTCCATATGTTTTACTATTACTGGGCCTGGGGTAAAGAAAATCATTTGTTATACTGAGGACTTTGTTATATAGAGGTTCGTTATATTGAAGTTCCACAGCTCTATGTAATGTATGACAGCCATTTGCTGATTGCTATGCATTCCAAGGGTCACCAACACCTCCCCCCCCACCTCTCCCTCCTCCTTCAAAGAGACCCATACAGGTATTGTCTTTCACACTTAGTGAAGAAGTGAGATTGGCATTCCTGATCTTGAATCGGGTATCTATTAATTTTGTGACGTTTCCTGGAATGGGGTATAATATTAATTTTGAACACACAAGGGTGACAATACTGACAGAGAAACAAGTATTTCTAGAACAGGGTATCATCAAGTTTGAAATGCAAAATCCTTTCCTTTACAAATAGGGCCCATGAAAAGGAGCGCAGTTTTTTTTTTGGGGGGGGGCACTTGTTCCCTCACCCCTAGGCTTAATAACCATCCCAGCCTCATTAATTAAAATGATTACTGTAGCTCATTAAACATAACATAATGATCATGTTACAATGTAATGTTCTTTTGTCATGTCAAAAAATATCATTGTTAAATCACAAAGCATCTTTAATTGGGCATCCGAAGGTAAATAACTTAATATCATGGGTGACGAATTACTCCTAATCTTTGAGTGAAATTTCAGCATTAATTTGTAATTTCACAAGTGAAATTACAAAATTGCCATGGCAACCTTCTATAAGTCTCAGTGCCAAGATGGCGACAAAGTTTCAAAATTTTATGAATGACAATGTCAGGGCATTAAAACACGCTTTGGAAAACCTAAACACATGAAAGAGCACATTTAGAAGGATTCTAACAGGTATGTTGTCGAGACATTCTGAAAATTCTGAACTTAAGCCAAATTTAAGCTCTAAACTTTTTAGAGCGTGGAGTTCTCTGAGTTCTCCCGAAAGGCAAGGGAAATTATTATGAATTGGACAAAACACTCGTGAAATTATTCCCTAATTTCTCTCATCACCATCTGATTACACATACAAACAAAACAGCAAACCTTTATATCCTGTTTGTTGGCAAATATGAGCACTGCAGCTTGTCTTAAATCCTAAAGTGATGAATGGCATAAAAGAGTAATTTAAAGGTCATAATTGAATCAGTCAACGTCTTGGAAAAAAGAACGTCTGTAGGTGAGTCCTGGTTTACATTTTTTGCCTCATTAACATACTTGTATGCTCACCATTATCTGATAAAGCTAATAAAATAACATCTCTGAATACTGAAAGAGCATAATGACTTCAGCGATATATTTCAGTGATATTTTGAGCCTGATATACAGTCTGTACCTGATGGTTTCCTAGAAATTCTGTTTTGAAAACTCAAAATTTTACAAAAAATGTACATATATATGACTCATTAACTTCTTTGGCATCCAGCAATTTCAGTTTTTGATGGCTGATATTCTCTTCAGTATTGCTTGCAAAGAGCTGAAAATTGCACTAATTGCTCAATGTAATCAGCTCTTTCAACTTTCGATTTTAGTTTGTATATACATACGACACCAGCTTCTTAGATGAGTTAAGTAGTAGGCTAATGAGGTAAGATGTAAACAATAACATAAAAAAAGATTTGCCAATAATTTCTCACCCAACACTGGCCCCGGTTATAGTAAATAATAATGCACAAACAAAAGATGAAAGGTCACAAATATCAAAATAATGTACAACATGTCACTGAATCTACCAAGACATGCTCATTTTCTGAGAACATATATGTACTTTATTTAAGAAAAGCATTTCATTTTTCCTGGCCTAACATTTGCAGCAATGACCCAAACTGTTTTGAGAATACACTGTACACAAGAAGGAACAGACAAATTTACATCTAAAACCCCATGACTACCAGTTAATTACATGTAGATTTATGTAATCTGTATGGAATTTTTGAGGCTAAAACCCAGACACCTCTCATGCAAAACCCCCTCCGCAACGGCAAAAGATGACTGGCACCTGTATTCAAAAGCTATAGGCCGGTTATTTAAACGAATTGTGACTTTGACCGCGGTTTAAGAAATCACTGAACCTCCAGATCTTTTTCCTAAGGGTTTTATTTAAGAAAATAAGTGCTTTTCCAGTCTATGCTTTATGATTAATTCAAATTGTTCACGAAAAATGGTGTTTAGACAAAAGCATTGGGCAAACTGAAAATGACTTAGAAATTTGGTTCTGTTAAACATGCGCTAAACTGTTTAAATAATTGGCCCAATGTGTTCAAGGAATAACTCTCTAGGATGGACAAAGAGAGTTGACTGTACAAAGAAAAGGCTTCTTACCTCATGATTCAACATGTTATAGAGTTCTGCTTTAGTTACAGGAAGTCTTTCTCTGTCTGTGCTATCTACAACTACTATTAAAAACTGACAAGAAAAAGAGTAAAAGTTAGATAATTTACAGGGAGCTTCTGGAGAGTCAAAGAAGTACAGGTGTATATACAGTGTACACTGGTAAACTGCACAGAAATTACTTTGATATACTAGTAGTAAACTGGTTTGAGGAATTTTCAAGCACTTTTGAAATCTAAAATTACAAGGACTTCAAGGAATAGCATGAACCCTGACTTCCACTAGTCTTGGCGATAATTATTTTTTAATTTACAAAATACGCGTAGATGTAACTGTGGTAATTTCTTGTAGCCAACGATTTTGCAGAGTTGGGCAATTTGGCCGAACGTAGTAACGTTAAATTTCATTTATGTGTATTCATGATCAAACATACTTCTGTGTTTGTGTAGTATGTATTCCACGCTGATCGTAAAGACTCTTGTCCTCCTATGTCCCACATTAAAAAGTGAATATTCTTCCATACTACCTACAATACAAAACCAAAGTATTGGAAAACATTAAATTCCACTCTCAATCAGTCAGGGACAAATTAAATCACAAATGTCACAAACAAGAGAGAGAAAAAATGTTCAGTCCAGGTAGGGAAAAATCATCAAGAAAAAAGGTTATTTGAATAAATACAATGATCACCAAAAGGGAAGATGCTTTGATGTTAATTGTTATAATTCATTAATCATTCAAAATATTTCTCTGTTTCTGATTTGCTAAAAACAGACACATAATTCATCATAACCAGCTACTGTTGCACCATTAGGTTGTACTGTTACACTGCGGAACATTTTACTCGTTCCACGACAAACTATTGTCTAAAAACATAGCAAGAAAGACAAATTGACGGATAACATCTGCTATTTGGAGTATATTTGCAGACCTGAACAGTTCTAAACATCCACTACTGAGGGGAACTTAACATTGACAAAGGTAACAACAAAAAAGGCAGAAAAAGTACAGTAAGCTGTTGAGCAGTTAAACTAATCTTACCTCTTCTACATTACTGCCTATTGTTGGTGATGTATGAACAACTTCACTCATTAAACTGCAACACAAAAAAATATTAACTACTACACTTTGCAATATCTGTAGATGCACTGGTGTATAAATTCTGTATTTTTTTCTTTATGGATAATGACAGACATTCTGCACACATAACAATATTCCAGTTTCAGGATGAATAATTATTATGAATTCCAGCTTGAAGAGGGTCAAAAAGGTAGTCACTGGTTAGTCAAGAAGAACTAGCCTTCCAAAAATACAAAACTCAAGCAGAAAAAGGATTTTTTAAAAACACAGCATCCCAGACTCATCAGTCACCTTAGAGGAGATCTATGGTGATCTGCCACATTCATCCCAGATGATAAAGCAAAAAATGGTGCACTTTGCTACCAAGCTAAAATGGAAATTGGCCTGTCACTAAGTTTTTCATTACCAGGTACATACAATAGGCAGGTTGGGAATTTAAAAGCTAGAAAATTATTTTGGTTCTTTTTTTTTCCTAAGAAAGTAGCCGAGGTTTATGCTTAAATAGTGGCCAGGGAAATCCCTGGTCCCTGCCCTGGCCCTTAATGACAGCCCTGGGAAAACATCATATCCTTTCTCATCCTGTAAAAACAAAAAGCTGCTTCCCAATAAAAACTACACATTGATCAACTCCTGGCATCATAGTGAGGTACAGTGGAATTGGAGTACAGGACCTGAAAGTTGTGAAGGCTGATAGAGTGGTCTGTAAAGAACTACATTAATTTAGTCTAAGGGGTCTTTGCTTAGGACAAAATAAATTATAATGATGATGATGATGATTTTTTTCATGATAATTATGTTACTGATCAACCAGAAAATTTGGGGATCGTTCAATTACTAGAAAACCCTTAAATATGGGAGAAAGGCTGCTGCAGATTGTAGCTGCAATAATACATTGTACCACAGACAACTTTTCTATTCTTGAAGGGACACCAACATGGCGTCTCCATACAAAGCTTTATAAATTTGGGTATATCGTTTTTCCAAATATCTCCCAAATGAAATATCACACAGATCTGACTTTTGATGAGGCTTTTTGTATATTTATCTTCTTTTATTTCCCAGATTCTGGACATTCTGTATTGAATGGTTTGCACTTTTATTTTTGATGGCGTGCAGTGAAAACAGAGAGTTTCACTAGAAAAAGATCACACACTGTACATGCACATATTTTATTGACCATAAAGCACACCCTCTACTAAGAAATAAATATCAAATTCTAAATACTCACAATTGATATAAAATTGTTGTCTTTCCAGCATTGTCTAACCCAACAATTATCACCTTGTGTTCTATTAAAGAAAATGAAGTACATAAATGACTATAATATTGATAGGTGTATCTGTGTTGTCTCTAAGATTTCAATTTGCTGGGAAATATGCAACAAACCCATATGGAATTTTTCTCAGGTGAAACCCTCTCAGCAATGAAGAATGAAGAGAGGCGGCTGTTTTCAAAAGCAGTGTGTTTAAAGCATAACCAAGGTTGTCACTAAGATTTCAAGTTGCCGGGTAAAAACAACAAGTATGCAGGGGGATCTAACAGCTGGGGATTTCTTTTGGTTCTATTTTTCTTCTATTTTCCAATGAAAGTAGCTGGGAAAATTCCCGGCCCCTGGCTCTCAATGACAGCCCTGAGTGTATGAAATTTAGCAACTTTGAACACATTTAAGCATTCTTCCTGAAACCAAAGAAACCTGGACAATTTAGGGATCACATAAGGTTTCTGGGAAACTTCCCACCTACCGAGGGCTCAAAATAATGGCCAGTCAATGGACAATGTCCCGCCAAAATGTTATCTTGACCGGCCAAAAGCTCTACTCTCTGGTCATGTTGACTGTTCACGTATGTCTTGAACAAACATTCAAATCCTCACCGGTAAATCTTAGATTTCACGTTAGATCACATTCACTGATTAAATTACACAAGGATTAGTTCACCTTTTTTCCATGTTTTTGACCAGTCAAAAATGAGATGACCTAGCAAAAATTTATTTGGCCCCGGTCATCGTGTCCGGTCCTGCTACCCCTCCCCTAAGCCAACATTAACCATTTTTACTTCTCACTTGGGGCAAAACGTTGGCTTAGGGGAGGGGTAGGTGGACAGTTTCCTAGAAACGTAAACATGACCTCTAACAGGGTAACCACCTTTTCTGATCACACTTGAAAATTAAAAAACCAGCCAAAACAGAAGCATAACAGAAGTGCATGCCAGGGAATTGAAAACTGAAGAGTGGACAGAGCTGTAAGAACATTCTGCCACAGTTGTTTAAATAGTCCAAACAAGTAACTTCTAAAATAATATGCAACTATACCTTATTGGTATAATTTTGCAGGTACTTAATTTCACCATTTTGGGAAGACAGTATTTCGCAGGGTTTTATTTTTGCAATTTAAATAGGAAAATATGAGAAAAGGGATTTAAATTTCCTGAGGATTTTCAATGGAAGGTCTTTTATTCTGTGATTTGTTTACAATCACCAAAAATGTGAAATTAAAGACCTACTAAATTAAGAACCAGTAAGGTAGCCTATGTACAGGCGCACCTTCCCCTCAGAAAAAAAAAACAGAGAAGCCCTTTCTCGAGGCCCTGCCAGGGTAAATTTTGACAAGCGACATGGCCCAAAAAGTAGCAACAGCGTGTAAAATGAAATCGTGACAAGAGACAACCTCCCTCTTGCGACAGTGACTGCAAAGCCGACAATAAGCAACAAGCATTAATAAACCCTGACACGAGACGTTTTAAATTCAGACTGGCGACATGGGACCTCTCCTGGCAGGGCCTCTTTCTCCACTTTTTTCTGAGGGAAGGAGGCAACTGTACAGGCTAATGCAAATATAGCCACAATAGCACCAGATTTCCCGTAACAGTTATTTTAAAGACACAGATGTTTTTCCAAATTGTAGGTATCTACCGGTAACTTATGTACATACTTGACAAAAGCATAAAACTTTATGTGTAAATAAAATATTGAACTTTGGCATCAACATAAGTAGTGCTGGAACTTTTTGCTTCTGTATCGGCACATGACATCTGAATTTAGGTTCATACGTATGTTTACGCCTGTGTCACAAGTGGGGATTGCTCTTTAAAGCTGTGTTTTTAAACAGCTTTAACATTCAAATTAAAAAATGTGAGCACAGTTAGAGTAAAATGAAGAAAAGTGACTTTATTGATAGACAACTCTGATCCCACAGATGAAAATCCCCTCCCACCCCTCCCCCCCCAAAAAAAGACAAAACAATACATACACTGTTAAAAAAAAAACATACACACCAAAGGGGCTTAGGTTTATCATAACTATTAGAATCTTTAATTTCCCGCTGACTATCTTTAAGATCAAGTAGTGGCTCCTGTGGAAATGTTTGTTCCAACTGGACCCGTAATAAAACCCAAATAAAACAATAATTATTTGTGTAAATTATTTTATATTTGCGAGGGCACTTATGTAACCTGCCGTGATTGTGACAAATTTCTTCCTATTATTAAGTATTCTGTTGACCCTTTTAACGTACATAATATGAAAGATAAAATAGATTCAGTATTCACTCCTCTCGTTCCATAGATATACTCCGCTCAAGATGGTATGACGAGAAAATTTGTCGAGCTAACAGTATATCGTATGTCCAATGATAACATCTTTTCGGTCAATTTTTTTTTCGTAAGACATGAATAAAAAGAGAAAATGAGAAAAATTACTCAAAATCAGAGCCTTTATCATTTTTAAATATTACTAGGAACGTGCCACTTCGCAATACAATTATAATTTGATTCATTCAATTTTGATAATCATATAATTCAAGATCGTTTCTTTTCGGGATCAATACCCATAAAGAGTACCGACACAAATTCTGTAGTTCAACTCGGTCATTCGTTTTAAAGACGTCTCAACACCCATCTTATTAAACTAAACTTTACAAAGAACATCGGTAAAAGATAAAAGTTACAGACATAAGTTAAAATTGAGAAGAACATCATTCGTTTGCATATACAACACGCACCAAAAGTATAACTTAAGCTAATGTCTTACCTTCGTTACTAAACCAGCTAAACAATTTCGCAAACAGCAATCCCATCTCATGACCATATAAAAATTGTCAGATGAATAAATAAGCAAATCAGGAGGAACTGTTGATCTTCGCGAGAGATTTTTCCTAACAACCCACTAACACTTCCAAATCATCCGATATCTTGGAAAAGATTTACGTTAAGACGCATGCTCAATAAGGTTACAGGAACGTGACGTCACTAAGAGCCTTGAGTTCCGGTTGTGCCGGAAGTCAAGTGAGACTAGATTTGACTAGAATATATTAATTGAAATTAACAAAAATCGAAGTTTTCTCTTGTCGTTACCAAAACCACAAAAAGATAAAAAAAAAACTGTAAAAAAACAATGCTCTTAAAATCTAAACATGTAGTGATCTCAATACTGGAAAGTAAAGAAAACTTTTCTTTCCTCAATTTTGTTTATCGTACGGTACTACGATAGAGGCTAAAGATAGATTCTCACTTCCCGTAACTCTTAATCCCCAAATTGTTTGACCTCTTTCACACATGAGTAGGTTTACTATGAGGCACATTATTCTAAGAAACAGACTATTTCCTACTTATTACTTGATATCGAAAAACCGCGGAAGCTGGAGGCGTAAGCCGTGCTGTCAACTCTCCCGGATAATCTGGGAGACTCCCGATTTTTAACCGTTTCTCCCTGTCTCCAGATTTAGAGTCTGGAATCTCCCAGATATTTGCCGAAGTTTGCTATTTCTTGTAGATTCCACTTTCTGTCGATGAATTTTAAATTTTTTTGCGTTGTTTGAGCTATTTAACTTTTAACATTGAACGTTTCCTCAGCAAGCTTAGTATGCCATTGTAATATAAGCAATAATGTGATTGGTGGGAAGTAAACCAGTAAGCAATAATGTGATTGACCTGGGAACGTCGGGGTTGAACCAGTCAGGTAAGCGATGAGCAAATGTTACGCAATTAAAAATGCAAACCATCTTTTGAAAAAATTTTTTTGCAATATTTCAAATGACCTCATGTTTCCTGCATTATGACGTCGGGGTTGACAACAGAAACATCTGTTTTCGAGTTTTCCTACTAATGCCTTCGCTTGAGGAACTCATAAAGATTACAGTAATATTTATTCTGAGACAAGGAATGTTTAGATTGCAAAATCTCCCAAAATCGGTTACCCACATAAGAGCTTTCCCGGCCGCCAGCTAAATCCATTTTTACTTAAAACGAAGCCCTTTCGGCGCGTGAAAGTAGAAACTCAGAAGAATCGATTTTCTTAGTTTGATTTTTTGAGACGTCACGGGTGATGACGTCATAAAAATGAAATTTGTGAAATTATTTTGTTAAGCTATTCTGAAAGAACAACGTCCAAGACGCCTACTCGTGAAATTGTCTCTGAGATATTAGCCCAGTTATGTTTTCCAAAAATCCTTCTAAATTTGGCTTGGTTCAAATTATAAGAAGGATTTGTATGGAGTCATCAGGAAAACAATGAAATTTTTTGTTTTAAAATGTTTTATTTTTTTTACATTCCTTATGAACACGGAACACGTAAAGAAAAAATACAAAAACGGTTTATACATCGCAGACTAACACACAATTACATACTTAATACAAAGAAGAAAACAAACGAAACAAAAACCCAGTACCTTCTTTTCTATTTACATGAAAAAAAAAAAAAAAAAAAAAAAAAAATAAAAAAAAAAAAAAATAATAAAGATTAATAATAAATGAAGTAAGCGGAGAAAAGATCGTATGCTAATCAGTTTTATATTTGCCCCATTTCATATTGTGGGTCTCCAACTTATTGTTTGACTCAGCGATCATTGTCTCTATTAAGAAGACAGTATTAATTTTGGAATGAAGAACTCTGATGGAGGGAGGATATTTGTTCTGTTTACAAGAGTATAGATATTGTTTTGCCAGCAATAAATTGTTGACTCCTCGTTCTACGTTGTTTTTCACAGTACTTCGGAAGGAACAGGAGGAATCCTAGCCTGAGAATACAGCCGCCATACATCGCTCACTGACGGTGGAAAGTTACGACCCAAGAGATCAACGATGCCGAGGTGGTTGTATTCGCAGGCTACAAGGAATCCTTGCGGTGTGCTTTATTTATTTTATTTCATTGTATTGTATTGTATTGCATTTTAAGTATTTCATTTCATTTCCTGTTATTATATTTTAAGGTCCCAACAAACTGATCTTCCTCTTGGTCTGTTGCTCTCGCTGTATTTCTTCCGAAACGGAGATCTAGGGTACACTTGGGAAGTGTGTCCTAAAGAAGAGAGTGTGTAGTGAAGCACTGTCCTTAACTCAACTGGCATAAATAGCTGAGGGTGTAGCTAGAAATTTTTCCGGAGGTACGAATAGTTTTCCAATTCAACCCTATCCCGTCCCCCAAATCGTTTTAACGGGGTTTTCTTGATTGTTTACAGGTCGTTTCGCTGCAAAATGAAGTCGATTCGCTGGAAAGTCCTTTCGCTGCATCATGTCCGGATGGCGCTGCAATTGACTTTTTGTATAACACCCTTTTAAAGACACTTAGAATTAACTAGCAAACGGATAATACTAACGAGTTAATTACCATTTCGCTGAGTCAATCACCGGAAATTAAATTTTTCGGCCCTTTTTAGCTGATTTTTGGGCGGCCATTTGTTTTCGTTGCGATACAGTTGTGGGCTAATGATCTCGGATTTTTCTTTGGTTTAAGTGTTTTTTGTTGTTATAGGTAGATAAGGTCAACATAAATTCAAGATCTGAAGAGACTTAACTTTTATTTGGAAGGGTACTGATAGAGCTAGGGATTAATTGACGAATGAATGAATGAATGTTTTGTTTCCGTTTTTCATTTCATGTTCCCTGGCCTGTTTTAATAATACCCCAAATTTTCTGCAACAATGTTTACGGGAAATAAATAGAAATTTCAAGGGAAATGCTTAAATACTCAATTCCAAAGTGCTCAAAGTCAAGACATAACTCAGGTGCCCTGCGCAACGTAACTAGTAATAGGAGAACAGATTTCCTTTGAAGTTAAGGATACGGTAATTAGGAGGAGAGTATTGTCTTTGTAAGATCGTCGACGTCGAGCGCTTTGTGTCACGGGCGACCATCTTACGGTAAGACGCGGTATATCTAAACGATCTCACGAAAAAATAGGGGACTGTGAACAGTCTATCATTGCTTCAGCTGATAGACTTGGAAGGGTTGGGTACGGAGTTGTGGCACAACTTCCACAACCAGGGAATAAGGCATACAATAAGCTGTGGAAAATCTGTGACTCTTTGTCTCCTGAGAGGGCTAATACCGAGCTGCAGTCTTATTTTACTCACACACACAAATTCTAAAGAAATTTGCATTACCACGAGGACCACAAGAACTAAAACGTCCATGACGAGAGGACTACAAGAAGCAAAAGATCACCATGATCACAAGGACCACAAGACCTCAGTGACCATGACAACCACGATAAGGACGACTAAGGAAAGACGAAGACCACAAGGACTACGACGGCTGCAAGGACCACATCGGCTACAAGTATCACGACGACAAAGACCACAACTACAATGAGGACCACTACCACTAAAACGGCTTTGACGTTTAGAACGATGGCGCCGCTAACGCGATCACACTACAAAAACGCTCATGACAAACCAGAAGGACCACAACAACCTTGCAGACCGCAAGGACCACGATGGCCCAGGACTACGACAACCACGATGACCACAAGAACCAAGAAGATCACGTTGACCACGTGAACAGGCAGATCGTTCGCTACAAGGCAAAAAAGAACACGTAAACAATGTAAATGTAATGACGTTTTATTGGCAATTTTGCTTCCATCTGCGGCGTTTAATCGGGTAAATACGGCAACTCAGCGACCTTCTTGTAGTGAGTCTTTGTCAGCAGCAACCGCATGTGAACGAAAAGACATTGTTTGCCATTCAAGTATCACTTTATCCTTCAGAAATTCTCCTTGTGGTTTGCCAGCATTTATTGGAAGCATTGCAACATAAACTGGTGTCTCTGCGCCTGAAGAAACAAACAAAACAAAAAACTGTAATTTTACTTCCTTTTCAAGCAACGTTGTACAAACACCACAGATTGTTGCCACGGCTGATTGACATGGGCCCGTTTCTCGAAAGGCCTGGTGACTTTTCGGGCCCGAAGGCAAATTTTCATCAAAATCAAAACCTATTGAATAGTGGTACAGTTCCTAGGTCACAAACAAGCCAGTTTTACTTCATCGTTAATTCATAGTTTCACTGAATCCTTTTCAAAACTATAGAAACTTTGATGTTGAATGCAAACAAAGTAAACCAGGCCCGAAAGACTACCGTGAGACTTTCGAGAAACGGGCCCATGCAGTTTTCCAAATTTCCTGACTTTTCCTTGATAAAATTGCATTTCCATGGCAAAATAAATACAAACTGTAAGATGCAGTAAGCGGCTTTCAGCCTCACCTTACTTCCAATTTTTTTCATATTTCCGTCCTTGGAAGTGACTGCTCTGCGCAACCTTAACCGTTTAAAAAAGACAATCTTAACCCTTTAAGATCCCCGTGTGACCAACATCAAATTTCTCATAACCTCAATGCTTCATTAAGAGGAAACCTTATGAGAGAAAATGAAATGATCACTTGTTTAAGGAAATGTATGGAGATTAGTCTGTAGAATGTATATGTTGAAATTCGGACTTTCAAAAGGGTTAAGAGATCACTAGACTTGCTACAAGTCGACCACTTGGCGAGCGGAGCGAGCGGTTTTGTCCGCGAAGCGGCCGACCGCGAGCGACGAAGTCCGACGAAGGACTTTTTTGAAAGTCTAAGAGATCACCTGCAGTGACCTGAAATGCTTCTCCCAGCCTTTAATGGCATTTAGCGTCAGTGGTGTTTTAATTGAACTACAATTCCATAACAATACAAGCTTAATACTTTCTCAGCTTATTTCAGTATGAGGCCTGAGGGATTTCACAATTTACGAGAGTTTTCAAGACAAGACAGCAAGGATGTTATGCAGCTATATAGGAATTGAGCTCACTAAGAAGGGCGAGAAAAAAAAAGGAAAGGAGTTTATCTCACTAGATTTTTCTCAGTACATTGGCGATCGAGTGTCGACCGTTACCTGGCCGACACGTCGACCGACATATCGGCCGATAGTGTCAACCGTTACCCGACCGAGGGGTGCACAAATTACACAAGTTCCTTCTCTCTCAAGGAAAGCCACTGTCAAGTGTCCTTTAGCGCACATCTCACTATGACAGACCCCTCTCTAAATTTGATGACTGCTATTCTTCATTAACTTTCTTTGACTCTCTATAAAGGGAACACCTCTCTATTTAACAGGCCTTATAGAGTTGGTCTGACATTCTTAATCAAGTCATTTTCTTTGACTCTCAATAATGCCATAAGACCCCCCACCACCCATCAAAATAAAAACTAATCGCTGCTATCTGTCGTAGAGAAGGGCTCTTATACAACCCAGGTAATCAACATGACGCCAGCTTTTACACATCAGTTCACTCTTATCTAAAATGGTTTGCCGATAGTCTACAAACCTTCATCTGGTGACTTTGCTGCTTTCGGCCCAGCCATGTCTGTACGTACCCAGCCAGGATCACACTGAAAAGTGGAGTTTTGTTTAGATCCAAATAAAATTATGACAACTTTCAAATGTAGCCACATTAAAGGAGCTGTGTCACGAAATTCAGCCAAATTAGGAAATTAGAAAATGCCCGTTAAATTAAGACAAACCTAAAAATAACCGCTTAAAACTTTAAAGGACGGCTAAAATAACATAACAGAAACAACTCATGCCACGGATGGGCAAAACTGAAGAAGATTGAAACGGATTGAAATTAGGGTCTTTGAAAACCGTTCAGCCTAACAGTTTTTCAAAGTTTGCCCCTGCTGCTTGCAACTTCAAAAATAATGCTCAGGAGACGTATTTGTTTGTCTCGGGTCTCTGATCTTGTCATTTACATGTAATTTCTTTGCTTACTTTAAGTTCCATAGCGATTGAGGGCGAGTAATTGGCAAAATTAAACAAAATGAACTGGACTGCCGTGACACAGCCCCTTTAACTTGTCCTGATGGCACGGGTAATAAAAAACAACAACTAATAACAACCTGATTACAAATTTCCTCAAAATCCCACACCACAAAAATCACTGAGTGCTGATTTTTTCCATACAATGGATTACATCCCCAGATTCTAAGAACTAAGTACAGAACAATAGTCCCATGTACAAGTACTGCTAAAGAAAAGGTCACTAAGGATTCATTTGAAAAGGAATTTGCCATACCACAGGATTTCGTCCACAGACTCTTAAGTTAAATTTTTGACATACAAAATATAATGAACCCTGTGAAGTTGCTGCCAAGAGGTTTTATTTACTTAACAGACACATAAGAGGACTTCACTATGCATATTCATGTACAGATAACTTGTCAGTTTTATACTTAGTTGTATACTTACAGTATTTATAAGGATGTCCTCTCTAGGATCTTCTGTTATAGTTCTTGCAAGGATCTTAGTAAGAGCTATAACTCCAATATGTGAGGTTCCATACGCTGTGAAGGTAAAACAAAACCAGTAAGCAGGGCCGAGCGAAATAAGCCCGCTAACTTCAAGTTTGAAAATGGGAGGATTTGTGGACTAAATGACAGGCTACTCGCCCTGAGAAACAAGCTCCTTAAACCCCTAATGACAGCCCTCCGAACAGTTACATACTTTCTTTAAAGACAATCTAGTGACACACTCACCTGTGAAAGATAACACGTAAATGCAAATGAAGATGTCAACATAATTTTTTCATTTCTATTGTTTTTTTTTCAGGAAATGTGATCATGAGCTTTTCCAATCATTTCAATGACATATAAACCATGAATAAGCTAACATACAGGGCTCAGCTTTCTCACCAGTGTTTGACCATCCTTTCTGTGAATGGACTCCATCTTTAACATCTCTGAGAATAACATAAACATTCAAAGACGCTCAGCAGGAATTTAAACTTAAAGAAAATTTTATGAAATTAAGGAGGAGTTTTTCAATTACACTGTGCTTGGGTATCCTGTACAACAAAGTCTCTCCAGGTGCAACATCCGTTAAACGATGATTATGTAAATGATATTTCTTAATTCAGTGTTTTAATCTCGCACCTCCTATCATATCCATCCTTAAAGATCCTTTCAGTGCATTTCATACTAGATATTCCAGCAATTAAATCCATTCAGTCATTGCACTGCATTCATCACAAATAACGTGATATAAACTAAGAAAAAAGATGATTAAAACTGGAACCACAGTTTGAGTTCATATTTACATACTGCAAAAATTGATCCATCAACTTGACAAGGCCTTCTTCAGTTAACGATGGGGAGGAAAATTTCTTTTGGAGCTCTTCTGATAGCTGAGATAAACCTCCTAAATGAGAGGAAATATTCACCAGCCTGAACACAACAAGTAAGAAATTAAAACAAAAGTTGTTATTATTAATGTACAAAAACCAAACCCCACTGACCCTTGACATGCCCAAGTTAACATCCAGATACATCTAAAGAAAATACAGTGTAGGTTCCTTGAACACAAGTCAGTCAACGTCAAATTTGTGTTGAAGCTTTCTATTAATAGTAATTGCAACAATTTTTGTTTACCTACAAAACACTTACATGTAGGAGTTCTTAAGAGCTTGAGTGTTTAAATGTGTCCGTGCATTCCAAATCGAATAAGAATAGGAAATGTTGGCTTTTAAGGAGAGGGGAAAACCAGAGTACCCAAAGATTAACCTCTTGCAGCAAGGGTTAGAACCAACAACAAACTCAACCCACATAATTATAATGTCCATGCCAAGATCTGAACGGGTCACACTTTGATGGGAGGTGAATGCTCTCACCACTGCGCCACCCTTGCACTCCTAAGTGGACATGCAGCTATACTCATGGCCACCTTATCCTGTTGCTGTTGGAGAATCATTACTGTAAATGGCCAGTTCCAGTCATGGACACTTTTCCTATTTCCCTAGGGTTTTTTGCTTATGAGAGTTTCTGTTACACAGAATATTAACACTGCTTGAGAATATTTCACATACATGTATTTTGCTCATATATTTTCTTAACTTTACAGCTTTTGAAGTTTGTAACGCCGAATAACTTTCTCTTTTTTGCACATGGGGTTTTTGCTTACATCAAAAAACATCACATTTTCTTTCCAATTGGTGCCCAAACGCCTGACAATTAATACAAATGCTTTTAACAATTAAATTTCTATGCCTAGCTTTTCAACTTTACTATCAAATGGTAGATGAAATGAATATAATTTTTTGGACTACTTTAGCGAGGGTGGAATGACATTTCATGCACTTTTAAAAAGGAACTTGCAATGGATAGCCTACACTGGGAACCAGTGGGTTTTTCTCCAAGTGGTGATTGAGTGCAGGGGAGATCTTTCAGGGTTTGCTGCAGGCCGAAATGTTTTTGCCCGAAGACCGAAGCTACAAGCGGTGAAAACAGAAACCGCACTTAAAAAGTCTCTGGCAGGCAAGGTATATAAGGGTAGCCCAAGTACTATGGTCTGAGCCTTACCTATGGGGTGCGGTTCTGGTAAGAAAACATGACTCCTCAGTTAAAAGGAACGACATCAATGTTATTGGGGTAACTATGAGAATATCATTGGTTAATCATGATCCTAACCTCGCATGTGGTTTCAAGATCGGTAGCATTGCCTTACACATGTTAAGAGTGCCATGAAAATTGGTGCGGAGAGTAACTTCTGCTTGCTCTGCAAAGGGTGCTGTTGATGCCCTCTAAAATTACAAATTCATAATTTCATGACAATATATTATTAACAAGAAACTGTAATGACTGACAGATGATAGACTTCAACACAACAGAAATGTTTTAGTTAGCTCGAGACTGAAAACTCCTTCTTTTAATATATACATTTGGTTCGTGCCATTTTCCATTCATTTTCTTTGGCTTTCTTTAAGTTAAGACAGACACTTCGTACCAGTGCCAACAATGTCTGCCTTGCATTACTTCAAGATGTGATGATGAAATTCGTAGTAATACTTATGATAGTTTGATTTTTAAAATTCAATATTTAACAGCTTTAAAGAACAAACCTTATATGCTATCCCAGCATTATTAACAAGAAGATCCAATCCACCATACTCATCTATAAGAAATTTTTTTATTTTCTCAATGCTTTCTTCTGATACAATGTCCAGGGGATGAAATGTTGAAGTTAGCCCCTCACTGCTCAGTTGCTTCACTGCCTCTTGTCCCCTTTGTTCATCTCGTGCTAGGAAGGTCACATTATTATTATTATAATTATTGTTGTTGTTGTTCTTTGTTAGATTCAAGCTGGAACGGTAGGGTAATTAGCACGAAGGCACAATTGGCTGAAGACAAGTTTCTTATTTTACCGTACATTTATAGGCCCTATTAATTGATATCACGTGCACCACGTTGGTGTCTCAAAGCTTGTGTACTACTGTACTGCAGGCCATGTCAGTGAAAACGCTCTATTATGCAAGTTTCATATGGAGCAGGGGTTACATCAGTTGTTTTTTTGTAGAAACGTCTAGTCTAAACCATGTTTAGAATAACATACCAGCCTGTAAAAGGCTGTGACATGGTCTGAAAGGGCTACTGCACTACCAAAATGAGGAAGTGCTTAATTGGCATTGCAAATGCCAGCTGTTTTCTCAGGCTACCGTAAATTCTGTATCAAGGCCCCCTCTTCAAAAAGCCCTCGATCCTCCCCTTTATTCTTTAACAGTGAGGCATCCAGACCTTCAGATAAGAGGCCGGGGCCTCTATGGAGTGGAGAGCCATACTACGGTTAGGAATTTTTTGTTGTTTGTAATTTTAGTAATTTGGAAATAGTTGATATACTATAAAAGACATGTATGTATGCATGTATATGTTTTTAAGGGGGCCCCCGGTATCAAAAAAATTTTTTTCCGCCTTTGTGCCTCAGTTTGGTCTAAAAATAAGGGGGGGGGTCTCGGGCCCTTCCCCTTTCTTCTTTAACGACAGACTGACACTTTAAATGCTTTAAATGGACTGATCTGCATCTGGTATGATTTATTCACATGCTGGAAGTTTGGATTTGTTTTTGATCTTTCGCTGCATGGCCTCCAACTACATGTGCCTGAGATTTTCCACTCTCTGTTCTAGTTTTTATGGAGAACTAATATCATCATCTTCGCTACATTAAATAAGCCCCCTCCTCTCTATTAAGCCCCTTTCTCAAACATGCTTGAAATAAGAGAATGGATGGATCTTAATAGAGGATTTACAAGGTACCTCTGACCTTTGTGACCCTAAAAAATCCCAAGTTAGAATTTCAGACTCCCAATCCCCCCCCCCCCTGCCCAACCCTTCCAAAAAACAAACAAACAAATGAAAATGCCAGTCAGGAATATAATATTAAGTGTTCCAGGGGGTATGTGGGGAAGGAGGTGTGGTCTTCTGTTCCCAGTTGTGTGTGAGAATTAAATAATAATACAGATATAATGGGCTTAAATATCTTCCACGATGGCCCTATGTGCATTCAACACAATGCTAGTCACCTAGCCTAAGAAGAGAGCTGACATTTTGCGATGCCATCACTGCATGGTTTACCCTTAGGTTTACCCATGAAAAGACGTCTGAGAAACTAGCACAGAAATTCCATACTGATGATGTGTCACTACCCAGATGGCACTTCTGATTGGCCATGCCATGTGGGAAATTGCTTCAACCAATCAGAGGAACCACACAGATCTGGGCAGTGACGAGTCATCAGTATGGAATTTTTGTGCTTGCTTCTCAGGCGTCATTTCGCAGGGAAATCAGTGGTGCGTCGCAAAATGTCGACTGTTTGCTCAGGCTGTAGTCTCCTACGCAGCTATTTTGGTCTCATCACGAAATGTTATTGTGTTCCTCCCCAAGGAAAGGGAAGGAGCGTTGCGTGACGAAACAAACACGGCTGTGTAGGATTGAGACTAACGCAACACCAATCCAGTTTCATGCGTAACCTTAAAATAACCAATGGAAATAATTTTGTGCTACAGTACGTACCTGTCAGAATGACCGTTCCGGAAAATTCTTTACAAAGTTTTCTAACAATGGCAAATCCTATTCCTTTGTTTGCGCCAGTTACCTTCGGAATAGAATTCATTTTTGCAAAACTTTAGGTGATGACTTGTTTAGTAAATTATGGGTAAAGCTGTGTAGTAAAGAAAGTGTCACACTTTCCTTCACTTTACTACCATATGAACGTACATTTGTTTGGCAGAATAAAGATTTAATAGAGGTGTGGAGAAAGGCAATGTTCAAACCCCAAACTTTTGCCTGGTGCTGTTTTGAAAAACTCTTGATTTGCAATTATTTTAAGTGGCCCTACAAAAAAACTATAAAGGAGATTTTAATTCCAATGATAGGGTAAAGGTTTTTTTCATGTAAACTGCAGAATATAGACCTACCACTGCGACTCGGGAAGAACTGGAAGACATCTTCGATTCTTGGCGCTTCGTGACCTTGTGATCCGTTACTAGTGAAACTTAACGAGGGAGGGGTGGAAGAATTTTATCGTGCACCGGAAGCAGGTAAGGGCTGTTGAATTTATCGTGAATGACTAATTAAATTCCAAAAGATTTTAGAAAAATATAGTTGAGAAATTTTCAGAGGTAAAAATTAGAAATATTACACAAAATATGCTTAAATCGGAGTTACCCAGCCAACCATAAGGACAACACAACACTAATAACTCAACACCCACCCGGTGAAACCCGGCGATTGCTTAATATGTAACCCAGTTTCCCCACTCGGTCAAGCTACTCTGTCCGAGTTTTTGACTTCACACACTCTTGCATTTCAAAAAATGTCGTCTTCTAAAGTCGCTGTGGTAAGCTATTTACATTAGTATTGTACTAAAGTAGCAAGTTAGCCTGTAGAAGGGGCGTTTCTTGCGTTTTTTAGTCGAGTGGTGCTAAGGCAGGCTGGGCAGGGCAAGCGTGACTCAACTACGCCTATGAGCATGTTGTTCATGCTGCTTGTCGAAGTAGTTAATATACTGCTGCCTCACATCATTTATCAGCAACAGAGCACACTATAAACATAAACTGTTTCATTCACATATTTGACTTATATGGCGTAAAAAGTAGGGTCTTACGTATTATGGTAGCCTGCTGTGGTAATGCCGGGGGTATTATTTTTAGTAGCCTGTGTGGCAGGTGCAAAAAGGGGAAGGGGAGGGGGAGGGAGAAAAACACGAAAGAAGGGAAAGGGAAGGGAGCGCCTGCTATAAGAGCCGGTGTTTTTGTAATCCGCCCACCATTTTCTCAACTAATCCGATAATGTCACTGTCAATACGTGACCAATCACAAGTACGGGGCTTCTCAGCATGGTCCGAACTTAATTACTTTGTTTACCGGAAATCGTCAAGTTGAGACGCTTTTTTCAAGTGATATCATAATCGAGCGAAATGAAACATTTTTACTGTTCTTGCTCCCGCAGCAAACATGACAAACATAGACTACGACCAGTCTCTCATTTTTTTACTGTTCGCAGTCTACCACAAACAATGATCAGTTTCGTGTGAATACACAAGACCTTTTATCTTACAACCTCATCAAGCACCGTGATGGTCACAAAGAACAGAACATTGGCCAGCCTGAGACGCGAATAATGAAAGTAACGGAGAAATTATAAACAATTGTCAAGACGCTCAACGGATAGTTTTTACCAAAGCTTCAGCTCTCTCTTTGCAAATCATCTAAAACTCCATTCAAGACGGTATATGTTTTTGCGGAATAGGGGGTCTTTTGAATATCGACATTGCAGATGTCTGGCAAGAATCGCAATCGCTTTGAATCGCTGCTCAGTGTATGGACAAATCCAGTATACAAAACCTCCTGAGCATCTCTTCCTGCTAAACAAGCTGTTACAATTGGTTTTAGTTCGGGTTTTAACGTGAAGTTGCTACATGATTGGAGTAATTTTGATCTTCCAAAGCTTATGCCAGTAGAACACATTTTCTTGATGCTTTCGTCATGTCTGTCGCTCACACTAATACACGCCAGGATACACGCCAATAAGTTACTCATTACGGCTCAGCCAATCAGGAATTTGTGGACGCCAGCGTCCGCAGAAATGAACAGAAGGGAGTTCTTATAGCAGGTGTCCCTTCCCCTTTCTCCCCAATCCCCCTTCCCTTTTTCCCTTTCTCCCTATCCCCTACCCCTTTCGACGCCTGCCACGCAGGCTATATTTTTATGTATCATTTATTAATGACAGACAAAAGGTCAGAAAGATCAAAATAATGTAAATGTCATGAATCCACTATAAAGTTGTTATTTGGCTGCAGCTTGTGTAGTACAGAAGAGCACAAAACTTTACGATTGTTACATAATAGACCAGGGGAAAAAAAACTCGAACCCATGGTTACCCGGGTGGGTGAAGGGAGTGTAGAAAGATGTAAACAGCATTATTAACACATGATTTTAAGTCTGCTGCAGCTTGTTAGACTATTTGTGTACTCAAAATGTCATAACAAAGTCTAAAAATAGTAGAGTAAACAAACCTCAAATGATTATGTTGGGAAAAATTCATGGAGGTACCATTTAGCAAATCCAGACAAATATACTTGTTAGAATATAGTTCAAGTTCTTTTTTGTTTATTTTCTATAAGGTGACAGGAGCTAACAAAGGAATTGGATACGCAATAGTTAAGAAGCTTTGCAAAGAGTTTTCAGGGACTGTTATTCTTACAGGTAATTTTGGTGATTTATTTACTGTACTGTATATTGTGATGCAGTTTACTAAAACATGCTATAACCAGTTTGAGGATAAGTTGCTGGTTTTGAAAACTTTAGTGTGTGCTTTGGGACTGGCACAATCAAACCTCCTATAACTAGTAAGCTACCACCCTAAGCGTGGAGACTGGTTACTTCGAGAGGTGGTTGCTTACAAGAATCAAACTACAGGAGGTCTTTTGTGAGTGAAAGTCTTGACATATCCACATTTGTACTCTTTTGAAGAGAATTTTTTGTATGCAGTTTTCAAGTTATGATATTGGTAGTTACATTTTCTCACTAAAAGTTGTTTGTATATTTTGAGTATCTTAGCATGTAAAGCTAACGTACAGATCAGACCATGTGTCAAGTGGTTGCTTATGAGAGGTTAAAAACAATGAACAAATTATATAATTGTCATCTCAAAGAGTGGTTGCAGTGGCTTACAAGAAGTTCCAACTATAGGTCTAGTTTGACTGTGAACATTTTGGCATTTGGGACTGGTGGTTGCAGGTGGAGGTTGGACTGTATTAATGTTTGTGACAACTTCTTCTCTGGAAACTCTCTCTCTTGCAATGAAGCACACTTGGATGGGAACAAGTCTCTTTTGGCCTAGGGAGGGAGTTGATCTTGACTAACTCTGACGGGCAGGGTTTCAAGTGGAACTGTTATACTGTAAGCAAAAGCAAATTAAAAACTATGCATAAGTAGTGTCGAAGTTGGCTTTGGACCGAAAAAAGGAACAGTTGACTATTTACAAGTGTGGTGGAGGATTTCAACTTGAAGCTGTTGTATTAGAAGCAAACACAGTTGGCTGTCAGGGTGGGACTTGAAATTCAGACCTCCCATTGAACGTTCAGGGCTCTCGACCAAATGGTGCCTCCATCAAAAAAAATATACTTGCATGTAACCAAGGTTCCCTTTGTATAGCAAAATAAAAGGATTGCTACTTTCAATAAAACAATATTATTTAAAGTCAATGTTTTTGGCTTTTCTTCATGTCTTATAGCAAGAGATGAGCAAAGAGGTCAAGAAGCTGTGAAAAGCTTGAACAAAGAAGGCTGCTCACCAAAGTTCCATCAGCTGGATATTATATCTTTAGAAAGCATCCAGAAGTTTAAAACATTCATTGAACAAGAGTATGGGGGCATAGATATCCTTATCAATAATGCAGGAATTGCTTACAAGGTTATTTTTTCCTTTTATTTTGTTGATTTACTTACTTGGACAACTGAATTTTAAAGTAGGCTTGTAACCACTAGGTCAGATTCATTGACTTGTGATAAACATAAGAGATTACTCTTGTTGAGTTGAGAAGTTTTTTTTATATTGTGAAACCTTAGCAAAGATGAGACGTGGTGACTAATGAGTGGTTAATTTGTTGGAACTGAGACAATCTAATGATCCTTTACAAAAACTATTGTTGTACCTGGTCTGCTCTCTTCACCCAACTGGATAAATCAGTGTGTTGGTAACATGCTGTTGGAGGTGACTTTCTCATGGACAAAAGTTTCCTGTGAGAGGGCAGGGTGGGGGACAAAAGCATTCTCCTGGCTGCTTCATCAGTGCTTACAGAAATCAGTGTAACCTCCTGGCTTATAGTTTGCATTAATCTCTTGCTATATTTACAGTGTTCTCCTTAAATTTTAGCTCAGGAGGTAAGGAACCATTCATGGCCAGTAAGGCCAAAAATGCCCCAGAGACTGCACTTTCCTGTGGGGAGGGGGTTAGTGGAGAGAGGGGCATGGCCCTGCACTCGCTTGGAAATTTAGGAGTTAAGTTCTCTGAAATGTTGTTCCCTCATTTCAAGACCTATTTTACCCAAATCAGCCGTTGTTATCTTTAGACAACAATTTAAAACATTTGATTCCAATAATTTTACTCTGTCTTCAATGTTCTCTTTTCAACATGTGTGGCCCATGAAAAGAAAAGCTAATACAATATTTGATTTTAGTAAACCTTCAAACAGTTTTAGGTGGTAAGAAGTGTTGCTTTGGGTGGTAAATTTTACTGTTTACCACCTGATAAGGAGAACACTCTATTTACATAGTGAACACCCAGTAATCCTTGTACTGTGAATGTCAGCTTTATACAGATATCACTGTCAAAGTAGTAACAATTTAAATGTGCAAAATTCTTGCTTCCAGATGGCCTCAACAGCATCTTTTACAGAGCAAGCTGAGGTAACGTTACGGACAAATTTCCAAGGGACCCTTGACATCTGCCGTGCATTGTTCCCACTCTTAAGGCCACAAGCAAGGTTAGAATATTATTGATCTTAGCACAATCCTAGCAATATTATTTCATTGATATACCGGTACCTTAATTGCTCAAATAAGCACCCACGTGCTTTTTTGAAGCTCCTGGGTACTTGTTTGAGAGCAGAGAGTAGCTTAATCTAGCTAGGTGCTTATTTACACTTGTTCAGATTTATCTATACAGTAATATAGACGGTGATCACAATCTTGAGCTTAAATATTGACCTACATGTATTTGAAAACTTACAAATTAAGAAGTCTTGGTCACCTCAATCTGCACCAGTGCAAATGAAATCAACAGGACTTTTGTGGATGTTTGAAAGCTCAAATTGGAAGTTTTCAAATATGCTTAAGTTTTAAGCTCAAGGTTGTGATCGAACAAATGTAGGGTCTTGTTTGGTTTTTACATGACACTTTTTTTACGCTAAATCATCATAATATTATTTGATATAATTTCATGGTAAACATCTGTAACAACAGGGGAGAACTCTGGCAATGAGGTTGCATCTGAGGCACAAAATTAAGTCCACAGAGATAACTGGAACTGATTATCAACTGTCGTTCTCCAAAATCAGTGCCTGAGACAAAGTTTGAAACAATGAACGTAAGAAAAGATAGCAGCCTTTCCTTGTGATAATTTATCAAATTCAGATGACAAGATATCCTCAAAATTTGCTAAAGCAAGGCTAGAGGAGAGTGAAGGTGCATATTTGCTAGTTTGGTTCAGTTGGATTGAGCAGCTATTCAGTGGGGAGGGTGCTTTAAATTTGTGAAAAAAAAAAACATTTATGTTTTGATTGATTGTTTGTTCACAGGGTGGTGAATGTATCATCGATGGCCAGTCGCCTATCTCAGGTGTCAGAAGAACTGCGAAAGAAGTTCAGAGATCCAGAGCTGACAGAGGAAGCTCTTATTTCTCTTCTGGAACAGTTTGTCAAGTAAGCTTTTATTCTCTTTACTCCTTGTTTGTTTTACTCTTGCTTTGAATTTCAAATATTGACCACTACAGAAAATACCATAACATACCATAATGCTTTTGCATTTATAAGCATTGTTTACAGTTTCTCTTGGGGCCACCTAGCTAAAAGTTTGGTCCCAAAACTCTGAAATGGTGGCCATTTTGGTGTCCTAAACCAGTCCTGTAGGAGTTGAACTTCAATCATTTTCATATGAATATCACCCTAATTGGGTTTTGTTGTACTCTTGTTTACCAGAGATGTGAAAGATGGTGTTCATCAAACCAAGGGATGGTCAAATAGTGGTAAGGACAATAATAATGACAATGATAATAGTGAGCTTTTTATATATTATTGTATATTACGTCACTTTGGCATTTACTCTCATTCATCCAAAGGGTGAGGATTAATGCAAGTATAAAGGTGAACATTTTTCACCCTGACGCAAGGGTTACAAACCTAAGAGTTCAAGAGAAATCTCATATTTCATGTTGTAAATAAACAAACAAACAAACAAATTGACCATGTGAAAGAAAGTTAAGTACTTAGTAAACATTTGATAATATAAATTGTTCGTTGGAGAAGCCCAAGCATGCTCCATAATTAGGAAGATTCCATTACAATGGATTTATTATTTTAAAAGTTCAATCTATCAGTAATAGATTCTTTCACAGTTTTCAGGTTTTGGTAAGGGCCAGTTAATAAAAAGAATGCCTTAAAATTAATAGTTAACTTGCCAAGTGTGAAATTAACCCTTTGATGCAAGATATGGTTCACAAAGTCATGAAAATTATATATACAGACTTTACAAACTTTTTTTTTTATATATATAAATTTAATCTTTATTTTAATAAAGAAAGAGTTATTAAAATCACTCCACAAACAGTACAATGTAATTAACCAATAATTAACAACAGTAGTTGACACTAATTACAATAATTACACTAATAACACTAGTTACATTAAGCGAATAAAAAAAAACGAAAAATAGAACTAAATAAATAATGAAAAATAAAATAAATAAAAATAAATAAATAAATAAATAACAAGACTTTACAAACTTGCCCCCTACCATACAAACGTGTTTATGATTTTATGATTATACAAACTTTGCAAACTTGCTTATTACCCACCATACAAACATCTTCTTGATTCCATGAATTTACAGAGCTATTATACCATCTCTATTAGTTTCCAGGCAGTTATTCTCAAATTCAGCAACTGTACTGACACTGTTCCAGCAGTGTTGACAGACTTTTACTATTAATTTATGTCAAAGGTTGAAAAAACTGTGGAAGGGTGTGTAGATTTTAGATTCAGCTCTGCATTCCAGCATTCATAATGAGCTGTGAATTCACATGGTTATAGCCTCCCACGCAGACATTCTTAAGGCTTCATCATGCTGTCCTTCCCCATGTTCGTCGGGGAGGATTGCATGACAAGCCAAAAAGAAAGTCTGCGTGAGAGGCAAGATTACTGTAAATCCTCTATTAAGCTCCTCGGGGGCTTATTTATGTCAAGAAAAGACATATGGTATCAGTTCTCCATTAAGAACTAGAATACAAAGTGGAAAAGCTCAAGTACAAGAAGGTTGGAGGTCATGCGGCTGAGGATCAGAATCAAATCTGAAGTTGGTAAATAAACCATCCAGGATCAGTGCACACGAAGTTTTACAGTTGTGAATGAATAGGGAACCATCCCGGATCATTGGTTTAATTAGCAAAACAACAACACACAGTTTCTTTCCCATTTTCGTCTTGATTGAAAATGCCTCTTTCATTTTTATGGAGGACATAAACAAGCACCAACTAAATTTTATTCCTCTTTCTGAGCTTGAAATTGGTCCCTTGAAATTCAGCTTCAGGAGGGTTCGCCTACAATTGACAAAGTAAGTGGGTAGGAATAATCGCTATAAAGACTGAAAGAACACAAATGCACTTTTTAAACGACGTTCTTGTCGCCGTTGCGTTGTTGGATCTTAAAGTCCCTATTGTCTATCATTATTAGTGAAGAATAATTAGGGAAGGGGAGGGAGGGCTTAATAGAGGATCTACAGTAGCTATGAATTGAAATTTCTGCTAGCTCAGTTTTCTTTTTCTTATAGCATATGGCACCTCAAAAATTGGTGTAACAGCCTTGAGTAAGATCCAGGCAAGAGCATTGTCCAAGGATCCTAGAGAAGACATCCTATTAAATGCTGTGAGTCAGTTATTTGTTAATAAAATGGGCATTTAGAGATGCATTTCCTAAGGCTGGGTCCATGATCTAAATCTATCTAAAATCATTAAAAAGCCTTAAGAGATCTTAAAAGCCCTAAATGTAGCACTGTAAAATGCTGCTTGTAAGCCCTGGGCTAGCTTATACATTTTTGTAAGGTGTTTTAGTAGGCTTATAGGTAAACAGATGGGCATATATGTTGTGGTTCAGTTTTATCCTTGGTTTAAATTTTGTTTTCTTTTGTTTTGGGGTATGGTAATGTATGATAATGAGTTTGAAACAAAAAGAAAATAAAATTTTAAAGCAACAATAAAATTGAACCACAACATATATTCAAAGAGGCTTATAGCTTACTAGAATAGAAAAAGTTCTCCGAAACAAGTTGTACCAGTGCTGATCATCGTGCTGATCAAAATACCTTTTGCATTTAGTGGTTTTTAGTTAATTTTCAAAATGTCGTATTAAATCGAATTCAAGTCAATACATTCAGATGTGCATTTATATAAGGAGAGGGGGGTTATAATCGAATGTATGTTTTGTTTACAAGTGGATGGGCCTGTAACCTTGGGGGGGGGGGGGGGGGGGGGCTTATCAGTTTTGCACCGTCTAACCTCCATCTGCAACCACCTCTCATAAGCAGCCACATCCCATAAGCGGCCACTTATCCAAAACACCAATCAAAGTCTTACAGTTGAAACCTCTTGTAAACAACAACCTCCTGAAAGTGCCTGCAGCCACTTTCCAGGGCTGATAATTTTCTAATTTTCTAATTTTCTATCATCAGTTATTAACCTCTTGTAAGCGACCACTCTATACATGGTCTAATCTCTCTGTTCACTGTGTGTGCTATGCTACTCAAAGTTTGTGAAGATCTTTTAGTAACTGCACATGTCCAAATTTAGAAATTGCATGGAATAAAAATAATAATGTTCATGTATTAAAGTGACCGCTAAGTCTTTACATTTCGGGTGGTCACTCACACGAGGTTAGACTGTTCACAGTCGTCTATTTTTTCATAAAATCCTCAGCATCAAGCACTTACCGATATGGGCAGCTATCTTGGTTTCATATGTATCCAGGGGCCGTCACCCAGCTAGGCTTTGAACATTATTTTGAAACCAAGGTTGCTGCCTGTAACTCAATTCTCGGAAAAATAGGGGACTGTGAATAGTCTAGTGGGAGGTTTGACTGTATTATTTTCTTATTTCCTGCTGGATAGTGTTGTCCTGGCTGGGTACGTACAGACATGGCTGGCCCAAGGGCAACTAAATCACCAGATGAAGGTTAGAATCGTTTTCAAGTGTCTCTGTCACACTTAAACTTGTATGATAGGTGTAATAATAACTATTTTTTGTTGCAGTTCCTTGTATAATTATGTTACAGGTCAAATTTGATTTCAGGTTAAATTTTTTTTACCTACCGGTAAGCTGATTCTCAATTTGAGAATCAACTGAGGTTAAATCAAAATTAACCTGAAATCAAATTTAACCTGTAACAATACATATATAAATAATCAACATAACTGTCATTCTGGGATGTCATCTATATCCCACAATTTTGTGCCTCATTCACACCTGTAAAACATGTTTAACTAAACCTGAGTAAAGTTTCACAACGTGAAAACCATTAACATAGAACTGGAACGTGTATTAAAGTTTTCTGAATGAGAGAAATTTAGGTTTACAAGTTTTTATGTCTTTGCCAGAGCTGAAGTTAACATATTCAGTCAGGAAACTGAAAGACTGGCTTTTATAGAAGAGTTAAGTAAGGAATTGCAAAAAATCTTTGGAAAGTTTTGAAGCCTTTGACAATGTTTGGAAAATAAAGAAGATACTTGAAATAAAATTGAACTTAAGACGGAATCCATCAGGAAATTGAGCAATGTTAAAAAACCTCACGCCAGATTCACATTCTTTTTTACACTTTTGGAGGGCTATAAATGTCATGAGTTATATGAAAGAATTCCAAAGAACAGGTTCCTATGGAGGGCTCGAAATTAATTTTTTGGCTAACTAGCCTTTCAGGTTAGTGGGCATAAATTTTACTGACCAAGCTATAAAGTTTATTATCCAAGAATATGTTCTTGAAATAACAATATTTTGACTGTTGAAAGTAGTGCTGATAAATGGGGCAAAGTAATGTATGGATGGATTGGTTCAAATTACATGATGATCTGCAAAACGAAATAATATAGAAGATTTAGTGATCATTTACACTTTCCTTTCAATTACGTTCCACAAGGGCGGGAAATTCACCATGAACAGTGCAAAACGTTGTTTGTTCTTTAGACTCATCAAACTGCACCCAGGTGAATGCCTTTTTCGATTCTTGGTGGAAAGTTCTTTCTTTCTTCATACGTCCTCCGCGTGTGCAGGGAACCTTCTATAGTGTTTGAAATACAGCTGTGTCTTCCCATCCAACAAAGCCTGGTTACCTTGAGTTCCGTGAAATGAGCGTTTTATGTTGTTCGATTATGCTGTAAGCATATCTTTTAGAACAATAAATTGATCCAGATAGAACACAGTGTTAAGCAAAAAAAGGAAACGGGTGTAAGATTTTCGCTTACAGGACGTTTCGTACCCACGCGTTTCGTACCCAGTCGATTCGTACCCAAAGTTGAGATGATTCGTACCCAACCCTACGATGATTCGTACCCAAACCTTAGATGATTCGTACCCATGCAATAACCAAGTCTTTATGTTGTAAACAGTGTGTTTTCATAGTTTAAGTTAAGGCTTTCACTAAAACAAAGGATCGAAACCGCAGAACTAACCACAAGACAGGACGTACTGGTGGAGATTGTGGGACGAAACATATGTGTTTGTTTACGTCCGAATTTGCTACATGTCTGAACGTCGACTAATCGAAGACTATTTGAAGAGCGATAGCATAAGAAGAATACGACAAGGTTAGTGACACAAACCCAGCCGAACACAAAGTTAAAGAAAAAGTGACGTGAAAGAGTGACTTACAGAATTCGCATGTTTGTGAAAAGCGCAGTAATATATTTTAAAGGAAATCCTTACTGATACTTATTACAAGCGGGGACATGTGAGTTGTCCGAGTGACACCCGCCCCTTGAAAAACATAATCAAGAAATAATGACTTATTACATGCTGGGACATATCAGTTGTCCGAGTGACAGCCGCCCCTTCATTAAACATAATCAAGAAATAATATATAATATATATAATATATTATATACTGATTATTTCTTAAAGTTTTAAACTAGTCAATTTTGCTTAACCTACTTACTGGATTTGCGATTTCATATGTACTGTATTTTTGAGATTTCTAATGATATACTGATTATTAAAAATACCTTAACATTATCTACAATATCCAATGATGATCACTGGCCTATTGGCCTTTCAGTATCGGCGCCGCTCACGCGTCACGAGTCTACGCAAAGAAAGTGAGCGGTTGTTATAATTTGATCTAACTCGCGCGTAGGTAACGAGTCCTTCTGATTTATATAAATGTTTATTTTAGATTGTTTTGATAGAGATATGATAAAAAATGTTTTATTATCGATAGAGATATGATAAAAATGTTTTATTATCGATAGAGATATGATAAAAAATGTTTTATTATCGATAGAGATATGATAAAAAATGTTTTATTATCAAAAAGGCAGTTGGGTACGAATCATCTAAGGTTTGGGTACGAATCATCTTAGCGTTGGGTACGAATCATCTCAACTTTGGGTACGAATCGTCTGGGTACGAAACGTCCGTGGGTACGAAACGTCCGGATTCCAGATTTTCAATGACAGAAATTTTTACTAACCTTGGCGTGGATAGTAAGGCTCATTTTTAGTAACCAAACGTAAGAATCTACTAACCATTGGTTAACGAGTTACCGTTATTTTCGAGCCCTGCCATGGGAACTCGAGCAAATAAACTTCAAAAGCTTCAAATTTCACAAAAGGAAATCTTACCTCTGTTTTCTCAATTCCTGTGAAATTTGAAATTTATTTTTTTTCGGGCTCCCGTAAAGAACCTTTCCTTGGAGTTATTTCACATAATTTATTACATTTATAGCCGTTAAAAAGTGTAAAAAAGAATCAACCTCAAAGGGAAAAGCGCCCTGGGGACGAGGTTGAAAAAGAATGCGATATGGCCTAAAATATTCTGGTACAAGGTTTTTGTCCACTGAAAATTAAAATTACTTAGTTTCCTGATGGATTCCGTAGTAAACCCTTTGGCCAGAATTTGGACAATTGTAAAAAAATGGTAGTTGATAATCTCCGAAAAAGTAGCTGAGTTTGACAAAGGTATTAAATTTCTTTGCTCCTTTTCATATCTATATCGGGTTGATCATCGTATTATTTGCTTCATCAGTAATCTTGGATTTCAAATTTTATTTTTTAGGAGCAGAAACTCCAGTTTACTTGGCTTTATTACCACCAAATGCGGGAACACCCCATGGAGAGTTTGTTTCAGAAAAAAAGGTGCAGAATTGGTAACCCTGTGCTGGGCCACTGACAGTTCAGCAGTGGATATCCTGTGTGGTTTCAGCTGACGGATATGCAGATTATATTGCAACAACAAAACTCAATAATTTTTTGTGATAAATTACTTAGTGCATTGTATTAGGAAATATTCAATATACAGTCGAATCTCCATGAACACCTCTCGTTAGCGACCCAGGGGCACCCAACGAGAATATAGTTCAAAACCACTAAAACATAGCATTGTTAAACGTATTTTGGTATTTAAACAGTAGATATAAGCATATTTTTATGCCCTAAAAATGTTTCATCTGTTCGGATTTCCTAGCTGAAAGTCTAGTGATCCGAAAATTATAGGGATCAAAACTTACCTTTTCGAAAATTTCAGCCAGAAGAAAGGCTCCCGAAAATTCTAGGTGACCTTTTTAGAGTAAAAATCCGTTAAAAATATGCAATTATACCATATTTTAGATGTTCGAAAATCCTAGGAGAAGCAGGCAAGCTAGAAATTTTACAACAAATGTTCCGAAAATTCTAGCTCTCAAATCGTCTTTCGAACAGATATTTTCCGAAAATTGTCGTCGGGTGCCCCTGGCGACCATCTATCCAAAATACCAAACTTTTTGCTGTCAAATCCCTATAATCACGAACACCCCTTATAAGCAACCGCGACCAATTTTCGTCCTGACGGATATATTTTCCATTGTTTTTAGCCTCTTTTAAGCGATCACTTGACGCATGATGTGATCTCTGTCATGGAACTATACTTATACGTACCTTAGAAATTGCGTGCAATAACTGATTATCTTTAAAAAAATAAGATGCGTGGGGACCTCTTCTTGGAAGAGACCCCCTGTTTGTCGATTCTCGCAAGCGACCACCTCCTGTAAGCGACCTGCTACATCTTCGCATTTTGGGTGGTCGCTTACTGGAGTTAGTTAGACTGTACTAGAGATATTCTGTCAATAGGTCAGAGGCTATTAATGTGTGGCGAAAGACCATTAATCTGTGACGAAAGAAATCGAGTAGGGACACTGTTATGTGCTTGATACGAAAGTGCCAAAAAGTAGTTGTGGCTCACTTCTTGCTATCTAATTCAGTTTGTCACTCGTTTCCAAAGACTTTAAAAAAGTACAAAACTACATAACTGTGCTAAAGCTTAGTTTACAATACAAGAAACTGTTAGCATTAATTTCTTAATTCTCCTTCCTCTATGCAAGGCAAAGTCGCGTTTAATACCTTAGGCACTAGAGGGTTTCGCACGTGAAAAGTCTCTGGCACTTAGGTTACGTTTAGTAGAATTTTGTCCATATTTTACCTACAACAACAGTTTTTCAATTTGAAAATAATTTACTCTTATGTTACCCACAATCAGCGGAGCTGTTAATAACAGTCTTCTAGAAATAATTACATAGTTCAAAAGTCGGAAAAAAAGGAAATTGAATAAAGAGGAAGCAAAAAATAGGTAGAACATTTAGAAATAATAGTAGTAGATGGTAAAACTTAAAAAGTACGATGGTAAAGAGAACTATATGGACGTAAGGAAGGAGAACAGTTTAACTGAGTAAGGAGTTCAGGTAGGAACTGGTTATGGCACTAGCCTAACAAGCACGCTATAACTGACTTAGCTAGGTTTCTACTCCTACTTTTGCCTGTTCAACTTAAATAAATTGTCTTGAACACCACATTACAATTAACTATGGAGTGCAATATGGATCACTGAACTTTCTCTACGAGTCTCCTTTGTACACGTCAGATATTAAAAATCAACGACACCTTTTCCATATTTGTTTGAGCAAGTGGTTACCTAGCCTGTTCACAGACTCTTATTTTCCTTGTAGAGATCATCGAGGTCGTGTTCTCGCGCTCCACGCGCTTACCATATTATCAGACCAAAAGAAAAAAAAGTAAATACCCAGCTAGATGAGAAAGGAATCATCTGTTAAAACTGAATTATTTGTTTCATATTACTTAAGTGGGGTGCCTGCCACCCGACGGAAACGCTAAGTGCACCTCCACTATAAACAAAGGCTAATCTTTCTTCGCTTTTTATTACAAAAGTCCATTTATAAGGACCTCTTCAGAAGAGGGTCGAGCCTGAAAAAAGCAAAAACCTACACATTTTTAACATCAGGTGTGTATTTTTAAATTTATAAAAATACTCAGGTATGCGAATTCAACCGCCTTTCATTGATAGAGAACGATGAGAGGCGACTGTAATCGTAGGCTACCCCCAGGAGCCTTGGAGGTGCACATGCACACCACAAACTTTTGTACAGAGAGTCCGACCCCTTACCTTTTTGCATGCCATTTTTAGACTACGAGTAGTCCCTCATTTTCCTCAGGGACAGTAGAGCGAGCAAAACGCTAGCGTGCGTGAAAATCACCCTACGCAAGAAAAGGCGACACGCAGCGGGGAGAGAGCCTTTTCTCGCGTGCGGTGATTTTCACGCGCGCTCGCGTTTCGCTCGCTATACATCTCTGAGGAAAAATGAGGGACTACTCGTATTCTATGCCATTTTGGACAGAAAAGGTATTCCTTTTGTGTACCTTCTGTTGATAAATTGTACCCCATTCATATACACATTTAGAAGCCTGCATCCCTTTTAACTGCTGTTAATGCACTGTCTTTTAAATAGGGATGAATCACAAAAACAGAAAGCGTTTTCTCGACTCACGCGCTCTCGCGCGCCCAAATTCCCCTTTCCCTTATAACGCCTGCCACGCAGGCTACGTCCCCTGTGACATCGAGCATCAAACAATTCGAGCATCATCCATATTGAGGTGTTGTTTTCCAGGCTCCACGGCAATGCTCCTATTCGCAGATTTCTTGTGTTTTTTTTTTACGTTTCTTTTTTCACCCGACCGACCCAAAATTCCATGAAAAAAAAAAAAAAACAAATAACAATTTTAAAGGCGGGAAAGTCGCCATGTTGAAATGTTTCTGTTGCCTGGCTACCAAGCTTTTCATTTTGCCATGGCTTCGTGATGCGTCCCGGTTGGTTTTCAAGAAGGATTTATAACTTCTCTTATTCTTGTCCTTCCCACGTATTAAATCTATAAAAGAAATTTATTGCCGAGAATTCATACATCCCTATCTTTGACAGCTAAAATTGCAGTTATGGTAAGTTGGTTTATTTTAATTTCACCACCTCAAAACGGGGTAATATTATGAAGTAATGATATGACAGCTGAAGCTACATGTAAGATGTTTAGTTTTCTTGAATTAAATTGTCTTACTGCAAGAGAAACCATGAAGGCTTTGCTTTAAAATTTTTAAGTGCGGGAAGACTGTTTCTTGAAGTTTATATGGAAACTGCACAGATTGAACCAAGTTTAATTTTGCCGAACACTTGCATAATAAACTTATTAAGCTTATATTATGTTCGCCTTAGTTGCAACTGTTTAATTTTGGATTATTCAATACAAAGGTGCTTGAATTGTTCGACCAACAACGTCGATTTTGTGCTTCTAATTTTGCTGTTGCTGGGGGAAATGTAGTGTTAATGAGGAGGCAATTTCTTAATTTATGTTTAAAGGAACATATGGGCTTTGGCCATTATTTACAAAATACAGCTGTTTTATACTCCTAGTATAATTCAGCAATGCAATTTTATTCCCGTTCGCTTAAATTAATAAAGAGGAAGGCATATTCATTTGTATTTATTTGGTAGCAGAAGTCATAGATTAAACACAAACGCAGGGGTGTTGCTGCTAAATACCGGTATGCCCAAATGTCTGGACTGCATGGTTTGTGCAATCTTGAAAAGGTCTTGAAATTTACTAGTCGTCTTGAAAAGTGCTTGAATTCAGTTAAGGTGCTTGAAAAGTACTTGATTTCTTTATTAGGTCTTGAAAAGTCCTTGAAATTTACAGCCTTGTCTAAACCAGACACCTTTTTCTGTATAAAATTAGATTATTTTGACGAGGAAAGTTTGGCTCAGTGCAAGAACCTGTAAAACTCACGGGCCTTAAAACATTTTTGTACATGAGCAATATTTTATTTCTTTTTCTTTATTTCAAATGCTATTTCTGTACCTCAAATGCAATTGCAAGTCATACCCAGTCATTTTGCAAAGTTTTGTTGCGGAAAGTAGTATAAAATGATGTGATGAACGATGGCCGAAGAAGTTAAAATCGTAAATGACTCCCTGATGTGTTTTAGCCAATAGAGTGATCAAAGGGGGTTAAAGAATACTGATTTATTGGGTAAATCTTAGTCCTTGAAAACTGTAATTGTCCTTGAAATATCCTTGAAAAGTCCTTGAAATCAGTCCTTGGATCAGTTACTGTATTTGCTATGACAACAGACAGTCCAGTTCCCTGCAAGCAGAGGTCTCTCACGATGAGGCAAAAATGAGAGGAATAAGATTTTACCTTGTCATGAGAGACCTCTGCTAGCAGGGAACTGGACTGTCTGTTGTCATAGCAAATGACCGTGACTGTTCCAAAAAATGGCCGGAACATTTATCTAATTTTAGGGGCCTGAGAGGGGGGCAGTTATATAATTCATAAATTGGAGGTGTTGAAAAGAGAGAGGCGTTTACCCTAATAATTGTAACAAGCTCAACAAAGCTAATATACTTTCGGTGGAAACATCAAGAGGTAAAAAGTAGAGGAGTATCCTCTCCATCAATGATATGTCTAGGCTATCTAGAAATCCACCATGCTTTTTCAAATCTCAATATTCTATGTTGTCAGAATCCTCGTTAAGGGTCATTGTGTTGTTATTGTTGGTCTAATTTGACTTTGAACTTGGCATTGAACACGATATGATATGCAAACCTTTGTTTATCAAGCAAGAAACTGAATAGATAGCATGATTTTTCACCTTTTTGTTAATTCCTAGTATTTTGGAGTAATTATTGTCATAGGGGGTGTCTAGCAGACAAATGACGTTTATTAGAGAGGGGCATCGTAGAGGGGCTGTTTATTAGATAAGAGGCATTTATTTGAGAGTGGGCATCGGTTAGATCATTTACGATACCATGTTTTCACAAGTCATATACCAGGTGCTTTTCAGATTGGTCTGTACAGTTGTAAGTTGATTGTGCATGTTACCTTTCAGGATATTGGACTAAATGAGCATCATCAACAAAATGTAGTTAACTACCTTAGATTTGCTCGCTATGGTCGAGCACAGAGGCTTAGAGGTGTGGATGCATCTTTTGAAGAACTCAAAGATAGCAGGTACTTTGTGTACATGTACAGCATGTTGTGATTTAGTTTTGTTCTTTGTTTATGTTTGAGGGGAATCACGAGCAGAGCATGTGAAATAGTGACCAGAATGCCATGGGTTTGAACTGGGATTTTTTTGTCCCAGTCGCCATTGTCGTTCATTGGAAAACATTTCTCAATTATGGTTCTGTTTCTGCATCATTTGGTGGAGGCTGGGTGCTTGCGTTGTTCAGTGGGCTCCACTTTTGGCACAGCCAGTTTGCAGATAGAGTTGTATCCTTACAGCTGTTAAATCCACCCCTCCCAGCCATGTTCAAGGCTTGGAGGGGTGGAGAAAAAGGCAGAAAACATAAGGTAGGGAGGGGTGGGCTAACGCACAATATCCAAAGGCTAAAAGAAGCCCAGTAGCAACCAAGGCTTTTTGATCGACGACCACTGACCAATAATATTAGGCTCAAATACCAGCCTAGTTCGGGAAATGGGCCTGCCCTTCTCCCCCAAACAGACCCTCTCTTCTCCCTGGCAGAACCGAGAGAGCGGCGGAAATCAAGCCTACAACATCATAGCCCCTCTTTGTTGAGACCTGCACTGAATTTGATTTAACTACATTTTACCACGCTTAAAATTCACCATAATTTCATATTCCTTATTGGGGTGACCAGAAGAGCTGATCTCCAGGCACAGGGTCCAGAGGAGTTTCGTGTGAATAAATGAATTACTTCTTTAAAGTCTCACCTTGAAAAATGTCTATACCAGTGTCGCTTAGCACGATTAATTAGCCCAATGGCATCTTTATAAATCTACTGTAAACAATGATCGACTTTTGAAAATTGATGACCGCAAGCCCCATCCTTGCCGGCGCACAGCACGTCGCCCGAAGGGCGACCGAGGCACGAAGTGCCGAGTAAAAGAAAGGACAAGGGAGGAAACTTGTACCACGTGTATTCGTTCGCTGTAAACCGCATCACTCGGTGACGGAAGTGAATGAGACCGGAAACGCAAAAGCAACAGACCGATGCTAATTTGAGAATCAAAACATCAGCTGCGGAGAGAGTTTTAAAGATCTCAGAGATCTATGCGAAGGCAACGGAGTTTTAATTGAAGTGAAGATCTTTCAAGACTGGACATTGTACGTTTCAACAGTCTTTGATGTCTTAAGCAGGTTTTGCTTGTGCGAAGGCTTCCCAGTAGTCGCAAAGCGCACAGCCAAAGACACAAGAGGTAGTATAGTTGGACCACCGAAGAATGGCACAATTGTGATGATTTTACAGTTGCCTTGTACGTCCGCCCTACTCAGTGTCACTTTTTATTGCAAGAGTACATGTGACCCGCAAATCACTATTCGTAATAATTTAACATTCCCCAAATAAAACTAACGAGCTGGGCCCAGCGTGATACAGCATTGCAGAAAAACATTACATTTACGGACTAAAGAAAATCGCTTAGTTATGCAGATCCAGAAGGCACTTTGGAGAAAATTGGAACCCTTATTCAGCTGTAATAAAAAGCTTTAGGCTTCAAAAGAGGTCAAAGAAAATGTGTTTGCATCAGAGGGCAAATCCTGCCGACCAGAAACAATAACCACAGTAAATCGACATGTGTCATGACCTCTCAGTGTGAGACATGCGGCTAAAATCCTTGCTAAAATCACATTTGCTGTAGAACCTTCCAGAGCATAATCTACCCAGCGGAGGAAAAAAACTTTATTGGAACGAGCAGCATTCTGGCATGAGGCAAAAGTCGTGTAGGCTTCCCTTTTATTGCTCCGATCTTGAGCACATTTACTTTACCACGTCATTTCTGTCACCATCTGTTGCGGTGCACAACAAACGAAACCGCTATCTCGAAGCCGTAAATTTCGGTCGCCGAAAATGAATTTGAACGCTTTTTTATGCCGTTTTGCTACAGTATTTGGCAAATATATAAGAATTCTAGATCAGGTTAGTAAAATCAGGCGATTTCATTCCATTCCATTTGAGTTTCAGGGATTCGAAAATCGGCCCCAAATTTGTTTCCTCCCTTTCCGTATTTTATACTGTAAGCCGATCTTGCGAGCCCTCAGTCTCTTGGTTTGCGGTCTATAGAATGTGTAACGAAACTGTAACGCGATCAAAATAACCCATTTTTTCGGAGGTTTTCGATGGGTTTTGATGTTCTAACGACAAACACATCTCCTCTGGATCCTGTGCTCCAGGCTGCTATTATGCCTGCGCAGCATGTATGTAGCCGGCATTTGTTTTGATCATGTGGGTTTGGACCTTCTACCACTCATAATCTGATCACACATTTTGACCTTTCAGAGTGCAAAGAAAATCATTTTTACAGCTTGCCATTCGGGCAAGCTGAAGCTAGCATTTACTAGTCCAGACGTCATTTCAACTAGCCCCAAAAGCTTTTTGACAAGCAGAATTGATTTCACACTTCTTCTGTTATTTGAATTCCTCAAAAAACATCACCTGCCCATTAGGCAAGTTAAAAACAGAATTATCTAGCCCGATAGCAAAATCCACAAGCCCCAGGCTATCAGACACTACTTTCTTTGCACGCTGCCTTTTATCACGTGATACTTATGCAAACCATAGTGTTTGGGCCAGAGCATTTTGACCTTCATGTCGATCTTGCCTGGACTCCCTTACCTTTGATTATTAACTCACCATTAACTTCTGCTTAAACCGGGGGGTTATCCAAGGGGGGGGTATAGTGGGACTAAAAAGAGTGTTTCAAAACAAGCTTTTTGAAGTGACTCGCTGTTTTAAGCTTCAAAACCATAAAAACACTTTATTCATTTCAATACAAGCAAGAGGGGGGCTTATATTGGGGAGGGGGTGTGGCAAGTAACAGGATGAATTTTTTTTGTTTACACGTAGATGGACCTATAGCTGGGGGTCTTATATGAGTAGGCTTACAGACTGTATAAGTTGAAGTTTATGGTAGTTTATAATATTGAGGAGTACTGTTTTTTAAAATTAAAATTGCAGACTTGTAGACGACACATACACTCTTGATGAAGTTACTGACATGCTGGATGGCCTCTGTGCTGTGGTGAGGGGAGAAGTTGAATCTGAACTTATAAATGCTGTACACACAAACGTCTTACTTCTTAGACAAGTGTTTAGTCAGGCTGAAAAATGGCATCTCAAATTGCAGGCTGATATATCTGAGCTTGAAAATAGGTACGTTTTCATACTTTTTATATAACTGGAAGGCATCATTATCCTCAACAATAGTAATTGAACAAGTGTTTGGAATAAGGCCCAGAGTGACTCGTGGTCAACTCAGCTTCTTCCTTTGAATTAAAAGCATATGCATGGCAAGTAGAAGGGGAATCAGTATTTTATCAGGCATGATGTGGAGCTCTATTCCCAGCACTCCTTTAACTGGTAAATTTGAAGTTTAGTCATGTAATAATGATGGAAAACATTCAGGGTTTTGCAAGCTTGGAACAAGGACTTTCAAAAAAATTTAACCTGAGACCAGGCCGAATTTTAGTGGCTCTCACACGTGTACATGGTTTGCACTGTTTGTTTTGCCTTGCCTGCCATTTTTTTTTACGTAATGAAACAAAAATGAGCCTTCTCTTGGGTTAGACACATTTCAGACCTTTAGGCTCTAAAAAAACCACAGCCCCCAGCCGGAGATGGGTATCTTAAAAACTCGCAGAACGAAGTAACAGACCTGGACCATTTGGAATGTTTGTAAAACTCAGTATTCAGTTCTCTGGGTGTCTCAAAAATTCAGACATGGTTTTCATCTATTCTTTGTATTGTAATAATCTCCAGCCAAGGAAATCATGTTTTCATTGATCTTGCTGAACAATGCTTTGCTGTGATGTTCTTGACATCTTTTTTTCGTTTCAGTAGAATGCTTTTGCCATGATTAGATGACACTTGAACATAGTTGTTTGTCCACTTTAAATCTTCTTTTCACTTGCTGAAAAAATCAGTGGAATTTTCAAATTCATTCAAAGAAATTCATGGCCAATTTGTTACAACAGTGCCTGTAACCCCCTAAGAGTGACCAACATTCGGTTTCTCCATGTAGTAACACTAGTCAATCAGACAGAAAAAAGGGTTAATGTTGAATGTGTAAAAATTGGTCTTGATTGTTAAGCCTTTTATTCCTAGAAGTAGCAAAAGTCAGAATTTGCCAACTTTCAAAATGTCATTTATTTTATAAATTGCTGAAAAAGAACTAATACTACATGAAAGTACTGCTAAAGAGGTTTCATTTGAATGGTCACACTGCAGGATTCATTCCCAGCTAAAAAATTTTAAAACCACCTTGTACAGCATAATATTAAATCAGTACCATAGGAAAGTACTGCTCAGTAGCTTTCATTTGAATGGTCACACTTTAGGATTTCATCCACAGACTCAAAAGTTAGAACCACCTTGCACAACATAATAAACAGTACCACAGGAAAGGACCACTAAGCAGCTTTCACTTAAATGATCACACTTTAGGATTTCATCCACAGACTCAAAAGTTAGAACTACCTTGTACAACATAATAAACAGTACCACAGGAAAGGACCACTAAGCAGCTTTCACTTAAATGATCACACTTTAGGATTTCATCCACAGACTCAAAAGTTAGAACTACCTTGTACAACATAATAAACAGTACCACAGGCAGGGTTGTCATCAAGAGCCGGGGGCCGGGTATTTTCCCCGGCTACTAAGAGAGTGGCTCCTGGCTACTTTATTGGAAAATAGAAGAAAAATAGAACCAAAAGAAATCCATAGCCGTTTGATTCCCCGCCTACTTGTTGTATTTACCCGGCAACTTGAAATCTTAGTGACAACCCTGCACAGGAAAGTACTGCTCAGTAGCTTTCACTTGAATGGTCACATGTGAGGATTTCATCCACAGACTCAAAAATTAGAACCACCTTGTACGGCATAAGTCACAGTACCACAGGAAAGTACTGCTCAGTAACTTTCATTTGAATGGTCACACTTTAGGATTTCATCCACAGACTCAAAAGTTAGAACCACCTTGTACAACATAATAAACAGTACCACAGGAAAGTACTGCTCAGTAGCTTTCATTTGAATGGTCACACTTTAGGATTTCATCCACAGACTCAAAAGTTAGAACCACCTTTGAAGATTCCATCATATTTGACTCTTGGAAGTGAAAAAGTTAAAAACTTGTCCTCATCAGCACTATAGCAAATGTGTGGAGAGCAGTGGGTTAATAACGTGCACACTTAATTTATATTAATTTTAATAACTTATTTTCCAGGGAACTTATAGAGGAAATAGCAAAGTTTGAGGAAAGAGAGTTCTCTTCCACCAAATCTACATCACAGGTAATATTAACGAGTCTTTATTTACATGCATGTAAATGACACTGTCATCTATTTATTCCACAACTTAATAATATTGTAAAATTTTTTATTTTATTTTCTTGCAGTCTAAGTTATCTAAGTTGTCCCAGGCAACCAAATTAGAGCCCTTAAATGAAGGCGGCGGATCAGCATTACTTCAAGTGGTGAGTGTATATGTTGTAGATAATTTTTTGTCTCAGTTAATTTTGTTTTCTAACTAGTTAACCAACTGCCTCGCTTAAGTGGAAGGTGGGTGCCTGGGATACCCAGGGGCTTCCACTGTGGCCAGCCAGCCCCTAGATAGAAAAACTGCCCCCATGGCTGGCAAATCCCCGCAACCCAGCCATGAGCCCCCATTCCAGGCACCCGTCACACTGATCAAACAGTGGAAGGAAGAAAAATAGGGATGGGAGGGGGGGAAGACGCGAAATGAACCGCTCCACAGACCACTGCACAAACGCTCGATGAACAACTCGCAGATCCTAGCCATGTACAAAGCTACCACACACCATGTGAGCCTGCACTTATGGGATTGACCGCTGGATGCCCGCTACGCTCGTGGGCCGCTTGACCGCTAAGCTTGTAGACCGCTTGACCGCTAAGCTTGTGGACCGCTAGACCGCTTAACTTGTGGACCGCTCAACTGCTAAGCTTGTGAACCGCTTGACCGCTATGCTTGTGAATTGCTTGACCGCTATGCTTGTGAACCGCTTGACCGCTAAGCTCGTGGTGGTTAACTTAGTTAAATTACATTTAACCAAATTTAATTTTTTTCTAACTAGTTAGTTTTATTCTAGCTAGTTTATTTTTTTCTAACTAGGTAAAAAATTATTTAACTAGTTACATTTTTTTTGGCTGGAGTAAAGCAGCTAGCTATTTATAAGCATGGCCGAGGATTTGAACACTTGACTATCATGAACAAATCTGGCTAGTGGTCAGTAAGGGACTTGAACTCGAATAACAAGTGCAGTGCTCTAACTTCTCTACCACACTGCCTCTCTAACATCTGTGTAAGAATAAAGATTGTTAACCACAAACAGTATTGTTCTTTTTTGCTCTTAAAAATACCATATTCTTAAACTCTTAGATGTTGTGTGGGGGAGATGCTTTCCCCATAAGTTATTTTTTTTAAGTTTTACTTTCCTTTGTTGCACATATCCCACCACAAAGGAAAAATGCAAGTATAAGGTACTTGAATCAAAGCATGTGCAATAATCACTATTATCAACATCTTATTTATTAAAAAATAGTTCCAATCCGTTTTATCCCACAGTAGCTATGTGACATAATTATCAGTATTCTTTTCTAAACCCTCATTAAAAATTTACTAGTAAAACCTTCAGTAAGGTTCCTCATTGTTTATGAATTATTTAACATTGTAATGTTATAAGTACTTCTAAAAAGTAATTCTAAAAATAGTTGGTTATGTTTTCTGTCATTTCTTGTTTGTTTTTATTAAAATTTCTGTGTTTGGACTTTTTAAGAAGATTTTTCAAGAAAATGCAGATAGTAATCTTTCTGATAAATAAGATTATAGTTTGAGGAAAAGAAATGTACTAAAACTTCATAGCTTTGAAATTATTGTTTACCTTATGAGAAACCACAGGACCTTTAATTGGCTGATATAAATCATTATTATTGTTTCTTTTTCATTAAAGAGAAATTAGCATCAAATTTGTAACTCCATGGAAACATTTTGTATGTTTGGTAGTGTCAGTATAAATTCGAAGAAAAAAATCAAAAGCTTCATAAAATTCTATTAGTTCTCTGAATTCCCTCGGGGACCTAGTCTAGGATTGATACTGGTTTTCTAAGTTACAACCATGATTCTTCTGCAAGTATCAGAAAAAGAACTCTTAACCGAGTTGATCCGTGATCAGCAAAAGGTGAATAATTATTCTATATCCTCATTGCATCTACGTGAGATGGTTTAGACATGTAGTCATTATTACAATGTAATTCTTATTAGGTACTTTTTTAAAACATCTTTATTTGTTTTACACATGAGTTCCTTCACAAGAGAGAACTCGTTTGTTTGGGTCATATTTGCATTGTTGCTTAGGTTTACAAAATGATCAAATGCAAATAGTTCTAATCTGTAGTTAAGATCTAGGACAATTAAGACATTTGTCTGTTAAAGTTAGTGTAATGCTTTACTCTTGTATTATTTGGTCATTTTCCCTCTCTGATTTACTGGTTCACTGATTTCTTTACTTTCTCTCAGTGATGTTAAAATCTTGATCCGCAAAGATTCTCAACACTATTCCAGGTCCTTTTTCCACTAAATCCAATAATGAAATCATGCCATATTCCTGAACATGCATTTCCAAAAAATTTCACCAGAAATTTCACCATTTTCGGACATTTCCATTGTGTGGATTTCTCTTTAAACTGTTTGTGGAATAGATTGCTAATAGTAAAAAACTGATAAAATTTAATCAATCAACTGGCGATTCTAAAAAGTTTCTAGCCTGTGGATTTTTCCAAATCTACAAGTTTAGTATGTAACGGCCCCTTTGCAGAATAAGGTCACTTGGTGCAAAAAACACCTTGCTGGATGGCAGATGACCTAGAGGGGCAAGAAAAACAAAGACATTACATCATTCAAAAAGCTAACATCCTTTCTTTTCCACTGCGGTGCCATATCCAGCAAGGTGTTTTTTAGTACCATGTGACCATATCCTTCGAAGGACCCTTTCCTAAGAATTCAAAGTTTTCTGGGAATCAGTTTGAAAATAGGGCATTGCTACTCTGTTGCACATGGCTCAGCTATCCATTGCTTTGTAATAACTAAAAATTATATTGTATTCTTTAGGCTGAGTACTACAGGTGTTATGTTCTATACTGTGGTTTGATAGTAGTAAGGGGAGCATGAACAAGGGTGGTGCAGTGGTGAGAGCCCTCACCTCCCACCAATGTAGCCCTGGTTCACATCCCAGCATCAATGCCATACGTTGCATGTGGGTTGAGTGTGTTGCTGGTTCTCTCCATTGCTCTAAGAGGTTTTTCTCCAGGTACTTCGGTTTTCCCCTCTCCTCATATAAAACCAACATTTCTAAAATCCAATTCAACCAGGAATGGTAGACAAAGACCCAATGTCATTATATGCTACTTGTAAATCGCTAGTTATTTCATTATTTTATTTACATTATTTAAATGGCCTAGTACTGTACGTATTGTATTTTACTTTTATTTTAGTACTTTAAATAAAAGAGAGATACTTTTGTTGATGTGTGACTGTGCTGATTTTTGTTGATTGATGCTTTTTTTTGGCACAGGAAATTAATCGATTAAATGAAGAAAATACAAAGCTTAGAGAAAGGATGAAAACCTTAGAGGGCAAGGTAAGATGAAATTAAAGTTAACTTATTTTAATATTTGCATTCTCAGAGTTTGACCTTGCGTGCTTGATTTAATTCTAAAAAGTAGTGAAACTCAGTTTTGCCATGAGAATAAAAATTATTCTTTTACTTTTTAGGCCACAAGTGCTATTGGAGAAAGAAGTAAACTCCAAGCAGATCTTGAAAGTACACAAGCTGTGTTAAAATCCAAAGGAAATGCCAAGGTACAGTATATCATGATCTAATTATTAGAATACACTTGCAGAATGCTACATTTGGGGCGAAGGGTTGGTCCAGTGGTAATTGCCTCCCACCTTCGTGGCCGGCCGATGTTTAAGTCCCAGAGCCAATGCTATTGTTTGAATTTGCTTCTGGTTCTATTCTTTGCTTCAATATGTTTTCTTTTCTCCAAAACCACGTCCAAATTCCAATTTGATGAGGAGAATGTCTCCAATTATTTTGGGCCACTGGCTTATCAGTTTCTGAGACTGTCTTGTTTAAAAACTAAGGGTAAATTCCTTTGAGATGATCTGGATCAGGATCAGTGATCCGAGATCTCTTGGATCATGGTAGATCAAAATGAACCAATGAATCCTTGCCCAGAGTGGATTCATCAGTTCATTATTTTAATCTAACATGACCTGAGTGATCTAGGATCACTGATCCTGATCCTGATCCAGATCATCCCAAAGGAATGCACCCTAACATTATTAAGAGGATGACCGTCAAGACAGTTGCAGAAACTACCAAGCTAGTGGTCCTAACTAATTGGAAAGTTTTTTTTATTTGCCATAAAAAAAGGATTCTTACTGGTCAGTGCTAGTTACCTAGGCTATTATAATAATTACCTTACTCTTTAAAAATGTTTACTAGTTGACTGTTGATTTATGTCCATGTTGATGTTATTTTGCTTTTCAGTCTTATGGCAAGGAAATGGCAGAACTTGAGGAACAGATGGCTGCAGCCAAAATGGATTTAAAAAGGGTAAATAATTATGAACAGTATGAATAAATGAATGAAAATGAATGAATAAACTTTATTCAACTCATATCTTACCACTTCACCCAGTCCGGGTGCTTCTCTGGTAATCGTCTTCATCTGTTTAGATGTTGAACAATGACACATCAGCCTGGTTGTCAATAAGATTTCATGTTGCTGGGTAAATACAACAAGTAGGTGCGGAATCAAATAGCTATGGGTTTCTTTTGGTTCTATATTTCGTCTATTTTCCTTTGAAAGTTGCTGGGGGGAAATCCCCGGCCCCTGCCTCTCAATGACAGCCCTGCTGATGCACAAATTGTCTTCAAGATCTTGTCCAAATACATGAGTGATTCCTTCAAACTGGCCAGAGATACACACAAACAATATAATAATGACCAGGATAAATTTGAATGGAAATCTTGTGTTACTACCAACTAGTACTGCTTCCATTTCTTAGTGTTTACTGTAAACTTTTGTTTCAGAAAATAGGGAGAAAATTGGATGATCCAAAATACAATAATTATATTTTATTTTAATAAAAAGAATAAGTCAAACTCATTTCTCATTAGTCCTGTGCGTGCCTGCATCCCAAAGAATACTAATGTGTTTAAAGTTTTTGATAGATTTAACACTGCTTTAGATATACAACATTAATTTTATTCTCTTCTTTAAGAGCCCTGGTGGCCATTTTAAAACTTTGCTCTGTCTTTCGAATCTTAGTGTTTCAGATCTCAGTAGGATTTGGCAGGACTTTAATAAAACTTTTGTGGAAGTGTCTCTTTAATGTTCAAATAAATCTGACTTGAGTTTTGAATCTACTATTCCCTATTCTTATTCAACATTATAATATAAATTATGTTTTGAGGCAATCATTTGTGTTCTCATGTAAGGCAAAAAATAAAAAATAAATAAATAAATAATGAAAACTTTAATTTATGGTAGGTCTCTAAAAATTGGATTGTAATTTCCTGCAAATGCTAGTGGGAGCTTTCTTTTCAAATGTGCATGGAACAATGTTTTTTGTTCTGTAGGCAAAAGATAAAGGCTCATCTCATGCTGCATCACTGGAAGAGGAATTAACCAGCAGCAAGGTATGGATTTATTTATTAACATAAAGATTGACTTTCCCATGAATTTGTTGTGGTTCAGTTTTATCCTTGGTGTAAATTTCATTTTCCTTTGTTTTAAGCACATCATTATCATTTGTTATCATACCCAAATTTAAACTAAGGATAATATCTAACCTCAACCTATTCACCAGATTTAAAGTGCACAATAATATTTCTTAGTCATTGCATACATTCCAGTCCTAGTGGTATATACAGCTATTTCGAGAAAGGTTGTCGCAAAAAGTGCATGCAACAATCCCGATATTGTGGGTGGTTTTCAGTTCACTGTTCTTCAAAGAAATTTGCTAGAATGGCTTGAGAGGCCATGGACGTATGTTTGCGAGTGCTAAAGGAAAGCAACAAAAGTAGGCTCGACAGCTACAGTGTCAGGAACACTGTATTGCTCATACCCCATATTACCTTTCGGTATTGTCGCGTGCACATTTTTTCCCAACAAACTCCTTTCTCAAAATAGCTGTACACAGGATGTTTGTCACATGACCCTAGTCTTGTGACCTCTCTCTGTAGTTCAGTGGAGGAGCATTGATCTGGACTAGTATTCAGGGCCCAATAATATTGTTTGAAGGCTGATTAGTGCTAACCCGGAGTTAAATTTTAACCTGGGTTTCTTTTTCGTTTGTTTAAAAGTATTTTCTCAGATTTTCCCTAGCTATTCTTTTTAGAGCATCCAGTCACCAAATTGCAGACCAAAGGAATTAAACTGAATTTGCTTTTTCAGCGTCTATAATTATCTGAATTCAAATTTCGCACTGCCTGTGGGTTTTCTTAACCCTGCTTTGAACAACCTGGCCCAGAGGGTTACAGGTTCAACTCCCGTTAGGGGTACTCAAAATGTTTTCTTTCGAGATGCCTGTGTTGCTGAATCAAAAAAATCTCTCTGAGGTATTTATTAAGAGTTTTTCTGATAAAAATCTTGGATCTATGGGCTGGCACATTAAAATTTACAGTTTCAGAAAAATAATATAAGTTATCCTCCCCAGGCTGTTGGCTTATTAGAAAGTGTAGTGTATCAGACTTAATATTGGCATATCTCAAATACTGCTAGAGTTTGAGTTGATGAATGATGTTGATGGTGTTGATGATCAATGTTGAACATTGTCATATGGCCGATATTTACCGCTAAATCTGATGCTAAAAAATGATCTTCTTTCTTGTAGCATGAGATCTTGAAACTTCAGCATGATCTTGAAGAAGCACAAAAGGTTGGTGTTACCAAAATTATGAAAACAAAAATGTAGTGATATCAAATTAGTTTTGAATGTTGAAGATGCCTTTCTCATAAAATAACCTCTGTTGTCCCCAGGATCTTGCGAAGAAGTTTAATGAAACAACTCAATACAAGAATATGAAGCAGATGTTAACATCAAAGAATGACCAGATAAAAGACTTACGTGGGCGATTACGAAAGTGAGTACAACCATTATAAATAGTAGTCAAAATGTGTCAGTGGTAAAATTTAATTTTCATGAGCCATCTTGTTGGAGTTGCAAACTTATGAAGTTTCACAAAACTGAATTCCCAATGCATTTAGAATTAGTTGTATTAAAAGAACATTGATGCACAAACAGCCAAAAATTAATACAAAGGATTTTGTGTACAATCAGGGTGCAAAGAAAGTCATTTTTACAGCTTGCCATTCAGGCAAGCTGAAGCTAGCATTTACAAGCCCAAATGTCATTCCAACTAGCCCCCAAAATATTTTGATGAGCAGAATTGATTTCACTGTTCTTCTGTAAGTTGGATTCCTCAAAATACTGCACTTGCCCGTTGGGCAAGTTAAGAACAGAATTCACTAGCCTGATAGCAATATCCACAAGCCCTGGGCTATTGGACACCACTTTCTTTGTGAAGAAAAAAAAAGCTCTAAGAAATAGGTAGAGTATGATCTGTATGCTTAATCATTCTCGAAATCTAGGGTTAGGTCATTTTATTGCTGTTTTCCTCACTACAAATCTAGGGGCTAGTCGTTTTTAACCTGTAAGGGCCGGGGGCCAGCCATTTTGAAAATGCTTAGAATATTTTGGAACCAACCCACCCACCTCATGCTGGATTTTTAAAAATGACCCCCGTAAGTTTGACATATTGTGAAATTGACCCCTTCCCCCGTGGAAACCACGAATATTCTTGCTCCAAATCGTGCTTAAGTTCAGCACATTTATCTACGGTTGTCTTTGTAAGATTGGTGTTCAACTATTGACAGCTGTTACATTCAGTTTCAATTCACGCTCGTTACAGGAACAGCTACCAACAAATTAATGTTTTGCTTTGTACGATCAAAAGCACATATGTCACACAGTGATTATTGATGTGCATACTAAACTTAGTACTCCTGTTCCTCTAAATTAAACTGCATTTAAATTCTTATTTGACAAGTTGTATTGCGGTTTTGATTTTGAACAGACAGCTAAAAAAAGGATATTGCTTTGTACCACTTTTATGAAATTTATTAAAATGACCCCCAATGTAACGCTCCCATATCTGAAAACGATCCCGCAAAACAAATCAATATTTTGAAAATGATCCCCCTGCAAATTGGCCAATCGATCACAGGTAAAAAATGACAAGCCCCCTAGTGCCTCAAACTTTTCTCAGGTGACACCTTCCCACTGGAAGGAGAGTTGAGGAAAGGTCTTTCAGGAGAGACCTAAGACTCTCTTGTTATCTTCTAGGTATGAACCTGATGCTTGAGTTGCGCTGATGTGTTTCAACTTTCAGAGAAGAGTTACAATTAACATGCAGGATGATAAAATTTGTTGATACAAGACAAACCCTTCGAGCCTTGGAGGCTGTTGATTAAAAGCAAATGATGGTCTTGCACTATTTATGTTTCATAGACATACCACCACTTGTCGCTTAAATTGTAGCTGTGATCATCTAACATAGTTCTGCACTTTGTAAAGTACTTAGGGTGTGTAAGAAATTCCTTTAACCAAACCTGTATCCAGTATAGAGGTGCTGAGGTAGTTGCACTTTTAGTAAAAAATGATAGCTTAGTTACATGTAGCAAGTATTCCCATAGGTGGAGAGCAAAAAGGTGAGGAAGGGGTCAGGGGGGTCATCCCAACCCTGAACTTGAATTTTTTGCTCTTACTTCAACTTTCATTCCTGCAGGCACCGGAACTGTTACTTTGCAGGTTTTTTGTTTGTGATTTATAAAACTGCTGCTTTAGGGTTAAGGGTTAAAGTAATTCCCTTGAAAAGAAGTACAATCTAGATTTTTTTCCAACTTGGCACACTTGTCAGCAATATATAGGACATTCAAAAACTGCAAGAAAAAGATAGGGTCACCGTGCTTGTTTTTGCCTTGTGTGCCCTTAATTTTGACTGTTTTTTTAGCTGGCTAAAGTTATCAAAATTGCTATTAAAAGCAGTAGGATTACAAAAGGGGCCTTTGTTAACTCTTTTTAGGTGACTGGTAAAAATTCACCACGATCTTTGAGGAGGCAATTTTATATATGCGCAGTAGGTGACGCACAGTGCAAAACAAGGGAATTACCTTAAGGTTCAGTTGTTCTTTATCGCAGTCCTCTTTCAAGAACATTTTTATAGACACATATAAGAATAGCGTTGTAACAACTGCTTTATTCTACTGGAAACCTGAAAGTTCTCCAAGTTGAAAGGCTTCAACTAAACTAAATTTTGATGGATTTTTTGTCTCTGTCAATAGACGCCCTTTTTTGTGGCAGATTTGACTGTATAAGAAATACCTTGCATTTATAAACTCCTCAGGTCAGATAAGACTAAAAAAGGCGATTTACATATTTTATAATATCAACACCGATGAAATACCAGGTTTCCTTTCACATGGAATCATGATTGAATCATCTTCACATGTAAAAAATAACATGATTTCTTCACACGTGAAAAGACCACAATAAATTGCACCTTTTGCAGCCAAACAATATCAAAGTGAAATGGTTTAGTATTTCATTGGTGTTTATGTAATAAACAGAACATTACATGGTGGCTTAGAGGTACAAAATTTCTCCTCTCCCCTTCTTCTCATGTTCAAAAATAAAATTCAACTCTCAAAGAGAAATTTTGCATCACAGTGTTGCCATGTAGTATCCTCTATATCACATAATTTATAATTAAAATTGTACTAAACATTTTTCACATAACCTTTCTTTTTGTTTCTATCTTATTATAAGCGCTTTGCATCATTTTTTCCCCTTCAGTTTACCACCTACATAAGACTTTTGATAATCTCTGAGATTGTAGGTTTTAGAAGGCAGTAATTTATTGTTTCTGATTTGTACATTGTATTCTTTTTTAACTATAACATTGCGAATTCTAAGTAAGAAATAATGGCAATGCCTTTGAAAATTAGCTTGTTAATAATTTATGGAGTCCTAAAAATCAGAAGACTTTGCTGTAAGTAATAGCTTACTCAAATTTCAGTGCTTTTCTGTCTGATGTTAGTGTGAAATGTGTACTGCTAAAAATAAACTCTCTACCGTCACAAACTGGTGCGAAAGAATCGTTTTCCTATAGTCCTGTTTTCATCCATAATACAACTTGAAAGTAGAATTCCTTGAAGTAAGATCTTGGGCCCAGGGACTTAAAGATACCAGTGTGTTATACAGGATACCCACACTGCTTTAGCTTAGCACAGGGTACAGTCTAAAACGGCCCAGTCTATTGTGACATTTCAGTATTGTCAGAGACTGGATCCAAGTGTTGCAAGTATAAAATAATGCTCTCAAGCCACTAGCCTGCGTAGCAAGTGTTTCCATGTGGTTTCGGAGCAAAGCGAGATTTTTTATTTTGGCTGTGTGAAAAATGGAACAAGAGCCAAGAAATGAAATAGGGTGGTCTTTTACTCTCGTTCCTCGTTTTTTGCTCCAAAACCACACGGAAACACTTGCTACATAGGCTGACAAGCCACAGGATTTCAGTTTATGATTACTGTGGTCGTAGATAACTAGAGGAAATTGACTTTGTTTTGATCACAAAATTCAGATTACAGTATTATAAAGAATGCGGCCAAATACTGCACATGAATGAAAACTTGCTTTTAAGCACTGATGAACCATTGATAGGTATCTTCAGTCATTATGTATAATTATTTTTGTTTTTGATACAACCACACACTGTCAATCCCTTCTTCAATGACTTTTGTTGGTTTCCAGTTTGGTAGTGGAAAACGACATGCAAGCACTTCAGCATCATCTTTCAGTTCCACTCGGAATTTTGCCTCAAGGTTTTGCATCTAGAATGAAAAAAAAATGACAGTGAAGTTAATCATAGTGATATCAAAATGTGATAGCGGCCTAATATAATGAACATTACTGGTACACTAAACATTTAAAATGCTTGAAAATGAGAGGCAATGCACATTCTGCTAAATAGGCACACTTGTGTTATTAAAAACATTTACCATTTCAGAGACTCCAAATATTACAATTTTGTCGAAAGTTGAAAGGTCAACCTGAAAAGGAAATTGATGAATCTGATAAGCATATCAGTAAAATAAAGCCCCTAATTGAAAAGCCTGAACAAAAACCTCTCCACACACTATAATCCACCTCCCTTCATTTCTTTTGTTTCCTGTCCTATGACACAGGCTACTTCAGCAGATTACATTTATGCATGTGTTGGGGTTGGGGTGAGCTTCCTTGTCGGGTGTGGTGGGTTTAGGAAGAGGGGGAGGGGGGAGGGTGGTAGTGGGGTAGCACAAAGAGAAAATCTTCAGATTTCAGATTTGCAGAGGTTTTCACCTCTCTGATAATCTTTAATACCGAAAGGAATAAGGGAAAGAAAATTTGTGGGGAGTTGATAGAAAATGAGGCCTTCAACAAAGGTCATGTATCTTGAGTGACCATGTCTTTTCTGAGCACACATATTTGAAGTACAACACCATAAATTACATAGGACTTCAAGGGTTAATCGTTGGCACACCCATTTCTGATTTGATTCCCCAGCCATTAGTCAAGCAGGTACATGTAAGAACTGAATGATTTTCATCAGTACATTGTCCGAATCAGAGGAGAGTTTGATTAGATTAGAAAAGCTCACGGATATTATGATAGGCCAGGTAGTACATACTGTTAGTCAACATGTTTTGTTAATTCCTACCTTCCACAAGTCAGCCCTTGAAAATGTGGCCTTCCCATGCAGCCCTTGTATCCTGGCCTGGATCCTTGAATACCAGACAAGCCAGTGATTGAGCTCATAACCATGAGCTTGGTAGCCATGTTTGGCTGCAGCTATTACCTGTCAATCAGAAACATATATAAATATGCCAACTCTCTTCGATTGTCTAGTAAATTAGAATAGAGTACTAAAGTGACGATGTCATAAAAATGAAATTTCTGAAATTATGGGATTTGTCGGGATATTCTGAAAGGACAATGTCCAAGAGGCCTACTTGCTTAGAAAACTCCATACAAACCCTTCTAAATTGTTTTTGGGTCGATCCCCAAAAAATAGTACTCTATGAGGTTTGTATAAGTTGCAGACCGAGACCCAGATTACCACTACACCTAAGATTTAAGAAGATTGTGTGACAGGCCGACTGAACAGAATTTTGGATGAAAATGTAGTTTTGAATAAATACAAACCACTCTTCCATCCCCACTGCCCAAGTCTACAAGCTTTGATCCCGGACATTTGGAGACTTGAGCCATTAGTAAAATATTAGAAATTTGCCTTTCTGTAGCTGGAACATAAGGCAAGCAGATTTTGCGTAACGCAGGCGTGACAAACGGTGTCGTGACCAGAACAAGTCCAATTGCCGCTGCACCTGTCACACCTAGAATAACCTTTCCCAACTTGGAAGATGTTCTTGAGTGTCTATTATCCTGCTGTTGCTCCAATCCCAGCGTATCATCAGAACATATCTCTGTCTTTGACATTCTTCCAGAGGATCGCGATCGTTCAATGATGGAAGGACAACATGGCATATCGGGAAAGTTATTTATGGGTATGAAACTTTCATAGCTTCGCCTCTTTTACACTCGCCAAATTTTCATCTACATATTACATCGAATTGTATCTGGAATAAGTCGATCGACCCGTAATTTCTCGTCAAAATATGACCGTCAAGACATCACGTTTTGGACGTTTTGTCTCCCGCCATATTGAAATCACTTGGAAATATTGCGTGGGGAGGGGTTAGGATTCATAAGCACGGGTCTCGAGAGGCAATGTCGTTCAGTTCAAATCTAGCGAGACAAGTTCGCGAAACAATGGAAATTAGCACCATGTATCACTAGACAAGATTTTAATACTGTCCAAAAAACATAATTTGTTTCTTTTTTAAGGAAACATGAAACATTTAGTCGTATATCAAATACCTGTGACTTTACTCTCCCTCCCTTACCCAGATATAATGTTTTTCCTCTGGGGTAGTAAGGAAAGTTAGAGCGTTTGATCGCGGGCTCCTAAACAGAAAGCAATCCAAGATGGTGGTTCACAGCAATTGAAAGAGGAAACTTTCTTTCTGATGGTGCAATGTGCACTCAAGGAAGCTGACAGTTAGCTTTCATTACGTTGGAATAAATTATGTTCGGCTCTCTATTCGAAAATGAGGAAGATGAAGAAGAAACCTTATTCGAAAAATCACAGAATCCTCACCAAGGAGTTTCTAAACCTCCGTGTCCGCCTGCGCCGAGAGGAGAAACAGGAATCTGTGGCTTGCAGAACCAAGGAGCTACTTGTTATCTCAATTCTTTGCTGCAGACGCTTTTCTTCACACCAGAGTTTAGAGGTAAAAGTTTTCTTGCTTTGAACACTCACAAAATTTCTTTTAGCTATATTTTACATGGCCTTTGAGGCTTTAATGGGGTAGTGGTGGTGGGGGGTGCTCAACAAAGTCTCGTCGGGGGAGGCTCCGCCCCGAGGTCCAACCCCTTAAGTACCATTTTTGACCGAAAACAAGGCTGTGCTCTAAGGAACGTTGAAAGGAGACCAGTTATCAAAGGAAAAAATAACAGATTCCCATTTTTGGATATTTTAGGCTATTAAATCCCAAATTTGGAAGAGTGAGACAAGTCCAAATCAGGGAACTTGGTTGGGAATTCCCTGGTTGGGACTTGTCTGACTTTGCCAAATTTGGGATTTTTATGGGTATTCTTTAAATACCCTAAAATATCCAAAAATGGGAATCTGTTATTTTTTCCTGTGTATCTGAACCTGTAAAATCTCTGCTGCACAGCATATGATTCTCATGAAAAATGTGGGATTTTCTAGTCACCCAAGAGCAAAAGTTAGGTGCCAGGGGCCAACGGGCTCTGCTAGAGCACAGCCTTGGAAAAGGTACCCCTTTTCATATACCTTCTATTGACAAAATATGTTACCCCTTTCACATACCAAGTTTAGAACTTTGCATCCCTTTAAACTGCTGTATAATTCAATGCCTTTAAAATATAAATAAATCGCAATGCCAGAACGTTTTCACCACTTTTTCACAGCCTTTTTAAAATGTATCTGGTAGCCCTTTTGGAGGGGCATAGCGTGAGTTTTTAAAGGTATACCCACTAGAAGAAAAGTTCTAATGTCGAAGGCTCCTCAAGCTAGTGTGCTCTGCCCGGAAAAACTTTTAATTCAGGGTCTTGGAAATGGTATTACCTGCATTTTCCACAAGACATTTTCAGTAAATAAGTAGGAAGGAAAATGCAGTAGTTAGTTGTTTCAAGTCATTCTCTCTTGGTTGTTTATTTTACCCACCTCTAGTGTTATCAGTAAGGTACAAATTATGATAACAGAAAAAAGGGTAAAACAGTAATGAGATCAAGGAGGTTACAAGCAAAGGGTGAAATGTCTACCCCTCAGACGGGCAAATTCTGTCACAATGGCCGCATCAATATCAACATCCTTGTGCTTGTGTATGTGAAGAATTGCAAGAGAGCTTTATCAGTCATCCTGATTACATTGTAAATGATACAAATGCTTTCAGGAAACTAGAAAAATACTATTTCCTGATTTCAGCTGTATGCACAGACATGTGTGCGTAAATGGACGCTATGCTCCTGCTTTTGAGCATTTTTACACACCAGAATGACAGATTTCCCTTCCCTTTCATATACTTCAACTCGTGAAATCCCTACCCTTCATAGTGGATCCTTGATATAACGAAGGGCCATAGTGGATCCTTGATATAACGAAGGGCCAAGTGGCTGACGTAATATGTTTGCCATAAGGAGGTTTCATATATATCGAGGTTCTCTTCCATATATTTTACTATTAGCGGGGCTAGGAATATCGTTCATTATACCGAGGACCTCATTAGAGGTGTGTTAAATCGAGGTGCCATTGGAATATACTTGAAGCCTAAAAAGGGTATGCCCTTTTGGGCAGAGCCTTCTTGTATAGGTAAATTTAGGGAGTACCCTTCTCTCCCCCACCCCTAGTTTCAAAGTCTTTTAAATTATAATAATACCTATAAAATTATTGTAATGGAGAATAGTAGGAGGGGGAAAATTCTTGGAAATTCTCTTCCCTTCATTGAATTTATCCCTCCCAATGCTCGCTCCAAAAGCTGTCCTGCTGCCTTCTTTTTTTTTTGCAAACTTGCCTCTATTTTTTAGTCAATTAATAATGTCCATGTTGTGAGAGTCAGCTATAGTATGTAGATGTGCTTTCCTCATGTTTACAACTCTAATATTTCTTATATTTCTTTCTTAGCTGGTCTTTTTGAGCTGAGGGAAGGAGATCTTAATCCAAATTCAAGCTTAAAAGTGAGCAACTATTTTATTAACAATATATAAAATGTATATACACCAACTCCCTGCGGCTTCCAAGCAGATTCAAGGCTAATCCTTCAGTCTCCTTAACAGGTCTTTAAATCTCCTGGATAAATTGTTTTTCAAAAGCTTTTCTGTGTGTGAGGTTTGGGCCCACCTTTTTCCCACACTGGCCAATATTACATGTAATAGCAGCTGTTTGATTGGATCAACATTCATATAATGAAAGTCCACAACAATGAATTTGGGACTGGGTCAATTGTGTGTATGAGTTGCATGGAGGGGAGGGGAGAGAGAGCTAGGGGAGGTGGGGTGGGTTTGTGGTAGTGCTAGTAAATAGAGAGAGTCTCTAAATTTCGATTTTCTGCTAATATAGGTTGATGTCTTTATTAGTTCTGTAAGTATAGTCCACACACTATTGGTTGCAGGCATCTTCCATACACAAATAGGTACATCCTTTAACATGTACGAATAGTTACAGACTCAAACACTGCTGTGATTTAAAGTGGAACAGTTTAGTATTCTTGGTAGGTGTGATGAGTTTGTGCATTTGACATTGTTATGATTTTCCTTTATCAGGCCAGGGTGATACCACTTCAACTGCAGAAGCTGTTTGCTAAACTTCTTCTTCTTGATCAAGACAGTATCAGCACTACTGATTTGACAGACAGTTTTGGATGGGCAGGAAATGAGGTGTGTATGATATCACTGACAGTAAATACTTGTGTGTCAGGTTTTGTATTTTAGCTCTTCGCCAATCACATTAATGAAGTCCTATTTGTAGTTACCAAATTTTGTAGCAAAAATGTGCAATTTTCCTTTTTCCAGGGATTTCAGCAACATGATGTCCAGGAACTGAACAGAATTTTATTTAGTGCATTGGAGTCATCTCTCATTGGTACACCAGGTGCAGCCTTAATAAGAAAGCTCTACCATGGAACATCTGTGACAAAGGTGCACAAAGGCTTTATAAAAGAGCTATTATGGTTTTCAGTTGAAGGTTGATTAATTTGAATAAGAGAAGTTGATTTGGGTAGGAAATAAAAGCATATAAAAAAAACGAAAAAAAAAAAAACAATGATTGCCAACAGCTTGATAAATTGTGTGTGTTGTTTATTCAAACTTGAATTCACAATATGCCAAATGCAATCATGGACAACAAAGTTCAGGGAAAAGAAGAAACCTAGTGAGGCAAAATTCAATGAAAAAATAATGAGAGAATCTAGATTGAGACAACAGAAAGGGAAAACACAACAACAAACAGAGCAAAAATGTCAGATAAACAGTGCAGCAAGCTAGATTACTGTACTTACAGTGTAGCTTGTTAAAGATGGTTAAAGTGACATCAAGATCGCAAGTCACCTGTTTGAATAATAATATTAAGCTAGTATGAGCACAAGTTTTAAAGGAAAGCGGATTTTAAAACACAGCTTTCGCTTGTCATTCACAAACAACAAACATGCGTGTGAATGATTCTGGCTGAGTAAATGGGCAAGATTGTAAAAACACCACCCACTCCAAGAACCAATCAGACTGCAGGATTTAGAGAATTCTGCCTGCTTGCAAACTGAGAAAAAAATAAAGGTTATTTTTATTTATTTATTTTATAAGTTAACATCAGGTGACTATCAATATTGTTATGTTGGCACAAGGTATTGTCTTTTATAGAGTGTTTTCACTCACGTGGCCAGCATCTATGCAAATTTATTGGAACAAAAGAAAGCGTTTGCATAAGAAAAGAGTTCAACTCCAAAAGGATTGGTGTGGGACACCAACATGGCTGCCGCTTCATTGTTTTGGGACACCAATATGGCCACCCTGACATCATGTGAAACCACTCCATTAAAGTGCTTATTAAAATAAGCACTAAATTGTGTATGTGGGCTGTGTTTGGCTTCACATGGGATAAGTACATGTGTAGGCTATTGAAAAGAGAATTTAGCAGTTTTTTTGAAATCATTTGGGCTTTTAACCAGACAGTTGAATGGTGGTGATTGTCCAGCAGCAGTACACTTCAAAACATTTGATATTGATCTGTTTTATTTTTGTGAATTACCAGGTCATTTGCAAAGAATGTGGTCATGTCAGTGAAAGAGAGGTACATTGTTGTTGTTGAAGTTTTATACTCCATAAAAAGACATGAAATCTTAATCCAATGTTTTATGGATAAAATCCTATAGTGCAACAATATTTCCTCCAAAAAAATCTCCCAGGCAGGACTTTTTATTTCTTGTTGATATTTTGAAGGTCATTGATTTTTTTATCCCAGATACCTGAGGACATTATATATTCATATAATGAAGGTGATATTTAAATCTTGGAGATTTGCATCATTGTTCTGTGGCAAAATAATAATTATTCAATTGCAGCTAACAACCACAGTGGGAAATGTATTCTGCAAATAAGATTAATAGGAGATAGCATGCAGTATCTGCAGGCTGAATTTGCAGTATCTGCTAAGACTATATAAGTACATTTATCAAAATTGTAGATGGAGATACACCAAAACACATGTCACCAAACTTGAGCAATCCAACTTATTATATAACACTACTTATGGAAGTAAATTGCCTGCTCTTTAAACCATTTATTAATTTTAAATTATCGTTTACCTCCAAGCTAATCAATCATTGTAGTGTACACAAAACAATGTTCATATTTGTATGCATGGCCATGGTATGTTACTAAAAACAACATTTTTTTTTTATTTTTACAAGGAAGATTACCTTGATCTTCCCCTGATTCTCTCTGGATGTAATGGCCTGGAGCAGAGTCTGGAAATGAGTTATGTTTTAAAAGAGAACTTGGAGGGTGCCAATAAATACAAATGTGGTTCATGTGGAAAACTAGTCAACGCTATCAAGGTTTGTAGTTGTATGAAAATATTTCAATCAAAGCCATCTTTCCTATATGTGTGCACAAACAGGAGAGGGACAGGGGAGGGGAGGGATCTGAGTTAAGGTGAAACTGTTTAAAAGACACTTTGCTATTGTTCCTTGACAATGATTTTTTGTTGATTACAATATAATATCATGTGCCACTTGTCTTGATGTGAGAATATTAATGATCATCTGCAATATTCCTACCTGGCTGTTTAATATTCAGTCTTAAGATTTATTGTGCAGGAGTGAGTTACCGTACATGTTGTATGCACTGCAGCCTTCGTTTAAGGCAGAATTTATTGACTACAAGTCTGTAAAACTGCTGATGATGAGTATTTGATATTTACAGGGCTCCAAGATAAGGACTCTTCCTCCAATCCTTACGTTTTCATTGTTGAGGTTTAACTATGATTTTCAACGAGGTGAAAGATTCAAGGTAACATTGATTTAGATTATTAAATGGGTAGATCATAACCAATATTGAATCCCACCCAAAGAATACAAAAGCTTTACGAATAAAGTATTTGTTTTTTCCGCCCTTTTCTTTAATGTAGCTATATTTTGTTTTGTATTTTGCAATTGTGCTTTGAATGTTTTTAACAAAAAGAGCAGGCAGAGTTTATGGATAGACAAAAAATGTTCTCAAGTCGAAACTCCACTGGTCGGATGCTCTAACCACTGTGTCTTTGTCCCATGCTCGTGACATGTTGATCACATCATTTCTCATTTCTTCACCATTAAGCTCGAAATTTACCATCATATGATTAAATAACCGTTAATCCTATGATCGTCAAAATTTAATTTTCTTTTTCAGTTTAGTTAAAATGGTTCTCAGTCTAGTACATGTTCGCTCCCCCTAAGTGCAAGCTGTAAAGCTGACTCTCTATGTACCCTGTGTATTTTGTTTGTGTTTTATTACTGATTACTGATGTTGTATCTGTTGACTTTCAGGAAACCAAAAGATATGCCTTTCCTGTAGCTCTGAGTATGAGAGAATTTTGTGAATCCAACAAGGAAATTGCAGATGGTCAGGAGTATGAATTATTTTCTGTAGTGATTCATGGGTAGGTTTTGAACTGTTCTTAAAATTCTCTTTGTGGTAATAAATATTTATTGATAATAATTTAAGAAGAGATAATGAGTTCCTGTTTTTGGTTGTTAGTTTAATTTAACTGTATTTTTTCTTGAAAATGACTATTGGATTATTAGAGCATTATAAATCTATAGTCCTCACGGCTAGATAAGGGACTAGACATTTGAAGATGATGTGAACTGCGGAAATACAAAATTTTAAAATATTTAATGAAGATATGATCGTTGCAGTGGTAATTAATTGCAATCTAAGCGAGTAAACCCCAAAAAAATATTTCGACACTTGAACAGGATTCAAACCCATGGCCTCTGTGTTAGCGCTGCAGTGTCTACCATTTGTGCTATGAAGACCCATACAGTGAGAGCAGGCAAATTTGTTGTGTTCATCTTAACCGATGAAAGGAATGAAATATGAAGATGATGTGAACTGCCGAAATGGACGCTACTAACTCTGTAGTGGAGGTCTTGTACTACTTAATTGCTTTGAGTTACTTTCATTTTCTCCTTTCATCATTCTGTGTGACAGTCTGTTCGAGTTGTTTAAACTTTGTCATCAAATGGATGTACTCTTATCTAATTTACGGTGCTATTTAACAGCTTGTAGAATTATGTTTAAAAAGTTTACCTGTATTGTTATGAAAAAAGAACTTTTTAAATTTTATTGTTCATGGTCTGTGTTTACTTTTTCAGTGGCAGTTGTTATGGGGGCCACTACCATGCTTATATCCGTGACGTGGAGGGACTGAGGACTTGGTTTGAACCTGTAAGAAGAATTTTTCCAACAATATTACATTCACCTTGAAGAATTATGCAGATCGAGGCAAATGTTATAGGTGGCTAAATGTAATTAGGCGAGGTTAAACACAAGGCAATTCTGGCCAGCGGTCTCCATCGTATGTGGGTGGTCTTGGGCTTTAGCGAGCGCGGCTTTAGCAATTTTACAGCACTTTCGCTGGTCAATCATTTTGCTCATGTTGCTGTCCTGTGTAGTAGCTTTAGCTGAGTTTTACCCCCAGCTTTCCCTTCCCTTTGGATGTGTTTTGGTGAGTATCTGTGCATTTCTTCACTGAGGTTCTCAGTGTGATGGTGCCTGGTGGTACCGCTTACAGGGTTCTCATGGTTGCCTTCTGCACTCGCCTGCAGCTCCCTTCAGTTTCACCAGGTACCTTCCCTACACCCATCTGTTGTCGATGGGTTTAATAAAATGTTACCTCCAAGATCAGCATAATTATTCTTCACATCACACGTGAACCGAATGAAATAATATTGTGTCATTATTCATTTAAAATATTTCCAAGTTCTTGAAAAGCTTACCTCCTCATATTTCTCGGCACGGTTTCAGGATATATAAAGAGATTTTTTCCTTGCAGATGCTAATCAAAAAGTAGATAACATTCTTTGAGCAACATGTTTTGCATATTCTTGCATTTTTTCTGTTCATTTTTGATCAGAAATTCAGCTATCTCGTCTTTGGATAGCCGTAAATTCCATTTGTTATAGTTCACTATTATAATAGCTGTGGTCTGTGTGCTGATTGAAAGGTGACCCTTGTGCTGCTGAATTTTAATAGAAAATATATGTATTTTTATCATGGGCTTTTGGTTGCATTTTTATCCAAGGACAAACAACAAGTAAGAATTGTCCAAGGAGAGGATGACAGTCAAGAGAATGTTGTTGTTAACTCTGGTGACCCTGTGGAACTAATTGTGGCATTACTGAGAAAACTTGGAGGTGCAGCATCAGTCAATCAATTGTGTCAGGTAAAAGATACTATTATGGCATGGTAAGCCTATTCCAGGCTCCAAGATAGTTGGAAAGCAGATTGAGGAAAGGTGGGCCATAGGGGCAGGGGTACGTTTTTTGCACTCTTCCCAGTTTTTCGCTGCATTCCCGCTTTTTTCACTTGCCTATTCTGACCAAGACACCTAGCCTGATTGCATGGTTAATAGCAGGATCAATTGCAACATCCCTCTAATGGGTACTTTCAAAATATGGACACCTCTCTATTTCAGACAGTTTTCCTGGTCCAAGAGAGTAAACGTTTTATAACAATATTCCAACATGTTCATGACCTCCACAAAGCCAAGCTGTCATAGTGAATAACAACAAAAAAAATCTTTTCCTGCCTGGTGCGACTAAGATGATGCAGACGCTCGTCATCGCTGATGCGTACCTGCATCCGAACTGATGTGTACACATTGCATCTGCTTTGTTTGCTTAGTTTAGTAGGAAACTTCTACTTGCACTCTTGGCTCTATCCCTTTGATATCCATGTTAGGACATTTGATTGTTTTACAGTGTGTGTAAATTCAGTCCTTACATGATTTTGGATAAACATGTTCTTTGGTCACATTTAGTGTATGTCTAAAGACACTGGGATCTCTTGGAATAAGCGATTTAAAAGTCGCTTTGGGCCACTCTCAAAGGTATGACCTTAATTAATATGTAGCAAATATCTAATTAGTTAATACTGTTTTGTCAAACTCTGATAAGCTACTCGATTTCCAGAGAGTATTGGTCGTTCATCTTCTTCAGTTATTCCAAATTCTGTCCATCGTAAGTCCATTATTCACCAGCTATCTGCTTTATTTGGATATCTTTTGGTTTGGCATGCCCTAACACCTCATAAGCAATACATGAGAACTGCAAATGTATATTTTCCTTTACACCTGTTGACTTGGCAAATATCCACCAATCTTACCATCCAGTCTGTAGACTTTTTATGGAACAGGATATTGTCAAGCTGATAGAAAAGAGACTCAAATCTTTAATAAAATAGCATTTTAAGGAGTTGGCATACACTCTTGTACTTACAGACGTGTTAGATTCGTTTTCATAAACCACAGTTGAACCTCTCTACAATGGCCACCTTGGGGACAGAAGAAAGTGGCCGATGTAGGGAGGTTTTAAACAAGAGTCAATGTATGGATTTTTTGTCCGCTGGGACGAAAAAAAGTGGCCGTTGTGGAAAGGTGGCCTTTAGCAGAGGTTTGACTGTATTACCAGACAAATAATATGAATTAGTGCTTATTAATTCCATATTCTTCCCCTCATTACCCCTCTCTTGAACTCCCCACCACACCCTTCTTAGGCTATGATCGCATCACACTATACCTGATATCTTTTCGTGGCGCCACGGAAAGCTAGCCGTTATAGTAGTGTGAACACCTATCCGTTATGTGACTCTCCAGTTTAGAGATCTGCGCGGCGCAGCTTCGTTCCGTTACAGAAGTCGCACCGCCACAACCGTTCTCGTGTGTGAATAGAAGCGTTATCCGGTATCTGGTTTTCGTGGCGCCGCGAAAAACTATCTTGTATGGTGTGAACACCTATTCGATATGTGACTGTCCAGTTTAGAGATAACGCGGCGCAGCTTCGCTTCGTTACAGAAATCGCGCCGCCACAACCGTTCTCGTGTATGAACAGAAGCGTTATCCGGTATGATTTTTTGTGAACAAAAGCCCGGTGTCACACACATGGTTTTTATTTCATGCAAAAAGCCATCTCCACCCCCAATGGTGATGAACATAACCTTAACAGTGTAACAGATGAAAATAATTGAAATTAACAAATAAACCGAATAAATAAGGGAACAGCAAACTTACAAAATATATTTTAAGAATGAACTACAATCAGGAACCTTCAACAAGGTTTTCTTTTGTCGAGGATGCAGAACAAATGTTATAATTTGCAAATGTTGTTTTATTTTAATCGCTTTGATAGCATTTCCATTGTTGAAAATTTCTCTGCAGTTTTTCAAGAAGAACTCGGACATTTTCAGCTTCAGTGATGCCTGCGGATGGGTGTCATTAAAGAATGGTGGTGAAAATCCCTCAGAACTTGCATCAACTCAAAGAGAGGAACACCGCCCTCTTGAAAACGATTTAAGTGGAAGCGCACAATCTTCTGTAGTTGTTGATGAGGGAAAGCCACTTTCATTGGCAAGGTAGGTATTCATGTCACCTGTTGTTTGTACAAACAACAGTTGTGCATGTGCATCACACTTTTTTTCTACATTTCTTTGACGTGTTTGCACGACTACGTCTTGAAGATGCCTAATTTCGCGTATTATGGAGAACGTAAACGATAATTCCAAGGAACGATGAAATTTTCTTTTTCTTTCTAAACTTGGATATGGTCCCTAGGAATTCAACTCCTGGGCCGGGTTGTTCGAAGCTGGGTTAAGATAACCCAGGGTTTGTGCGAAATTTGAACTGAAATGTGAGAGCTTAAAACGCAAATTCAGTTTAATTCTCTTTGCCTACAATTTGATGATTGGATACTCTAAAAAGAATAGAGAAAATTATCCGAGAGAGTGCTTTTGATAAAAAGAAAAGGAACCCCGGGTTAAATTTTAACCCTGAGTTAGCGCTAACCCGGCGTTCGAACAACTGGGCATAGGAGAGTTCGCCGGCATTTGAAAAAGTAAGTGGGTAGAAAAGACTGAAAAAACGCATATTCACTTTTTAAGCGACGTTCTCGTTGCCGTCGCGTCGTTGGATCTTAAAGTCCGTAGTTCTATGAAAAAAACCGACGATTTGATGGAAAACGCGCGACGAAAACGACGTCCACAGGTAACCACAGAGAGGCTTAAATGTGAAGGGTGGTATAGGGACTCAACATTACAGTGACGTGTGTTGTTTCCCTACACAATAAAATTTTGCTCCACTTTTCTCTTTCCACCTCGGTTTATCAACGTTTACTGCCTTCAAACAGGAGAACAGATCACAATAAAAAAAAGCCCGTTTGAGACAAGCATATTAATTTGAATTAGTATTTTCTTTTAGAGGAAATGTTCCTGAACAGGGACATATGTGGTTCGACGTTAATGATTCCAGGATTTCTTGCATCCGTGAAAGAGATCTTCAGCGTCAGTTTTCGGGAAAAGAAAGTGCTTACATGTTGTTCTACAGAAGAAAAAATCTGTCAGTCTCTGGAAGTGATCCAAGTAGGTTGCTTGAAGTTTCTTACATAATTATTGAAAAGCTATGGTCGAACGGGAAACAAAAACGCGCAACTTGCTCAAAAGCCTTGCTGCATAAACACGGGTTTAAAAGCCATGTTGCGCGTTTTACTCCCCCCGTTCAAATCTGTCTTAGAACAAGTAACCGTATCTTAACCCTTTAAGTCCCAAGCTAGAGTGACCAAAGTTAATTTTCTCCTTTCAATATCGATACATAATATAGAGAAAATGTTGTGAAAATTAATGAAATGATCACCTGATGGGAAAAGCTTTGATCTACAAACAAATTCTCTCAACCAATTCTTTAAGGAAATACATGGAGATCAGTCTGAAGAATTTGTTCGTGGATATTGGGGCTAAAAGGGTTAAAGAGCTTTGCAGCGGAATGCTCCCAGCGACCAATACGGACTGGTTACAGTGTACACCTAACAATTTTGGCTCATAAAAAAATTAATTGATGACATTGCTGAGCATATAAGGTCAATACTACATTGGAGTTTTTGTACAGCGTTTCATCTGTTATCTCTCCACACAGATTTGTCAGTTCCTACCTCCCTCAGAACTGAAGTTGGGGAAATAAACAAAGAATTAGCAAAACAGAGGTGAGCGAGTGTTTCAATTATGTTGTGGACTTTTCGACCACAAGATGGCTCTATTAGTGCTGTGTTGTGTTGTATGCTTTTTTATCTTTTAAATTCTAAGTAGGTCCGTTGCATCAGGGGTTCCCAAAGTCGGTTTATTGAAAACACTTTTTAGCCTATCCAGAGTACTATTCGATCTCTAGAAATTCATTCTAAGTACGGTCACCCTAGGGGAACTTGAGTCTTTTCGAAATCAGAACGGCTTCAGTATTATTTTCCCGAACATTTTATATGCAACTTAAAGTTTTACGAACCAAGGTGAGAATTTTTTTCTGATTGCTCTCTCCGCGTTGTCGAACCCACAAAATTTTAGGCTTCCTTTTTGTACTAATTTTAACTTAACCTTCGCTCGGGAGCGAAACTTAAACTTCCGAAAATCCTAGCCAGGCATTTATTAGACAAGCTTCGAAAATGGAATGGACATTTAGAACTTTTTGGCCGTCCTCAAGCTATAGAAAATTCTAGGCAATATTTCCTTCTTCAAACAGATATTTTTTCAGAAAACAATGATTGGGTGTCTCTATTGCATCGCGTTCTTCCAAAATCTGAAACAGACTGCCCGTTAAGTGAGTGATGAAATGGTACACTTGAGAGTAAAGGTTCTTTAACATTTTGTAAAATTTATTTGCGTCCATAGGGAAGACTATGATGCTCGACTGAATCAAATCTCTGTTACCGTACATTTTGCAAGCCATTATATAGTATCAGATGGCTTTCTGAGAATTAAGCAGGTAAATGTTTGCATACAGGTATTAACGATGTTAATTATTTCTTTCGACATTCGTTTGGCAAGTAGTGAATCGACCAGCCAAAATGCAGCGACATCGCTGTTTTTTGTGCATATAACTCTTAAAATCTTATTGATTTTAATTTTCCGACTAGCATTCCCGTCACATTTTTATGGGTGCCCCCGGGGAACTGTCCAGGTAATTCATTGTACTGATTTTTAAACTTTTCAGGGTTTAACATCAGACCCACTGATAGTGTCATTAGACAAAAGAAAACCGGTCACTGATCTTCTGCGTAAAATCACTGAGGTATGTTCAAATCGATATCCATTTTCCCTTTAAATCGATATTATTCAAGCGATGAAGGAGAGTAGAAACAAGGGCAGCGAAAGAAGGAAAATTATTGCGAGGACGCGTAATCAGCACATGCTTAGAGTTCACTCGCCGTTTTCCTTCACTTCCTTTCCCTCCCAGTTTTCTAGTCTCCAATCTTTCTCGGCCTTAAACGATCGCGTGCGACATCTGCTTAAGGTCCTTGGCTCAATTCCATTTTTTGACATCACAAAACACTACCGCTTGAACCGCGCGAAAGGGTGGGATGAAGGTATGGCTGCTTGGCAGTCTCTCATTCTCTGTAAGCCTCTACTCGACCCGCAAGGATTTCTAAGGACCTGTTTACGTGAAGGTGGGGGACCCCAGGTAGGTGAATTAACATGTGGCGGGTTACCTCACCTAGCATGTAAACGTGATCACATTAAAATGAGAGATTATATGGACAGGCGGGCGGGTTACACCACCTAAGCGGGTTACCTCACCTATCTGGGGTACCCCACCTCCATGTAAACAGGCCCTAAGGGGCATGGCGTGATGAGTTCAATATGTTTTATTCATAGAAAACTGAGATGAAATTGTAAAAAAATTATTCTCACTCGTCGTTTTTCACGCTTGGAACCTTAAAAGAAAGATTTTAGATGATTACTTCCAAAGGAAAACAAAGCATGATCGGTTTTCGGTCATTTTTCGACAACACAGTTGACCCCTCAATTTTTTGAAGTTGTAATGCGTTTGCATCCTGGCTGTCGAAACCCAATGACATGCACTTCTAGTTTATGTATAGTACTGGAGTAGTTATAATTAAAACTGGATCATTTTTTCAGTGTTTTCTTTGAATCCTATGTTTTTTAGTGTCTTAAAGAAATGCCAAAAGATGGGAACATGTGAGTGTATGTGTTCTGCCCACAGGCGTGTCCTTCCTTATTGTTCCCGATCTAAGGCGCGCATCTTGACCGCTACGTAAGGGCCGCCATCCTTCACTCTATCCAGCATTCCCGCTCTAGGTCTTCCAGATAGCCTCTTTCTTATCACCCTCCCCTCAAGAAATAACTAATGGGACAAGATCACCATGCTGTAGGGTATAACTAAGCCATACTCTCTGTCTTGCGCTGGTAACAGATATGATGGCCCTCTCCCCACCAACACGCCTCAATAATTCCTCGTGACAGACTTTGTCAGACTAAGAAATGTTTAAGACCTTCCTCCAAAGCCACATCTCACAGCTCTCCAGCTCTCGCGCGTCATCTTTCTTTAAGATTTTTTAATTTATCTTTCAGCTTGATTCTTCTAGAGACGACGAAGCCAGTAACACTGTTCATATTGCCAGACGACTTCCTGCAGGTTTACATCTATTTCAAGAGGTGATACGTAAGTGGGTGATATCTACGACCTTAAATTATTTTGAGCTCTAGAGACTGAACTGACTCGAAGTAATCGTTCATCTTTTTTCCTTGCTACGTTGGTATTGTAGAACACCCTGAAAAGTCGCTGATTCAAAGCGGAGTGCATGATGGCACTGAAGTGTTTCTGTGGAATGGGGAAGAGGTAACTAAGCCACAAATTTTTCGCAGTTCTTGTTACTTTTTGACATTTTGAATACAGACGATGACTATATTGATACGCCCACTCTAATTACAAAGGTAAAATAATCCAAAAATTTCGAAAAATAAAAGCTACGTTGCTTACTCGTTCCTATTCTTACAGTTTGTTATTTGTTTACCTCTTTTTTTCCCGACCATACTACGACTTTTATTTTATGTATTTATAAAATGTAAACTTTTCTTAGTGACCCTAAATCTTAATTTCTTTTTGGCATGCACTACCCCGCCTGGAATAACTTTGCTTGCTGCGGACAGTGCTTTTGTGATGTTATCTACTTACCAATAAAGTTTTGTTGTTGTTTTTCTTTTGGCTATTGAAATCATAATATCACAATGAATGAAATGACTGACTCGACAATTTTCACGTGGCCGTGTATATAGATCTTGAAGGCATTGGCTATCAAAGGATCTTAAAAAGATAATCTTGCTTGTTTAGGAGGCTGCGTAGCCCAGTGGTCAGTGCGTCGGACTCGCAGTCCGGCGGTTCCGGGTTCGAGTTCCGCTCTGGCCGCTTGCTGGATTTGTTTCTCGTACGTCCCCAGTTCAACTTAAGGTGTTGTTTTACGGGACGATTTGCAACGACGATTTTTAGCACAACAAAGTGCTGCAATGTTGGAACAATGTTCTGATCATTCGAAACAGTGTCGTAACAATGTTGCAACGCTGTGTTGCGCTAAAAATCGTAGCTGCGAGTCGACTCGTGTACTAACCACGCATTTGGCGTTTTCTGTTTGTTTGTTTGTTTGTTTTGTAGGTGGGTGGATCTAAGGTATACACAGGAGAGGACTCAGCCCCAGTTCTTCTCAATATAAAATATTCAGTGTCTGAAGATGAGGCAGCTGTGGAGATTCAGAAAACATTTAGAAAGAACACCACACTGGGAGAGATGAAGGTCAGAGTTTTCAAGATCTTTACGTTGTTTGAAGGCACATTATTCTTTACCATGCTTTCGTTGTTGGGATGATCGATCTGTCTTGACTGGGGGCGAGGACGTAGACAAGGACGTGAAGAAGCACCGAATTCTGCTGGTGTGTTGTTATACAATCAGTAACCTTTAACTGAAAGGAAGGAAATATCTTTATACTAGAAATACGTATACCGCAGAACCTCGCGAAGCTTGGGAGGGGGAGCCTATAAGGGGTGGGAGGACAGGAGAGAAATGAAGTAAATCATGTAACTGGGGAGGGTGGGTCTAATATTGGAAGATGAGATGTACTTTTTAAAAATTTGAACTCAGTGCTCTGGCTTTAAAAGGGATCTTCTGAGATTTAACTGGGGTTGCTGTTGTTAGCCAATGCTGCATAGGTCCCATCCCGTGTTCACCCCATTTGACCTTACAAAGGCATATATTTCAGATAGATTTTCGGGTTAAATATCAGAGAGCGTTAGATTTGAGGACAAGAACGAGTACGAGTATGAGTTTTAAAAAAAAGACACTCCGGAAAGCTTCATTTTCCTTTTTTTTCACCAAAAAAGGTTATTACGGTTATTTATACTGAAGGAGGTTAAGCGTTACGGTTTTCACTCGATAACGAAGGCCTTATTTATTTTATCTTACAGTTGATGCTGTGCAGTTCTATTGGAATAGATTATGAAGATTTGCTTCTCAGCTGGGTGAAATCAAAGAGTAATATTTATTTTGTTCTGGTTTTTAATGTTTTTAGATTACGCTAGAGGGCACTGGTTGTGGCGTTGTTGCGTCTCTCAAAGAGAGAATATTATTCTTTCTTGGTCTCTCTCACACATTAGGCGATTTGTGGCGGAGACGTTCCTGTCGAGACGATTATTTTCTTTCGTGTCACTTTTTGAACTTTGGTCCTTAAGAATTCAACTCTGGAAAAATCTGCTTACGTTTGCCAAATAGAACGAGATGGAATTATAGCAAGGACGTTTGACCGGTTTCTGTAGCATGGAAGAAAAGGATTAGAATTAGCATTATGCATTCCAACAACCAGAATGACCCAAAACTGTTTCATTTAAAAAAAATCATGATAGCAGAGCGTAACGCCTGAAGCAGGACCATTCAGGTTGAAAGTCGAACGCACAAATTAACCATCTTTCAGTGAACTGTTCTTCTCCCTGCTTCCTCTCGTTTCTAGGACCTTACTCGTTATGCAGCATTGGTGTCGTGTTCAAGTGAAATTTAGAGGTCTGTTTACTTGCAAAATGTTTGTTTCCTTGTTACTCATTAATAATGTTTATTCTCTCCACAGTTAAAAATAATGTTTGTGCGCTAAACGCCAACAAGGTAAAAGAAACGGTCAATTCTTCGTTGTAGATAGCCACTACAAACGAGCTATGATAAAGACTAACCCTTGTTTACATTTTTTGCCTCATTCTTAACGTATGCTTATTAAGGTAACAAAATAAAATCTGTGAATTTTGAAAGAGCATAACAATTTCAGTTATCTCTGAAAATTTGAACCCGATATACAGAATAGTTTCGGAGAAATTCTCTTTAAAAAACCCCAAGTTTTACAAAGAATGTATGAACTTATTAACGTTTTTGCCACCCAGCAATTTCGCGGTTTTGGATTGCTGAAATTTCCTTTGTTATTGATAGCACAAACTACTCACCTGAATTAACCAGGATTCGGCTATATTATGGCTGCTGAGAATGGACCAAGTTTTCAGGGTGTGGTCGAAAAGTATTACATGACCTGTTCACTACTTTTATCCACAGAAACATTTTTTATTGAAAAAGTTACGCAAAAATTACTCGCTGATAATCGACCAGAAATTGGTCCTTTGCTGCTAAACAGTCTCGTGGGGCAAAACCGTTTTGCTGAAAAGCGTGAGACGCAGTGGAGCAAGTAAAACAATACAAATACATCATCGTTTGCGTCGTTTGCTCTCCAACTTGACCGTCCACAGTCCCCTGTTTTTCCATAAGATCGTCGAGAGCGAGCGCTTTGCATCACGGGCGGCTATGTTGGATGAGTGTCAAATCTACCTAGGAGGGCGGGGGACGGTTTAGGAGGAGGCGAGAAAAATTGAAAAAAATAAATTTTCTCGCCTCCCTCCCCCGACCGCTTTTAACCGCGACGCCCGTCCTCTCGGTTTAAGGAAACCAAGATGGCCGCCTGTACCGGCTTGTCCTGGCGATCATACGAAAAAAGAGTGGACTGTGAATAGCCTTCTCTCCAACGAGGTGTTTTTTGTACCATGTGACTGTTTAGCTCGAAAGGGGCTGTTACTGTAGCTGTAACCACATGAACTCCCTCGAGTGTCTATTTTATCTTCTTGCTTGAAACGCTGTTTGTGGACTGGCTACAACGATCGTTATTCTCAGTTTAGGTTTTTCATTATCTTAGGACGGTGACACGCTAAACGAAATTTGCCTTCAAGATGGCGATTATCTGGTTGCCGAGAAAATGATTCATATTGAGTAAGTATATTCAAAGAAAATTAGTGATGTTATTCCATTCACATTTTCTGAGGGAACATGCCCCCAGACCCCTCTAGAGGCACTGGATTAACCCCCCCTTGTTTAAAGGTCAGGTATTCTATTCAGTCCTGCTGGCTACTTCAATTATTATCGAAACCCCTGAGTATTAATTCTGTAGCCTTTTTCTAAGCCGTACGAGAAATTGTAGCTGTTTTATCTCAACTTTCGTTTTATTTCATGATTTCTAGATACAATGTTAAAAGCAAAACTACTTTGTCTTCTCAAGAAAGTAAAAAACACGACAACATGATCTCCTTCACCGTAGAGATTCGCTGTGTTGTAAGTACTTGTCTTTATCTCTCTGTATAATTTTCCAGATTAGAAAAGCAAGTACTTAAGCCCATGATCTTTCATGTTCCTTTATCACAACAGGAAACAGCGACACTTGAGGACAAAGAAAACAAATTTCCGTGGCCAGTTTTTCCTGTTCAAATTCTTAAAGACCAGGTAATTTAGTTCCCCGCTTGACAATCCTCAAGCATTGCGCTTTTGCATGTTTCATCCGCGCAACTGAGCGATAATACATACCGGCGGTACGTAAAATATATCAGTTTTGTCTTTAGTTCTAAGCAAGTTTGAAACCTATCACACCAACACTTAGCTTTTTTTTAGACTATTAGAGATCTGAAGACCAAAGTACTTCGATTGCAAAGCCAATTTCAGCACATTGCAGGTACGTTGTGAGGCGTAAACATAACAGCATGCGTTGTCGTTACTTTGTTGTTGTTTTTTCTTTGCAATTATTGTTTTATAAGTAATGCCAATAGCAACCTCGTCCCCAGGGCGCTTTTCCCTGGCTTTGGAGGTGGGCAGGGAAAAGCGCTCTGGGGACGAGGTTGTTCTAATAGGACTGAGTGGAGTCCAGTTCGGTCTGTAAACAGACTAAGTGATTACCAGCACCGCGGGGGTCCGATTTTTTTTATTTACGAGTATGATTACAGACTGAATTGGACAACATCAAGTTCTATTACCAGTTAATTGTAACTATAAAAAAATTCGTGATGTTTTAAGCCTTTTTGAAATTAAAACGCGCAAAATTCAAGAGTTTTTTGCTAGCTACTGGCGCACGATAGCGCGTACTATCCAATTACTTACGCGTGACACGTACTGTCCTATTACACTATCCTATTAATGCTGAAATCAGGACAGCTGATGGCCAATCAGATAAGAGAATGTTTTCGTAGTTAAGATTTCGACTGTAATCATCCATCAACTGACTTTTCGTCTTTTTTACTTTCAGAAACGGTCTGTCGATTCCGCGTGGATGACGATTTTCAAGGTCTCAGTCCACCGTGTGAGTGAAAGTTTTCTACCTGTTTTCTCTGGTTTATCTTGCTTGCTTGTGTTTTCCAAACTTACTGAAGAAACATGAATGAACGACTGCGGATCTCTAACTTTTGACTTCTTGGGCTAATTCCTGTAGTGTTAAAACTCTTCAGCAGTACTTTCAAATTGTTGTATTCTCTTTGTAAATATCTGACAAAATTTTCTTGGATTTTTTTTTTCTTTTCCCCTTGAGTTGTATGGTAGTATTAGAGACGACAAGGTTTTACTGGAGCTTTAGAATTGTTTCCCTCGTCGTAGGGCAGGCCAATTGTTTGCTATAATATTTTCAGAGACCCAAGTGCAGTTTGTCAGGGCAGGACAATACTAATCCCCCCCCCCCCCCACCCCCAGAGAATCAAAGAGACTTAGGCCCCGTCCACACGAATCCGGATAAAAAAATATACGATTCCAGAAATGTCCAAATTCGTGTGGACATGACCTTAATGAGCTGGGTCTCGCTTCCATTTTGCCTCCGCCTTAGCTAACTGGTCTCCCCACCACCACTCTCCCAGTTGCGCGATCGCAGGACGACCACAATAGAATTAAGAACAATAAAGGAGTATTTGTAGTTTTGACTCCGTTGTTCGTCCTGTCGTAATTCAGTGTTCAGTAATAATGTGCATTGACTGTATTGTATATATCACGTTTAAATTGGTATTATACAAAGCTTTACTCAGGGCTTCCTCGGTTCATATTCCTAATACAAAAAAGAGAAAGAGACGCAAAAAACAAATAAGCAAAACAAAACAAAAGGAATGAAAGCAAAGAAACATGGTTTGAAAGACGAATCTGAAGACTGAAAAAAAAACGCAAACTTTACGTCTTGAATTTTTTTGTTTTTTTAGAAAACCTGATGCAAGGTAACGTTAACACACATTCATACTAAACTCCTAGCTTAATGTTGCTTGTGATTAATATTGTACATTTTTTGTTTAATTTGCAGTGTACGACCACGAAAAAGTCAGTGAGTCCTGGCTTAAAGAAGGTCAAAAGCTTGTCTTGGAGTCAGGAGCTCCACTCCTTCCGGAAGAAATCATGATACGCTTCTATGTGAGTGCACCGTCTCATACCAGACAGGAAATGGAACAGGTTGTCAGTAACAAGATAACTGTTGGAGAGGTAATCCGTTCATAACAGATATTACCACTTTTTACTTTTCACGTATACAGTGTATCTTAAGAACGTAACTTTCGAAGAGGTCGCACCGTTTCATACCAGACAGGAAATGGAGCAGGTTGTCAATAAGAAGATAACTGTTGGAGAGGTAATCCGCTCATAAATGATACGCTATACTATCACTTCTTATTTTTCAATTGTATTATAATAAGGACGTAACTTGCGATGAGGCCGTATTCTAGGGCGCGTTCGTACATTTCCAAACGAAAATAAGCTAGTTGTTAGTAAGAACGAGGTCTGTTGACAATGATTTAACCACCTTCGTATCTGCACGATGAAGCTTTGATGACGTTAACAGTCGAGATCTACATAAAATTCTGAATTCTTTTATTCATTTAACGGAACACCCTATATATACTGGAGGCAGGGTGGTCGAGTGGTTAGAGCGCTGGACTTGCAATCCGGAGGCCCCGTGTTCAAGTCCCGCCCTGACCTCTAGCTGGATTTGTTCACGGTAGTCCCGAGTTCAAATCATCGGCCATGCTTGTAAAATAGCCAACTGATTTGCCTCCGGCCAGTTGGGATTTGTAACCATGTTCTGTTCCATATAAATTATTTGTTTCATTGTCCCTGAAAAGCCCCATAAGGGGTGAGGATAATTTTTTTTTTATCGAGTCCAAGTTATTTTATTAACAACATGATAGTGGATGCGCAGAAAAGATAATTCATGTTTTGCTTCCACAGAAAGGGGTTTATATTTTTTTTACGAGATTTTCCTTTTCCTTCTTCTCTCTCTCAGTGCTTACGATTGTTGACAGAAAGCGTCAACCTGGAAGGTATGTATGTTAATAACTATGATGTGCCTTCTAGCTTCCTAAAGGCCGACTTACAATGTACAACCTTCTCGCATGCGCTATGTTTACGGTAAACCGACAACCCGAATCGTACCGTGTAAATCAAACCTAATGCGATTGCAAGCCACAATGCAGGTGTAAGTTTTGTTTACACGATACAATTCGTGTGTTTACGCGGGCATTTACTTCGTGTACCGAATACAGTTGACGTAAAGTGAAAGAAAAAAAACATGAAACAATACCAAACAGATATTTCCCTGAACAGAGAACAAAGAAGTCTTTTGTTTTACGTCATCTGTGTCAAAGGAAATTTATCATCGCTTCCATGAAAAAACTTTCTTAAGTTGTTTTTCTTGGTTTGCAGTGGTTGTTGTAATTCTACCTTCTTTAAGCAACCTCTGGGGCAACATAACAACCTATCGTTCATCATAACAACGGTCAACAAGAATAAAAGTCATCTTTATTCACATTTTTTGGTGATACAGGAAGAGAGAAAGTACAGAAAACTGTACCAAACAAATTTAACGTCGCCTAACCCATTTTTTAACCTTTAGGAAGGACGTGGCACTTGAGGAAAACCAACTGGATCGGAGAACCTGCTGACTCTTTGGACAATGAGGTGACACTAGACAATACTTTGTGTTATGTAACGAGAGTTTTCGTTTCGTTTGATCGACGTACATAAAATCTAAATCAAGCCTAGCGCTCATCGTTTGAACCAGTCATACAACCAAGCAAACTCAAAATCCAAGCTAAGGTCATCTGTTCCTTTTTTTTTCCAACTCATAGGACGAAACGCTAGAGAATGCAAATGTAAAGAATGGTGACACTCTTATAATTGAAGAAGGAAGACTTCCTCCAAAGGTAAATTTATGTTTGATTTTTGTCATTCAAACACTCTTCGACTCCTGTTGGTATTTGCCTCGTTCCCGCTCGTCCCTGGCGGTTTCGAATGTGACGTCACCTTTCAATCTTGTCAGACTCGGTTCCAAGACTCCTCCGTTTACTTGGCCCGGGGACGAGGCTGCTGTTGGTAGTATACGCGGATTGTTTATTCTGATCCGCATATGTCAATGACTGAAAAAGAATTACTCTGATGTATTTACCTGGCTTTAAATTTCACCATCACATCTCTATCATTGCGCATAAGCACAGATCGACATTACATCGAATGATGAACAACAAGTTCTACTTGAAGTTTATTCAATAAACTTTGTCAAATAAATTTTGATTTTTATTAAAAAGTAACTGTCTTAGATTAAAAAATGTGGAGTGCTTGTGAACATGAAAATGATATAAGGTAAGTTTCATTGCGCATAAGCACATATCAACATTCTAGTCCTGGCAGCATGAAAAGTGTTTGTCACATGAACCCAGAGATGCCATCCTCGGGAGATCTAAAATCCGGAGACTCTCTATTTTTCACTTCAGCCCCCCCCCCCCCGGAATGTCAACCGTCCGCTCGTATTTAATTTTTTTTCTACAGAAAAGTGAGGTATGTATCAATTACTGTAAAAATTTGGTTAAATTAATTCTTTTAATCTTCGTATTTAAAACGCGTTTCGTTTCGCAGAAGGCAAGAGAGTAAAATTGCCAGGAAAATCTTGTTTAGAATTTTTTGACGTCCTAAAAAGCCACGCCCAATCATTGTCGAGTTTTAAAAAGTTGCACGATGGCATTTATAAACTTCATTTCCTTCACTTTATTTATCAGACCCCAAACATCCCGATCGCAGGCTTGCTTATAACTTATAAAACTGCTGCTGACAATTCTTTTTTTCCCTTAGGGGTTCATTCGTCTTTCGTTGTGGCAAGTGAGATGTGGAAAAACAAATGAACAGACTTCTTTGGGCGTTAATTCTCAGATCAGAACCCCAGGCTCAGCTTTAACGGTGGAAACTTCGAGGTTGTCGCACTGTAACTCTGAGGTGAGATGATGCTGGTTTATTTTGGCAGCGGTTCTCGTACATTGAATTATACGAGTTTCTAATTAAGACAGGTTGTGGCTACTCTACGATGAATCGAGCCTCGGTATTTTGCTTACTCAAGTGAACCAGCAGATCACAACTGCATAGTCCACGCTTATTTTTATTAACTTTTTTCTTGTGGTCGTTAAGCAAGGATCAGTCGGGAAAAAATCAGTCGGGAAATGCAATGCTAAGTATCTCGATAACTTTCCAACTTTTAGAATTTTGCATAGAGCCATTTGAGTATTAGTGTCACACAATTCTCGTTTTTCCCCCTCGTGCGTGCGTGTCTCGCGCTTCGCCTCGCGCTTTGTGTAGGTTAGTTGTAGTCCCACACTGGGACTGGAAACATCTCCTCGAGGTCCACGTTACACGATGCGAAGGTTAGAAATCGACTAAAAGTAGTGTTGTGTCATCAGCAAGGAACCGCGGTACACCTCACAAAGAAATTCTAAGGTCAGTGTAACCTTTTTTATTGGTTTATTTTTTTCGGCAGGGAACTCAGTGTGGCACTGAATGCTTGGTTCGGGTTGGAGATATCGAAATATCCGAGGAAACCGCACTTTATGATCTTAAGATGCAGATAAGCACTTTGCCACAGGTCAGTGTAAATGTTCATGATGTATTTTACATACAGGCATAAAAGAGGACGTGGTGGAATGAGAGCGAAAGACGAGAAGTAAAAGGAAGAGATGGACTGGTTTTCCCTTTCTTCCTCCCTCGATCAAACGTTGCAGTGAATCTCTCTCCTGTGGCTCAGCTGTGGTTCCATTTGAGTTTTAAAATTGTAGTCTATTTGTCATTTTGAAGAAATAATGAATCATTTAAATGATCACATCGCAGGATTTTTTCTGCATTAACTCAAAAGCGGCAACCATTTGCTACCCTAAAAAACTTTCTTACTTGAACAAAATTTAAAATTTATTTTGTAAAATTATTTGCCGTTATTATAGCTTTGAAGTATTTTTCTTTATTTTCTAATCTTCTATCGTTTTTTGGTTTGACCCTTGTAGGTTGCTTCTGCTATAAAAGTAAAAGCTATCTACATAGTTCTTTTTTACCAAAATTTTTTCCCAGCTTGCAGCTCACTTGATTCCTACGCCTGGTTTTCTAAGACTTCAGGAAGTTGTCGACGGTCAACAGACGAGAGTTCTGCGAGGAATCAATCGAACTTTGAGGTTTGTGTATCTCATGTTATTTTGCGGTTTTTTACTGAACCCAGTTGCAGCGCAGTGAAGATAGTATGGCATTATATTTGGAGAAAAGTTTCAGGGAGAGCTTATAAAACTATAAAAGGCGAGCAATACCGCAGATAGGTGTCATAAGATAAGATAAGATAAGATAAGAACTTTATTTAAGCACGATAAAAAGATCAGCATTACTGGTGGGGTCGTGCATACTAACAATTAGAAGAAAAATAAGAAGTACTAACGATTAAAAATTAAAAACTGTTGAAAAGTGTTTAAAATAGGTCTTGAAAATGTACAATTAAAAATTAAAACAGTCAAAAGTATTCGTAACCGATATCTCTATTTTAGTAGTAGCTAAGATTGGTTTGAAATGCATTTTATCGGTATCAAATTTTACAAGACATCGTTTAAATTCTTTCAAGGTTTTGGCCCTTGTTTCCTTGTTCGTTAAAGTGTTCCATGCGATTGCTCCTCTAAAGCGTATGGAGTTCCTGGTAAAATTTGTTTCTGGTCTCGGAATACAAATCAGTTTCTCAAATCGCGTCAAATAACTTCTCACAAGGGGGTAGCCAGCCCATAGACCTGTAGGCCCGGGCCTACAAATGTTTGGTTTGATCACTTTACCGCTTGTAATAAATTATGGGTCGTTGGGGTGAGTTAAAAAGCTTGAGAGCTCAAAGTGTTGATGAGGTCAGTGCGTACTAGTGTTGCGCGCAATTTTCAGGATATGTGGAAATGAAAATCAGCCAGGCCTACAACTAGTAGGAAAGCTGGCTACGCCCCTGTCTTTGCCTCTATTATCGGACTGTATAACTTTTAGCAGTTCTTCTCCTTTGCAGGCAGATGAAGTTAACTTCCTCAACTCAACTCTCTGTTCGTGTTCTACAACATGAAGAGGATCTAAGGTTTGTAACCAAAAGGAGATTTTTCTTACAGTATTAATACGCTGAAGAAAAGGGTATTTGATTGCGGGAGAAGTTGCCTCGTCCCAGTCCCTAAACCTCATTATTCCGCGCGCGCCCTATGCGTTTCGTGTCACGTGGTCCGAGCGAGTTCTTTTTGACCGAGAAGGCCTGGGAAGGCGCCGTACAGGGACTAAGTAAGGCTCGCCATGCAACTGACCTAACGGGTAGTAAGTACCGTTAGGGAACTTAAGCAAAAGCACTTTTGAACGGCACACGGCATTCGGAAGTATGGCTTTTTTTACCTTTTAAACGGTACCAAGTGTCTCTTCGTTTAGAGAAGATTTGCCCGAACATTTGGGCAAAATCACTGCCGAGGGTGCAAGAAGTCCATTTCCGGTTGCCGTTGGTTGCTCAAAACCACCTGTGTTTAAGCTCCCTATCTATTAACCAAAAAAAAAGAACGAGCAGAGGACTTCTTGATCGTTGACAGACCCTTTAATCCATCAACTATACCTTATTTGTCCGAATAAGCGCCGCATTTTGGGACATCAAAGTCATAAGGCGCTGTCCCCGAATAAGTGCAATCAAAATCAAAAGACGTTTCTTTTAGTTACTGAGAATAATGATACTGGTTACTTAAAAGAAACAATTCGTGGTCGCGCCAATTTTCAAATAAACGCCACCGTCAAATGAGCTTCGCACTCAAATAAGCACCACATTTTAGGCGTCAAAAACTAAATTTGCGGTGCGGTGCTTATTCGAGCAAGTACGGTACTCTCGTTACGCTTTTGCTCGAGAAGAACCTTTCATTCCAGGGGTGTTTCTTCAAAACAGGGACGGGAGGATACGTCGAAAACATTGATTCTCAAAGCGTTCTGCAGGAACGAGTCAAGGCTATCCCCTGAGCGGAAGGAGTCCATCTTTCATAAGCTGATACTAACAGAGTTGTGTCTTTTTAAGCCCATCTGCGGTGCTTTTAAAGCTGAGGAGAAGAATTCCAGGAGAGAGGGGTTACTATGCAGAGCAAGAGGTACATACATTTTAACCAAGAGCTGCAAATAATAGCCGGCCATGTGTTAATGTCCGACTACAATTTGCTCATGTCCGTCGGGATCAGACCTGAGATCGGATATGATGACCGCACAAATCACAAAGCGAAGACTATCATTTTGAGGTTGAAAATTTGTACAATAATTACAGTATGACTACTTGAATCGGGGCAGTTGGAAGAAGATTATCAAATCACAACGGTTTTTGAAAACAAAAGATTCTCAAGCTATTTTCTAATTCATAACTTTGAGGGCTGTTTCCTGTGAAGTCAGGTAAGTTCAAAGAGTTTTAAAGTTTTCAACGGTTGCATAGTTGAACCTTGAATTTTATTGGTCGGTTTGCTGAAAAACTTGGGAATCTTTTATTTTCAAAAAACGTTTTGATTTGATAATCTTCTTCCAACTGCCCCGGTTTGATAAATGGTGACGTCATCGGACGAGTCCTTTCTAAAAAGAAAAAAATATTTGCTGGCCTGACATACCTTTCGTTTTAGGAAGGTACTTAAAATTACCGAGGTCCTCTTACCCAAATTAGCTCATATTAAAAGTCCTGATGATTTGTGGACACGTTTTCTGGCTTTTAATAACGTTTCCTAAAATGCCAAGTGAAATTTGGTGTGTATGTGTCATTGTGTGTGTGGCGGGGGGGAGGTGGAGGTGGTAGGAGAATTAAAAATTTCAAAAGCAACATTTCCGTGGTCATAAATGGTCAAACCTCTTCATAATGTTGTCCCAAGATTGCCGCCAAGTCTTCAGTTTTGTATCTTAAAGTTCATAGGCAATTCGTGACCAGTGTGGTGTGAACACACATCTGACCTATAGCAAAAGACGTTCTTTATTTATACTGGAATGTATGTCTTAAGATCACCTGGCGTAAAAGCCATGAATAACATAATCTTTAACAAGCTTTCTTCTAAAACAGTAAGGGATTAAACCGTTTATTGGCTAGGACTGAAAAACACCTGCTTTCACGCAAGATATGCGAGGCCGTGATCAGGGCTATCACCTTCCCCAAGTCATGGAACAATTTTCAGCCTGATCAAAATGAGGCCGCGAATAACAGCAAACGTCACTGATAAAGGGATGTAGATGGTTTCCGAAAGCTTTGCGGTGCGTGATTTTTAAGAATTTGTTGATGTTGAAGAATATCTCTTTGTAAACCAAGTTGCAATACATTGTAATAAGGTCGCGTTTTCCGCTCGCATAGTTGCCCAAAGGCAGTTTCGCACTCTCTTACCTCTCACCACGAAGGATAGATAACTACAAGAGTTCAACTTACCTCTCATGCAACCTTGTTCTTCCAGGTGATATTTGATCCCACAGAGGCTGTCACGCCCACTTTGTTACGCCATTTTGTGAGCAAAATCAGCGACATACCTCTTGATCAACTGAACATAGCAAAATATTTCCCCGCCAAATATGATTGGTTAGTTATTATGGACAGACCAGGTCAGGTATGTGAGTTATGACCTTTAGCTTTCTTTGCCTAGTTCTCCAAATTTAATATAGTCGATGTGCTAACCGTGATGTCATGTAGTGTGTGCTGGCATTATTTATGACCAGTGCAAAGGTCACTACTCTTAGCCTCTGTGCGTTACTTTAGGACTTAAAACTTTTCAAAATTTAACTTAATCATTCGAAGCAATGACCAACACCGTTGTTAAAGTAGTAGTAGTGTTGTTGAATTAGCTGGCCTAGGCATCTGGTCACATACTTATAGCTTATTGCCACGAGTAGTCCCCCTAGCCCTTCTTGAACAATGAAAGTGCTGTATTCAGTGTTTATACCTTAGCATGAACGTTAAGTGTTACAATGCGAATTCAGCGCCCTTTAAAGTGCGTTTCTATCACGGCCGTGTGTGCCGCAGCTTTTTGGTTAATTTTCTTCAGCTCTTAGGTCAAATAATAGGGTTTATCTCTTTCTCCTTTTGTATTTTCATATTTTACAGCAGGGGAAACAGAAAGGTGCCAAAAATAAAATCAATTTACGACGATCGCCCTTTTACCTTCAAGATGGCGATATCATTGGTGTTAAGGTAATAAATCTTAAACTTCTCCCACTAAGTTTGGCTTCTCCGGGCGCTTAACCACTCAATTCCGATAAATGTCTTCTTCTCAGCTACTGGAAAGTGCTCAGTCTCTTCAATGGTTGTTGTACAGCGGTTTGCAGTCAACTGTCCAATCACAACAACAGGAGCAATAAAATGATGGTTTGGATCCCAAAAGAACAGCATGTGACATCCGCCCTGAGCGAGAAAACTTTTATCGCCTTTGTTTTTGCGTTTTTTCTAATAGGTTATTTCCGAATTCCAAAAACTCTTGCTTTGAAAACGAGGCTAAGTGCAAAATGAGTTTTGTTTACATGAGAATATAAAATCATCTTCATATCAATGGCATTGCACTTTGCCTCTCCTTGAAACAGAGGCTTGGGGGTGCTCGGAAATGGCCTACATAGCCTATTGGCTTAGAAATTGCCTAATCGCTGCACGGCGCGTTTCCTTGCCTTTACTATCATGCATTTCGATATGTACCCAATCTAGGTGAGTTAACCGTCGCTTGGTTAGCTCGATGGATAAGCGCTGGTTTGTCGAGCAGGAAATCGCTTGTTCAAAGTTACTTTTTAATTCTAATATAAGCCAATCCGAAAGCGTGGCAACGCGATAACAACAGCAAAAAAATATGATTGTCCATGTAATTATTTTCGACAGTCGGCACTAAATAATTGAAGATCTCTTCAGTTGTATGCTGTACGTTAAGTGGTGGTATCTTAAACATTACCACCTATTGTAAGTAGTTCCCCTTGTACCGACATACTTATAGACTGCAAAACAGTCCGTACTTTTGCGCATTCAAGTACGCGCGAGCAGTCAAACAAAAGGTTTGGAACGAGGCTGAAATCAGAGAGCGAGACTGGGGAGAGACGCTAAAAATACAGTTTTTTTTCTCTCGCCTCACACGCCCTACGGGCGGGCGTGTGAGGCTCGCGCGCTTCGCGCGTAAGACTCTCACGCCACCCTTTACCGATTTCTTTACTGATTTTGAGAAAAAAACCGACTGTTTTGCAGTCTAACATACTTATGGACTCTAGATCCCTTGGTGATTTTGTTTTCTATTTGCAAGGACTGCAAGTTGGATTCTGTTAACAGAGATGATTTTAGTACGCCAGCTGATGACGAAGGAAAGGAAAGTCTTCGACAAAAAGAAGAAGAAAAGAAGCATAGGTAAACGTGGTGTTGTTGATAAATGGTTGATTGATATGAATGTGATTGTGTCCTTGGATGCTCTAACCACGTAGCTATCATACGGGGGAATCTTGGAGAGCACGATCATACAACGAGATTCTTATGTGTGCAATGTAATATGCGTTATTGGAGAGCTTTAGATTTGAGGACGAGTATGAGTACGAGATTTAACTTAAAGTATTTGTGCGTGTTCTCAAAAAAAAGACACCCCGGAAAGTCTCATTTTACTCTTTTTCACCAAAAACGTCAGTACGGTTATTTATACTGAAGGAGGTTAAGCCCTCTCCAGATAGCAAAATGATAAAACTGCTTAATTTTGATAACTTGTTCCCGCCACAAACCGTAGAGTGACATCGGCTATCACGTTTTCCCGCCAAAATGAAGCTGGTTCACGCGTGAGCACTACTCAGGAGAAATCTCGTACACTCGTAGTCGTACTCGTCTCAGAATCTAGAGCTCTCTATTTACCAAGCGAAAAGTCAAGATGGCTGGATATTGGCCAAGAAAACGAAGTCAATATTCAGCTATCGTAACCGATCGAACAATCTTGCTTGAGAAATAATTTTTTTTAAGGCCAAAACGGAATCTTTTTTTGCGGACAAGGTGGGCGATACCGAGCGGGCAAGATAGGCCCATCTTGTCAAACTTAGTGAGTTACGTTCATGTCGTCTGGCTCAGTTAAGTTCGTCTGAATGAGTTTGGATCGTCCAACGCGTTCTTTCTGTCTGCTTCAGACGGATAAAACGTCTGAAGATCGTCTCCGGGACAAACGTCGATCTTCACATGCGACGAACTCAACTAAACATTTGTATCGTAATCTATATTTAACCTTGTTTGGGAGAAAATTATTATAATACCTTTTTGGTCTGATTCAGTTGATTGGTTCGACGCGTCCTAAGTTGGACGTCTGACACAACAGACGATCTTTACTTAATGTAGGTCGACCTAAATTAGAGTTTGGTTCGTCTCATGAAAAGTTCGACGTTTGGCCTAGGTTGTGACTAGAATGGATACCCCAAAGTCAGATTGTCATCTTCACTCTAGACTACGAGTAGTCCCCAGTTTTTCCTCGGGGATAGTAGAACGCGCGAAACGCGAGCGCGCGTGAAAATCACCCCACGCGAGAAAAGGCGACGCGCGGCGGGGAGAGAGAAAGTGTCGCCTTTTCTCACGTGGGGTGATTTTCACGCGCGCTCGCGTTTCGCTCCCTCTACTATCCCTGAGGAAAAATGGGGGACTACTAGTAGTCTATCTTCACTCAAAATACATGATAGGAGTCTTATAACTTGAAGTAGCAAATAAGAGAAGAAAGAAAACAGAAGAAAACAGTAGATAATATGTAGGACTTGAACCCGCGTCATTTGAGGTATAATACATATCCGTATCCACTACACCATCAACGGCTAACTGCCGAGACCGGTTAATTTTAACGTACTTTACATGGCGTTAATCGTAGCCTGCGTAGCAGGGGACCCCGTTCTTTCTTGCGCCCACTACTTCCAAGCGCCTGCTACGCAGGCTACGTTGATCATTACATCATTGAAAACTAACCGTTTTTAAAACAGTGCCTAACCCTAATCACTGTACTTCGGTGCTAAACCCTGTATTCAACTCTTTTCCTTGCACAACTGTCTCTTACTCTGATTTCCCCACTTTTCTAACAGTTCTCGTGCCCAGTAAATTCGCCTAAATATAGTGTAGCGTTGTGTAATAAACATAAGGTGTCCAACCTGATTTTGAGGTATCCATTCTAGTCACAACCGTTTGACCCAGGCCTAAAGCTACTTAAAACTACACTGAAAGGAAAGAAGTCATAACAAGGATTTAAGGTCATAGCTAGTGTAAATGCAGGCGTTTAACAGCGTAGGAATGTCGCAAGTCAAGAGGACATCGATGCACTGAATTTCAACACCAGACACGAATTGTGATTCCAATGCAATTTAATCTGATGTCAAACACGTCAAACTAAAAATACAAACAAGAAAACCTAGTCTAAGCGACATGAAACGGAGCTAAGCTAAAGCAATAATTAGTACATAACAAAACAAGAAAAGACGAGGGCACAAAAAACCTAACAATAATCGATCAAATATTGAAACGAAAACAACAAGGGGAATAGAATAGATTCGCAAATGAACGCAGTTAACTTCGCAGATAGATTTTTCGCATTAACTCTATCAAGCAACAACGCACAAGGTACGGCATTTTTTATCTTACGCTTCACTAATGTCTAACCAAAACTTAATCTTTAACTCAACAACAGTTACAGCTAGGATTGAAACTCGGAACCTCCGATACTGCCACACTCTTAGTATACCTAAGGCACTTACATACTTTGGCTAGATGCGTTTGAACACTGTTGATACAACATTTTTTCTTGGTTGCAGGAGAAAAAATAATCTAGCAAGAAGACCAGAAGTCCCACTTACCATACATGTGGATGACTTCAGATAGCAGTAATTTAGCTGAGAAACAGGATGGAATAGTTTAAAGACGTTGAGTGTAATTTTAGCCATTTGAGGGCGTGTTCGATTCACCGTCTTCCGAAATAAGAATAAATGGAATTAAAAATGGAGTTAAAACTCTTGAAATCACTCATGTTAGCATTCATTGCTTTGCAATAACTGGAAATCTGCTTGAAATAAGATATCCCGATGACTGTAATGTTCAAGTTGCCCGAAAAGCACGGTACAACAGATTTGCAACAAATTTGGCGTATTCTTATTCCCGAATACGATCAATGGAACGCACCCTTAAATTTCCAGAATCTATACATCGATCCATATTGTGAGTGCTGGTGGAATGTTGAAATGTCTTTTTTACATGTGAGTTCTTGGATAGTTACATGTTCTAGGCCCACTCGAGCAAAATTATTTGACAATTTTTATTTGTTTGTCAAACATGGTTCAATATTCGATTCCGGGGAAACTACCCATCTACCCCTCCCCTAACCCAACATTTTGCCCTGAGTGAGAAGTAAATGTAAACGTCGGGTTAGGGAGGGGTGGGTGAAGAGTTTCTAAGAACCCTATACTGGTCTTCGTTGTATACGAGTCTTTTTGTAAAACGTTGGTCAGTTTGTATGTGGCGAATAAATGTTCATGTGAAACATGCTTGTATACACGACTTGTGACATGAGAGTTGTCGGGTAATCAGTCTTGGCGCTTAGTACCCTCGCCTTGTCGTGCTGAATCAACCTCGTTCCCAGGCCTTTGGCTTAGAAAATGGGACGATGGAAGCCTGGGGGCAAGTTTGGTTCAGTATGTCTTAAGGTTGACTTCCACTGACGCGTTTTTGGCTACGCACGTTAACACACGTAAATTTTAATCACGTAAATAAAACAGAGGCAAGATAAAAAGTGCTGAGCTTAAACGAGAAGTTGAGCGAGGTTCAACTTTTACGCTTACGAGCGACCTTTCATGCATTGCCTCTATTTAGTGGAGCTTGCTTTAGCAGAGCGAGACTCTAAAAATGCAGGCGTTTTTTTTTTTTGGGAACCTAGTTTGTAGGCCACACGTTCCTAGCGGAGACCGTGGAAACTGGGGATGAGAATAGTGACAACTTTCATTGTATGCAAATGAGTCTCGTGATGAGCATGCGGTTTATTTTTGGCGATAACTGAAATGACGCATGTAAGTTCGGCAATGATGTAATTTTCCCCAAATCGAGGCCCTTGATTTTCGTGTAATTATGCACGACATGCACGCGTATTAAAAAAGTAAATACTCCGAATAGGATGAGAAAATATTATAGCGGGGAAATCCTGTTTTATGGTGTATTGAGGCGTTTGCGTTTCTCCGAATATTGTCGCAATTACTGGAACTCTACGGTTAAATAGGTTCTTAATTGATAGATTTTCGCAGTTGTTAAGATGTGAACACTAAATTTAAGTAAACTACTCGAAGTCTGATTGAGTCAGTGATAAACACTAAGAGTGCAACACTGATGTTTTGTTTTCCTCTTTCCCTCCTTCTCCTTCTCATCACTCGATTTTTCCTATCCTGTCGGGCTTTTCAGACTAACATAATCTGGTGATTTGGCCTCAGATTGGTCAAATGACTACTGATTTCCAGAAGCCGAATTTTAGGAATACCAGTCTGACTTTTCCCTCAAAAAGAGTGCGAATCATTGTTGGCTAATTGTGGTGAAAACCGTCTCCAAAGTATAGGCAATGAAAAACAACAACAACAACAACAACAAAGCAAAAACAACAACAGAAAACAAAAACAAAAAAAACAAGAGCGACTACTACTTTTTTCTCCTTCATTTCTCTTTGCTTTAGCTTGCTTTCTTTCTATTTTCTTTTCCTTTTACTTCTGTGTAATGTGATTTTGGGGCTTTTTTTGCTCAAGAAACCTGCATTTTGGCCTGCGCGGCTTTCACTTAAATGGCTGAAATTTTCACTAGCTACGTTTTTTAAAAAAATCCAGCCCACATTTGCATGAAAAAAAAATTCTAAATGCGTTATTTTACAGTACTGAAACATTTTTAACTTTCCTTGCAGTCAAGTATTATTTCTAAACTAATTTATAAAGCCATTGTCAGTGGTTTGTTCAAAATTTGCAAAAAGGCGAGTCGTCGGACAACATAAGAGACCATCCTTGGAATGGTTGTACAGACACCTCATCACAGTTGGGTACCCTGTGAACTGTGAACCCCAGAATTCCTGCCACTAATGCCGCGGTATCCTGGACACCAGAGGGATGTTTGATAGTGAAAGGAACGGCCACTAAGCCACTTGTAAAGTCACCAGGCCCCCACAGTTGTCTTACATTTGCTAGTTCCTCCAAGAAATCTGTGATCCATCCTCTGATAAAACTTCTGCCAGTGGGAAATCCTGAGAAACAAAACAAAATTAGTGAATTATTTTCGTTTGCTTACTTTTGTGAATATGTACTCCCTAGATCAGACGAAGTACAGTCAACTCCCTTTCTTGCGAACACCGCAGGGACTTCGAGTTAGTGTCCTCATAAGCGACAGTCCATAATAAACAGAGTTTATTTTAACTTGAAGAGACTTCATTAAACCTGACATAAAATCTCAAATAAAAGAGCTTTGGATAGCCCACTCGCGCTGACTGTGATTATATACGAACTCTTCACAGGGAATGCTTTTCCAAAATGATGATGAATTTCCATTTAAGAACTTTTTCGACATTCTAGGAACTGCTGCTTGTGATCAGCTTACTGAGCTGTGATATGTTTTGGTAAACACCCGTTAATCCCTAGCTATAGTTGAACCAGTAGTATATATTGTTTGTGGATAAAAAGAGTACAATAAAATGAAAATGGTCAATCCTTTTTGTGTAAAACAAGCCGTTTATAAGCACATCAGCGTTTGGTAAGTCTACGGACTGCAATTCTCTCAAGACCTTTTTATGTATCGGTCAAATCGAAGCTTCAACATGCCCCCCCCGGGCAACCCCCCGGGCATTTGACTTTTTTGAAATTTTTTGTTCAAATTCCCCCCTACCCGGGCCAAGATGCCGTTCAAATGCCCCACACTAGGGTCCATTCAGGTGATCAAATGCCCCCACCCCGGGGACATTTTACAGGCACAAAAATGACAGAAGGACGGCGGAAACGCCTTCAGTTGTCGAACAAAATCTTTATAAATATAACAAAAACTGAGAAACACGGTTAGCGTATTTACTACGAACAAAAGTCTCGTGCAAAGCGGCGGAAATCGCTGCTACAAGGTCACTGAATGCTCAGCTTTTCTTCGTCATGCAACATACAAAGCGTTGTATAAAAAAAGATCCCACCTATTGAGATTACTACATCATGACCATTTCACTGACATGCATCATCGCTCATCTTATTAATTAACATACTTACAGTAGGTAAAAGTAGTTGACCTGAGCTTTCTATTTTATTTTATGTTGTTGTATTGAATCGCCGGTATAGGTGTTGTATTTCATTGTAAACGCAACAATAAAATACATTCATACATTCAAAGCCTGAATCCAATATTAAAAATTTTAAAATTTAAATACTTCAAATACGGCACAAAGCTTGTTTAAGCCCTTTCCTCGTAAACAATTGGCCACAAAGGCACAATCTTTTCCACGAAAATCCTCTAACACCACTTCCCCCATGATAGCTCGCCACGCCAAAGATTTTACATGAAATCGAGGGTGCAGTTCAAATTCCCCACCCCTAAAGCATGGGGATCAAATTCCCCACCCCCTAGAAGACTCTGATAATCAAATTCCCTCCTCCCCGGGACGGCAAAGGTGTCAAATGCCCGAGGTATGCCCGGGGGTGGGGGGGGGCATGTTGAAGCTTCGATTTGACCGATACATTACCAGTTTCGTAGCTAGCATAAATTCTTGTTTCCTTTTTTAATAGGTCCCTTAGCGTTGTCTAAGTTTTTCATGTGGTTTTGTACTGCAATCGTATAAATTGATTGTACCGTACATACCCGAGGAATAAGCTTGTTGATAGCTCATGATATGACTCCACCAATCTTCATCTGGGTCTCCCCGATAAGTGGCCTGCAGATTCCAGAACACTTTCTGAACCAGATCCCACCATTCCCGTGAAAGGTTAAGGTCGTTCTCTATGGGTTCTAAGAGTGTTCTTAAAACTTTCAGCTTAGAACTCAATTTCATCCAGTCTTCTTCACTGCCAAGCATCTCCAACGCTGGTATTCCACATCCGCAAATCATTCCAAAATTGAAATATTGGTTTACAGAATACATCAGGGTAATCTGCGAGACGATCTTCTGTACCGCAGAGGTGGTCCCAAAATCTGCGGTGACTCCATCAACAAACTCCGGCACTTTTAAGTTTTCTTTTAACTGTTTTGTTATTTCATCGAACAGGAAGTTGTAATCCACGGTGTAGATGGTGGGATCTCCAACCTGTACTTCGATAGTTTTCTTTCCTTCATGATCGACAAACAAGTTGCGCACTGAGGCTTTCGATGAGTTTCGATCGATAGCACAGGCAACCCTCTTGATAACACAGAACCACCAATCATCTGGCGATGTCCTAAGCCTATAGTGATGGGAATAGGCTGTGAAAATGGCCGCAAACATACCACAGTCAGCACCAGCCGAATAAACTTCCTCATCTGAACCCAATGCGGAAACAATTCTTGTGGGCCATGGAGCGCTTGTGTCGCGCTTATTTCTGCCGTCTGCGATGATGCTGAAAGCCTTTTCCGCCGCATACTCTGTGGCTAACTGTTTAGCCTGCTTTCCGTCTTTTGTAAAGCAATCTTCAAACTTGGATGGAACCATTTTGTGGCTGGCGAGAGAGACAAACTTCATGTTCAATCCATCGGCGGTCGTACTGTGTCGAACGACAGTTTCGTTGGCCTTGGATGTTTCAATTTTTTCATCAGCCATCGGTATGTCGTTAGCATTTCCCTGAAGAAAATTATATGGCAGCTTTGTGTTGCTCATTGTTTTTCCTTGAGAACTGACTACGATCAGCAATCTTTAACAACCAAGAGCGGTGCAATGCGTCGTACAGCAATATCGACGACACGCCTGACTAGCTGTCAATACTTTCTCATTCTGCCTTGTCATCATGCGTATGGAAAGCCATAACTTTCTTATGTGGTCATTGGTCTGTTTGGTGCACAGGGTCCAGAGGAGTTTCGTGTGAATAAATAAATTACTTATTTAAAGTCTCACCTTGAAAAATGTCTATACTTGTCGCTTAGCACGATTTATTAGCCCAATGGGATCTTCATGAATCTACTGTACATACATACATACATATCCTTCATTTAAACACGATAAGGTTTAAAGCTCAAAGCTTGTGGGGTCGTGTAAATACTGTAAACGATTCCTTCGCTTCTTATCTGACCCAGATCGACTTTGTTGTTCGCCATTTTGAAAATCAATAACCGCAAGCCATAGCCTCGGTGGCGCACAGCACGTCGCCCGAAGGGCGACCGAGGCATGAAGTGCCGAGTAACTGTAAGCCGATCTTGCGAGCCCTCAGTCTCTTGGTTTGCGGTACATAGAATGTGTAACGAAACTGTAACGCGATCAAAATAACCCATTTTTCAGAGGTTTTTGACGGGTTTGATGTTTTAACGACAAACACATCTCCTCTGGACCCTGTGTTTGGTGTTGAGGCTTTACAGTGACGTAATGTACTCTTGTCATGTTGTGATGTGGTTATATTATGCGTCATGCGCACCAGGAAAAGCACTTGCCGCCCGCCGGCGTGATCAGTCCACCCTAGCCTGCGTGGCAAGCGTTCGAAGGGGAAGGAAAAGAGCTTAGCCTCCCCGCAGATGTCCTTTGGGGTTCCTTGGTCACGCATTCATTTCACGCGTGACGAACGAACCCCAAAGGACGTCTGCGCGGAGGCTAGAAAGAGCTCTGATGTTCAAAATTTACACAACCCCTTTGGATCAGACTGGGCCACTGGCAGGAATTGGACGGGGCGTTAGGATTTTCGGTTTTGGTGTCCGTTGCGGTTTGCAGGTTTTTTTTTTGTTTTTTAGCATCTGGTTTTTGTTCGTTTGGCAAAATTACGAGCGGTATTTCGGATTTGGTGTCCGATGTAGTTTTCAGTTTCTGTAATTTGGAGAGTGAGTTTCTCCAATTTGGAATGAGACCAGACATTTTGTCACATATCAGAGGCCTTATATGGGAAAGCAAGCAGTAGACTGTTCACAGTCCTCTATTTTTCCGTAAGATCATCGAGATCGAGCGCTTTAATTTGTGTTACGGGCTGCCATCTAACATGAGTGTCAAAACTACTTAGGGGGCGGGGGCGGTTTGGGAGGAAGCGAGAAAATTAGAGGGACCGTAACAACATCACTGCAGCTCGCGTTCAGGAGGCGTGACAGGAATTTCACGCCTCTATTTGTCTGCCACCCCCCCCCAGGCTATAATCCCCGACGCCCGCCCCCTCGGTACATTTGAAAATCAAGATACCCGTGACGGTAAGACGCGGTATATCTAAACGATCTCACGAAAAAATAGGGGACTGTGAACAGTCTAAGCAAGCAGAGACACCACACAACGGTGGAACAAGTGATAACTTGTGCTAGGATCGGTGTTACAGGGTGCACCTAACACCCCATCGTGTTAGGTCAGGAACTACATCCAAGGCTAACAAAACATCCCTCTTTAAGATTATAAAAACAGCATGGTGGCACTCGGCTGCTACATTTACTAGGTGTTATGATAGAGAAATTGAGACAGCACAGTCAGGTTTCCAGCATTCTGCTTACATGTTGAGCTGTAAAAGTTATTACGTATCACAATAAACTGTTAAACCTATTCTTGGTTTTCACATGACGTCACCAAAATTGAAACTAAGAAACTATCGCTTCTTCTGAGTTTTTACTTTCATGTGATATTAGAGCACCTTAAAACCTTTATACAAACAAATATTCGGTTCAAAAGAGTTACAGGATAAAGGACACTTGAATTTCCAGGCTATTGCGCGACGCGGCATTTAGCTGGCGGCCAGGAAAGCCCTTAGTGGATACAAAACATTACGGATTTTTGGAGATTTTTCTATCTGAACATTCCTCAGATTCCTTGTCTTAGAGTAAATATTGGTTTAATCTTGATGAGTTCCTCAAGCGAAGAATTCACGAATAAGTAGGAAAACTCAAAAACAGATGTTTCTGTTGGTTTCCGGCGGCCATATTTGTGCCCCTGAAAGGGACACAAACATACTCAAACATGGCGTTTCCATACAAAGCTTTATAAATTTGGGTAAAACGTTTTTCCGAATTTCTCTTATATGAACTGTCGCATAGAACTGATTCTTGGCAAGGCGTTTTGTCTATTTATCTTCTTTAATTTCCCAGATTCTAGACTTTCTGTATTAAAAGGTTTCCACTTTTATTTCTGCATTCTCACGTGAGTGAAAACCGAGAATTCTTGTGCGATAAATTGCTTTGAAATCTCACGTGACTTCTTGGTGCGCATGATAAAGAGGCAGTTACTGAAGCTAAACGAGACTTACCTGTAAGTTTGAAGTTTAATTGGGATCTTGCCGAGTCACCGGTAGCACAAGGAGACATTCCCTTACCTAATACTGGGGGGACTCTCGCTCTTGTGCTTAAACTGATCAGCACACTCATGGCTGCCTTAAAAAAAAAATGAAGTGGGGAAAGGGGTCCCTATTAGCCTCTTGTAAGGGAGTACCCCCCCCCCCCAGGGTCTGCATGAGATGTACATTCACACATGCAGCCGGCACGTGAAACTGTTGGACTTTGCTCCCTTTCGTGATACTCGTAAACAGGTTTATAAAGTAAATCTTGTGGCAAAAATCAGGCAAAGTGCTTATTTATGTGTTATTTTTCATGTAAAGCACAAAACAGTACCATTTCTCACGGTTTTAACCTGATTTCTAATAGCCCCTATGCATGATTACGTCAGACGAGTAAATTTCACCAACAAGCCTCGTTTGTGAACAAAATTTTTTGCATTTGCACTTTTTGTGCGTGGGTATTCTTTTCAACTCTACTGCCTTGGGAATTCATTTCTGTGAAACTTCGCTTATTTTTAATTTCAAAACGAGGCTTGGTGGTGAAATTTGCTTGTGTGACGTAAACATGCATAAGGGCTATTCTTGGTAAAATCCAAGATGGCGACCATCGTCCATCGAGCAATAAATAATTAAGAAAATAATGGTAAACGTGCAGCGTGCAACCATGGAGTTATGGATGCACGCGGGAGGTTGCTAACTTGTTGAGTGCTTAGCAAACCTCAGTGCATCCATAACTCCATGGTTGCCCAGCTGTAACGTTTACCATTTCCTTTATAACATAATCAAAAGAGAAAAACATTATTTTCCATTTGCCTTCGGTTGAGTCATCGGTCCGAGTTCATGCATGCTGCCATCTGCCCGCGCGTAAACAAATCATGTTCTATGTTTTTCAAAAACTTGCCTTTGAGTTTTTGTTTCGCTGAATCAGCCGTTCTCCGTCTTCACGTAAATTGCAAAACGTTTTTTGTTGTTATTCTGAATGGCATCTGTCTACTTGCTCTTAATATTAGGGTAAAAACTTTGAGGGAAAACTATAGCTGCAACTATAAACATAGGCGTACGGGCCGGGGGAGCGAGGGGGGCTGCAGCCCCCCCAAATTTTGGGCAACCCAGATTTTTTGGGCAGCGAGAGAAAATTTGGGCAAAGTCAGTTTTTAAAGACGTCACCATGTTTATTTATTTATTTTGAAGACCTGAATATTAACCTGAAGTCGGCGTAATAATCCAGTTACTTCACAGCGGTCGCCTAGCATGTGATGAGTAATTTACATATTTGCAGTTTTTTCATGGTTGGGCACTATACTGCACTGCACTAGCTGGAATGGGCTATTTCCAGTCGTGAATTGATTAGAATAAACTTTCGCATAACTTTCTAGAATCATCTCCACTCGAAGAACAGTGTATGGCAGATAGCATTAGCAGTGGGTATGAAAATGAAGAAGTCGCTGACTACTGAATTCTCAGTTTGAATTAGTATAGGTAATAGCATGATTTGTAGTGATATTTGGCATAAATACCACGAGTGATACTTCAAAATTGTTATACGTACCACTGCTCTAAGCCAATCAAATTGCAGAAATTTCTCATGTAGTAGTATAACGAGAAGAATCTTAATTCTTTTAAAAAATCTATCGACCGGTTTAAAATTATTCGCTAATTTGTTAAAGTAGACCGAAATGTTTGCAAAACCGCTGACAAGAGTGCCTGGATACGTACTAATCAAATCCTTCTTTCGATTCTAGCAATCAAGCAGGGCTATCTCCACGACCTTTCACACATGTTTTTAAAAAGATTAAAACTACTATGAGGTGAAATTGCATGTTAAAAGCGCTTCGTTTTCTACAGATAACGGCCAGACATCAAGATTTTCCTTTTCTTACCGTATTTTCAATAATAAAAACTTTTTCCAAAATATCTCGACCGTATTGGAGGAAAAAAGCTCCTGTGAACGATTTTGTAAGGTTCCCCGTGCCGAGAATCATTGCTGAAGCAAAATAGGTAATGGGGTCATTTCGTTGCTATGACAACTCCGATGTCATTGCAACCCTGATGATGAGAAATTGTCATCTTAATACAACTGTGGTCGCAATTTTTCCAAATGTTTGTTTACGGCGACGTATCGAGCCACCTTCATATGCCAGGACGGCCTATGTTGTAGTAATATGGCCCTCATTTCTTTTCGACTCTTTCGTAAAAATTTGGGTAACTTGAAAGATTTTTTTGGGCAAATGGTTTACCGCCCCCCCTGGCAAAAAATTTCCCGTACGCCTATGACTATAAACACCAACTAAAAAGACTCTAAAAAATAAGCTAAAACTAAATAAATGAAATAATTATCAAGCTTATTTATGTGACAATTTTTGAGATAAACGTAAAGCAGAAATGAGAAAATTTGACAGTAATTCCTTTAGAATAACAGGTAACACTAATTTTAAAAAGAAATTAACTAGCTTTGTATCGAAATCTGTCTGGGGAAATCCAACTATGAAAGTCACAGTTGCAACTGAAATTCACAGCCGGCGCTGAAGCTGTTGTTTTTCGACCGTTCTCTGAACGACTGTTATGAATGAACAATGAGGAACAAAATAATACACACAGAAGTTATTTTTTGAAAAATTTATTTGAAAACCCAAATGTTTCTGTACTCAAATGAAATTCGCTTATTCCAGCGTAATGTCCCCATTTAAACTCAACTAAAATTTTTAATCGATGCGATGAAAACTTCACAACAAAGGTGTCTCGAATTCGAGCGTGTTTGCTAAAATATGCGCTTGAATTTAGCATCAGCTTGACCAAAAAGTCAATAACACAATCCTAATTGATAAATTTACATTTCAAACAGACTTTCTCTTCTATAAAAAACACACAAAATGTACCTTAAATCTTCGCTCGCTCGATTTCCTTTCAGCCGATTCTAGCCGCGAGGAAAACAGTGATTAATTCATCCAGGGCAAATTTGTCGCTTGATCTTTTGTCTTTTTCCTTCAAAACGACAGCTTAGTATTTTCTTCAACTTCCAATTTTCATCTGTCCATTTCATCGGTGTATTTTACCGGCAGGAGAGGAGATGCGCGCCAGCTCAGTATCTTGGCGTGCACCCACGGGCAAATGGCAGTGGCTAACTGACCAATCAGAGCGCGCGATGTACTTCTGTTATGTTATAATATCAGTGTGGTGGCATTGAGCCGTGCGTTAAACCTCACAGGCCAGTAAAAATGTTGAAATTTCCCGCGCGTGAAAGCTATTGTTTCACGTTGATAGTTTTTGTCCTTACCAGGCAAGAAACGATCAAAAATAACAATATAGAACAATACCTATTGTTCTCGAATTCAGGTCGCTTTTCTTGATACGCTAAGATATTGTACAAGTAGTTCACTCAAATGGATTTTCATAGTAACAGTAGACAACTCCATCGTTCTCAAGTTTCAAAATCTCCGCGTCATCGTAATCTAGAAGCTGAGTTAATACTTCAGTCGTGTGTTCACCTAAGATGGGAGGTGGAGAGGGGACGCCTTGGCAGGTTTGTCCGTTATACTCGACAGCAGGCCCTATAAAAACACAAAAAGGCAACGAAAAAGTCTCAAGAATAACAGACTATCTTCTCGACGACCTAAAGTATCCCGCGAACAGGCCCTCTTGTGTAAGTTCGGGAAAAAATTGGCGACCGTTGGCGCTTAGTATAAGTGTGGCTGCTCGCAGACTAACCTTCATGTAATAACTATGGCCTTGAAAGGGCTTTAATAATTTCTTTTTATAAGAAAAGATATTAAGCCTATAGCCGGCAAGTAACACTGTCTTGTTGAACAACAAAATTTAATCTATTGTAAGTGTTATGAGAACTACAAAACATCCAATTTTTTCTTTTTTCTTAACTATTATACGTTCGCAAAACGGCGTTTTCCAGTTTTCATCTCCTCCCTCTAGCTTTTGTGGTGAGAAGAGCCTCGGAGCGGTAACTTGGAAATAACGAACCCACGTTATTGGAAAACAGTGGCGCGAATTCAGCCTGGTTACCAGTGACTTATGTCCCAGTGGACATCATCATCTTGAGACGATACATCCTACCTGGTACTCTTATTCTGCCGGCCGTCGAGTGATCCAACTCCTGAACCATTCCTTTGTACTTCACCTGTAAAATATTCGAAGAGCGTTCATTACAGACTTTTAGATTCGAAGAAGGGAACGACTACGCGGACTGGATTTGACTTCATTTTTTTTTTGCGTATTCTCAAAAAATATACACCTCGTAAAGCTTCATTTCTCTCAGCCCAGTTGTTCGAAGGCCGATTAGCGCTTAACCCGAGGTTAAATTTAACCCGCGTTTCATTTTATTGTGTTCAAAAGCATCCTCTCGGATAAGTTTCTCTGTTATTTTTAAAGCTTCCAATAATCAACTTGTAGACAAAAAGAATTAAAACTGAAATTATTCTTAAGCTTTCATATCTGAACTTAAATCTCGCACTAACCCTGGGTTACCTTAACCCAGCTTTGAACAACTCGGCCCGGAATAATTAGCACGGTTCTTTTTATTGAAGGACGTTATTCGTTAAGCCCTCTCCCGATTGCAAAATGATAAGACTTCTATTTTAATAAAGCCGCACTTCAATGACAACGGCTATCACGTTTTCCCGCCAAAATGACGCAGGCTCACGCGTGCGCACTACTTAAAGGTCTCTATTACGTAACAAAACTTGCCTGTGGGTCCTCAAACACCTGTTTTATGCTATTAATAGGTCCACAAGGTATCCCAGATCCCTCAAATGCCTCAGCCCAGTCCTTTGAGGATCTTTTCTCAAAACTGCATTGGAGAAATGACAAATATTACGACGCCTTCTAGTAACTGCGATTTGCGAACATAAACTATATAAGGGAGATTGTATTTGTATAGGTAATAGCATGATTTGTAGTGATATTTGGCATAAATACCACGAGTGATATTTCAAAATTGTTATACGAAATTTGAAGACTATTTTGAAATATCACGAGTGGTATTTATGCCAAATATCACATACAAATCATGCTATTATTTGTTTATACTACTACCCTCAAAAGGTTTGTAATTTTCACATGTAGGTATTTCAAATTAAGCTGAAATACCACTGCTCTCAGCCAATCAAATTGCAGAAATTTCTCATGTAGTAGTATAAGATATATAAATAAAATTTCGCTCTTCTTAAAAGATTTTCTGGGTTCCAGCAAAAGGCTCTCACAAGAAGTTTTTTTTTTTTTTTTTTTAAGGAAAGGATTAACAAGTATCTTCACCTAAAGTCTCCCTTTGATCGTTGACAAAGGGCTTATGCATTTAATATACAGCCCCCGAAACTGTTGACGAAATTTTCTTAAGGGGTATTAAAAAAAAATGGAGTTTCCTGGTACCAAGACCAGTTGTTTTAATGGGAAGAAACAGAAAAGCAAAAATGTCTCAGCCTATAAGACACGCCAAGGACATTTTCGAGGGGATAAATGTCTATCAGCGCAATTTTTCTAAGTACTTTGGGGAAAATGAGCATTTTTCTCGGAGCCAGGAAAATTTCAAAGTAAATCGTTAAAGCAGGGGGTGGAGGGGGTGTATATAAAATGGTATGGCCTAAAAGTAAACATCTTTAAGCAACTCACCATTCCTCTAAAATTAACAGTAGCTCCTTTCGATTTTCTACCCTTGCAGCGTTTGTACTGTACCGCGGGTCATCTGCCAGATTGCCTAAATCTAATAACTAAAACAGCGACCAAATCACAACCGGATTTGAGTGGTTTTAAACAGAGAGCCTGTATATATGTTGTGGTTCAATTGTGTGGCAATCACTGATTTCTGAGCGATTCTTTCCTAAATAACGCGTGAAAATAGTAACAAAACAAATCAAATACAAAATAGCAAGAAAACCGACGTGTCGATGTCATCATGACCTCCTTATGAATAACAAAATCGTTGTTGACAAAAACAGTACTTAAACTTTGAAAACGTTGCCCAAATGATCAAGTTTAACTCCAATTATTTTCTATCTTCCTTAAAGGTCTTAAACAAATGTACTGTTTAACCATACTGTATGTGTAACAAAACCAGCCCTCTATGCCTTCACTACTCAGCACCTGCTAAATATTTCAGTAAAGGTACTAAGTCTTGTAGTCTGCTACACAGCCGGGAGGAGCGTTGCGTGACGACACTAAAAACGGCTGTGTAGCAGACTATAAGTCTTGGTGATCCTGCCACGAAAAACAAACAAAAAAGATACAACTTACGTCACAAAGTCTTCTAAAGAAACCATCATTGCCAGCACCAACTAAGAAGTGTCCATCATTCGTTTTAAAAGCCTACGAAGAGAAAGCAAAGTATATTCGAACTCTCTATTGGGACCAGAGAATAAGTGGCCAACGAAGCGAGAGATAGAGAAGTGAAGGATTCGCACTGGGGTTACCTATCACTAATTAATGGCCGCACTATAAGACAGCATTTGCTATTGCTATTTGCGTTACAATTTGTCTAAAATTGAGCTAAACGCTGGTCAATTTTTTTTTGTACAAACGTTGTTAAATTCAACACAAAGTGTTACACAACATCTTTACTGTTGATTACTTGGCAATTAATTGAGATAGCAAGGCTACTGTTTGCACGTAAAACGTACCTACGTTCTTACCTGATATGGTACAATGCTATGATGTGCAGTACCATAACGCCCTGTTTCAAATCCAGCATTAAGGTAACTTGTTGCTACATGAGACAGCATAGCGACCTGAAAATAAGGTTTAAGAAAACGTTGGTGTTAGGGATATGAAATGGGTTAGCTTTTAAAAAATTCAATCAGGTGCTACGACGGTGCGTTGGTTAAGCGAATTGACTCGCCTTCAAATAAGATAACGTTTTGGAGCTGTCGGCATTACAGCCGATGATGATGATAGTGATGATGACAATGGTGACGTTGAGCGGAGGATGATGAGGATCATGAGGACGATCAGGATGATGATGACGACAATGATGACGTTGATGATGATGACGACAATGATGACGTTGATGATGATGATGATGAGCGGATGATGATGACGTTTTGAACATCAGCCCCTAATCAGAAAGTGACTGGAGCTAACACGTTGCCTAGGATTGATGTCAAAGAAAACATCGCACTTACCATAAATATAGCATTGTTTTCCAAAGGTTTTAGACTGGTTATACCAGCACTTTCATATAAAAAAGAAAAAACTTAAAAATACATTGGTCGAACTATTTGGCACATGTAGTGGTTACTCCTGCGGTGGGGACTCTTACATGAAAATGACGGCGATAGTCGTCGTTGCGCTGAGGGTAGAAATTGCATCTTTTAAACGCACTTTAATATACCCTGCGTAGAGAGGCTACATTTTCGCTGTGTGAGCTGTTGTACGCAAAAGCTACTTTTCACACGCCAGCTCACACAGCGAAAATGTAGCCTCTGCTAGCAGGGTAACTTTAATAAGGAGTTCCGGACGGAAGCTAGAGATTTAAACCCATAAAAATTGGGTTGGGTTGGGTTGGGTTGTGCGCAAAGAAATTCCTAAATATAAGTAACAAATGCCGTCATACTGTGTTGGAGTACTAAGACCCAGTACGTCTCCCTAAAGGGTCAAATAAAATCTGAGCCGCGCTCAAATTGGTCTCCTTTAGGGGTTTAATTCTAATTTTCCGACGAGCATCCTCGATTTCCCCCCCTTATCCCAGTGGTTACTTTCCCTGAGCGGCTATTCTTAGCATACGTGTAGCCGCACCCTCCCCCCTCTGTTCTTCCTTTATCGGGGGGAGGGTGCAGTCACACGTAGGCTAGGCTATTATCTGCATTTGCTGTAAGCCTTTAATTTTCTGGCAAATTTTCAGGACTAGGTGTCTTTTAGCATTTTATGGGATTAAGAGATATGAAGACCTGTGATGCTAGCAGTGAACAGTCGATTTTCTGACCCCGTCCTGTTTTTTGTCTTTGTATTAATGCTGCCATGATGGCTCCTTGTGCGTGTAATCCAGTTGTGAGGTCTGTTACTGCGATGCCAACCTTACATGGATTTCCATCCTGCAAGTGTAACAAGTGTTTCAGTCAATTCCTAGTTTTTTAATTAAAGTTGATAAAGTGGATTGTAGGATTTAAGCACATCATGAAATTTGCCACTTTGGCTACTTTCAAGCTATTTCAAAGGACCCAGTGCACACCAATATACTGCAGCACATAGGATCTACGAAAGATCTGATCAGAAAAACAATTATACCAAGTGAACATAAATCTGTAAAACCGATTTCACAACACAAAAATTACCTTTGCTAGACATAAAAGACGACATCACCAGTTTTTCGGAAGTACAATAATCTTTGCAGATTTATGTTCGTTTAAAAATATGTAGGTTTTCTTTTAAAGATCCCGGGATGAAGTCCAAAGCTTCTGTATAATACGTTTTTCAATCCAGTGAAATGAATCTTTGGTTTTTTCTTATTCTTAATATCATTATGACAAAGTGAAGCAACTCTTTCTTCGCACTTCCTCACGTTATAATTTTGAATTTCAGTTTTTCTGTTTTTCGGCTCTCTACACCATCCCCCCCCCTCCTCAACACACGCACACACACGTGCACACTTTGTTCTTACTTCCTGAACTTCAGGTTGGTTCTACATGACAACCTTGTTCCCAGGCTCCTTTCTGTTCCTCCGTCGTGGAAGAGATAGGACCCTGTGTTCTTAAAATGTCCCAGTTCTATGTACCTCAGGGCCTGTTATGTGTATTAGTCCGCCTATCCCTGAAACCACCACATCGTATCCAGGTTGCTGTTCATAAGGTCCCCCTGTGCCATATCCAGTAACAGAGCAATATATCAGGGATGGAACAGATGTTTTTAGATTGTCATATCCTAAGCCAAACTTGTCTAGTTTTCCTGGAAGGTAGTTTTCTACTAAAACATCACATTTCTGAGCTAGCTGTTGAATAAAAAAAAAACGTAAATAAGGTACAAGCAAAACCATTTAAGTCCTAAGATCAAAATTCAAATTCTCATTTGTTATCAACCCTCTATTAAGCAGCCAGTAATCAAAGTGACCAATAATAATTTTATTGTTGTAAATGAAACCTCTATCAAGTGGCTGCAGCCACCTATTGGCTTACACCGCATTAGGACACACAATAAATATTTTCTGTTAAATAACTGTTTGGAGAGGCAAATATTTCCTAGAATTTTCTATTATTTGAGAATGGCTAAATATTTCCAGATGATTTATTTATTTATTTATTTATTTATTTATTTTATTATTTTGCCACACAAAATAAATTACAACAAGTAGAATAAAAAACATAATAAATAGTTATAAAGTAACATTAAATTATTAGCATACAGCTGGGAAGGAGTGACTGAGGCAGGGAAATCTTTGAGAAGCCAACAAGCTTCCCCCCACCGGCAATTTAAATACTAGATAGAATTTACGTACAATTCAGGGTCCGAAATTGTGCCTTCCTGGTCGCCAATGCGACTAAAAACTTAGTCCTGGCGACCAAAATTTCATAGCTGGTCGCCAGCTAGCGACTTGTAAAGCTGGTTGTTAATGTGGACTTTAACGTTCGGAGAAACTGATTAAGAATTGAAACCTCGAAGGTATTTGCTATTCGTGTTTAAACTTTTATTTGTAAAAAGGGAGGGGGAATTTTTGGCGACCACAATTTGCCCTCTGGCAACCAAAAATTTATACTTGATCGCCAGTTGGCGCCCGTATTAAAAAGTTAATTTCGGACCCTGCAATAATTTTTAGAAGCTAATCTAATAAATTCCCTACGATTCTCAGAAGTTTAAGTTTACACATTTCACTCCTCAGGTTAGGCTATTTCTTGTAGAAAAAAGGAAACTTGAAATTTTCAGGTACAAAAATGTGATGGACTGGGGAATTAGAAAAATTCTCACTTTTGTAGTAAATTAAATATTTGTATCTAATTAATGTTTGGGAAAATAATGCTGACGACCTTGTAATTTCGAAAGACTAAGTTCCCCTAGGATGGCTAAACAAGTACCGCTTAGAATGCATTTCTAGATATCTATAAGCACTCTGGATAGCCTAAAAATGGTTCAATGTATTTAGAAGGAAACCGTCATTGGGTGCCCCTGGTTCCCAATTAGAGTTCTCATTATTGTTATCACCACTGTGAAGTGGTCATCAAGCCCTCTTAGTTTGGGTTAATGTCAAAAATGCGATGAAGGAAAATAAAGTCTGAACTAAAAAGTGATGCCTGATTGTGGACCAGTAATACTGCTCCCATCGCATGTTTGTTTCAAAATAAAGTGATGTTTCTGCTAAAGATTACGCTAATGTAAGACAAACCTCTGTAAGAAGCCAACCTTAAAGAAGCCACTTGCCAGTACCCCGAGGGTGGCCATTGAGGTTCAACTGTAATCATAAAAGTTGAAGTCGTTTCAACATACCTTCTTGACAATTTCTGCACCTTTAGGGTCTTTGATGTTAATGGAAATACTCTGAAATTCACAGTTGTTATAAAATAGGAAATATTAAAATACAGTTAGACCTTAAATCGTAATATTACTTTCCTTTCTCTTCAAGAACAAACTGATTTTGGACTGCAGTCTGAAGAAATATCGTCAAAATTTCTGGCTGGAAGTAATTACCTTTTTATTTCTATTAACGGAAAGAAAATATGTGCTTTCATTTCCACAATAAGGCGGAGCCCACGACCTTGTGTCATCTCCACCATCTACATAACAGCAAAAGAAACAAAACATGCTTTAGACTTTGTCACATTATCAAAAAGAAGGATATTCTGACTCATTTTTATAAACTACCAGTACACTGTAAATTATGTGCTATTGTGAGCGATTTAATGGTTAGCATGTGGTTTTCACTGATCTGGCTGGAATACACCTCTATCACATTACCTAAAACATACCTCTACAATTTACTTAGTAAATTTAAGTGAATATGAAGATGTCAGTTCCCTGTAGGAGGTGTGAAGTTCTTAAAAAGGTCAATATCTTCCCCTTATATCTGACGGAAAATGATGTACTGGTCACAAAATGCACAGTGGTCTGCCCTGGGGAATTAGACCATTTGAGAGTATTAAAGTTCACCATTTAAATAGTATTTATGTTGAAACTGATGAATTTAAATATACCAATCAGATTGCTTGAAAGGTTCAATTGTCGGTTATCAGTTCTTACACATTTACAACCTGTTCAGGGCATTCAGTTTACAAAGCACAGGTGAAAAAGTAAGGCAAGCAAAAAAGAATGATGGCCTGTGAAGAGCGGCAAATAACTGGCATTTGTTTGCTCCGACTCCTCAGTCTCCCATCTTTTTATTTTTTGCTCACTCTAAAAAAATTATTCTGGAAATTAAATCAGCGTGTTACTCACATTGAAATAATTACTTGGAATGACTAGTATGTCATGTATATTACCTGGATTTTCAACTTTAATAATTTCTGCCCCTAGATCACCAAGAAGCATTGTTGCAAATGGTCCTGCAAGAACTCTTTATGGACAAAAAAGTTACTGCATTAATATTATTTTTAAATAATTGTGTTCTTGGTACCTTCTTTAATTACTTCACTACTTCATTAAGAATAAAGCAGATCTGCACTATTTACCTATAATTTTCTAAATATCACACATGTACAATGTCATACATTTTCAAATAATGTCTTCATTTCAGTCTTTTTTACTGATGATAGTCCCTGCGGATCTCATACAACCAAAACATATCCTTCACTGTTTGATTCCCTGCCAACATGTATTTTTTGTATTTACCCAACAACTTGAAAACTTAATGACAGTCCTGCCTAAGCATAATGATGAGCATCCCTGTCATTTTAATATGGGAGATCCCCTTTGGGGGTGGGGGAGGGGAGGTTTCTGGAAGTTGACCCAGGAGCTCCTCAACTGCATTCCAAGGTCCTCTTGTATTCATCCTCAGTCTCTCCTCACTCCACGGGACAATTAACCCATTCGCTCCTGGAGATTTTGCCCAAAAACGCGTTTTGAAGCCAGTCGAGTGGTTTTCTGGTCTTTGTCGTGCTATAAAGAGCTAAAACTTACCACAAACCGGTTTACAGGTCGTACACTTGGCGGCCTTCTGATCCAGATGCAAAATATCAGCTTGCGAAGTTCGGGCATGCGCAGAAAGCAAAATTTCGAGATAGTTTTTGGGTTTAAAAGTGACACAGCAGTCTTGACTGTTACTTTTCGCTTTCTCTCCTCCCTTCTTTTATCGTTTTTCTTGCCTCATTTTTTTTTTCTCTTGCTGGGCATTTAGTAGGGTTCATTTTGGTGGGAAGAGTTTTCAGGAAAGCTTTTAGGATCTTAGGATTAGGTGAAAGGAAAGGTAGGTGAGCAATGGAACAAGATTTTCATGGAGATTTTGAGGTCAATGTCACGTGGTTTTTTGCTTCTTTCTCCGGTGTCCTTGACTGAATTGTGCTCATTCTGGTATGGTTTGAAAGATCTCTTCACTCTACACAAGTTAGCGAAGAAAGTTGTCCTTGACCGTTAAAACTGATGACGTCACAAAGGATAGAAAGTATCTGGATCCGCACGGGCGGTTACGGGCGGTTCAGGGGCGAATGGGGTAAGAGAGGACCTGGCAAGGTGGTTGCGAGCTCCTGGGAACAAATCTGGGAGTAGCCTTCCAGACACCTCTGTCCTATCCTCTTAGACGTACCTGGACATGTCCAAGACTCTGATTCCAGATAGAGGACCAGATACCATTGATCTTCTACCTAAAGAGCAGTTTACACAGTACTGTGACACAAATAATTGATTTGCAAAATGAGATCTTACAACTCTTCAATACCTATCAAACGAAAAGAATGATTTAAAAGGTTGAAGGGTGAGAAGACATTCTAAGATTAATAGGCTGCAGTCGTGTACAACTAGACGAACCCTGAAAAGAAATTTAACACTTACCAGCAATCCGTCTGTAGAAACAGCTGTCGAATGGTAAAACGAAACGAAACAATCTGGAAGAATTCATCCTGAACTTTAGTACGTACAGTGCTCCGATCTTTCCAAAACACAAAACATGTGTTTAGTTTGTGTTCTGATACATGCACAAACTGCTGTTCTAAAAACGTCCGCTGAACTGTACTGCAGTTTCAGTAACACAAAATTACAAAATGGCGACGGCGGAGGTCCTTACGACGATTATAAGAAGAAACAGGCCAGGAACGAAAGCTGCGGTTCGTCTTTCTTATTTCTATCACTAAAAAATCTTAGGTTTTTCATTTGTCTGTCAAACGTGTCATTAGGGCGATTAACTTCGCTAGATTTACCAAGAAGAAACTTGTTCAATGATAGAGATGTGAGCCTGGCACAGGAAATTGTCTTGTGGAATCGTTCGATGCAATTCAAAAGACGAATTTTAAACGGCACATGAATTAGCATATATGATTTTTACAGGCTTGAGAATCATCGGGAGAATTGCCCGCTGATTTTGTCACGCGAATCAAATTGTCCCGGAATCATATGTGATGATGACTGAAGTTCTGCTAAATCATAAGTGATGATTTTTTCAGCAAAGTCAAAATCATTCGTGGAATCATAACGTACGAAACCGTGAGTGTCTGGAATCATCACCAGGCGATTCGCTGCTGTTATGAAATCGTTTGTGGAATCATAACCTTGTGCCCAACAAAAGGGAACGTTGGATTCACGAGTGAAAGATCGGTCGTCGAACTGTCATAAACCGAACTAGGATCAGACGAAGTTGAAACGAAGACAAATATGAAAAGTGTAGCAGAAGAAGTCTTGTAGTTCCTAGCGTGCGCGCATAAACTAAAACTGGAAAGGGGCTTGGTACGAGATTTGACCGTGTACCTCTGATCTAACACGAAAATCCTATTGTATTTTATTGAAACTTTCAAGTTGAAATCGTTTAATCTGAAGGTAGTTGAAGATCGCGATCATCCATGGATGCAGGCCGGACCTTTTAAAGGTAAACTTTCTTGCTTTGCTTCATAAATAAAATGGTAATACATTTACATTCAAGTGATGGTACTCATAACAGAAGCTTGTTAACGTCAAAAACATGTGTATACTACCTGTATACTGTTGCCTTTTGCTGGTTGGGTAATTTATTTAACACAAAGAGGCCTTCACACACACAAAAAAAACAATACCACTGATGTTATAATTTGTATGATAGCAGGAAGACCTGTTTTACATCAAACTAAATAAAACAGCTCATTTTGTATAGCAGAAAATAACACTAATTTGCATATTTTTTGGAGTAAATTTGACAGAATATTGAATAACAATATCTATATTAATTATAACCTTAAATTAATTTAAACTATAAATCACAATTTACAATGGTGATTTGAACAATGCACAAAGTAATTAAGTGTATAAAAATCATTCATATTTTGAGTTAAACAACATTTTAAATGACACCAAACCAGTTAAGGTATATAATTATTATTATGATGATTGTTGGTGATAGCCCCCATTCAATTATCCCCATCATTTGAAATCTGGATTACCCTTGGGGTCAAACAGGTCCAAATTAAAATGAAACACAAATATTTTAATTAATCAGAGCTGTTCTCTAGCAGAGCCCATTGGCTCCTAGTGCCTATAAGAGGGGGCTGAATAGGGGTATGCAAATCCGCCGATCCGTTATGATTTATTGGCCAAATCTGCCGTTAAAATTTTGCCCTGAATCCGAAATCCGGGCAAAAATATTTTTATTACACGTAAAGTTCAAAATCCGGGCCTAAAAAGTCGATGAATCCTCAATCCGCTGCAATTACAGGATCCGGAAATCCGTTAAAATCTCGCTTTGAATCCGAAATCTGGGCAAAAATATTTTCAAAATCCGCCGATCCATTCGCCTATTCACCCCGCTCCTGTAACTCTTGCTCTCAAGCAACTTGAAAGTCTTACTTTTTTCATTCAAATCATATGCTGGGCACCCTAGGTGTTACAGCCTTACAGCACAGCCTTGAACTTTAATAACATGTTGCACTTAAGTGACGATGAGTTTTTAAGATCCAGACTTGATCAAACAACACAGAAATTTTGAAATGTTAAGTACAATTTGTTCTCTTATTTTACTTTTTTGTACTTGTCATAGATATTGACTATCAGTCGAGAATTATATATAGGCCTGAACACCCAACAACTGATTTTTTTAAAGGTAGGGCTGCCACCAGGGGCCAAGGAGCAAGCATTTTACTTTTGAGCATGATCCTTGGTTACTTTTGTAGGGAAATAAAGGCAAAATGGAACCAAATGCAAAGAACTTTCTAACTTTTCGATTCCCCACCTTTTTAAATATGAACTGTCCGTAATAGAGACGTGTCCGTATTATAGAGGTGTTTATAAGGAGAGGTTAGACGGTAATGTCTAATGGTAAACTGATGACATCACATGTGTAGGAAGAGCCCAATGAGAGTGGATGCACATTGACAATTTTGGGCAGCTCATTCAGATGTATTTTCAAGGGTTCTTTTTTGCCCATTTGGTACTTTTTCAGTTTGCAGACTTTTTTGTCTACTTTTAAAAGTGCATGTTTCACAGAGTTTTGGATCCAAAATTCAAGACTTTTTCCAGACTTTTTCCAAAACAAAAATTATTATTTCTCTTTCCAGACTCAAATTTATCAAATAAAGGTGACAAACAGAGACCTTTAAAAAACACAGGAATCAAGCTTTTCTCATGATGCACTATAGTAATCACAGTGCAAAAAATTTACCCTTTTTTCCTGTCCTTTTTATGAACAATGCCTGTTTAAGCTTTCCAAGCCCTTTTCTGTTCACTACAAGGCCAAAAAGACTTAAACCTATCGAAAATGATGTTTCTTTTAGTTTTTAATAGTAAATAGATAAAGAATACAAAATATGAGGTGCAAAATGTGTTTTCCAAATGGTGAACAGATACCTTTCACTTAATCTTATCTTCTTTTCTTTCACCCCTTTAACTTGATAATGTAGTTCTCTTCAGTGTGGGAATAGTTTTGAAGGAAGATTATATTGTACAAATAAATGAACAAGATTTTCATAGCAATTTTCCGGTCACCTTTGCAATGTTTTCTCTGGCACAAATATAGTAATTTCATAGGTATGTGGAAGGATCAGGGTCAGTATGGGTGCAGTGTCCAATTGTTTTATTTCATATTATTTTACAATTACATATTTTGCTGCAATTAAAGTATATAGTTGTTAGTGGTAAACAATTTCAAACATTAAATCAAATATATTGAGACTGTCAAACTATAATATTATTCCAAACTGTATAATTTGGAAGCGAATTAAAATAACTATTATTGTACATGTATGAAGTGCTCGTTAGTAAACAGAAATGATGTAAATGAGTAGTGTCTCCTTATTGTGCTATTTAGTGATTTGCATACAGCTGTACTCTAGTCATCGACTCAGATTAGCTACCAGAAGATAGTTCTTTTTGACTGGAAGCAAAGTCACTCTCCGTATCAACCGTCCTAACATTTACGATGTGCTCTCCACGATAAAAAGCTGTTCTTTACTGCAGGAAGTCCAGAGAGTTTATCCGCATCATGGTTCTTGTTGGCAAAATAAACCAGTCCACACTTGCAAGGTGATGAACTCGCATACTAGTAGCTCCCATCAAGTCTTTCAAATGAACTCGTGCAGTAAAAAATAACGTACCTGAACAAAGTAAGGAGAAACCTCAGTTTTACTTTCAGGTTTGTCTAATTTGTCCACACAATAGATCAGAGCTGTCTGGCCCCTGTCAGTTCTGTTGTAAGAGGATGAAAAGGTGGAACCATTTACCATACATCTCGCAAAAGGTATCTATACGGGGGCTCGACAAACAGAAATGAATCCTCATGGATGTCTGACATGTAATCTTTCAGCTCATTGTAAAATTCAAACTTTGGTCTTTGCTTGATCCTCATTGGAGGAAGCATCTTAACAGGCCATTTTTGGTCGATTTTGTCTATGTCCTCTTGTTCAACTGTCATTTGGATGTCCAAATTGGTCACAGATGTTCTTGAGGGTGCCATGTACATATTTTCTGTCCCTCTGAAAAGACGTTCTGCTTGGATTCTTTGAAAAACTGACCATTCTTCTGTTCCCTCTTCCAGATGTTCACTGTCTTTGTGTTTCATAAGTGGCTTTAAAGAAGAGGGAATATCATTTTCACTTACCTTGTCAAGTAGTGGTAACTTTGCAACATCAATTAAATGCTGCATGACAAAGTTTCTAAAAATCTCCTCTTCTACAGTTTTCCCACTGGTGTTGACATCTCCTAACAGACCAATGTGTCTTTCATAAGGAAAGCACCACCAGCTGGTAGGAGGTCCCCAATTCTGAATGAGCTCAGGGATGTGTAGAGTCATGTGATAATTAACACTTACCTCAAATTTTCCAAACACTTTTGAATACAGTCCATGGTGCTTGTGAAGAAGACAAGAGATATTGTTTACTTCATCCCTTGTTATGGGGTCTTTCAGAAGCAGTTCAACTGCCTCAGCAAGACATTTTGTGGCATCATAAAATCTGTTTGGTACTACATTCCATAAACAGACCCTTGCATAGGTGACAATGAAATTCTTCCACTGTTGTGCTTTCAACCCTCGCGCTGACATCTTGTCGAGCATTGTCTTTGGTAGCCTTCCAAGATCGTAGGGCACCCTCACAGCATTCAATCTGTTTGCCAAGATGTCTCTCTCCTCCTCTGTCATCAAGTTGTTGGAATTAGTTATAAGTTCTTCCCCAAGGTCTGAAACAAGGCCCATCAAGATGCTGTGCATGGGATCAATTAAGAAATTTTCAACCATGTTGAAGTATGGCAGACGAGCCAGTTCACTGTACTTTACTCCTGTTTTTTGAGACATTGCTAGTGCACTTGCTTTTGTTGTTGCCTTTCTATATATACCCATTGCCTTTCGTACCTCACTGTCAGTCCGTGCTGGTGATTTCTCGCTTGTGTAAAAACTCATCTTGCCACTTGCCCCTCTGGTGCCCTTTTCTCGAACTGCCCGAAACATACATTTATCACATGGAAGATCGGCCTTGTGACTCTTGTATTGTGATAACTTCCTTGAGGCTGGTATGTCTGCAAGTACTGGAAGAAGTAGAGAACGGGTGAAGATGACCTCAGGCCCAAGTACTTGGACGTGAATTCCTTTTGTATAACATGATCAAGTCGTCTACAATTGGGGTCAAATAAGTATTGATGTGACCCTCAGGTTCAGATGGACCTGGAATTAGACCGATCAGCATTGACCACTTTGCTTTAAAACGCTGACTCTTTGGAATGTTAAGGACACTCATGTACAGGGCTCCGCATGAATAAACCGCTCGTTGAAATGGATTGAAAAAATCTAGGTAAAGTAAAAGTGCCAAATTCATTTTGTCCTTCAGAAGAGGCTTTGTGTTGTCATCAGGATCCATTAGAAATTCCTGAAGAATACGCCCATCCCATATGTCCCTATAATCAGTTGTTGATGGTTCAGGCCGGTTTCTTATGAGATTTAAGAATTCTTCCAGATTAAAAAATGTCTTTATCCACTCAGAAGGTGCTAAAAAGGGATATGTCTTATATGGAATCATTTTAGTTTTTCCAAATGAAAGCTTTTCAAAAAAAGAAAGTTCTGCATTACACCTTTTCCCATATAATTTGTTCTTGCATAAGCGAGGCTTTAAAACCCCATCCCTCTCAGAACTAATATCATTCATCTGGTAGAGACACGAGCATTTGGGGTTGGGGCAAACAGCAAAAAGTATTGTTTTGTTGAGAACCTTAAGATTGGCAATGGTTTCAAGGTCACTGATTGACTTCGGGAAAAGCATATATAAGGGATGACGTATTACCCAAAAAATGAAATAAATAAGATCTAGCAACATAGAAAAAATAGCATTAGATAAATTAAATGATAGTTTTAAACGTAAAAGTATTAACGAAATCCAGCGAATTAGTTTCCCTTCTTCTTTTGTCTTTATGACATCTTCTTTCAGCTCTTCCTCCTTGCACTGGTCTGCACCATTTACTGCAGCACTTTCTCCTTCCATCATGTCTTTTCTCTCGTCTGCTTCGGATTCAGTGCTGCAGTCTGATAGTTCTATAGTGTCTAGAGGTGTGAATTACCAGAAGTATTTTAGTATTTACAGTCATGCATTCTTCAAAGACTGTAGTTTTTAAGTTACATATATTTGGCAATAAACAATGAATTTAAAAAGTCTCTCTCATAGACAGAAACCCTGAGAACAAACAAGCAGCTCATTGTAGTGCTGAATACATGTTAATGTAGATTTAGCTGCAGTCAGCTTTTGAATTGATTATCCACAACCAATCACACATGAGACAGTATTAAGTTGTTGTCCTCCGGCAGCTGATCAGTCAGATCATCCTAATATTAAATTCCTAGACAATTATTAATAGTTCCCTTATGCACCTATCAATGTGAAGTTGGTGGGGAGCTGCACATTGTTGTTTAATCTCAATTATAGAATTCCAACTAATGGCCCTGTCCCATGGATATAAGATATAAGAATGTGATGTTATGATCTTTTGTGAAAAACAACAAAAAGGTTAAAAAGTCTTAAGTTTAATAATTATTCTTGATTTCCAGACTGTATGGCACATGCATGAAGTGGAACACATGTGATCGGTCTTGACAAGTCTGAGTTAGTGGTCAATATCTCCACATGCCACGTCGGTAAAAAAAGGAAGGTTCAAATATCCCACCCCCCAGAAGAACATTAGTCAAATGCTTAACTCCAGGGCCAACAGAAAACATTCAAATCCTTATGCAATGCCCTTCCTCAATCCCCCCTCCCCCCCTCAGGCTTTACATGGACAGGTGCATTAAACATCTGTATTAATTCTCTGTTCTGTATCAGGGTTGTCATTAAGAGCCGGGGGCCGGGGATTTTCCCCGGCTACTTTTATCGGAAAATAGAAGAAAAATAGAACCAAAAGAAATCCCTGGCCATTTGATTCCCCGCCTACTTGTTGTATTTACCCGGCAACTTGAATTCTTAGTGACAACCCTGTGTATGCTCATTAAAGTCTACCAAACAAATTGAGGGTTACTTTGATTTCAATTCTAAACTGATACAGATTTCATGAAAGTAAAAATTATACCTTTTAAGACAGCAATCCCTTGATCTTCCTTGTCACTTTCTTCGGAGTCAGCAAGTCCATTTTCACCTGAAAAAAGTTAAAATTGTAATCAGTATGGGGAATTATTCCTCCCAAGGAAGAGGACCCCACTATGAGATGAGTAAAGTGGTGTCACCTCTTCCCATTAACATCTGTGTGATTGAAGGTTATGTTGCCTGTAGTTAATTCATTAACTGATCCTTACAGACGATCCAATCATAGCCATGCAATTAACTACAAAGCCAATGACCACCAGGATAGAGTACCCCAGAGTTAAATTGACAGGGATAATAATTGAAAGAGGTTAAATCAAAACCAACAGAAGAAGACGTGTGGCACTAGCACTACCATACGCCAATAACGTTGTTTAAGATACCCCCAAAAAATCCTTGGCTAATTCAAGGCACCCAAAATAATACCTGGCCTGTCACTTTTACATCGGAATTCTCCTACTAGCAAGGATTATAGGCATTGCTTTTAAGATTTATCTCACTATATACTGGTAAGGTTGTTTTGATTCAGTAAAATTCATGATAAAGGTATTGATAAAAAATATACCTGAATAAATTTGCATTTTAGTTTCCTCAGCACTGATGTTATTATTGCTACATGTCATGTCTATCACAGATCCTTGAACTTCACCTGGAGCAAACAAAATCCAACATTTAAGGTGGCTGCTAAGAATACTGGCAATTAGATGTTCTCAAGCAATGAGTCTATGTTTTCATTATTTTTTGATGTAGAAAACAAAACATATTTTGAGGAGGAGTAATAATATATTATATTAATAAGTAATTAATTATTATTAAACTGAGTGGTCTTAATTGCAACATTAAAATATCCAAGTCAAACTTGAATGTTATTGTTTTTCGATTAAGTTTGCAAGTAATAAAAAATGTTGCATATGACTGTTATAAAAAAATAAAGCTGAAATGTAAGCTTTGGAAATGGTACGTCGGTATGTTTTTGTGTGTTTATTCCTGAATTAAATACTAAATACTATGGTGACTGCTGTCTCAGAAGCATAAAGAGTATTAAGTGGGGATGAAACTCTATTTTCCCAATGGGGCTATACATAATTATAAGACCAAAGATGAAAAAAAAAATATATAAACTGTGCCTCTTTTAAAGTTGACTTTCTTTTTTCTTTGACGATCATGTATACACAATACATGTCAAAATTAAGTTCAGGTTAAATTTTTCTATCTAGGTACATATTGTCTGTTTCCTTTGTCTCCTAGCCCCAATAATATATTATTCACATGAATTAGGGTTTGGAGACAAAGGAAATTGAGAATCAACCTATCATATTAGGTTGAAATTTTTTCAGCTGAATTTGATTGACTTGTAACATATATCTCAGGGGCTGATCTAGGGGGAGGGTGAAGGGGGTGTGCACCCCCATCCCCTGAGATGACCTGCGGTTTTCTAATACAACTGGTATTCTGCAAAAAAAACTATGTAGTTTATTGGTGTTGAAGTAGAGAAAGAGACGAGTGCACCCCCTCCTAAAAAAAATCCTGGATCTGCCTCTGTATCTTATGCTAAAAACAACTGAGAAGTTCCCTCCTCTTCCCCGTATTTAGGAGTCAATTTGCTGACTTTCAGAAGCCAGAGTTAGTGTTATATCCAGGGCTGAAAGTAGCACAAAGACAACTGACAGTAATGTCCAGGAAAAGAGAATTCAAGCCCTTCTATCATACCTACTTTCTAGAAAAATCTAAAATCATTTCTTGTAATAAAAGTACTTCTTGATGTGACTCACCAATAAGAGTGTGAGCATCATTAGTGACATTCACCTCACATGACCCAGATTTGATGTCAATAGAGGGAGGGTTGTCATGTCCAGCTGGCTGACCAGCGGCATCTTGAAGAAATAAGATACAAAAAAAATAGAAATGCACCATCATGTGAAGTTAAAAATTCCGTTGTAATTCAATCAAATCCATTTGCTTTTTCCAATTAAATTAACTTTTTTTGACTTATTTTGCCGAATGGTCCATATTCCTTGATTGCAAATCCGCGATTTTGAATTCCAAATTCCTCAAGTCCAGTCCCAAATCTACTTTTCCCAGTAAGTTTTCCCAGTTGAAGATTTACGCGGCATACATATGTATTTAAATCGACAAAGTGCTATCAATAGAAGAAAAGACTTACCTGGTATCTCTGATGTCCTTAAATTGGAAAATTTGGCTTTTTTAGATGGCTGCCCGCTGCATTTGATGTTCTCCGTGTACCGATCTAATCCATAAAGGTTCCGATGTCTGAAAACAGTCCGTCTTGAGCGCAAGCAACCTCGGCATTCGGGGCAGAAACACGTCTGATAATCTGCCATTCTGAACTAACTTAAATAATCTGTATTTAATTCTTTGGTTTGTCATACATGTACGATCTGCTGGATATTTTGGTGCTCCTTTTTCGCGAGATAGCGCCAAATTGCGCGAATGTGGCGAGCTTTATTATTGCGTGACAATGTTTGCGCTAATTTGACGCAAGTTGAAATTTTTCGATGGACGCAAGGAGAGAAATTGCTCCTTCAAAGGGGGATTTTTGGCGAAAAATGGAAGTACAAAACCCAGAAGAACTTATGAAAGTGTTACTCGATAATCCGTCGGCTAGAAGCCAGTTGAATTCCTTTGTTGAGCAAGCAATTGCGAAAAGTCACGTAAGTTAAGTGTGTTGTTTTTTGTTGCGGGTTTGTTTGATAATTAATTAAGTGGTTTCATGACAACACTTAATTGACAAAAATTCTTCCCCTTTGTTTTCCTCTAGTCACCTGCACCGTCAAAAGTTGTACCACTGGTAAGTAAAAGCCAAATGTTACAATTTGCTTAAACGCTAGCTTTTGGGGGAAAAAACTATATACTAGGACATTTGTTGACGTCAGCTGCATCTTTCAGATGTATATTTCGACGGGACATTTTACTTGATTTTCACGCTATGTAGTGTATGGCCAATCCACTTTTAATATATCCTGTGAGCTACTTTTTTAAAATAAACTCTGTAACTGATCTGACTCAGTTGGGGGCACAAATTTGAGCGCTTTTTGGAGTCGGGTAGGGCACTAAAATCACTTGTTCAAAGTTCGGTCCTCTACAGTCTGCAACTGAAGTCCTTCTGTCATTATTTCATAGATTAAAAAATGTTATGAACTGAAAACCTTGTATGACACAAACCCGGGGGGGGGGGTACTTTAGGAATTTCTGGGTGGGGATGTGCCACTGGGACCCTGGAACCCTTAACCTATACCAGAGCTAGTTCAGCTGAATTTTGCTACCCTATACTAGAGTAAACTCCCCAAATCCCCCTATCCTAGAGTAGCTGTTTACCTAGTCTAGATAAAATCTTCAACCAACTGCTCAGTTTCCTGAAAAATGATACCCTATTCTAGACCCAAACGCTCTGATTTATATACTCTATCCTAGAGTAAACTGCTTGAAAACCATACCCTTCACAGCGGCACATACCTATATAGCCCATATATGGCAGTACCCCCGGGACACAAAGAACTACAGTACATACACATTTTCAAATTTACATACAAAAATCCAATTAATAAATAATTCAATAATTTGTGACAAAATAAATCTATAAAACTCATTAACCCTCGGACGTTACAACGGCGGGGAGTTGGATGCCACCCCTGCCCATAAGGTTTTCTCCCAGAGGATCTTTTCAGTAGCTATTCGTTCATCCCTCGCACATATTTTCAGTCAAGTTTAATTTTTTGGTCATGGTCCATTTCTATGGTTACGAGATATGACATCAAGTAAGAGGTGGTCAAGCCATTTTTGAGTGAAAGTACATTTTTTTTCCAACTTTTTCAAAAATAACTAAATCTTGTGGCCAAAATCATACAAAGTGCTTAATTGTGTGTTATTTTTCATCTGAAGCACAAAAAAATCACCATTTCTCACGATTTTAACCTGATTTCTAATCATTGGTAAAATCCAAGATTGCAACCAAGATGGCAACCATTGTTGGTGACGTCACAGGCCCCCAGCAGCACCACCACCCATAAAATATACCTCATCTTGTAGAGAAGATGAAAGGCTTTCCACCAAAGGTAAAATATCGTTACAAAATACTGCAACGTATCAAAAACTCTGGGGATGGGATGGGGGTATGAATTTGCTTGTACGTCCGAGGGTTAATATAATATCTTATATTCATATCATTATAAAATGTAATGAAACCATAAAAAATACTACCCTAATTGCTTCAAAAATAATAATAAAAAAGATGAACAAGGTGCATTTTTATTTCATATATTGGGTTTTGAGGCAAATCTGAATAATAGGGAAAACATAATCTACCTATAGATCCACATATCGCAAAAAATATATTAACCATTTAATTGACTCAGTGATATTTCCTTCCACTTATAATGAGCACAACATATATTAAATTATGTGGCTGAGATTTGTAAGAATACAGTGAGACCCTTCCATATTACATGTTGACTTAATTATAATTCAACAGATATGCTCTTGTTGAAATATTTCACAGGACATTACACGAGATGCATTTGAATTTGAATTCAAGGATCAAATTAATCCAGGAGAAGGTATAATTAGACAACCTTATTCTTCCTATAATTTATTACCAGTAGATATAGTGGGAGGAAATCAAATGTATAACTGAATCCTGAAAGAATATTTGCATCTTAAATGTTAGTTAAGAAGTCGGATGTTTTGTGTGTGTTTAGTTTGAAAATTGAAGTTGGGAACACGTATTGTCCATATATTAAATTTAATTTATTATCAGTTGATGTTACTCGAGTGGGGTGTATTGACTGTTTTATATTCTATTTGTGCTAACGGCAATAATTTAAAATTCGTAACAGTGCCTTGGTCAGATGTTCAAGACTCTGTGAGAACTGAGATGGTCGAGTATGTAAGAGAGATGATGTCATCAAGTGGTGTGTCATTACCAACAAGAAGCATTATTGGAAAAAGGATTAAAAGATATTATAGGAGTCAAAGACACCAAGCTCAAATTAAGGCAGACAAGGAGAAAAGAAGGAGACAGCGGTTTCTTAACAAAAGGAACCGTCTAACAATGGTAGGATTATACTATATTTTTTTTTTTCATACTCAAATGGCTTAGATGAGGGAAAGTGAATGGAGGGATATCGAGGTAGGGTGTTCATGCCAGGACAAGTGAGGGACAGGATTAATGTATTCTCCACTGCCTGGTTGTTTACAGCTGGCAGATTAAGATAATTAACGCAGGGATTAGTGAGAAATTAAATTTGAATGAATTCACATAAATAAATGTAAGCTTATTAAAGTGCCTAGCACATGTACTTGTGTACACTACGTGTGCTTGCGAATTGACTAATGATTGTTGCATCACTTGCATGTGCATTAATTCACGTGATTACTGACATCAGATGGACCAGGGCCTTTGTGGTGTCACATTCCATGCATTTCAAAGGACATATCCTAAGAATGTGGATAGATTCTGGAAAAACCTCGCTATACAGTTACTGAAGTGCCACTGACCAGTTGTTATTATTGTATCATTATTTATAACTATTATAATTATTTGTTAACAAACCGCTGTTCCTTTCTTTCCACAATGGCTTCAATTAATCAATGTCTCATAAATGTACCAAAATGTTAACTTCCAGGAAAAGAGAGACAGGGAAGTAAGGAAAGCATTGGAAAGGGAGGAGTTGAGCAGTGAAGAGATAAAGGAGCTGAGAAGTACGATTGCCCCAGTGGAAGCAAAGGAAGTGGTAGTTTACGATTCTGAGGATGAGGATGCACGCTCTGACCTTCTCCTGAAACGCAAGATCAGTTTGGAGAGAGGCAGGAAAACAGCCAGGAAAATCAACGCAGGGGAAGTCGCCTGCTGGCTCTTCTTAGTGGTAATAAGGCACCCAGTCAGCAAGTGTCTGTCAAAGACCTGATGGAGCTGGCAAAAAGAGAATGTTCCACTGCCAGCAGCTAAGGCTCCATCAGCTAGTCTGACCCCTCTGAGGTGCTGTACAACATCTACTGCTGATGCAGCCTTACGTGCACAACAAAAGAGGGCAGGCTAGCATTAACTAGAAAGCCTCAAACAAGCATAGGTAAGTTATCTTTGGGCCCATCAAGTGAACGCAGCAACCTCATGGTGGCTGCTGGGGCACTGCGCTCCTCACTGGTGGAGACCGAGGATAGTTTATCTATGGCTGTTGACTCATCACCATTTCTCTTTCAGGGAGATTTTACTGATTAAGGACAGTGTAAGTGAGGCTACATGTGTAAGAGATAGCAATACAGACCTGCCAATTCGTGGCTAAAATGTTACAAAGCCCCATTAAGGTTAAACACTGGCACTAGCATCCCCACAGAATTTCTGTTTTATATTCAACAAGGTAACATTTCATTTCAGAAAGATATCTCCCCCAAAAAACATGAGATTGGGAGTGTTGTTGTGGGGCCATGAGACAAGTGAAAAATCATGAGAGTCTTTGAAGCCAGAATTGTGAGAGTTGGCAGATCTGGCAATATTAAAATAGACATTTTTTGGTCCATTAAAGGATCTTATTTGAAAGGTTCGGTCTAAATTATTCTTTGGTTGTCTTTAAAAGACTGTGCTGTTTCTCTTAATACAATCAGTAAAGTCTCAAATGATTCAATGTTTTGGAATTGTCCCATAGTGCAATCAAATGGTTTATTGTACGAACATCCTAGGAGATTAATTAGGAAGCAATATTAGCCTTTGAATTCTTTTGTGGATAAACAGAGTGCCTAATTATTAGACATGAAATTCAAACACAGTGAAAAATTACTGACTTTTACGGTCTATCTGCAGTCCTAATTCCAATAAAAGGATTTATCCTTGTGGATGAGTGTGGACTCCCATAATAAAATTGATAGGGATGCTTGATTATTTAGGTGTTGGATTTACAGGTTTTGATCCAATCTCGTTCCCAGGTTTTTTCTCCTACCCGTCGAGAGACCCTGGCAGGTCTGGTCATGTATATCCCAGAATCTGGGACAGGTAGGAGATAACCCTGGCTTTGATCGCACCGCATAAGGGTGTTTAGGACAAATAACCAATATTTTTACCCATACAGGCACTGCTTGATGTTGTGGGTAAAGAAATTAATTATGTCTATATAATTTGATGAAATGTGTTGGAGTTTATTATAAGTCTCTGTAAGGATTCAATTCAAGCCTGAATCAAACCCGCATTGTCCTCTTTTAGGGATTTCACTCTAATTTGTTATATACTGAGCATCATGTCATTTTATATGGGATTTGAATTCCCGCATCACTCAGGTTCCTTGAATAGCAGCCCAAAAGTCCAGCTAATATTAATATTTTAGGCTGACGCAAAATATTGAAATTTAAAACACAAAGTGTAGTGTTCCATCTAGTATAGGTCACTGACACAAACCAGTAGATCAACAACAGAATGATGTATTAATTATCTCTTCATTCCCAGAATGAATAATGACTCTTGTACTAGATTTAAAATCTGCTGATGAAATTCTGTGGTATGACCATTCAAATGAAACCTCTTTGGCATAACTCTAGGCGCTATCTGTTTTTTTAGTACTTTACAGAATGAAATTTAAAAATTTTGTCAGATACTTTTGACAATTGCATGCCATTCTGGGAGAGAAGTGGTTATAATTTATAATATACATGTATATAAGTATTGAACCTTACAATTCCTAATAGTGACCCTGAACGTCAATCAGTTCCTACTGGCAATATCAATATGTCATCAAGAGAGAAGGTTCTGAGAACTTTCATAGAAATAGTCATCTCCGAAGGGAATAAGTTTTGATCCTCTATCAAATTTTCTATAATGAGATGTATGGGATATCATGATCAGTCTCGCAGAATTTGTTTATTGATATTGTCAGGCTTAAGGAGTAAATACTGGATTTCACTAGTAAGTCTAAAAAGAGGATGTCCAAGGGGAATATGTTTTGATCTCCTATTTAATTCTCTAATTCTGACATGATATAATTGCTTGCTCAACAAATGAATTCAACTGGCTTTTAGCAGAAGGATTATCAAGTACATTTGTGTAACACTTTCATAAGTTCTTCTGGATTTTGCACTTCCATGTATATTTCGTCAAAAATCCCTTCTCGAAGGAGCAATTTCTCCCCTTTGGTCGACCAAAAATTTTTCAACTTGAGTCAAATCAATTAACGCAAACATTGTCACACAATAGTAAGGATTGCCACAATCGCGCAATTTGGCGCATTGCAGCAAAAAACAAATTTGTTATTTTACATTGTTTATTGATATTTGTTCATTATTAATTGGATTTCACTGGTCTATTAATGTTTATTAATTTAAACACGAACTTGATTATCTTTTATTAACATTCAGACAACATTGTTTTGTATATATAACATCGCCATTAAACTTACGTTTTCTCGGACAGCTGTTATCTACACTGATTCCTTGTGTATTGTTATTTTTCCATATTGGATTATTTTTGATCCGCACACTTCACAGTGCAATTTGTGGGGAGACTCTGGAATTTTGCTTATGTTACTTCAGTTCACCAAGCATTTTTCAAATCAAGTTATTAAAAAGGGAAATGTTTGAAAAAAAAATGTATCTGAACATAATTTTAAGACCCAAATAAACAAAAGCAAAAATCATTGCGATGATTTCCTGTATATTCACATATCTGAAATGAAAGGATTTGGGAAATTCTTTAATTTGGGGGAGGGGGGGGGGGGTATGATTCCACTGACAGTATACTCTCAAGCTACAATGAGTGATACTTTGATTTTAACAATGCGATAGTGGGGGTTATGATTCCTCAAATGATTTAATAAGTCTTGCAACATCGTGGTTATGATTCTTAGCTATGACAACACAGGTTATGATTCCTCAAATGATTTCATAAAGCCTTTAAAAACCAGGGTTATGATTCCTGTGCCTGACAAAATGATATGATGACTTGGTGAAGCCTGGGCAAACCAAGGTTATGATTCCTCAAACACATAAAATCATTACTGAAATTACAATTGGTTATTTGACTATGCCATTTCCTGTGTGGTGAACAGGAGAATGATGTTCTTTTAGTCAGTGACATACACTTACAAAACATTAAAACTGTCTGCGTAGAATTTTCACGGAAAAAGAGTTTAGTTCCCAGAGGAGAGGGAAACACTTTTGTTCTGTGTCCACCAGCATGGCCACCATGATGTCAGCTGCAAAGGAGTCATTCCCATTGGATTACAAAAAAAACTATCTCTTGCTGACGGAAATCTGAGAACTGAAATAGAGGGTTATGCTTCCCTATGAAATAATGCACTGATCATCACTGGCGAAAAAGAAGCATAAAAGGTTTCAAAATGGTGAATTCTGTGTTGAGGTTATATCTCATGTTCAATTTACTTTCAAGCACTACCACATAATCAGCAGCCTTGTCAAAACCATCACAACTTTATCCTTAGTCTCCCTCACAGCCGTTGCTAATGTTGTCACACAACGACACTTAAAACAGCTGCAAGGGAGACTACTCGATCCCTGGTCATCATTTACTTTAAAGTCTAATAATAATTTTAATTAAAAATACATGTACTACAGTATTTTTTCTTTTTTTTATGGCTCACAGTAATGCTTGTGATGACTGTTTCTTTTCAACAGGACATGTATGGGTGGCCTGATGAACCTTTCGAGGAGATGGATAGTACATTAGCTGTCCAGCAGGTGACCAAAGAGCTGTGAATTACTATTTTTATTTCCACAATCCACAAAGGGTAGTTTACTAGCAGAGGCTTCTTTTCTTGGTATTCAGCGGGCCGGGGGAAAAGAGATGTTGCCACCTAATGCCAGAAAAAAGAACCCTCTGCTAGCATGGAACACAATAAGGGAATGAAACTTTGCTTGTACAGTGGTGCAGTGTATTGCTGACCTATTTTTTTTGTTGATTAAGTCTTACAGCATGGTGTGACTGTTCAAAACAAACCACATCTCCAGTTCACCCATTTTAACTGTCATTCTCTTAGCTCAATATTACTGTAAATGATCTATAATTAGATGCCTACTCTCAAATAAGCATCTCTCATAGACCAAAGTAGTGTGGTCAACCTTAAAATCCTGTGCGTTCATGTCAGCTACCTTACGTGTATAATAATTATTTGTAACCTGCTTTATCAAATAAAATGGTTATGATAATGATGATGTCAATTAATATGGTTATGAATCCGTTCACTGACATTTTACCTATCACAGAAATGTATCACTTTCATCTGTTCCAGTTTGTTTGTTTTTTGTTTTTGTCTGTTTATCTTTACAAATTCAAATAATTTTGACAGTGACTGCTTTGCAAAGTTTAATGCCCTTAAATCAGTTGCTTGATCAAAAATGCAAGAATAAGGCCATGCAAGATACTCTGTCATCCCTCACTTTTTTATTCCCACCTACTTGTTTTATTTACCCTGCAACTTAAAATCATAGTGACATCCCTGCATTTTCATTATTTTTTTTAGTATATTCAGCAACAGATCAGAGCAGATTTCACCAATATAGATGCCATCTTAGAATCACCAGAAGGACAAGATGAGGGAGTGTGGAAATATGAACATCTCAGACAGTTTTGCATGGAACTCAATGGACTAGCTGTCAAACTTCAGGTAATTAATAATTAATCATTACTATTATTAACCTAAGCAATGCTAGTAGAAAGTTTAACTCTTTAAGCCCCAATATCCAACTACAAATTCACAAGACTGATTTCTGTACATTCACTCAGTGAATTAGTTGGGAGAATTTGTTTGAAGATCAAAGTGTTTTCCATGAAGTTATTGCTTTATATATTCTCACAACATTTTCTCTTGATTATGTATTGATATCGTTAGGAAAAAAAATTGATTTTCATCACTCACGGGACTTTTACAGTGGTGATTATATTGGCGTGAACACCTAAAATATGTCTGGAATGTTTATTATGTTGCAACCAATAATTACAGGTGAGATCTTCACACCACAGAAACCACAGGCAGCGAACGGTTTCCGATTGGTCATGGAACAAATTATTTTCGTTTTGTTTAAGGATACAAACTGCCTTATTAGGACTTTAAAACACCGCTGTTCCCGAAGATCAGTGCCGAGGACCGCATCCAGTACATCGTTCGATTTTAGACAGAAAAGTTTTAGAAGCCAATGTGACGCGACGGCGACCAGCTTTCCATGTAACGACATATCACGTGAAGAGAATAAAAAACGAACCATCGTGATGTTTTCGTTTCTGATAGCACAATCCTTGCTAATATTTTTTTGTAGAACAAGGGGATTCGATTTGTGTGAACTAACAATTGAACCTTCGAACTACAATCTACTACCTACGATCAGGCGTAACTACCGATTTTGATCTTTACAAAAAGTTTGAAAACTCGCGTGCCAAACCGTCACGTTCGTAGGCCCGGCACATCGGCTTTGTAATTTATTTCAAAATCACTCAAACCTGTATTCTTCGCTATTATAGCAAATACTGTAAACAAATAAGAAGGAAAAGCAATTGTTTACTTGTAAAAAGACTGAATGTTAAAACAAAATGAAAATAATTATTTTGTTCCGTGACAGATAGGAAACCGTTCGTTGCCTGTGGTTTCTGTGGTGTGATGATCTCGTCTGTGATTGGTTACATCACAATAAACATTCCAGACATATTTTAGGTGTTCACGCCAATATGATCACTGCTGTAACCCTTTAAAAAGGGTTAGAAGTAAGGAAAAATGTTTGGCACTATTTTCCTTTTTGTTCCCTTTTCAACAGTATGTGTATTCAGGGATTACAGTCTTAGCGACTTGGGAAAATCCACAGCCTTCATCCCTTAGTTAAAATCCTGTTTACTACATGTATCACATCACGTGTCTTAGTGTGAAAGATCAGAGTCACCCTATATACATGTAGCAAGTACTTTTTCAAATTTAAATGTACAGCTTGCAAAAGCACTTTACAATAAATTCTCACCTGTCACAACAATTATATTTTACAATTATTGTATTGAAAATGCTAATTGAAAGTTGCATCTGCCATAAATGGAGTATGCAGTGATTTTTCAGAAATTTGAGTCAATTTCTGCCGGTTAATTAAGTTTATCATGTAGCATTTTTATGTTCATGAACATGTATGTTCAATCTGTAGCAGTTTTAGAAACCACTATTGTTTGTGTGTTTTTTTTCTTTAGACTGACTGTACTCCTGCAACTTGTACTCAAATGACAGCCACAGAGCAGTGGATATTTCTGTGCGCTGCACACAAGACTCCCAGAGAAGTAAACCCTACTGTATTATGTTATTTCTAATGTACATTATAGACCTTTTTCATGTAGACAGAGGTTTCCATGTTTGCAAATTCATCCAACATCATTTTATAGTTTGCTTGAGGTACGATGTAAAACACATCGCATCACAGCCACTTGTGCCAAAGAGCTAGTCATAATAATTTATTATAATAAGACCAGTCTCTAATACTTTTTCATCCAACTTACAATTGTGTATGCTACCACTTGTTTTTATAGAAATAGAGTTGAGATTTTTCGATCCAGTGAAAGACATCAGTAGTAGAGGGCAGTCATTAAGGTTTTAAGTAGCTGTTCTGTCAGCGAAAGTAGCTGATTTTACCGTAGTAGCCAGCTACAGTACTTACAGCTACACTTACAGCCTTGTTGTTGTCTGCTATCCTAATCTCCTGGTTGCTATTACGCAAGCATGGCATGTTTGTAGCCAGAATTCGTTTGGACTTCCACGAAAATTGAATGGGGTCAATGTACAAAATGCAATTTGATCACCTGCATTTGGACCTTCTGTCACTCGTAATCTGATCACGTGTGTTCTGACCATTTATCATGTGAAACTCATGCAAAGCATAGTGCTGGCGCAAAAGTGTTTTGAAATTCGATCCTTGTCGCCTGTATTCCGTAACCTTTGGTTATTACTAATGATAAATTATCCAATCAGTATGTGGTATCTCAGATCACACCTTTAAGGGACGGACCATTAGAAAAGTTATGGGGGGGGGGGGAATTTCGAGTGGCAGGAATTTTTTTTCATTATCAAATTCCTTGAATGAATTTTTTTAGGCCATAGCATGAATATTTTTTAGGATTAATTGGCGTGCATGAATTTTTTTCATTTAATTTTCCCTTGCACGAATATTTTTTTTCTATTTCACCCACCCCCCCCCACCATAAGTTTTCTAATGGTCCGTCCCTAATTGGACAATATTACAGTTGTACATATTAAATTGAAACTTTCACTGCAATTTACTTTTACTTTTGTCCTCCCTGCTTCTTACACTGACATTGTCCATCACAGAAAAACATACAGGCAAATTCTTGTCTC